ACCAACTATCCGTGGCACGTCGTTTCTTTACCCAAAGACACTAGATCAGTGCGACAGGTTTTTTTCTTTTGTTGAAACTATCCATCCCGACGGTCAGTTCGCGCAACGACTACTCCGTGGGCCACCGGTACATATTGTTCCGAAAACATCCTCGTGCACGTTGACCAAACTATCCCGTCGACAGTCGTTGCCAATACACTCATCGCTAGACAACCGCTAGGAATCCGTGTACACAAAATCTGACGGTAATAATTTTAAACTTTCCTAGTGGGACGTGTTACCAAACTATCCAGTGGACATAATGACCGCTGTGCCATACTATCCTCAGCACCGATTTGCGGAAGGTGGGAACACGTTCGAGCACAAACTAGCCATGCTGGGAGACGAGGTACGTGTTGCCCAACTATCCCTTATGCGACGGTTTATGATTGCAAACTCATCCCACGTGGTGGTGTCCGCCACGCCGTTACAAACTTATCCGCCGGCTCGAAGCTCGGTACCAAACTAAACTATCCGTTGGAATCGCTCGTTATACCCAATAAGACATTCCCGGCTCATAGTGGATTATTTCTAGAAAAGTACGTGGATGGTTCAAGAAACTACTCCAGATCGGGAGGTTACATATATTTTTTTCTCTCACAAACCTAACGCAAGTTTCGTTCACATCTACATTGAGTCTAATAGTCCTGAGCATGTTCACCTCAGAGTATGAAAACCAAGTTCTCTGAATGTCCCACGTAATACCAAAAACCTCAGCATAATGGCCTTCCCAACTGAGGAAGTAAGAGTGCAACTGTTAATTCGAACAGTAGGATACAAACCCGCTTGCACAGTAGCCCAGAAGCTTTCTAACGTTTAAACTGTCCCATTCTCCATTCATTTCCAAGGTTAGATTATCTAGGAAAGAGTTATTAAAGGTTTTTTTCCCAGAGTTATAAAAGCCAAGAAGGAAAAAACATGTTCCAACTTAAACCCGATAGTAAAGAGTTATCAATAATTGTGTTTAATGACTAGCCAAACCACGATTACCCTGTCTCCCGTGTATGAGTCCAACTAAAGGCGAACCCATTCTGGTGGTAGCCCCTCTGCAATATCACTATCTCCCTGAGTAACAGTTCTAAACATGACCATTTTGTTTATTTATTAACCTCCACTATCCCTGTTGGAAAGTATCCCAAAAGCCGAAGACTTGAAAATCGGTGTGTACCCTAAACCTATACAAAAATAGGGACCGATAAATGTTTAAAGAGAGAGTGCGCGGTGCCTTCAAACGGATATCCGTTAAAATGGGGGATTCATAGAGCCTCACGGTTGCCAATCTATCGTGCGACGTTTGCCTAAAACTATCCGTGATAGTGGTGGATTCGAGGTCTTATATGATGAAACTGGTCTATAATCACTCATTATAATCCGGCCGGATAAGTCCAACCTGCCGGAAAGTGTGGTCGAATTTGCGTCTGGAAGACAGTAGACCGTTAACGTGTGAGCCGAACTATCACTCCGTAGCTTGGAAGGCACTAACCGCGAGGCTTGCCAAACTAGTCATCGTAAGGTAGCACGGGTTGCTAGAGCACTGGATCGATTCCGCGGTGGACTTAGGTTGCCAACTATCTGTGGCATACCACCGGTGCGAGAAGCATATTTCCATGTAGTCCACTGTAGGCATCCGTTCACGTTAGTAGCTGCTGTTTGCACGTCGCCTACTCATCAATGTTTTGTGGTGAAGCCCTTGAATCTTCAAGAAAACGGGTCGTCAATTACTTATCTTTGGTGGGAACGGCTAATTAATATACACTCTAGCCAAGCTACATCATTCCCATTATACCTGATGAAGCCCGAAAAGAATGTGTTGCCACCTCAATTACTATCTGACGGTAAGTGATTGAAAAATTATTTTAGACGCAGTTACAAAACAATCCCCCGAATAAGTGGCGCGTACCGGTTACCAACTATCTCCTACTACCAGCACATGGCCTTTACCCAGTGATCGGCTGAACACTTAGTACGTCCCCGTCTCCACCATGAAGATAATCCACCTGCCAACCGAAAAACAATTAAAAGAAACACAAAGTCACAAGAATCCAAATATGTTAAAGTGCGACAAGCTTTGCCTGTGATACCCCTACCATAACTTATCCTTTTGGTGGCTCTTAGTATTTATCCCGATATATTTCAGAACGAGAACTAATCCTTCTGTACCCCATGGAGGTAAAAAGACCCTGAGTCATGCCAGGTTTGGCCCACGCCATCATACTCCAGATCCCCTTGCGCGTGCCATCCCTGAAGGCCAGCGGTTCGCAACATTTATGCTTCGCAAACTATCCTCAGCCCCGTCTGCGCAGGTCGGCACCATAACTTCCTGGATTTCCACGCAATACCCTGCGGACTCCCGGGTTATGATTGTGTTTCAACAGGTTATCCGGAAAACCTGGAATTCCGATCTGCGCAGGCCTTCTAGTCAAATATGGAAAACTTTCACCAAAACTCAATTCCTAACTCGCCCAACTTAAATGTAAATCACGCCCCGAGACGAAGTTATGTTTTTCTAGGTACGTGGTATGGCACCAGTGTAAAACACTTTGGTTAAAGAACCTCGAAGCCCGAAAACCAACAAGTATGTCTATAACTTGCATTAACAACCCTATGTTTATTTATATCCATACAAAATATTCACCTGTGAAAAAAAGATAAATATTCCAAAACTGTTGTGTTATCACAAAAACCCGTGTTCTTTTTGGAGTAATGGTTTCAGGATACCATCCAACAACTATTCGTAGCGACATGAACCAAAGCGATTCACCAATAAAACGGTCATCCCGCCTCCATTAGTCGCGTTCGTAGTCTAGTGGTATGAGATGCCCACCAGAATGATTAAGAAGTTTTTAAACTAGGAACATACTATACCATAAAGCCAACCATCAAGATTCTTGACGTGGTGGCCACCCAATTTTTTCCATTCACGATTTGCAAGGAAACTTGTTTCACGTTCCCTACTTTTAATACTCCCAATCCAATCCCATTAATTGATAAATATTTTCACCTGAAATTGTAATTACAATCCCACTAAGACTAATGCACGGACTATGCTCGTGGGAATGACGGGTTACAAACATCAGTGGGAAGAGAGTGGTTGACGGGGTTAGCTGGTCCTGAGCAAAACTATCCGTTGAAGTGGTAGTGCGACAGATACGTTGGTCTATAGACACAATGTATTTTATCACTACTATCCCGGACCTGTTGGAATCGATGTACTTTCCTTGTGAGCAAAGCATAGTATTATCTGCCCTGAACTTGTAACCAATTGGAGAAGAACCGTATTACGCAATAAATATGTAATAATTCATCAACAGTTTGGACCCACGGTTTCACCAACCCTTAACCTCCCGTGGTACGACCGTTGGTGGTTATACCGAACCAATAACTATCCTGAGGTTGCCCAGAACTCTGTGGGTATTTTGGCTAACAAGCTACTCCCTTGAATCGTGGCCATCTTGTTACAAAACTCTCCTATAAAGATAAACCTCTGGGACGGGGCACCAGACAGCTATCCAATTGGATGGTTTCAGAACTATCCAAAAGACAAGTACTGCGGATCGAGTTACCCAACTATCCGGTGGACGGTTCACAAACATTAGAGTCAGTGGACGCTTCAAACTATCCAGTTCCTGAAGAAGTTGCCAACTTATCCGGTACCTTCCCAGTGTGTGGTCACGCGTAGTTACCCCATTCTTACTTATCCCTCTATTTCTTCTGTGTGTGATACTTGAAACTTAAACTTTAAGAATTGGAATTTATTCATAATCTATCGTGTGGAGGTTTGTACAGAACATAGTGGCGGTCTTTCGGCCTAACGAGTGGAAGGGACGGTTACCAGACTATCGCGGTGGCACGGGTTTTATCAAATTCTATCAGCGAGAAACGTGGGAATTTTCCGTTGAAAAACTCATTCCTAAATCGAAAACGTGTTGTCCCAACGTATGCCTCACTATAACGAACAGATGTCCCAGTTCTTGCTGGATATCACAAGCGAGAAGCTCTTTGCAGAACCCATAAATCCCTGCTGGGACGGGTTGTCTCTAGACATAAAATTCCGTTCCGACGGTTGCAAACTATCCGCGTGGGAGAACGGTTGCCACTGACTATCCTGTGAAAAATGTGAAGCACGGTTGCAATGCCACTGATCCGGATGACCGTGTGAATGGTTACCAAAACTATAAACCAAAACAGGGATCAAAAGAATTGATAACCCACGAACTATCCAAATTGGTGATGGATTGTTACCAAGCTTAGTTCCTGGATCGGAATTGCGAGAGCACAATATACCTGATCATGCGAGCACACGAAATGTTACCAACTATCCGTGTAAACCGACGTTTCGGCGTTACAAACTATTCATGTGTGTGATCTGGAGTTGCAAACTAATCCTAATAAGACCTTTGAGCAGTTGCAAACCTATCCGTGAGACCTGTAATTATTGGCTTTAGTGGACATTGGAGTTTGCAACAACTAACATCAATTTGTGGTACTGGATTAAAACACACAACTTATTCTGTGGTACCCGGTTTATCTACACTTATCCGACATGGACGGTTGCAAACTATTCCGTGCGCATGGTTGCCCAACCTAACTCCGTCGACCGCGCTTGGCGCAAACCTATCCGTGGACGTTTACCTAAACTTTTCTAGTGGGAGCGGTTACCAACTATCCTACTTAAGGAAGCCTACTCGTTTGCAACAACCAAACTATCGGAGGGGGCATTAACGGGACGGTTGCAAAACTATCCGTGGACGGTTGCCAACTAGTCTGTGGACGGTTGCCAAGAACTATCCATGTATCCGTGGACGGGTTGCCAACTATCAGTGGACCGGCGTTCTGCAAAACTAGTCCTGACGTGGACCGCGTTGCCCAACCTATCCGTGGCGATGGGTTGCAAACTTCTATGTGGACGGTTACAAAACTATCCCGTGAACGGGTTTACCAAACTGATCCGTGGAACGGTTACACCAACCACATCCTCTGGACAGTTACCAACTATTAACGTGGATGGCTCAGAAATCTGTACTCCCTGGCATGGTTGCCAAACTATAACGTGGACGGTTGGCAAAACTATCCGGTGGACGGCCTTACAAACTATCCAGACATGGTGGGCACGCTGTTACCAAACTATCCGTGGCATTCGGTTACCAAACTATCGTGGACGGTTATCCAACTATCCGTGGGACGGTTAACCCAACTATCCCTGCGATGGTTGCCATCACTATCAGTGCGAAACGGTTCAATTGGCAAGTAACTAAATTTTCCCCTGTGGGGAACCACGAGCTATGCCAGAACATAACCTACCCGGTGGACGTGGTTGAAGACAATACTATCGATAGTTGCTGGACGGTATTGACAACAGTCTTATCCAAGGGACAGGTTAAAACCAACTATCCGTGTGGTGGTTCACAGATTGATCCACACTATTCCGGTGGAGAGTGTTGTCAATTCTATCTTGTGTTTTGGTGTTTCACGTTGTTTCAAGAACAATATCTCTTGTGTAAGGACGAACGATATTTTACCAACACTATCCCAGCTGGTCGGGACGAGACACCATACATATCCAATGATGGGATGGTCACGAGACTACCCGATGGAACGTGGTTGCCAACTACTCCCTTTAATGAGTAATACAACGTTGCCAAAAACATAAGTTCCAAATTGGGCCACACGGTTCATACAACTTTCCCTGTTGTACGTGACCAACTATCTAGTCGGACGGTTGCTTAAACTAGGTTAATGTTGGCGTGACCGAGTGCAAACTATCCAAGTTGGAACATGTAACAGTTACAACTATCCGTGACGGTTACGCAACTATCCGTGGATGCGTTGCAGGAGCATCATTATCCGGGTAGTGGCACTCGGACCAACTATTCCAAGTTGCTTAAAAATACTTCCGCGTTTACAAACTATCATGATGTAGGTGATGTATCGCTTGCAAACTATCGTGGACGGGGTTCCAAACTTACCTCTGTATGTAGCCTATTTGGACTGATTGCAAACCATTAACCTAAGACTACCACAGAGTGTTTGAAGCTGTCAATTCGGTTACAAAACATTAGTACATCAACTGCAGCGATAATTAAATCGATTATAATCAAAGTCGAGGATTCGACGACAGTTATTGAGAACGTAATCCATTTCCAACCCTACTATCCTACTAATCAGGAGGTTCCACCAAAACTTGTTTCTGATTGTGGGATGAGTTTTCACAAGCGCGTGATTCTAGACTTTTTTGGTGTGTGCTTTAAAAACTGGTACCACACAAATCCGAAAGTAGGAATAGCTATACAGATCATGGTTCAAGACAGGTATTAACGAAATTGCAACTAACTCCTCAAAGTGGCTAGTGGACGACGAAAACGTCGGTCAATGGCCACTATCAAACTGAGCCAATCGTGCTGAGAGAGGACACGTGTTACAATACTATTTGCAAGATGGTTGAGTTATCCAAGAACAAAGCGCCTTGCAACTATCCTAGCAGAAGCGCAGCCTGCCATCCAGTTATTATTTACGATGACGTGTTTGAGGAAAAACCATACTACTAATGTCGCCGGCGACCGGTGGACAGCGTTGGCAACAAATTATCCGCTGTGTTGTAGATTGCGCCGATACTGCTAGCTCTTATGAGATTCCCATTTTACCTGTTTTAGAAGTTGCTTTTATTTTGACCGCTCGGGAACGTTTTACCTTCATGGTGATAACTCGAGTCCATCCTGTCTTGTGGGGTTTACGTTCCTCTGTTGAGAAACTAGGGTGCAGATTTTGAACGTTTGTCTAGGTGCCGAGCTCAACTAGTCGTACCCGTCCGTTACCAACTGATACCGGTAGACTAGGAGTCGGTAGGTTAGGTGGCTACCCGGGAACCTGAAAGGCAAAAGCGGCCAAGAAAAAAGCAAAAAATTGACAAAGGCCAAGTTTTCCAGTGAAGGATTAAATATACCTAACTTAACGCAGATATTCTCCAAATTCCTGTTTGTTATTATCTTAAAAAAGAGAGTATCTGGTGTATATTAGTTCCTGTACGTGTTTCGTCCAAACTCCAATAGTCCTCCTATGGACTGTGTGGCGTGTACACAGGGAGTCCGGAAATTTAAATAAAGCGACAAAAGACTGATGAATTGGCGGATCGGGGGGACGGCACTGTGGGGCGACTCGGTTACATTAAACTGTAGTCTCGCAATACCAACCCTGCGCCAGTGGGACGGAATTTTGGTTACTCTTACCACCACCTATCCCGTGTGACGCAAAATATGATTAACCCAAGACATACGGGGATTCAGTGGAGATGTTTAAACATCGAAACTTATCCCGTTCTTCTAATTCGTTTGAAAGGGAGTAGCACGAACGGCGATCCAAACATATGAACAAATGATTAAACAATATAATTGAAGATCATTCCACCTTGGGTTGGCCGAAACTCATCCATTATTTCGTGGTTAACCTGCGTACCAACGAAAACACTATCCATACCATGGGTAAGACAAAGCTTTACCCCAAAAACACCGAGTAAACATTGGGCGGGCCTGTCTCGCCCCCCCGTTACAGCCGTTACCCGTAACTATCGTGTGGGATGAGTACCAACACGACTATCGTCGGAGTCTGCGTTGCAAGACTACTCATGCCGTGGACGTTTTACAACACCTACCTCATTGTCGGTCCCACCTAAATCACCCGGGTTGCAAAGCATTATGCCCCGGTGCGCTCGCTTTGCTCCCATACGGTTCGAGAGCCAACTACCCTTGTACATCCCTTTACTGGTGGGCTTATCCCAAAAGTCCTCGACTGGGTTGCTGAGGAAAATATATCAACCGCAGACGGTTCCTAAGCCTTGCCACTCTTAAATTATCCGCTTAGGCTAGATAATGATTATACAAAGGACAGGGCATATTAGTGTTCCAACTTATTTAACAGACTCTAATCCTGAGCTTGTGTGGTGTACTTTTACATTTCCCTGTTACGTTTACAAGTCCTTGGTTATAAAGGATTATACCAACTATTAGGCCCTTTGGCTTGTCGCAAACTTATAATCACGCCACTTTGTTTTCCTTAGGCTTATAAACTGTAACATCATGAATGACGCTGCAGTCCAATATTACCACTGTACCCATCCATTCACGACCCATAAGGAAACCGCAAACCTCTCGAGAAATAAAGTACCACCAAAAGATAGCCCAAGATTTCTATAAAGAGATATCATATCTTCTTATCTTGGTACCGCAATTTTACACGTTAAAAAACCGGAATTTCCTCCCCGTTGTCTCACTTAACCAGAATTAAGATTTGTGGCGACGGGTGTTAAGGTGCAACATACGATGGGAAGTGGTAACAAAACTCCACGTTAGTATCTTCGATGCCCCCAACGCCCCCACACCCCCAAAATGCCCATGTTGCTTTTATCCGTCCCTGTAAAGCCACAGTCAATAGACTATGGTAAAACAGAACATATATACACAATACTTTACTCCTTTTGTTTAAGATAATAACAAAGCAGAATTGAGAATATCGGCTTAATAGTGTTATATTTAATTCTGAAAACTTGCCTTTGTCAATTTTCTTTTTTTTGCCTTTTGCCTTTCAGGTTTCGTAGCCCCAACCCCCTCACCTTCGGTAAAAGTGACTCGTAATGAAAACATTCAAAATCTGCACCCTATTCTCTACAGAGGAACGTAAAGAAAACAATGCGGGAAAGAGGAACGCTTTCAAGTGGGAAAAAAAACATTCTTAAACAGGTAAAATGGGAATTCATAAGAGCTTAGCATATCGCAATCTAAAAGGCAATTTTTTCTAACTCAAATGAATACTGATGGTCTTCTAAGCTTCCTTGGAGTATACTCTAGTCCAGTCTTTGTTAGCATTTCTTTCAGAAGCACGTTCTCTTGCAGTTTAGTTTCCATTGGTAATGGTTCATTGCTATTCTTATTTAACAAAAAAAGTCTACCCTCACATGATGTATAAGTTAAGATAGCTCTCAATTACTTGCGAATCTGTGATAATAATCGATTAATACTGCAGGTTGATTTCATGTAATAAGCTTAATCGTGTATTTAAGCACAATGCCTAACAAATACCGAACATATCATCGAAAAATACTAGGCATCGCTACCTTTAATCTTCAGCAAAATTCTACTTGTAATTACTTTTTAAACAGCCTTTTAGTCGCACTGAATTTAAAAATTGCTTTGAAAAAAAACAAACATTTTGAAACACATTTCTTAGCGTAGAGTTTTCGATCTATGTTCTAACGTTTTATGCTCTTAAAAGTGTCAGACGAAAAGTTTTAGTAGCATGTTTCAAAATGTTTGCTTTTTCAAAGCAAATAGCAGCTCACTTGGATGCAGAGATAATCAAAGCAAATGCGATAATGCTTCATCCTTCAACTGACAATCTTATTATTTTATATGCAGGTCTCTCGAAAACCTATTATACAAGCAGGTCTCTCGAAATTTTCACAGTTGCAAGTTTGCTGGATATGAAACGTTGGTGAACACTCTTTCGTTAAGAGCAGATTTTTAAGCGAAATTTCTCAAAACCCCTTCATTGCGAACCCTTTTAACCAGAAAATCTTTAAAGTTTCAATCAATATCAAGCACGAGAAATAAGAGAAATAAAGTAAAACTGAAGGTACCTTGAACCGCCCTGTCTGCTTCGCGAGTTGTTATAAAGAGGAATCAAACTGAGGCAATAACAAATTGACTATATTTGTATAGAGCACCTGTAGTGGTCATTTATTCTTTACAATACGAGCTTTCATGGTACAATAGCAATACTTCAGGAGTATTGGAGTTCGCGGAAATACATTTTTTATCAACTTCCCTATAGGACCCTACCCACCACTCTCCCATCGAGCATAGTCCGTGCAGTAGGCTATGATTGTAATTACAATTCAGGAAAAGTATTTCAATTAATGGATTTGAAAAAAATGAATGAACAATTCTTCAATGAATGAAAAATTGTGCCACAGAATGCTTTAATTTGCTTTATTGTTGCATTTAAATTCTTAATTCTGTGGCATCTCATAAGATATGAAAGCGATATGAGCGCTTATGTATGCTTGTATCGTTTGAGTCTAAAATACTAAACGTTTTACAAATTTGAATATTTTTTATTATTTTACATATAATACGGTTTTAATGCAAGTTAAGAATCTTTGTCTTTCGCGTCTTTAACCAAAGTGTTTTAACTGTGCCATACTAAAAACATACTTTCGTCTCGGTGTTTACATTTAATGGGCATTTTTTCTTCTAAAGCCGAAAATCCGGTCCAGAAAATCATCCGCGTATCGGATCAGAATTTGTGCTGCGCACGCGCCTTCGATGCGCAAGTCGCATGTGCCATCGTCTTTTTACTCTGGTACATACGATATACAAAGAAAAAGGTACACATTTAATTTTGCTTTTTTCTTTTAATTTTTCGTGGCACTGGAACTAAGTGTTTAGGTCACTAAAAAATTGGTCATTTACGTCAAAATGTATCTTTTGCTTTCATTGAATTATGTAACTGATGTAATTTTAATCCAAAACGGCCTCTGATTCAAGCTAAACATAGCATAACAACTCTATCCAATCCGGTATGCCTATCCGATCCGGCACGCCTATCCGATCCGGTATGCCTATCCGATCCGGTACGCTTATCCGTTCCGGTACGCAAATCACTTTCAGAGTGAGCTTTCGGCGTTTATATTTGCAATTAAGCCTCCTTGAGCTCTATGACATCCGTTTAAGCCACTCTTAAACTTTATCGTCCCTTTTTCTTCTAAGCAAGTTCAAATTACTTCGCTTTTGATACTGAAAAGAAACAAAATTCATTTTAGAATTTATAGCTTCCAGAATGTCGCCTTATGATCATGACAGAATCTGTTGGCTATTACAATTAATTTTAACTTTTACTGTTTACGTTGAACATTTTTCCTTCTTGCTTTTATAACTCTGAAAAAACTTTTATAACTCTTTCCTAGATTATCTAACTTGATGATGATGGAGTTAACAGAAAGCTCTGTACTGTGCAGGTTTGTATCTACTTTCGATTAACAGTTGCATTTTTCCGTTCGGGAAGAGCCATTGCTGTTTTGATTAACTGACATCTTAGAGAATTTTTCATTGGGTGATCGTTTTACATGATTAGAAACTTGTTAGTTGTAGAGAAAAAATATAGTACCTCTAGATAATCTATTTGGAGCTGTCGAAACTGTTTTCTTTCGTTGAGGAACTGTAATCGTTGAATGTAAATAATGATACTGAAAGGAATATTGAAAATTAGTTGAATTAGACGTAGACGTAGTTGAATTGAGGGTGGGTGAAATTAAAATGTGGTGGAAAAATTTAAACATAATGGAGTAAGAGGAACAGCAAAAGGAGAATGAAAATATTATTATTTCTTGAAAATAGATGGGGGCGAAGTAAAATTAAAAAATATCATTATAAAGATTCAGTATATTATCTAATGTTTAAGATTAACTGTTATACATGCAGCTATATTTTCTTGGATTTTCACGCAGTAAGCAAAGATTTCTTTCAGCTCCAAGTTTGCATTAAACAAAAACCAAGCTTTTATCTTTGACGGAAAAGCAAAAAAAATATGCTGCATAACATTTTTTTCTAAATCTTTTGTTTTTATGCAGAAAAGTGATATCATATCTAAATACTTCACCTCATGATCAATATTGCTGGAAAAACTGCAGTGGATGTGATCCAATTGGCTAAGATGGAGAGCCAGTTTGGTAAACTACTTTTGCCTTCTTCGAGCACTTGCAGCGGTGGTTTGTCACCGAAAGGACCACACGGCATTTTAGCTATGGTGCCGTTTGAATAGCTTGTCGTTAGCGTACTAATCATTACGTATTTTCTGAAAGGCAAAGCAAGTGTTATTGAAACGGTGCTGATTCAATCTGCATAAGAAGAAATCTTTTAATCTTGTTTGAGAGAAAATAGGGATAAATAGAGAGGGGCCTAAATAGAGATCTTATAGCAAAAAAACCCTCATAGCAGACTTACAAAAGGGCAAAACTTTGTTAAACAAGGCACCAAAAGTTTGTGCATATCGAAGTAACTGGTATTTACCTAGTATTTCTAATCAATTTTGTTGTAAAGGTATTGTGATGTTGTATTAAAATTGCATAATATTAATTTCAGAAAGCACTGAGGCACGATGTTGGACTTACGATGCAAAAACGGTGCTAATTGGAACAAGCAGGCACAGCAAAGAGAAAATCAGGCATCCTTTGAAGAACAGGATTCCTTCCGTTTGCTTAAATCTTTTGGATGGGGCCTTGCACGTAACCAAAATGATGACATAGTTAACGATGAAGACCAGACACTGAGCCAATATGCCGAGAAGTGGGAGAACTGGGCAGAAGAACGTGCCTGCCCAAATCAGGGCCTGACGATAAACTATTTGGAGAACAACTTTTGAAACATCTGGTTCCTTTTTTCTTTTGCCTCTTATCAGGTATAGACCAAACTTGGATGACACTTGAACAATGGTCTCAAAAAGAAACAAATGATTCAATATTTTTGATAGTGATTTTGGTTTAAAAGTAAAAATATATCGATCATATGTAATTTCTCTAAATACAAATCCGAGAAATAGCCTGCAAAATTAGCATTTATCTATTGCATTAGGTTAAAATAATCAAAATAATCAAAAATAAATCAGTCCGTCTAGCAGTTAATAACTGATTGTTAATTAATAGGTCACAAAATTTTGCTACATTGATGAAAGCCAGATCATTCTTGATTCCAAAATAAATTGACTCCCATTCTTATTGATTTAAAAAAAGATTTAAACCCTGAAATGCTTTAGGGCTTCCATTTATGTATTTTTGGATGCTGTACTTACGTATTTCAGGAAAGCAACACAATGACCGAGGCTATTTCAAATGAAATGAAAAATCTGAGTGAAACTTATATTCAGTAAATGAAAGTATTTGTAAAAGTACCACAACTGCAATGTCAAGAAGTATGATCTTGTAGAATTCTTGTCCAATGAAGGTGCCACCACAACCACGAAACGAGCTCTGTTGCAGTGTAATGAAAATGCTTTTGTTATGCATAGCAAGTCAAGTGTCAAGCAAAGTAAAACTGGCCGCTCAGGATTCAAATTCACAATATCTTAAGGCGATTCATAAAACCATAGAGATATAATCTTCCTTTTCTTTCCCTGCACCAGTGGGGAAAAATCTGTGAAATGCGAAAAGTTCGCGCGAAATACGTTATGGCGTGCTGGGATTTCTTGCGAAAAATTTCTCTGCGAAAAAAGTCAAAATGAGTTTAACTTTTTTCGCTTTTTGCTTGAGAAATCCTTCAGCAGCCAATCATAGAAATTTATTCGCATGAAGAATTTTGCAGCGAGATTTCGCAAGACTTTTTCTTTTTCAAGAATTAGGCTGTGACCATTATTGAATTAAGGACAACTCGACCTTTTAATACTACCATTTTCATTATAATTAGGGTTGCTTGAGCTTGATTTTTTGCATTGCATAAAAGAAACTGTACTGAATCTAAAACTAATCATTGCCAACTACTTTTGTGGCAAATGAACACACACACAAAAAACATGCGAAAATTCATTATTTTTTTATTAAACTAAGAATTGCCAATTTAGAGCAAAACCTCTTTGAACCCCAAACGTTCATTCATTTCTTTTCTTAAACACTACGTCTTTTGCCTTCCTCTCCCAAAAACAATAATGGTAGTTTAGATAGAAAGCTCCCAAAGAGAAGGGAGGATGCTTAAATTTGCCCATTTTAGTTTTATAAGATGACTATTGGCAGTGATAATTGCACAAAACTAGAATATACTGAGTGCGGAGCAAGATTAGAGAGCCCATGTGAGTATTTGTACTTCTCTCGGTAAATCTTTTGGCCAATGAAACAAAGTTATGAAAACCTTTCTCACAAAAGCAGTGAAAGAAGTCATAAGCTTAAATCTTTTTTAAGTAGAACAATTACTGTGATTTGTCTTGTCACCATTTCCCTGGATACATAGAAATACTATTTACATTTAAGGCTAATTTTCAAAAAACAGTTTGAGCACATACCGATGTGATCGTATCATAGAGCGTGAAAATGAGTGCAAATAAGTTAAGGAATCGCAGCATAAAAATCCTAAAATGAAATAGAGAGAGCTCAACATTGAATATCTAACTATTTTCTTTCAGTAATTTACCATATTTACTTAATATTTGCTAGTCGATTGTAAGTGAAGTCAAGTTCTGTATTTTTCAGTCTTCTTACATTGTGGAGAAAATATAAAAACTATTTATTCAGTATCATTTTAATGATGCTACCATTTTCTGAAACTATAAAGAAATTTTAACCAAATCTCAAGTAAATAGCCCAAAAAGCCTGATAGATTTTGAAAGATACCTACTGTGAATCAGCGAAATCTCAGGGTTAAACTTTAGTAATAATTTTCACAATGTCACACAGCAAAACTTTGGTCTGAGGATCAACCTGTCAACGTTAGTGACACCGGGGCACAATTTGCAGTGGGGGGGGGAAGGGGGGAGTTTAGGCAAATTTGCAAACTTTTATGGTAGTTTTTCCCCCATTATCTTTGATGCCTCTACCTGAATATCATAACTCAGCAAGAAAGTGAGGAAGCTATAGCCCCCAAGCCCCCAGCCCCCCAGCCCCCCAGCCCCCGGCTCCGGTGTGCCTGCTCGCTCAAGCTATAACATAATGGATGTTGATGAAGTAAACATATAATACATGCATACATAAAAAGAACGTTATTATAAATGATGTAAAGTACCTTATGACGTTTACGTAGATCACGTGCAGCCCGCTCTCGTATGACTCAATGAAGGTAAGCTAAAAAAATTGAACTGAATCTAATAGGAAATCAAAATCCAGACTTAATAATAGGAAAAACTAATAAGATTTTATTAAAAATTGACCTAGGTATTGAATGTCAATTTGAGGCAGTTTATTTGGCCTTTACACTGTATTTTAGTATCTTGCGTCATCTTAAAATCTGAAAACAAAAACAAAAAGATTAGAAGCTATAATATTAGAAAAGATCACCACCGTTGGCCTCCAAACCATCAGAAGCCCTGCTTAAGCAAAGAACATTGACTCGTCACGCTAAGCGAAATGACGAACTCAAGAACGAGTTGAAATTTTCGAAATCTTTGAGAGTTTTTTGAATAGGTAATGATAAAAAGGATGAAATTCAAAGAGCATTATACAAATTGTGTAAAAATTTATCAGTTTCTCCTCACAACTCATTTTCTTATCAGTTGTTTCCAAAATAATAATTAACATTTCTTCTAAATCTGGATGACCTTCTAGAATAAAAAGATGATATCAACCAGAATTTTAAATGCAGATAAAAAGGATGCAGACTGGTTTCTGAAATTTGATTGAGAAAAGCAGAAAGCCTGACTTGTGAACTTTATTCGTAGATGAATAAGTTGCATATTATGTTTAGCGAGTATTTTTGTTGAACAAGAATAAAGTGAGTTTTAAATGAAAAATACTAAATTGCAAGTAAGGATATAAAAGGATGCTTACTGCTTGTATAATGAGTGGTAAAACCGAATTTAGCAGCGCAAATAAAAGTGAAAACCCGTATACTTCTAGGAACGTTCTTCCAATCTTTGAAAAGAAAATTATTGATGTAAATACTAGTTAAATAGAAAGATAAACAAGCTTTTTGTTTTTACATTAAAAAAGATCTACAAACTCTCGTTAACTATAAATAATCAACTAGTCAAAAGCACGTTCAAAGAGTTTAACAAGGATAATCGACAATATTCTTCCCCATGTAAATTTAACTTCCCTATGTAAGGGAAGAATTTTTGGTACAGATACCTTAATATCAATCACCTTGAATATTTAAGCCTACTCATGTACGCCTGTATGCAAGGCCCAAGACGCCAATAGAAGCAGTGTTATCAAAAGAAAAAAACTTACCTGAACATTGGTATTGTTTATTATAACTTCAGCAACTGTGACTTTGACAAGAAAGAAGTAAATTGTCACACACGCACCGGCAGTTAGAGCTCTTGGAAAAATCAGATATAAACAGATCAGCAATTTAACGAGAGCAATTCAAAGCCAAGCAATTTTAAGGCTTAATGAGCGAATAAAGCATGTACGTCGCCATTGCATTTCAAAACCTACCCACTTAAAGTCCAAGCGAATGCTCTTCGCAAGTAGATAAAGCACTTCTGTCCTCTGAAAGAAAGATTATGCTTCACTTAGAAATAGAACCATTTAGAAAAGCCTTAAGCGAATAAATAGATAATGTGGTAAAAAGCAAATTTTCATTTCTTCAGCAATTTTCTTTAAGGATATTAAATTAAAGAGCTTCTCGTTAGAAAACTTGAAGTTTTAGCAAAGTTTGTTCACCTCTTTCTGGACATTTTCATGTTCAAAGCGTGTTCTTCTGACAGCAAATCCTGTAAAGTATCAGATTTTTATACTTGGTGTAGAAAGAAGAATATTCATTAAGACGTTTAGCCATTTCACAACTCTGCTTTTGTTCAGGTTACACACTGTCACCATGTAATAGATAGACCTTAGAATAGAAAATTTAACTAGACGCTTTATAGTAAATGCAGGGTCATTTGCTCAGCATTACAACCCTGTAGCACACGGTAGATCATAGTCTATGAAACACAGATGGAAAGTTGCTTGGTGGGAGTTTTAAAAGAATACCATAATGTGATAAACACGTAGTTGCTTATTGGTCACTCGATCTGTCTTCTAAAGATTTTGACCATTGGGCTCTGTACATGGCATGTTTTTTATCTTTATCGTTCAAAGGCTGTCTTCGTAAATCAGACATATTCAATTTCGAAGACTCTTCTTGAAAGACAAAAATGTTTTACTTTGACAACTGCACACGGCAGATTTCTGTTTTTCAAAGGCAAATGATAAAAATCTTTGTCTTTTAAAGGTGAAAATCTACCGTGTGTGGTGGGCTTGAGCAGTGTGCCCTTGCATGACGTGTTACGTACTTTTGCCTGGGTTATGATTCCTTTTGCGACACTTTTTACAGCTTGCTTTTCTGTCACTGAAAAGTCCCAGGAGGCCAAGACAAGCTTGCTAAAGGGATCAACATATTCCATCGTATTTGATTCAACGGCACTGAAAGAATAGCAATGGCGTCAATCCAAAGATAAGGGTCAACACTGTTGAATCAAACAATTAAATGCAAAGATTCTTCAAAAATGCAGTATGTGGAATCTGGGACTGTAGATGGGAACTATTCTGGACAAACAGGATGAAGTTCCAGCTATTTGATGTGTAGCTTTTGAAAAAGAAGTAACCACTATGCACATGTGTTTATGAGCAAAAATGATTTAAATCGCATCTTTCTTTTGAGAATATGGTTAAAGCGAACAGCCAAGAGAGCCCAAAAGGAACAGAAATGTATTTTAACAAATATGATGAGAAATTTACGCTTTTCATATTGTCTGACCTTTGTCCTTGTCAAATGAAAAGTTCATTAGGATATAATCGTCATATTAGATTAGCATTGAAAAAAAAACACTTACCTCTTCAAGATGACAAGCAAGCTGCCAAAGAACGTTAGCAGTCCTATGACTATGTAGGCATAGTCAATTCTGTAGCCGTTCATGTCTGATGGGTAGCTTCCATAGAACATCCAAGTATTTTGAAGCTTGCCCTACAGAAGATTGTAGGCAGTGGCTATCAAATGAAATCAATGACGACAAGATAGTCCGCAAATTGAGGATTGTGTAGTGTAAGCGATGGTAGAGTTAAAGCGCTTATAAATTTGCATTTAGAAAGGGACATGAAAACTCATTGTAACAGAACTGGAATCTGGATTTTAAGTATGAGAGAACGAAACAAAGAAAGAAATAGAAAAAAATTAACAAGCAAGGAAAATATAGTAAAGAAGAATGAAAAGCAAACAAAAAAAGCATGATAGAAAAATGAAAAATGAAGAAAATAGAGGAAATAATAAAGCAATAACTGAAAGATGAATTTGGCAAAACAGGGAAAAATTTGTAAATGAAAGTGACAGGGGAGAAGGGCGGAAAAGTGAAAAAGGATGAAGAAAGAATAAGAAAATATGACAATACAATGAATAAAGCATAGGAATAATTGAAGTAGAAGAAATGTAACAAATAATGTTACTAATCGCTATAGAATGAATCAATATTTGACTTTACCTTTCCATCAAACAGGTTAGAAACTTCAAATTTAATGTGAGCAATGGAGCTATAGTCGAACTTGATAGCGGCTGGAGTGACCAAAAATCCAACCCAAATAAGTGAAAGCATCACATTGAGAAGAATAGCCCAACGCGTAAACTTAAACACGGCTGCCACGCCACTTCCATATCCACCTTTTGGAAAAGAGAAATATTACAAATTATGACTTTCATTTATGCAGTCGTAGTATATTAACACAACAGGGAGTCTAGGCGCTGCTTTTAAGCAGACATGCAGTAGTCATTCGTTATTAAGTGTAGTAAGTGTTGGTTCTTCTATAAACATCCGTTTTTATAAGAAAATGAACAGAAAAGCTACCAGAAACGTCATAGGTACTGGAGTCAACATTACGTATTTTAATGTTCTTAGTAGATAATAAAGGCAGTGATAGCACTACCAAGATATTTCTGTCAAAAGTTAAGCTTACCTTCTATTCGCTTGATGTGTTTTCGTAAGAAAGGCACAAGATCACCATACTTGAATCTCAAAAAGTCCATTCTCCGCTACAAAATGACAAGTAAACATTTTTAGGAGGACAAGCATGGCACATCCATCTGGAGGGAAAATAGCATCAAAACTTTGGCAAGGAAAAATAGGTATCAACCAAATGAAGTGAAAAATAAAGAAAGGAATGAAGATTAAATATGCAAAACATCAATATAAAGAAAAAACAGCAACAGCAGCAACAAGCATAAACAAAAACAACATCAGAATAAACAAAAACTTCCAAAAAACGATACAAATATTAACAGGAATGCATTGTAGCGTTGCTGGGTCTTCTATTGTTTTATTTTGGACAACAAGCATGGTTGAAAATCAAGGTTTATAACAGCAACAGTTTCTTTTGTGTTTGTTACGTACAGAGTCGCAAAGTATTTACCTTAATTGATGCAAAGCAACTGCCACTGCGATTGTTGAATTCTGACCAATACTTTCTGAAAAAACATATGTAAATCGTCGTTTCAAATAAGCTTCATATAAAAAGTTTAAACATTTCACAATATTGGAATAGTTCTGATCAAATATGAAACTCGGTAAACATACTTTTTGTGAAAGGACATTTTGGTGTCTTTCTTCTGCAAAGTATCTTCTGGATCAAATATTTCATATTCACCATTGCGAATTATTAGCTGCGGCGATAGTCTTCCTTCTTCCGGATGTACATTCCTTCTTTGTCTATTCAAATGTCGCATGAAAAGTCGGACTCCAGACTGATTTTGTTTCACGGCCTGCAAATAAGGTTTATCAACAAGGCTAAGAGTTCACAACTACAATAGTTAGCAGACCATACGATAATCGCTAGTAGCAGATAAAACTAATTGGAAAAACCCACCAAACTAAATCTTGTCTATGGTCTATGCTTTTTATTTTTGTTTCCGAATTCTAGCCACCATTTCCACAGCTTACAAATAAAAAGAGTTTTGAAGTAAATATGGTCACTTTGAAATTGAAAGAGCACATTTTGACTCAAAGGTTGCTTTTTCAATTTTTCTAAAAAGTCAAAGAGCATATTCTTCAGATGTCCTTCTAAAAGCTAATTCTACGAATAGAAACTTGCATTTTCTGGCTCCAAAATTTTATTGAGATTTCTAAAGCGACCTTTGACTTTTCATCAATCAAAATCAAGAAATTTTTTATAAACATATACAGGCGAAGCCAACCTTCAATATTGACCTTAGATTGATCCAGTGAACAAAATTAGTACCCCTATGTTAATTCAAAGTTGCTGCATGCAAGAAAAATGGATGAATAGATTAATTAAATAATTCGTGAATATTAAGATCTCACCAGAGATGACTCAGGAGTATTTGAGATGATTTTTGTTCTAGGCAGACTACGAGTTGAGCTGCTGAAAATAGACAAAATATCTGATAAATACTTACATTGGTTACTATTTTAGTAATGATGCAATTTATCTTCTTATTTCTTCAACAGATACAGGGTAAGTGGAATTCTTGATAACAGGGTGCCATTAAATAACAGATGGCCTTCTTTGTCAAATAATAAGATAGATAGATGAACAGATGAATAAATAATGAAATAATTATAAACAAAGAAGTTCATGAATAGATAAAATAATAAATATATTTTTGAAACAAGTTCTAACAAGTGCTAAATGATCACAATAATTGCAAAATTGGAGTTGTCACTAAGACTGAAACCAACACTTTCACAGCCCTGCCTATATAACATGGATCACTATAAAACAAACCCGTAAAGCAGAAAATGTCAGAAATACATCTAAAATCAAAACGCAATCTTTGAGAAAGTGACATATCCACTCCAGTCTATCCCGTGGCGCTGCCCCTGGCCCCTTGGATGCATCAATTTTGCCAATTCATTTTGCTTCGGAATCGCAATTGAAGAATATAGCAAACCTGTTACTAGTACTCTCAGTCTGGTGCTCTGCGTCTGTTATTGCAGCCACATTGATTGTTGTTTGTTTCTCATAGCTTTTCATTTGGACATCCATTTTGAAACTGCGATTCTTCTTGTGCTTAGCAAACTTTTCTGTCTTTCTTTAGCAGAATTAATAGTATTATAGAAAGTTGCAATTGCTGCATGAATTGAGAGTGATGTATTTTTTAATTCTTCATTGCTTTGAGAAAATTCTGTAGCTTATCAAAAATTCAAAAGTAAAGTACTAGTTTTAATTCAGATTGTATTTCCTGAATACATGTCTGAATGTACTGCCTGAATGCATACCACTAAACTTATTAAGCTAATTTTAACAATATCTTTCAGTGAGCAGTGTTATGCACCCACTTACAACAACAGTGTATTAAATTCGGTTTAAGAGTTGGGTAGCTTCGACCATCAGAGGCCAGAAATACGGCGTACTATTGTTTAAACCTAGACATTTAAGAAACGAATAATTTCCTTCGCCAAATTGCCCAGCATCTATTTATTCATATCTGATTACTATCAATTAGTACTGAAACGTCTTGATGGCAGCCTTGAATTGGACTTTATCAAATAACATTTCAAGAATAACAAGATAATCCCTTGATCCCCAAGCTATTGCACAAATACCTTTTCAAATGTCCTTTCCTTGCAAACAACTTTTTGGCAAGTAACAGAGGAAATGTTCTGAATCTACATTGGTTACAAGCACCAAATTTTGTGAGATTTGTTTACAACCCAAAATGGAAACCATGGAAAATCCACCTGCCCATGCAACGAACAATGCCATACCACACAAAGTGCTCGCAATGTGTAATGGGCATTGTTTTACGAATTCATGGTCTCTGTGTTCAGCTCTGAACGTCTCATTGAGTGGAATGGTTTTCGCGCCAACAACAATGTTTGAAGAAATTTAATAGATCAGCGAGAATTGTGTTACCAAGTTAAACTGCACAATCATCACTTGCATGAGATTTATAAACATGGCAAAACATAGCGATTTACAAGATATATAGAATTTGATGCTCCATCTTACATAAAATCGTTAGTAACAATAAATCGATGAACATTCTATCAATCTATTGTATGTTTTGTATAGATAAACTCTGATTATGGCAAAATTTATTTGATTAATAGGAACTCTCTTTTCGCCCTTGAATAACCTGACATTCGTGCCTTGGAGAATCAATTGCTTCACTTTCATTAACAATGAACAGTGGACTTTTTTAAAAAGTGCAGCATGTTACGTTGTATGGTGATGGAGAATATATCTCATTTAAAACTGTCACCAAGTAAAAATCTCTATGGCATAATGTAAGTTATAAATTTTTAGGTAAAAGCAAGGTCTAGATTTACAAGGTTTGGTAAGTCAACCCAGAGAGAAATTCGGGTCACTATTGTTAATAACATTCCTTTATGATCATTTCAATTTCCAATTCGTTAAGCAACTAACTACTCCAGACTACCCTCTGTATAAATACATCGGTGTATTGTATGTTATAGGTTAGCTGATTGGGATAATGAAAAAGCCTAAAAGGGCTATAGAATCAAGTACTCCCAGCGTTATCAATAGAAATATTTGAAGATTGATCAGCTAAAACAGTAGGAATAAAATTCCATGGAATATATTTGTTCAAGGAACAGAAAGATTGGAATAGTTATATAAACAGAAAAAATAAATTGTTTCCGTAATGTAATATTAGAAGTTATTTGCATTACTTTGAAGCCATACCCAAATACTCTCAAGACACCAATAGCCCACTATCTGACCTTCTGTACAGCGGGGGTCTGGTACCCTAATTGTAAGGCGGCTCTCAAGCCGTAAGAGCCCGGATGAGAGTGAGGTTGAGTGACCACACCCTCTGAAAAAAACCTTAATTTTTATTTCATTTGAAAACAAGTTATCAGTTAATCGATTTTCTGGTAGTATTTGTATGCAGTTTTGCACATTTTTACTTTGTGTGAATCAGTTAAACGTCCTAGTTGTGTCTTTGTACCGTGTTTATCAGAATTTTTAACAGAATTTTTGATCCGTTTTGATTACCCTAATTGTGGAGCGTAGGTGTAAAGGCTCCAGTGACGTAGCATGAGCGCGGTGCTTAGGCATACGGTAGCATAAAACATACGGCTATGTTGAATGAATGTAATCGTTATTTCAGCTTCTTTAAAATACAAGTTGTAATTAATGATAATCGTGATAATAAATTTTGATTTTGAAAATAACAAATTAATTGATTCTTATTCTAGTCAGCCAAGGTGTCTATTCTCTGCATCAGGGGCTCTGAAGCACGTTGGAAAGTGAAGTGAACCAAGGGAAAAATTATAACCCATGCGAAAAGTTCTTGAAAAAAGCTTAGTTGTTTTGCAAAAATTTTCAAAATAACTCCTAGTGCTAAAACTGTTTCACAGAATATCTTATTCATATTCATATTCGTCAAGAAAAGGCATCACCTAATGCCCACCTAATGTAAAAATTATTATATGTTCTAATGCATCTGGGAATTCCCGTTAGGAGGAGCTCTTTGCAGAGCAGAGCAAGAGCGAACAGGAGCAAAAGTTTCTGCTCATTTTTAACTCTACCAGTTAACAAAGATGACAATAAAGAGCTGCGAGAGTTGTTTGAATTGAAGATACTTTCATGTGTAATGGTTTCAGAAAATTTTTCCTTGCAAATCATCAACTATTTGGCAAGGCTTGCGCTCAGGTCTACCGCATGCCCTGGTCCGTAAATCCTGACTATACTGACAAGCCTTCCGACTTGGATTACGGAATGCAGATCATGACAAATAGACTTTGATCCCGCTTTGATGAAATTTTTTCTCTTTTTAACATTCACAAAATAAAGAAAGAAAAATAATTAGATTTGAAATGAGGTATCACGCAAAAAAACATTTGCAAAAAGCAGAAAAATGTTGTGGATTATTAAATATTTGGGATTGCTTGCGCTAAGGCTGACCGCAAGCTCCAGTCCGGAAATTTCTCATTTCTCTCAGAAGCTTCTCTCGAGCTGCACTGAAGCTGCACTGGAGCATCGCATGTTTCTCTTATTTCAGGCAGGCAAAAAGAGTGATGTGGAGAGGCTTCAGTTTGTCAGATTTTTCGAATTTCACAATTTTTGGCGATCTGTTTACTTGGAAAAAATAGTTAATTGGTATGTTTGCGCTGGAGTTCACTGCATGCTGCATATGACCAGAAAGAATAGCCGTTCATTGCGGAAAATGTTTGCATTGACTTCAACACTACAATGTGTTTATTACCGGTAGAAGTGTTGCAAGAATTTTAGAAATTGTTTAGAATGTTTTACGCTTGCGCCGCAAGCTTAGCATACATGGACGCTACGCCACTGAAAGGCTCATTACTTGAAAGATGCTGCAGAAAAGCTAGATCGAACTACAGAGAAACATCGTTTTTGACAAATACATGCAAAGTATTAGGAGGCGTTATGAATAGTCCACTGACATGATTAAGTGAAACAAATGTTGTGGAGACAACTTGAGGATTTTCACGAAAAGTGGTTTGCATTACTTTCAAAGATCGTAAGCTAAAACCACTCGCAGACAAACAGGCATCCTGTATTATGAGCGTGTTTTTAAATTACAATGTAAGAGCCGAAAACTTTAAACCATGTCGATTTTTAAAAGGCATTTGACATAATTTTTCTTTTGAAGATGCGCAAAATGGGGCGACCAATTTAGATACACATATGCTGTATAGCAAAAGTAGAGAGGGGAAATAAGACGGTTGGATGCAAGACAGAATATAAAACAGGGATGGGCGTTCGGCCCACGATTGTTGAAACTCATGTCACTTTTCTTATGGTATTGTAATGTCTGGTGATTCAATGTGCGACTTGCAGTGACCCTCAATTTTACTAAATATTGTTAATGTTGTTGATATTTGTTATCAAATTTAGCATTAATGATTGTTATAATTTGTGTGGTTTAATTATTTGTTGTAGATATCTCAGGCGAAAAAGAGAATGAAATCTATGAGAAGTTATCAACATCAATATTCTCAAACCTTTTGTGAAAAAGGCCCCGTCTTTGTCTTTGCTTTTAAAGCAAAGGGGAAGGGGTGGCGCTAGAATTCTCCGATGGAGGGACTTGATCTTCTGACAGGGGGGCTAGGCAATCGGAGAGAAAACATGGAATCCCAGTTGCAAAAAGACGCACAAATATTAAGATTATGATAGAACATGAATTTAACAAACAAGAAAGAGCAGCTTCTTAGAGTGGGATTAATATTTTTTGTGGAGGGCTTTTATAACAAAATGTCCCTAAGAAGACAAGACACAAATCAAAAAAGTTCTTTGTAGACCTTTTCCCTTGACTTTTCTATATTCTCAACGTTCATAACTTTTTGAGTGATAAAAATGACGTCATTTAATCGTTAAACTGAAAAGGAACCATTTTTACTTAAGTAGGTGAAGTCTTTGCTAGCTTGCAGATCATTGCTCGTGTCGCAAAAACAACAAGCACCTGAGTTACTACCTGAGTTGCGGTAAAAGGTGGGAAAATTTTCGTATTTTGCTGATTCCATTGCTGATTAAGTTTTCATTTAGAAAGAATTTATAACAGTACATTATCATGAAATAATTTAATCTGGTGCACTTGCGCTGGGCAAATGATCGCAAAAGTGCACGTTACTGTGGACCAGGAATGCAGAGAAAGGAATGCAGGCGTACAAGCAAGCGGAGGAGCATCGTGGTGTAACTGCAACCCCAAATATCTTTCTCGAGAAAAAGTTACTCCACTCTGACAGCTCAGATTGCAGTCTGCTAAATTGGAACTCTAACTTAAGGGATATAATGCTCCTCTTTTACATCTCCAATCAATTCACAATGGTCATAGTTGCGAAAAAGCTAACCTGCTATTTGTGTAGGCTTGCCAATAAATGTGACGTCACTTTACCAACCTGTGCAAATTCGCTGTTATATATTCATCTTTTTATCTAGTCGCTGTTATCGTGCTAACACGCTTTGTTAGGAAAGAGGGATTTTGATAGGATTTCAAATAAAAATTGAAAAATTTAAATAAACCAAGAAATTTCTTGCAAAATGCGTGGGAATTCTGCTTTGATGCGTGTGAGTGTAAGAAACGACCGAAATGCGTGTGTCTCACGCAAAATGCGTGTGTCTCACGCAAAATGCGTGTGACTTAGTAGGTCTGTTTTTTAGTTTGCCATTTGACAGTTAGAATCTTAACGTGCCGAAGAGTGAAGAAGATTAAATCGAAATGAAAAGGAAAACAATCGAATAAACCATCTACTAACATTGATTTTTTAATTAATGCCACCACCATGTTTGCCGAGTAAGTACCAAAATGCAAAATCTGCCGAGTTAAGAACATATTCAGAACTCTTGGGTGGATATCACCCGTATGAGGCACCGCGAAGCGTTGAGAAAAGTGGGGGATCTAAAAAAGTGCGGGGCTAAAAACGAATAAAAGGTGGCTTTACATGTGGTTCATTTCTTAATAATTTGCATTTTTAGCAATCAATGCTAAATTTTGCTAAATCACATTAAAGGACATGTGCCGGGAACATGATTGGCTAATTCAATACAATTATCTCTTTTGTTTAGTACAAAGCATGGAATCGAGGGTGAATTTTCACGGCAGTAAAAATTAATCAAGAAGAAATTAAAGTCACGAAACAATGGAATTCCACTCCAAACGCTTTTGTTTTATTAGCCAACTGCTAATGCGACATAATATGTGTGTGTATATCAGATGTGCTTTAGCAAAATTTACAACTTGAAAGCACAAAAATTCATGTTGCATGCACAAACTCTTGAATGTGCTTTCACATTTTTTTAAAACTGCATGCAAATAAATTAATGACTTTTTGTCGCAAAGGCGCGTCATAATAAACATACAATATCATCAAGGTATAGTAGACGTTTAATTATATAAGCTTGCCCGGTTAAATGGGCTGACAATAATCATTCGTCCATTGATCTGTAAATTTTGGATTTTGTTGAGTTTGTTTGTAATTCTAGAAAATATATGAAGTGATTCACCAGTGAGCCCAAACTCACTCCTTATTGGAGTTTGTTAAGAACACATTGGCGGTATTCCTGAAAATATTTTTGACAGTTTTGTTTAGAAATCAAATCTATGATCTATTCTTCGTTCGCGCTAAAAATAGCGTACAGCCAGCATTAACCTTACACATGGTGTGGAATATTTACAAGACCTTCAGTTTAAACGCTGTGTCACCTAGGGAGATTTCAGCCAATCAGTGGAGAGTATACGTATATACAATCCAAGCTTACATCCGGGACATTGTGATAGCATGGCGGATCGTTCTTTCTGATGAAAAATCCATGCTGCGTAGAATTTTGGAATATCTCAAGCAACACACGTCTCGGCATTTGATTCTTTGCACCAGTAACGTTGCAATATGAATGATAGCATGATAAAAACCTTTTAGTTTTACTGAGTCGAACTGCACTCAAGAAGCCGCCGGGAAGCCACTGGTAATATTAGTGAAACAATGGAGAAACTGACTGACTGCCGATTAGGGCCTAACTCAACTCGTTCCTTGCCTGTGTTCCTTGCTTAGTGTGGTTAAGCTGTGCAGTTGGTGAATTATTCTTTGTGGCTGGAAACAGCCATCGGCTAATTTACTGCAATTTTTAGTTAAAGGTGAGTGTAAGTGAAATTTTCCGTATGTCAGTTGATGTTAAAGCAACCCACACACCAGTGACCAATCGTAGTTTGTTTGCCAGTGTTCAAGATACCGATTCTTACTCGGTGACAATTTATTGGCTCCAGGGAGTTTGTAGATTTTGTTTCATCCTTTTATTCTTACGTTTGAATTTAAAGAATAATATGTCAAAAGCAAGAAAATTTCGACAGCTTTTCGAAAGTCTAATATCGTTCCTCTTGCTTGTTCCATCGTGAGTGATCTGGGGTCAAATAAAAATGCCTAATTCGTCCTCATATTTTTCAACATTAAATGTAATTTCTTGGAAAAAGGTCAGCTTAAGTTATTGACTATTTTGTAAGCATATTGGAACAAAGTAGTTATAGCATGGTAGCTAAAACCTAGTTGCATAGCAGCATTCAGCGTTATCAATTGAAGTCTTTTGTTGACCACCTCTTCTTATAAACATTTGGATCTCTACAACATCTGGATCTCGACAGAAAGACGTTCCCAGCACGTCAGTGTTCTGTAAAATGATGCTGCAATCCAACAGCTAAATTTTGGCCCAACTCATCATTTTTGCTGGTATTTCTTATATGATTTCTTCTGTTTCTACCAGTGTGCATTTAATCAGTGCCTCCCCGCCATTTCTTTGGCCAATTTCAAGCGCTTTACTCGTTGGGAGTCCATTCATAATATTTTACTGTGCAGCTTTTTTTCACTACACTTTACTTTGGAAATCACAATATTTGTTTTTTTCAGTTTTCCAATCTATTTTTGACTTGATACAACCATTTAGTCCACACTAGATAAAAATGGGTGGCCATGAAGGCGTGATATTTATTATGGTCTGCCACCATTTTGTAAACTTTTGACGCCATTTTTATTTTCCGCTCAATCAATTCAGCACCGCTCTTCGGTTAGCTGAGTATTTGCAAAAACGACTTAGACTGTTTCGAAAAACGGTTGACTATAATTCAATGTCCCGTGTTGGTACCTAATTTTGCAGTAGAAAAAGTAATTGCAAGTCCTGCACATTATTCAATCGAATAAACGTAGAAAACCAGTTTTATTCTCCCTCGTTTGTCAATCAAAGTTTGAATGTGATTCTAAAAACCCTACGCAAGGTACATGACAAAAATGGCGTGGTTCTACAAAAGCCTCATGACATTAGCAGCTATTCAAGTATTATTTATGGGAAATGTTTCTATCCGTTAGCTTTAAAAAGGTTCACTTTAGCGAGTTAGCTTATTTTAAATGGCGCTTTAAGTGTAGTCACGGAAAGTATTGTACTTTTTTGCCTTAGGATTTTTGACGCGATTTTCGAAACGGCTTTAATTGATAGTCAAATCATGCCACCCTAGCTCCAAATATGTAACCTATTCTGCAAAAAGCCATGTGGTCACCTTGATGTGACACTGTTGTCCATGGCATCTTTTGTGGTAGCTTTATTGTCACCAATTTGGTAAATATTGTAAAATGTTGATAAAAATTTGGGAATTGACATTGGGAATTTACTGTTTAGAAGTTTTTTGTATTCTAATATTTTATTTTGAGAACTAACCATTAACTGTAATTCTAAGTCATTCTTTAAGACCATCTCTAGTTCTGTGTTGCTATTTGAGATCTTTGATATTTTGAATGAAGTTTGTTTTTAATTAATATTTTGTATTTTAGAAAAGTAGGTTTATAATTTTGAATATTGCCTATGCTGCTTTTGGATCATCAGTTCATAGTGCCACAAATTCTATAAACTCCATAGAGCCACATGTTTATTTTCAGGTGACAAACAGTATATGAGGAGGTTTATTTGAGAGAAGTCATGCAAAACAATGATGTATTTTGAAACCTTGAAAACTACTTCAGATGAAAAGTTTTCTTCTTTGAGAACTGTCTCTTTCTAGAATTGTTTGTTGTTAATTTGCATCATGATTGTGGTGAACAATTTAAGTGGTTTTCAAAGTTGGTGAACTTCAGAGCAATTTATAAATACATAAGTAAAACATTTTCTTTTTACTGAAAATATCCAAAAGCATTTTTTAGCAATTAGACTCAAAATTTTGCATCTGGCTAAATAACTTTATTTTTGCAAGAGGATATAATATTTTGAAATTTGAATTGAAAATTAATTTCTATAGGCAAAATCTTAAAATAATCAAGAAATTCATGAAACAATGTACTACTTCTAGTCATCTTTCCCTCAGTTTAAAAGGATTTTTATTTTTGGAAATGTCTCATGTCTGAAGGAGCAATATTCTTCTGTTGTTAAAGTATAATTTGATACAGAATAATGGAAGCTGCTTTGTTTTTAAACCATAATTGTGTATCTAATATGACATAATGATTCTATTCACACAAAAGCATGTACAGCTCTACACATATTACATTGAGCATTTTTTTCACAGACCAATAAATAGTAGTTCTCATTATCTGATATACTCTGCTAACATAAGGGAAATTTTTTCCACAAGGTCAATGCACAATTGTAATTTTTGCTATTGATCAATATGTAACTTCAGGTTGTAGTTACGAAATCAATCATTCCAGTTGTGTTTTTTGCATCTGTTTGGGGATTCTGAAAAAGTTAATTTGAGGAATTACAATTTGCTGATTTCTTTTGGACTTTTGATTGACAAATGTTAAATGTCTGTGGGCTTTTTGTTAAAAAAATAATTATTTAATTTAGCAAATAAAACTTTTCTTGTGGTTAGAATATTATGTTTGTGTAGGCCTTTTTGTGTCAATGAAACATTGTTTTGGCATTTGATTAGACAATGCCTATAGACTTATGAAACATTAATGGGAAGTTTTTGGTTTAAATTAAGGTTATAAATAAATTAAAATTGCTATTTAGCCTAGAATAAATACATTTAATCAGAAAAAACCAACCTTCTTTTAATCCAATAAAACAATTGTAATTCAATTTTTGACTGACTGCATACACCCGAAGAAGAATTATAGGTTCAGAGTATCAGTTAAGGAGGAAAGGAAAAACTAGAGTATTGACAGGGTTAATTTTGTCATTCTTTTAGTAACAGTTTAAAAAAAGCAGACAATTATGTTTTTGTGATGACCCCCTTTTCAACAAGTCACAAAATCATTTTTTATAATAAGAAAAACAGTATATTGCTGTTGTTTGAACCTTTTTGCAGTTGTTTCTGCAAATCGTTTTAGAGGATCCAGAAGCAAGTTGTAACAAATTTATGTTTTGTCCTTTCAGTCTTTTATTATTTGGTTAGAGGTTGATTGTTACCAACCTTGTAATACCATCTTTCTTGTTCCAATTACTCATAAACATGTATGCTGTTGTTTTTGGTTTTGATTAATGATTATGATGGTCATCAATTATCTTTGTCAATCATCCTCACTGTTATAATCATGACTCTCCATATTTTTGCAGAGTGCATATTGTATGTTAACAAAGGTTGTTATTCTTTGCAACATAACTCTGTGTTACAATGTCAATAATCTTTCAAAACAGTTCAAGACTTCACTTTGCTGTCATTTTGCTTTTTCATTGCTTATCATTCTGTCCCAAGACTCTTCTGATGAATGACAAGATTGATGAGTTCTAGATGGATTCTATAGAACAGTCTATGTTTTGACTGAGAACAGGCTATGATTTGAGAAAATGTTAATGTATAACATATTCTCATCCTGGTTATCAAACAGATTTCCGCAATAACCAATGAATGTAGACCTCATTGCATCATTGCATCTGAAACAAGCAGTTTGCCAGGCCTGATCTCCAAGATATTGAATTATCAGGACTGCTAATCCAAATAGAAATGCTAGTAATATTGTCTTATTTTCTGGCATTTGAATGTAAACCTGGCAACAAACCAACTTAACAAAGAGGCTTTTATTGTAAGAAACATAAGTTTTGAAGACATGCTTCAGCATTGAATGATTATTCTGTTGTTGCCATAGTTGTAATAGATTATTCAAAATTATTAAGCAGAAAGTTATAAAAACAAAGGATAGATAACAAAACAATTACCATTCAAAAATGATTGGTTAGACCAAACAATTGTCTTTTACAACTTAAAGCCAATTGTCATGCTGTTCAAGTTTGAAACATCTTTACTAACTTCCTGACAAGAATTGGCAAACTTTTAGTCTGATTATTTTGTATACTGGCCAGTGTAAGATCGATACATCTTGTTAACATCTTTTCAAATAGTATTAAATATTTCTTCAGTTGCATTGTGCTCAAGCTTCCTAGTTTTCTGGTAGACTTATCTTATAATGAACTGTTTGATTTTCAGAAAATGAGAGATGAATTACAAAGGGTTGGGCGTCCAAGAAAGGGTGCACAGAAAAAACCAAAGGATAGAACAGAAAGGTAATGTGGTAAAAAACTGCTAGCTTCTCTCTCAGTTCTCAATTTTTTCTAAAGTTGAAGTTTATTTCATTTAAAACCATGTTTTGTATAAGCCAGATAGGGGATGTGGGCTATTGAAAAGATTAATTTCATACTTAGATTCATCACTAGCAAAAACTTAGCATCACAATCGTGTATCATGTATCATGTATCAATCACAATCATGTAGCATACACATTAGCATCATGTATCAATGAAAACCCTGGAATACCCACTACATATACTCCCTTAAATGCCATTCTAACTGCTGCTAACCTGAAGCCAATGGTACTTGTCATCTGAATTGTACATTAGAATGAAAATTAAGTTAATTTATATTATTTTGTTTGAACCTGATTTCTCCTAAGACTAAGATACATTAAATGCCAAAAAATTTCAGACATTGCCTGAAAATTTTTTTTAAGTATAGAGAAATCATGGCAAAATCTTTCACTATTTGGTAAAGGAATGTCTGGCTAAAAATCATTGAGGCTATAAAGGAAACTTGTCTTAAGAGCTAGTGCTATGTGAAACAGTATCATATGTTATCAGTTAAATTGATTTACCAATCATAGAACATGTTCATCATCCGCAACAACTATGTTATAATTGTCAGCATCAATATCATTGTTTTGCTCATTTTCTTCAACTGGCTCTATTTCAGCCACTTTGTAATTGCCTTGAGGTAATTTTGAAACATGGATGAGATACCTTTACTTTCTATCTGCTATTATGAGAATGGCCAGAGTTGTGGAATTATCATGAAAACTTTCAAAATGGTGGATTGAGAGAATTTCGTCATTGAGAGAATTTGAAGTTTCTTTAATTAGGAGCCTTTTGATCACTTGTAAATTTTTATGTTACATCAAGTGAAGTATATTCTTTAGTCAGCTTTGTTATGAGCAATATGATGTTTAGCTAAGCTGAAGCATAGAAGTAGTGTTTTGTTTTAATTGCCTAAAATTTTGTGATAAAACTTCAGAAATTTTTTGTCAAAAATATTGTTGGATATTTATTCTTCCAAAATTTTTGGCATTTGATGTATTTAGACACTTATTTAGTCTTTTCTAGACACATGGAATGACCAATGACAGGGACAGACAGTGCCACAAAAAGTCTCTCTGTGGTGTTCCTGCTCTTTCTGTGGTCTCCCACATATGACCTGTAATCTCCCACATATGACCTGTTATCTCCCAAAAGAGAACTCTGACAACAAGGGTGGACAATTCCAGAAAAATATTTGTGGCCTGGCAGTTCCCCTGTGTAACGATAAGCAGTCTCCCGCAGATAAAAACCAGTTGCTCTAGAGACCAAATTGTCCACACCTGAGTGATCTGTGTCTGTAAACTGCATTGGAAAATGCCTGGACCCATTTTTAGTTAGTGTTGTTACAGAATTCAGGCAGCAAGCTAGAATAAAGTTTTTCACCATTTCATCCTTCATGTTATCTAGCAACAATATAGATATTTTTGTATATCTATAAATATATATTTTTGCATTATTTTTTTGTTTTTTAAGCAGATATAGACCCTCTGCAGCACAAGGCTCATATGCATTTAAAAATGAGGAAGAATTCCAAATTCCAAATAGCAAAGGGGTAAGTATTCAAACTCACAAACCAACTTGTGTATCTCTATTTTTGTATAAGATTTGTTGCCAACAAATCACATCATCCATTGAAGCAGGAAAATGGCACATATCCAAGAAAGCATTGTAATAGTTTGCCCTTAAAGAAAGGTTTTCAATATGAGGATTGTTAAGTTATTTGATGTTATAGCCTTTGCAAGCAACAAGAGAGCTTCTTTTAATTTGTTGAAGATAAGGATTCATTTGGTAAAGAAAAGAAAAGTATATCTCTTGAAATGATAAGCATCCTTGTTTATAGCTTTCTACAAACAAATTAGATTGTCAAGTGTACTTTAGCAAAGTGTAAGTAGTTTGTAAACTCAGACACATCATATTCATTGTTCAGATTATTGTTGCCTTGTCAAGAGTTACCTCTGCATGCCATAATTTATACTCAAAACAAAGTAGCAAAGTAGTTATATATTTGATAAATTGGCAAGCTTATTTTTTTAGCCTGGGTCCCCAATGAATATGCTAACTTCGCCTACTAGCATATCTTCTGCTGCTCTGTCTGTTGATTCCATATCTTCAGAGCTGAACCAGTTTGTGGAAAATGACAGTGAAAATGCAAGGTATTTGGCAATGTTTTAGTTGAATGGATTCTAAAGTTGAAAGATTCAAATTTGAATGCTTTGTGTTTTGATTATTTTGATATATTATATATATATATATATTTTATTATAAATTTACAAATTTGTTTTTTGATACTTCCGTAGCACAGTGCTCAATACGTTAGCACGTAGAGCCTGATATATCATAGAGTTGAAGAAAGTAAAACTACATGGTTTATCTCTACAGGAGATCTCCTGAAGAGTGAGTTACTCACGAAACAGGCTTGTAGAGATAAACCATGTAGTTTTACTTTCTTCAACTCATGATATATATTTTATTATATAGTTATAAATATTGCACAGGTTTGACAAATCAGTAATGGCGACTGCTTTGCAACAACAAGGCCATCAAAATTCAAACTACTTTTATGAAGCCATTAGGCATCATTTTATAGTTAGAATCCAATAAAGCTAAACTTCAAACTGTTTGCAACACTTTTGATTTTAAAATTGAAGAAATTTACTTTTTTGAAAGAAAGTAAAATGATTTAACTTCTTATTGGACAATCTCGCAGCTTTGAAACCTTTGTGAGACTTGCTAAAACTTTATCAAAAAGTTTAGTAACAGGTTCTGTTAATTGTGACATTATAGGTTCAGAAAAACATTTACAAGATCACATTTAGTTGTTGGAGTGCCAAGACACTATTGACCTTGTATTTGGTGGAAAGTGGCATATTTTATCCCATTTTATTATGCTGACTCATTCCCAGCTATTGAGGCACTTGTAAAAAATTGAATAAATTTGACTGACATGAATTTTAAATGCTTCTAGTTGATAAAAATATCATTAAGACTCCATTAAGACTCTATTAGTTCTATTAACCCATGAACAATTTTTTCCATTTTAGTCAAGATACGCTTTGTGCTTTTTGCAATTGTGGATCTGAAATGGCACAGATACTTGGGCAGATCAATAGATACTTTCCATCTCCAGATTTCAACCCTTTCAGCTATGAAGACCAAAGTGGTGCCAGTCATTCCATGGATATATCTGTTGACAAGTACTTTGAGGACTCAAGAGATAGCACAGATCAAGTTGGAGAAGGGAATTATCTCCTTAAGCCTGAGAAGCGGTCAGTAGGGCGTCCACCAGGAAAGAAGAAAAAGCGGAGTAAGCAGTCATTGGCCAGGCACCAGCATTTATCGGCAGATATGTCCACTTTTGGGACACCCACTCAGCCTGAGATCTCAGATGTTTTTGATGCTGATGGTAGTATTTGGGCCCACCATTGTTGTGCAGCGTGGTCTGCTGGAGTCTGTCAGACAGATTCATACGATCTTGAGAATGTTGACAAGGCTGCCTTTAAAGCAATCAGTGAGGTACCCTTGGCTCTCATTGTCACTGATTTTAATAGAGCTCTTACCTAAGTGTAATTGGCTTTTGACTACACAACTTAAAAAGCATGATGAAATGCTTCTAAATATGCAAAATCAATTAACCATGTCAAAAAGTAGGTGAAATATGGCCAATTACTGAGGTCTGAGCGGCAAAGAGCTTGTGCTCATATGGCCATATCTCAGCCAATTCACATTTAGAATATACAATGATATATATATTTAACTGACTTTGCATATTAGAGGTATTCTATATGCTCTCTCTGGTTATACTGATCCAAACTCCAAGATTCTAACTATACTTTTTTGTGGCTTCATCAATTAAGATCTCACTGTTTTGTGACCTCACTGTTTATTTATTAGTTTATATAAAACCTTTCATTTTCACTGCGAGGGAAACCACTTGATTGGTTGGCTCTTTTCCCTTTAAGTACAGCTTGTATTTGAAGAAGCTCTAATTCTTTGAAATGTTCAATGACATAGTTGCTTTACATGTTACAATTTATCACTGCCCTAGCTACAATTGTTCCATTGTCCTTTCTTTGTGAATATTTTTAAACAAATTAGGCATTCTTTTTTAGCAATGTAGCCACTGCAACAGACATGGTGCTAGTGTTGAGTGTCAAATGCAGAAATGTTCCAAGCTGTATCATTACCCTTGTTGTGCCAGCAGTGGTGCTTTCCAGGATATCAAAAGCATGATTCTCCTTTGTCCAGATCATTTAGAGCAGGCTTCAAGACTTGGTTAGTATTTGGTTGTTTTTATCATATGGCATCATATGTAAATGCTTTCAATTGTTTACTTATGAACTGAGTCAGAATTGACTCTCCAATTTCCATTCAAAGTATGCAATTTGTTAATCTTTTGCAACTCCTTTTCTTTTTTATGCCTGAAAATGATAGTTCTTTATCAGCAATTCTCTATCGAGCAAAATTATTTGATATCAAGGAAAATCCAGTGATTGGAAAATTCATTTTTGTTTAAGATAAACATGTGTAACAAATTTTCTTTTTCTTATAAATTTAGAGATGTTTGCTTTATTTTTAACATGTCTTGCAATCAGTAAGAGCTTGTTTTATTTCACTTTTAGCTGGTTCTGAGGCATTTTGTGTGCTATGTGACAAGGCAGGAGAAATTTCAAAACAGTTGTTTTGCACAAGTTGTGGAAGGCATTACCATGGTCAATGTTTAGATCCACCAGTTACACTTAGTGCCATTGTAAGGATGGGCTGGCAGTGCCCAGAGTGCAAGGTGTGCCAGGGTTGCAGGTAGGACATTTTTTCAGTTACCTTGTAAAAGGTATAATAGGTTCCTGCAAATGAGAAAGCCCCTTATATAAGAAGCAGGCCTCATTCTGTCCAAAGGGGGCTCCTTTTTTAAGACACAGTTTTAGGTCTTAAAGCAAAATGTTTCTTGTTTTAAAGTTTGTCATAGTTTATTGCTGAATGCCAAAAAATTATCCGCTAAAAATGACTGTAATGAAATGTAGTGTTCTTAAGACAGGGTGAACATTTTCAAAATTAAAGATCCACACAACAAAGATGTAAAAAGGCCAATTGCAGCATGAATATTCGGTTTTGAGACCAATTGCATTGAAAAAACTGCAACAGTTCAATAAAATTGTATGTTTGTTTCAAGTGTCAGAATTTAGTCTTTATAGCCCTGTGGGCTGATCAACTTGTCACCAAAGCCATCTGCAGTCATTTCTTCCCAAGTAGCTCCTACCCATTTTATGATAATTATCCTTTTCTTGGAGGCTGACAAAGACTCACCACACCATGTTTTAATGTTAGCGTCATCTTCAAGGTATTTGTCAAGCTGTTCTACAATCAATTTCTTCATCTGCCTCCCTTCTCCATCATCGACTGGTTGAGGTTGAACTTTATCAGTAAAGGATGGTGGAAGGGGATAAACTACAGTGTTGGCTTTTCTACGACAACTGAAGATAAATTCTTCTGAGGTCTGACAACTGAGATTGTCCAAAAACAACACATTCTCTTGGGACTTGTCAACTGAAGAAGAAAATGTTTTCTCCACCCACTATAGAGCAACTTCCTTATCCACCCAAACATTCTTCTGCTAAAAGACGTGAACTCTTGGATTATGTAACTTAAACTCTTTCTCTTTAATTTTTCCTTTGCCTCTAAAGATAACTGCTGGTGGAACAGGCTGTATATCAGATTGTCTCTTGTCAAGCCCACTAGATGGTTGAGCTATCCAAACAGATGGATAGTAATAGCTGTTTGAATGTATAGATGGATAGTAATAACTTCCTGTTGTCTCATAGGTAATATCTGGGTCTACAAGGAAGGGGAACGAAACTTGATCAACATATAATGGGCTTCTGGTGACCACCTTCCCCACACTTGATCTCTTCCTCTACATGAGCTGAAATCTTTCTTCAACTCCCTATGGAAATTCTACAATATCAGCAACATTTCCATTGATCCCACAGCTTTTTTTTGTCCGCGTGCGCAAGGAGGTCCTGTTGCGAGCTTTAAACCCAGCCATCCAATTTTTGTTGGCCTTGAAAGAATCTGCTTTGTGATCACCATAAAATTACCTTATAAATTTCCATTTTTGAGACAATCCACGCATGGCTATCTTTTAAGCCTTTTTCACGAATGACCTTGAAATCTTCCATAACTCTTTGCACTGCTAATTTAAAATAGGCATTTGCATTATTCCGAGTACTCTCTCTATCGACTTCTCTCTATTGAGTACTCTTACTACCAACTTGCCGCCTCCCTCCCAATTCTTTTCTTTTTGACTCTTCGCAAGCTTTCAAGATTTGAACTCTGCATCTGATCCATTTGTCAAAGACTTTTGGAGATACCAAATTTTTGTGCAATTTTTTGCAATTTGCCAGAACTGTTAATGACCTTTGCTTTAAAGTCAACTGTGTATGACTTTCTGTGTTCAGTTTGTTGTTTTAATTCATTGTCATGATTACTTGCATCATTCTTAGACTTAGAATTCTCAGAGAGAACTCATTCTAGTACTAAATCATCCTTCAATTGATGAATTGTTGAGACAGTCCTTCTTCAAAAGCCTTAAAAGTCCCAGGTGGACAGTGCCTCTTTTGTTTATCTGCTGTTTCTTTGCCTTTGCGAGATTTACTCCACTCGATATGCTGAAGGAGATATTTTTGACTTGAAATTTTCTCCTGCATCTTTCACAACTGATTCCTTCTTGAGCAGTACCTGGAAGCTTGACCTCAAACTGTGATCCACTTGCTGTCTTCACATATTTTTTTTACTCTGAATCATACCAAAGTTGCTTGCACAAGTTTCATGTTTCATCAGTTTCATGACCGAGAAGCGCCTAATCTCTTTGCTTTGATCTCTCTTTCGTGTTGATTGACGAACAACAACAACAGTAACAACAGCAGTTGTAGTTTTTGATCGGGCCTAAAGCGTCTGATCAAAGAGGCAACTAAAGGAAAGGTGAGGTGCATCAGGGATTCCAAAGCAAAGCATTCAAACAGAAAGTTTATGATGGAGTATCACGTTTATACAGAAAAAAGTCTTCGTGGCTATCATGCTTTTAAAAATATACCATTAACACTTGGGCAAGAGTTGCTCTGTGACATAGAGTAACAAATGAACATAATCCTTTTGCTGTCATGATCTAAACAGAAAATGAGAACATAGCTGGCCATATACCATTGGAAATTTCGGAAATTATTCGTAAATTCCTTTCTAACGGCGGTGAAGCAGTCGCTGGAGTGATTGGAAGAAGATACAATAGTGGCACAAACATGGTTTTAGAAGTTCCGTTGGACATCTAATTTATGGGAACCCACCCATATCTAAAGAAACTAAGGAAAAGGTTGAAAAATATTCTTCAAGATGCAAACATAACAAAAATAAGGAAGCGTAATTGAAAAATGCTAAGTACTTGTAGAATGCAATACAGCACTTTTCAATTATTACCCTACACATAAAAATAAATTTTTGGTGACCCTCATTTTGCTATACTAGTTTAACCCAGAGGAATGGTGAAATGGTACAATATTCTTTATTCTCAAAAAGGAGTTTTAGAAATTTAAAGAAACTGCACAAAGAGCACTGAAAATACTGTCATGATCGGCATGAACATATTTACTCTGACCTTTGTTTGATAAGTTAAATTTCTGTTTGGTTGTATTGGAATAATTTTAAAAACATTTTAATATTTTCAGAACATTTCTATTTGGTTGAATCTGATTACAACAAGTTTAACATTTTCTAGGACCCAAACTGTATTTCCTGTACTTTCCAATGAATTATTGATTTTAATTGCATAAAGCATTTTAATGATATTAGACCATTGTACTGTGCAGTGTGTATTGTACACCACTGCCAGTAATGTACATTCACATACATTGAATTGACCTTGTTTAACTTGATAGTACCTATGTATAAGAAACTTTAACCCTGATTTTGAAAAGGTCTCTTTAAATAGGAAACTTTCAATTTAATAAGTGGTTTCTTATTTGCGGGAACCTACTGTAGCCTCTTGAAAGATATAACAGTCATATACATGGTCGGAATTGATCAAAAGAATAAGGAAAAAGCTTTCTTCAGGGCACTTAACTGTCATAAATTAGTAAAAAGGATGCAATCTTAATGATTTGCAAAGACTTCCCTTGACATTCATTCGAATGATTGGTATATCACACTCCAAGAAATAGTAGGCACATTAAGAGGTGCGCGCGCAAGATCATGGGTCATTCGTGACCAAGCCTGTCTTTTAAAGATGGATATTATATCTGTAAATGAAATTGATTAATATTCTGTTTACCAATATTTGTTCAAACCAGTCAAAGAAAGATTTAATTCCTATATTTGAAATACGTTTAGGGATTCTTTGTTGCTGGTTCTGTCATATTTGCGACTTAACATACTGTTCTGTTTGACATCCTAACTATTATCAAATTGCATTCGCGTATTTATCAAAGGCATCAACGACGCATAAATTAACAGGTTTATTGGTTATGTGACTCTAAACGAAATGCCAATTCTCACTCAGACGTATGAAATCGTCTTTATAGGCAGCCTGGCGATGACGAAAAAATGCTGTTTTGCGATGAATGTGACAAGGGATTCCACACGTATTGCCTGTCACCTCCCATGTCATCTGTGCCAAAGACTGCTTGGAAGTGTTATGTAAGTATCGTTGGAATACACTGCATTGTTTAACGTTAAATCGTATGTTATTGTCTTTCTTGCATTTGGTGTTAAAATGGCTGTCAAAATAATCTGTGTCAATTTGATATTTTCAAGTTGTTGAACTTGAACAAATATTGAATTGATTGATAAAGGTTTAATGTCTGCATTGTTGTATGCAAGACTTTCCTATTGTTCTGGCTTGGAAGGTAAAGAGTTTTGTAGAATGACTTACATTTTGAATCTAGAAGAACGAATTATCGCTTCTGAGAAAATTATTCCGCTATGTATATTGTCTGATTGCAGAGCTGTCGCAAATGCGAAGACTGTGGCTCAAATGTTCCGGGAAGTGGCCCTTCCTGTCGATGGCATTTTAACTATACTGTATGTGACAAATGTTATCAGCAAAGAAAGAAAGGCACAATGCCCTGTTGTCCCATGTGTGGCAAGGCAGTGCGAAGTGCATCTGGTGAATTCAGCAGACAGTGCTTGAAATGTGCTAAGCACGTCCATTGCAGATGTGACAGATATTCTACCATAGACACTGGTGATTATTTTTGTCCGACTTGTAGACACGATGTTCATGATGATGATTCGGAAATTTCTGGTTTCATGGTATGAATCCTTCACTTTTGTTTTTATTAATAGTTATGAATATTGCAAGGTCTTGTTATCGCGTGTCTTTTACGAACTGAAGGTAATTTCTCTTTGAATATCTTTGCAGGACCATAAAGAGGAAAGTAATGATAGTTTGCTGTTGAATCCGGTGCATTCATCCACAAGTGAATTAGATCCAGAATTTCTTGGGCAAAGAACTGTTACAATCGCCGAAGCTGAAGCCATCTCGAGAGCTGCCACAGGGTTTATGCAGAGGGAGCCATCGCCACTTCTGGAACAAAATGAAATAGAGGATCTTGATTTGAAAGGCATTGACATCAACTTTGACGAAGTAATGATGGAGACTGGACTGCATGGCCCACTTATTCACGACCTAGAAGAACTGAAGCCAGACAGTAGTGACTCACTGAATTCTCCACCTCATATTTCCAGCACCGCATCTTATTTAGAACATTTCCCATCGCATGAAGAAAAGGTAGTTACTCGAATTCAAACATCATCAACGGGAAAAGCTGGAAGGGGAAAAAAGAAGATGCCACCTTTGCGATGTAGGGTAAGTAGGAAAACATTAAATTAGAGTCTGTTCTGTTCCCATTCTCACAAAAACCATTCTTAAGTGCAAAGGTAAAATTGATTTTTTACATGTTGTAGACTCTACTACTATTTTGTATTTCCAACATTCAAATGATCTGTTGTTATAATTCATTGATTTCCTACTCTTTTAAAGTCTGAAATGTTAGGTGTTAAGTTGAATGTTTGATATGAAGTTTGAGAGGAAACTTTCAATTTATTAGGGAAGGCCACCTGGTGCTACAGGAAAAGGAAAGAAGAGTAAAGGACAAAGAGGAAGTAGGCCTAGAAGTAAAAGTGCATCAACATCCGGCTCAAACAAGGAAAATATTCAGGTGGGTGGTATCCAAATGTTTCTCGTTATTTCAAAAATATTAAATGTTACGGATGGTTCATTTGTTGGGCTATGTAAACCTTTGATATGGGGTTGAGTAGATCGCTAGATATATGGATATTTCGATAATTGCAGTGATTAATGCATTAATCTAAAAAAATTGATGGCAAAAATTCTGGTGACCGGTCCTGTCCTCATTACCACTCTGATCAGGTGCACCCGTGGTATGGGGCCACTTTCTCTTGGGGCTTTAAGTTTCAATAAAAAGATGTATTATATTTAATTTTTGACTAACCCTTCAGTCAATCCGTGCTTATTGGTCTGAAACTGTATACTTCTTTAATTAAATGTCTTTTTTGCTTATTTCAGTCTGGTGTCGTCAATTATGCTGACTCATCAAGAAAGGATGATTCAGATGACCCGGAAGGCCTGCATTCAACTGTTGTCATGGTTTCAACGAAAGATCGTTTCACCTTGGAACAGGCTAGTCTTACTCTTGTGCCCTCAATTGAGTTTAAATATCTTCAGTGTATTTCACCTCTTTTCAGAACATCCAATGCCTGTTTCCTGACCTTTAGCTTTTCTCGTGTCTTGCTGTTTATTTATCTTCATTTGAATCTCTGGAATCAGTAAGCAAAAAAATTTTACAGCTTTTAATTGTTTTTGGCTACATTTTGGTTTTATATGTGTTTTAGAAAAGGTATGTGATTTGATAACTGCTCAACTTTATCAGTAAAGTCGATGTATTATATTACTCTTCCTTAAGGTTATGGCTTCGTTTATGTTTCAAAATGAGGTTATGGCTTTGTATGTGTTTTAAAATGGTGTTATGGCTTTTTATATTGTGCTAAAAAGAGAGAGAGAGAGAAAGAAAGTTTAAAAATTTTTTCTTACTTTGCAGGATATCTGTATGTGTTGCGGAAGCTTTGGCAAAGGTAACGAGGGCCATTTGATAACCTGTGCACAATGTGGGCAGTGCTTTCATCCCTATTGTGTTAACGTCAAGGTCTGTATCTACTCGTGGAACTGTTTCATTCAAGAATTGATAACTTATTCGAATTCATTTTTTGTTAATTTGCCTTTGAAAGATAGTCTCTGTTGATAGCTCCTCCATCTCTTAGCTGGCAGCAGCTTCTATGCTGCTGAAAGTGTATATTTATATATATATTTATATGAAAGCTCATACTATAAAATGTCTAGACGTTTCGCTTTCACTTCATAAGAGATCCCCCTTAGGTTTTATTGTTTGTATTGTTCTATTGCAATTGAGGTTGATAAATAGTCTCCTCTGATTTTGTAAGGTTATTACTGATAAAGCAAAACATCTTACGAAAGTGTTTCTTTGAAAGTTTAGTATATATATTTAAATATATATATATACTAACCTTGTTGCTGTTTTATTGAGCAATATATGTTGCTTTCTCGTTATATACTTCTATTTTGTTCTGGTCTTTAGGTAAGCAAAGTTGTAATGACAAAGGGTTGGCGTTGTCTGGACTGCACAGTGTGTGAAGGATGCGGCAAAAATGAAGATGAAGGGAAGCTTCTTCTCTGTGATGGATGTGACATCAGCTACCACACATACTGCTTAGATCCTCCACTTGAAGAAGTGCCTTCAGATGGCTGGAAGTGTCAATGGTACTTCTTTTCTATTTCAATCAAAAGCTATTGTACCCTTTCATTCTAAACACCCATAGAATTTGCCACCTTTAATCAAATTTCTTTGTTATTGTTTTCTTGATCAAAAATTTTCGATTAAGCATGCTCATGTTCATGTTTCATGAATTATTCGTTGTGCATTTCTGTTATGGCTATCTTACATAAATGGGTTTTTCATATCATTGTCACCCTGCCAGGCTCATTTTCATTTCTTGTTACGTAAGAATTACTCTGCAACATTTTCGGAGCCCCTTTCTAATGCTAACAACATTTGTTTACATGTTTGTTATATTTTTACAGGTGTGTTGAATGTGTGAACTGTGGAGCGACTAGTCCTGGTGTTGGATGCAAATGGATGTCTAGTTATACACAATGTGGGCCTTGTGCCAGCGATATGTCATGTCCGGTTTGCAGTAAAACATACCTAGACGATGAACTTGTTGTGAAATGTATGCATTGTTCTAGGTATGTCATTAAATTTCTTTTTTCTACCTTTTTTCACTTGTGTCTTTATAGCTGTTGTCTTCACCACTTTTTTTTATTTTCCTGTTTCCCTTGTTTCTAATTTTCCTTGTTTCTAAAATATTTGAATTTGCGGAGATACATCTACCTTATTTGTATGTAGATGGTTGCATGCTGAATGCGACGGACTAGCCTCTGAAGATGATGCAGAATTGGCTGCAAGTTATGTTTACCACTGTTGTCTCTGCCGTGGAGAAACTGGCCATTATGGAATCTTCTCGACGTCGTGGACGAACATCATAGAGAGAGGTGTGTATTCAACGAGTAGCGGGAAGCTTAGTGCATTGCAGTCAATTGTTGTGACACAAACAACAACAACAGTTATGGCGACAGGTATAGCCAATAGAAGAACAAAAGGTGGCACTAATTCTAAGAACAGCAGAAACCCTTTGACTGCAAGCGGCTGGAACCAAAGGCAACCACAACATCCAATTCAGGCGTCAGCCCAAGGAACTTTCGAAGTGCAGTTGCCTGGACTGAGGCTGAAAGGGCGTCGGGAGGAAACTGCCGAGGTTGATACAATTAGCTTGACAGATAATGGGCTACGTCAGATAAAGAGTTTGGTAGTAAAGGCATCTTCACGGAGTAATAACCGAAATAGAGAGAAGCAAGCTAAACTTGCAAGCATTGATGATCGAGCAACGGAGAGAGAAACAAAAACTTCAGCTCAACTGACAGAGACGTCTGCTTGTAGTGATGATATTGGTGAAAACCGTCAGCCAGTTTGTCTTGCTAGCGACTCTGCGGAAGGCACAAGCAATGCTGCTGATGGCGATATGAGTAATAAGAAGTTAGACAGAGATAAACGTGGCTCGGGAAGGTCAACAACTGATAAACAAGCAGAACAAGCCAAAGCAAAGAAAGCCAGCGAGAAGAGAGATGATCCTGTAAGTAATATTTTGCTATAACTTTCAATGTATCTGTAACCGAATCTGCAATGTAAATATTAGTAGCATGTTTTGTGCTTTGTGTGGCCTCGATATTTAAACCCTTGGAAGAAGATTCTTTCAGGGATTCAGTGACTAATAATTGCGAAAATTGTTTCCTGCTTTTCAGCTGGACTTCTTTGGACCAGGTCTTCTGAAACTATCTAAGAAAAAAAGAAAGAAAGACTCTTTAACTGACAATGACACCCAGTCTTCAGAGGACGAAACAGCTAAAGACAATGATGAACGCCTTGAGGTTTCGAAACTAGAAGTAAACAACACACAGCACCGTGACCAGTCTAGGCTACCTGCCAGGAATCAAATAGCTAAGTACGTTTTCTGCACTTATTTTTTGCTTTGTTAGAAAGATCTTTGTTGCCAAAGGATTAAGTTTCAACAATCTCTCTTCAACCTTAAGCATTTTTAGGCCATTCTATCTATACCATGTTGTCGTCAATCAGGAAGATAAAAGTTAGGTCTTTAGAGAACTGTTTAATATTGTCAGGTACTTAATATAGCTTCAAATGAAGTGTAAGAATTTTCTTCTTAGTTGGTCGTCTACACTGCCACCAGGAATGAAAATTGACAGTCTGCCTGGACACATGCAAAACCCAGAGACTTTATACAAGACCTTGAATATGCTTGTCAATACTCCCGAACGCGGCGATGGGAAAAATCTCCATCACGGTGAGTACTTATCTTCTTCATAAAATTATTTTGATTTTAGCTGGAAATCTTTTTGAAAAGATACTGCGTCTTTCTCATCAATGTTCATTGGGCCATGTTTATTCAGTTTGATGTGCTAGACCTAAATATAAAAGCTTTAAAAATTGTTATTTCTCTTTTTGTACCTTTTGATTTAGAATTTTATTTACGCATCGTTTATAGATCACAATATAGGACAAAACAGAGCTGAACAAAATTTTGGCACCCCTAAAGCGCTTCCTTCGAGGCATAGTTCAAAAGGCAGCATTTCTGACCAAAACTCTGCTGGTATTAACCAAAGTGCTGACATCACGCAGACAGGGGACCTTGATTTGATGGGACTGTCTGATCTACCTCATGTTGATGGGCACGAAGTTGAAGAAATCTTTGCTGGGATCGAACGTGAAATGAGTGTCGATGGAACCCCACAATCTCATTGTCAAAGCCCAATGGAAACACCCATAACTGCAAGTGACAAGGCTAAACCTGTAGGAAGCCCAAGAACTTTTCAAGCACAACATCGACTTGCAGCCGGCCCTTCTCAAAGGCCAGATTCTGTCCTACAACAAGCTTATCCCGACCAACAGCAGCAACAACAGCAGCAGCGCCTCAACTTAAATCAACCGGAATTTCGCCAGTATGATTTATACCGGACCAACCCCAATTTTCAATTGGAACATGGAATGGATTACAAGACCAATCAAAAGGCGATACAACCTCAGTCCGGAGAAACTGATGCTTTTAAAGCAGTTTTTGGAGAAGAGCCTGAGATCAAGTCTAAGCCGAGAGAAGGTGCAACTAGCCCCAAAATAGATGGACAAAAACAATTGAAGAAATGGGAACAAGATGAGAAGCTTGAGAGTCTTGCAACAATATCACCAGTGCTTTATGCTAATATTGTTCATCCGGAGTTGAAAGTGGAGTATCCCGGTGAGTCTTCTAGCTATTGACACAACTATCACTACGAGTTGAAAAGTTATTGAAAAAGTGTATCCAGCGATCCCCACTGGCGTCTTCGCGTATCATCTTCATGTCTAACTATATTTCTCAATGATTAATCTTTTGCTTTGAAAAATCGTAAACAAAAATGTTTCCTCTTCTAGAATGGCCAAACCGAGCCCGAGCAATTGCAAGATTATGGAGGAAGCTGCCGCAAGAGCAAAGAGAACCCTTTCGTGTTCGTATATTATATGACGTTTAAAAGTTATTCAATACATTTGTTTTTATTATCAATTTTTTGTGAGTTTGTGAAAAAGCGTTATAACGAAAACTGGCTTCTCAATTTCATGTATAGAGTGTTTTTATCATTAATGAATATTGCTGTAACGAACATCGTTAAGATCTAGTTGCTGTTTCATAACTTGTCCTGCTTCTATCTGTAGTGCTAATTCTATTGCCAAGTTTCATGGAAGACAATTTTATATGAATGATGAAATATCACTTTAGTTGTGTAATTGTGTTATTATTGATCAATTTCAGCTGCGTGCAAGAGACAACAGAGTGAAACAGAAAGACCAGGGTCGAAAGGTATTTTTATGTTCTGATTAATTATTTGTCTATGGTTTGTTTATATTTCATTTGCTTATATCAATATGTCGCTATTTCAAATTTTTTATTGCAATAAAAAGCCAAATTTTTATCTAATTGTTTTGAAAAGCCTTTACAAATTTGGAGAAAATGTGACTCAGTAAATTAATATTTCTTTCATAGCTCGGTCCGTTTCACAAAGCATCAACACCAACTTCGGCAGAAGGCAATGATCAAAGTGCTGATTCGTCTTCAAGTTTGCCAACATCACAAGTAGCTGTTTCTGGGTCTCTTAGTAAAACCAATGAAATGGCCGTTTTGAAGGGGTTGTCGGGTAATCTTATTCTAAATGGAGATCCAAGTAGCCTTGTTGGCAATCGACAACATGACCAGACTGTACCCTCTAGGTATGCTTATGGAGACTTGCCGCACACTCTTGCCAGTAGACCAGGTAGCGAGACTAGACCTGGTGTCACCTTTCCAAGGCACCCAAATGCTCTGCCTGTTGGCTCAGAGAATAATTTGCGATCTTGTCCTCCAAATCTAGCTACTGATACAATCACATCTCCAAGCGGCCATTTAGTGCCATCCCAGAGCCCATCTTCTGTTTTGGCAAGGCCTGTATCCAAGGGAAACAGCAAACCACAGTCATTAGCAGAAATAGTACCAACAGAAATGCAGTATGCTGGTTCGGGGCTTACACCAACCACACCAGTGTTTGCAACTTCACCCTTTCAAAGCCCACTAAGTGGCGATTTTAGTGGCTCTCCAGCGGTAATGTCCCAGTCAGCGCCTATTGAACCAACAATTGGCGAAAAAAGAAAGTTGAAAAAACAACAGAAAATAAGTAAAGAACAATCAGATACCGAGAAGGAAGAGAAAAAGAGAAAACTTGCTTTGGAGCAGGAAAAAGAACGACAGTGGAAGTTGTTACAACAGCAAAGACTAAAAGAACAGCAATCTCATCAGCAAACGTCTACAATCCAGCAAGTTATGATGATGAAAGAGCAGATGAGAAAGGACAACAATAAGGTGGGTCGCAAGCCACAAAGTGTGTTTGCTTCAGAACAGGACTATGCAATGAACGAGTTCAGACCAACAGTGCTACCACCTGTGAAACCTTTAACAGTTAGTCAGTCTTCTAAGCAACGACCTGCAGATGCGGCTACAACTGTGTCCACTCCCACCAGCGTGTCAAGTCACACAGAGTATCCCATCGATCACCATTCAACCCAACAACACAGTTTTCTGTCGAATGAATTAGTTGGAAGAGACTCGTCAGGACAAACATATGCCTTTGATTTGAGAAGTGAGCAATCGGCAGAATTAGACAGTTTGATGGAAATCAACACTACTGATTTGATGAGGATTGCAAACACAAGGTCCATTCGTGGTGATTCTGTCACTAACACAGCTGCAGGCATGCCACCAGCATATGATAGTGTTGCCTCAACACAAGCAGTATCTGATTCTTCTAGCAAGGGCCCATTGCTCCCTGGTGTTTCCAAAGCTGGAGTTGATTTTGTTAGTGACAAACGTGATGTTACATCAAGTAGCAGCATCATACAACAACGGCAGCAGCACCAAAGAATCAGTATTTCCATTTCTGACCCAGCTACCCCCTCCAGTAGCCAACCCGGGATGTTCAGTTCTACTACAAGTCAGTCAGAAAACAAATCCCAGAGAAGTAATGACAACCAGATTACAAAAACAATGTCTGGTTTCCTGCTGGATACCAGTTCAAGTATCGCACAGACTGCAACTATTGAAGCATTTGACAAGCAGCAAGCAGCTGCTCTGAGGCCACAGCAACAACAGCAGCAACAACAACAGCAAGCACTTCTATTTCAGCAGCAGCAATTTATCGCTGCGCAGCAACAATACATCCAATGGCAATTGCAACAAAGGAATCCTGAGTTATTTCAGTCAGTAGCGACCCCTGTGCAGTATTCGTCTTATACAGACAAAGATCTGCCAGAAGTGGACAGCGAAGAGCAACACCAAGAAAGGATCAGATTCTATACAGGCAGCGACAAATGCAGAAACAACAGGTCGTCCAGATACAGCAACAACTACATCAACAGCAGGTGTTTGCACAGCAGCAGGTTGCCCCAACTTCATCTGGCAGTGCAGTGCGCCCACAGGTGGACCAGACGCAGCAACAATTTGTCCAGCAATTAATGCAATATCAACAACAAATACCAGAAGCCTTGCAACAACAGTTTCTTCTCGAATACAGTCGTCAGATGCAACAGAAGACTGATATTGGTCAGAATGCTATGCAATATGAAAAGTTTCTTGCAGAGCTAGCTCAGCAGTACGGTTATCCTGTTCAGCAGCCTGGTGCTCAGACCGTTTCGGTGGTGCAACATAGCATTTCATGGCCAAATGCCACTGCTGCCACTCTCCATCCAAATATGCAGCAAGTATTTGCTTATGGGGCAATTGATGAAGAAAAGGCCAAAGATTTGACACCTCAGCAATTATACCAACTGCAAATGCAGCAAACACTGCTTATGCAAATGGCAGCTAGTGGAATGTATACTGGCCAACCAGCTGCGATAAGAAATCAGCCTGGAAGCACAACAACAACTCGAAAAACCACTGCAGCTTCGTCGCAAACAAAGAAGTCACGTGACACAAAAAAACAAGATGCACAGGAAAAGCAAGTCAAGATAGATTCAACTGTGGTGCAACACGCAAAAGTAGGCTCGAAAGCCAGCCAGAGTTCCCATGATGACGAAAAAATGTCAGAGGAAAGTGGCGTCTCAAAGCACGAGTCAGCAAGTATGGAGTCTCGGAAAGCAGACCCAAGTGGCACTGACATTTCGATGCATTCTGAACATTTGTCAGATGTGTCAATGGAAAAGGATACCACTGCTAAATCAGTCATCAATGAAGCAGTTTCAAACAGCAGCATAAAAAGCACTGCCAGTAGTTCTCCATCTCCAACTAATAATTTAGTAATGACAAATAGCCAAGATTCTTCTCGACTAGCCAACAAGGAGGAGACTGCTTCAACAGTTGATACACTGCACAAAATGGCTGGAGTAGCGTCAGGATCCATGCCTTCAGAGAGAAATGCTGTTTGCAGTGATGGAATTCATTGTGGTACAGATTCTGAGTCTGAAAGTGCACCAGACAACAACAAAAGTTCCCTTACTAGTTTACAGAATGAAAAGGCTGGATATGAATCTTTTAATAAAATCTCAAATACAAAGAAAGTTTGTGAGGATGGAATCCACTGTGGAACCGATTCTGAGGATGAAAGTTACTTGCCAGAAATGAGGAAAAATATCAAAGGAACGTGTGCGGATGGTATTCATTGTGGAACAGACTCGGAGGGTGAGGAATTCACTGGAAAAACTGTTAACCGTAAGAAAAAACCATGTGACGATGGTATTCATTGTGGAACAGATTCTGAAGAGGAAGAGCCTGGTAAGAAACAGTCAGGTAAGGACAAGCAGCAATGTACGGATGGAATTCATTGTGGGACAGACTCTGAAGATGACCAGCTTGACAAGAAACGCAGAGGTAAGAGCAAGCAGCGATGCACTGATGGAATTCACTGTGGGACGGACTCTGAAGATGAAGCGGCCAATAAAAAACAAGCAACTAAGCGCAAGCAGCAATGTTCCGATGGAATTCACTGTGGGACAGACTCTGAAGATGACCAGCTTGACAAGAAACGCAGAGGTAAGAGCAAGCAGCGATGCACTGATGGAATTCACTGTGGGACGGACTCTGAAGATGAAGCGGCCAATAAAAATCAAGCAACTAAGCGCAAGCAGCAATGTTCCGATGGAATTCACTGTGGGACAGACTCTGAAGATGAAGGGACCAATAAAACACAAGCAGGTAAGAGCAAAGAGCGATGCACAGATGGAATTCATTGTGGGACGGATTCTGAAGATGAAAATGATAGCAAAGACAAGAAAATTCTTGTCTCGCGTCAGGAAATGAGAAAAGAAGGAAAAGTAAAACAATCACGGCCTGTCAACAGTTGCTCTGATGGAATCCATTGTGGAACAGACTCCGAGGGGGAAGAAGACGTTAGTGATAAGAAGAACTCAAAGTCGTTGTTTGAATCTGGAAAGGTTTCTCTTGTTAAGAACACTGAAGGTATTGGCAGTCAAGGAAGTGATGAAGCAGGGAAAAGTTTTATGCAGAAATCACGGCCTTTGGTAGTAGTTAATAGACAGGAAACAAGTATGTCATCTGTTCATTCACAGGACTCTTCTGTCCTTAGCTATGCTAGAGCAAAAACATCTGCTGTAGTGTCGACCGTAATGTCAAACCATACAGTTGAAGTTATCCAGGAAGGCGATGTCACTCAAAATACGTTCAGTGCTTTAGAGAACATGAGCAGGAATCTTAAGGGAACGAAAGTTGACACTTCGTTGCATGAGACCTTCAATGTTTCAGCGTTAAATGTTTCATCAGAAAGCGTGCCCCTTGTCAACAGAGAGAGTCCAGTATCTAAACTAAAGAGCCCCACGCCGACTAGCTTTCCAAAGGAATCAGCAGGTCCGACTGTTGCCAGTGCAAAACACAGTGCCATTCATAAACCCATGCCACAGAATAACGTTTCTTCACCTCTGACGACTTCTGATAGTGGCAAAGCTTATCTTCAGAGTGCTTCATCTTCCAATGTGGAAGCTCTGTCAACAGTTGCAAAATCATTGGCACAAAGTACGCTTGAGCAACGGCCCTTTCCAACAGTAAGCCAAACAATGCCTTTCGGAAGTCCAAAGGACCTCAATTCAAAGGATACTCCGCCAGCAGTTCTACAACAACCATCCCAGCTTCAACCTTTCTCTCCAAATGTTGCTCCTCACACGCCTAATCCAGAACAATCTGCCACCCACAGACAAAAACAGAAGTTGCCAGTTATTCCTCCTACATCTCCGCAATATCAGCAACTTTTCATGCACCAACATCAGTTGTTAATTATGCAGTTCCAGCAGTACCAATTCCAGCTGCAAGCTCAGTATCAACAGCTAAGCCAACAACAAATGTCTCCCCAGCAGCAATTTCTTTTGCAGCAACAGTACCACCAGCAAATGATGCTTTTGCAACGCCAATTTGTCCAACAGCAGGTTCGTTTAACTGTCAGTCATCTAATTTCTGTGCCTACTATGTTTCTTTCGTCTTTGTTCTTGCAGCATTGATGTTCTTTGCTGCGTTTTCGGCAGTAGCTGTTATCATTTATTTTTCGTTTGTTGCTTGCCTTTTCAGTTGGCAATTTTCTCTGCAAACTTGAAACTTTTGTTTAAAACCTTCATTTTGTTGTGAATCAGAAAGTAAGTAGCTGTTTGTTTTAAAGGCCCAGCTTCAAACAATGGCATCTACTGGCATGCAGTTTTCAGAACAAGAACTTAATGTCATGTATCAACAACAGATGGTAGCTCAGCAGGCATACAAGCAGTGGGTGGGAACATTGTCACTTGACCAACAGGGACAGCTGCATGCAAGAATGCAAGCAAATATGCAACAAGTACAACAGGGCATGGCAGCCATCATGCAAAATACGTTAAAAAATGTATCAGAGGTGCTTCCATTTCTTAATTATTTCAAGTCAATGCTAATGTTTGTGCAGATTATTTTTTTGTTCAGATTTTGGTTGAGCTGCATTCAAGAATTCTTGACCGAGGTTTTTTTAGTTTGATCGTACCTTCTAAATGCCCAAAGCTACATTTAAAGATCCTGACAGGCTCTGCTCACCAGTCGGCTCTCTGATCTCTGAAGTCTCTGAATAATGATGATAATAATAATAATGATAATAATGGAAACATTTCATTTTCAATTCAACTTAAACTACAATTACAAATCTCACCATTAAAAGGTAATTTGCAATTGGCTAGCCTGGTTTTACAAAATAAGACTATAACAATCGTATTCGTAAAACTATAAAATAATAATGATGATGATGATGATGATGATGATGATGATGATGATGATGATGATGATGATGATGATGATGATGATGATGATGATGATGATGATGATGATGATGATGATGATGATGATGATGATGATGATGATGATGATGAGCAAATCTTTGTGTAGATTTAGACATCTTTCTATGCTCCTTTGTTCATTCAGTTGAGGACAAGACAGAATGCATCACTTCTGTTTCTTTTCAAACTAGGATTAAAAAAATGAATAGTTTTGCAACATACTTACTTCTCAATAAAGTAAAGCAGGTTTCACCAACAATTTAGTAAAGACCTTAAGGAGTTATAAGGGCTTGCAATTTCATTCAGATTAGACTATACTGTAAAGAGTTTTCAAGTAAGCTATGCATGTTTAGTAACAGTTCCGTGTTCACTTGCAGAATGCAAGAGATAAACCAAAGAAGCAGAGGGGTCGCAGACCACGCAAGTCAAAAGGAGATTCAGCAGACCCTGCGACTCCGGCACCATCTACACCCACGCAGCCACCAACTCCTGCCTCAGTAGGTGATGCACCTCAGCCACCCACTCCTAATAAAGATACGGAACTGGATGCTAAGATCAAGACCCAATTGCCAGCTAGTGCAACGTTGCAAATGCAGGGTTCAATGAAAAATGTTCAGAATCAGTCAAATCAAACTGCACTCTATGCAGGACAGGCAGTCGGCGTACCAAATCAAATTGATATGTATGCAAATGTTCATCAAGATCAAATGAAGCCTTTAACGACTAACGAACGTTTAGTAGGCCAAGCAAGCTATGTTTCCAGTCAGGCAAGTGTTGATCAGCGCATCCCAGCAGTGTCACGCTCAGACTGGCAACAGGCACAATTGCACAACATACAGCAGCAACAACAGCAGCAAAACCACGCACAGCAGCAACAACAATCAGCAGCAAAGTCGTTAGCGCAAACAAGTGTTCAAAACCAACGGCCCCAGTTGTCTAGAGTTGGAATTTCAGAAGGAAGCTTGCCTCTTCGTGATGTATATCAGGAAGTTGAGTTGAAAAGTAAAGTCGTAAGTAAGATGTCTGTTACTCCAGGTAGTCAAATTCCGCACACCAGTATTCAGGGATTACAAACAGTTGCTGTAGAGCCATGGAAAAATGCACAATCGAATCAGGTATCTAGTGAAAAGACTGAAAGTTTAACTCAGCGAATCCTTCAACCTCCTGTAAATTCTTCATCTGGTATCTATTTCCAAAATATTCCTGCTTCTGTTCGTATCTCGAATGACGTGGACTATTTTAGCCAATCCCAGCGGCAGACTCTCACGCAGCCACAAGGTCAACAATTGCAGAGTCCAACTTTTATCCACAACCAAAGTTCTATGTCAAACATTATCAGCACTCATTTTAATGTTACCACTGCAATAGTTACACAGCCAAGTACGGCAGTCATTGATAACAATTTACATATTATGTCAACTCAATCGACAACACCACAGCTGTCATCTGGTAGCTTACATCAGCAGCCGTGGGCTCAAACGACCACCATGAGCAGTGGTCAAAAACAGCAAGTACCTGACGCTTTTCCCCAAGCACAGCAAATACCTCCTACTGAACTACAAAGACAGGCAAGTGCTATTTATCCCCCAATTGCTGATCGCCCAGATGACCTGAGTCATGCACCCCAACCCTATTCACAATTGCAAAGTAGACCAGCTGTTCAAAATGACAGTCAAATTCCACAAAATTCTACAGTTCGAAGTCCTCTCCATTACCCCCCAGACTACATTCAACAACAATTGCAACAACAGCAGCTGCAACACCATCAACTGCAACAACAACCACCCCAACAACAGGTGCACCCGCAACCCGTTAGTTCAGTCCCGTATCCAATGGATCAAAGTGTTTCTCGTTACAATGCAGCAGGAGAGCCATCAGCAAAAGAAAGTCCTAAAGCAGTTACGAAAAAGAAGAAATCAGTGCAGGGCGCCCAGGTCCCATCTGGCAATGTTGATTTTAGTTTATTAAATCCTGAAGAACAGAAGAAGTTTTTACTTGAGAGAAAAAAGGAAGATTTTGAGAGAAGAAGAAGGCTATTGGAGGAGCAACGGCAAATGAAATTGAAAGATCAAGAAAACCAACGTACAGTGCCAAAGAAAATGGACAAGAAAATGCCCCGCACAAAACAACAGCGAAAAGTCAAAGGTGGTACTTCTAAAGAAAGGGAACCAATGCCAAAATCACCCGTTAGATTAATTCTGGAAGACAAGGGTTTAAGGTTTCCTCTTTGTGAACCAGAAGTACGTCTTCTGTATCCGTTAGTACAGCCATTTGGCAGTGGATATCTAAACGGTGACAAAATGCTTCTTGGCACGTTTGGCAATGCAACTGTTCAGGACCAGTTCGACTATTATGCACAGTTCCCATCTCCTAATCCGCCGGTTACATCAAGCAATCCTCCAACCCCGCCAGCATCACTTCCGCCATCGCCAGGAACCATTAACCAGTCACTGCGCGACAGCTTGCAGATGATACCAACAGAAGGTATTTTTGACGATATCATACAAAAGTCAGATCCGAACAAAAATGCCTTATTGTTCAGGCAGGATGACCGACAGCAGGACAGTTTTGGAGCCACATATTCAAATTCTAATCAACAGAATCGAAGCGAAGACCGAACTCGAGAGGACTCAAAGGAAGGCGTTCTAGTCACTTGACAATGTCTGGAAATGACCATCGAACGCCAAACGAGCGCGTGTCAGTTGTTACAGATATTTTAGGTGTTAATAAACCACAGACTATGGAAATTGTTGACGAAAAGCCAGGAAACCGCGCTGAAACAGCAGGAGAATCTTTACATAGGATGCCTTCTGCAACTTCAATTGGAAACGAAAACGATGTACACTTCAGTTGTCTAGATAATGGTAAATTCAAAGATAATGAAGGTAACAAGGCTCCTTTTTGTAAACATTGTGACATCTCGATACAGGGCTCGGGCTATATTCAATGCAAAGATTCGGACACGTTAGGGAAAGATTCTGCATGCGTCAGTGTGGATGATGCAAAGTTTGTAAAAGTGAACGTCGCATCGGGAGATGATTTATCGTTTGTCTTCTGCTCACAAATGTGTCTCAAAAGCTATTACTCTTTGAAATCACGTATGACATCTGGACCCGGCGAGGGCCTTTATAACGATGATAGTGGACAGTTTATTGACCCAGTACGTAGCGTTATACCTGTGTCGACAGGGGAAGCATCAAACTCTGGCTATCATGGCTCTGTCATCAGCACAATCGATGTTAGAGGGGAAATCGAAGCTGCTGCACCTGCGTCTGTGCTTGTCAAGAGAAAAGGCTTAATTGCCGAGGAACAAGTAAGTGCTGACCCAGAATATCTCTTCTAGACACTGCTTTACTGAGTTGGTTTCAACAGTTAACAAATTCCAACCCTTTTTTGACTTTATCGTGAATATTGTGTGTTACTGCTTCACTAACCTTTCATCATTTCTAGCTTGACAGAAAGAAGCCCCGGTTAGTCATATGGAAGCGATGGAAGATACTTTTTGATTCCAAGACAATGAGAAATGATGTTTCAAAATTGACAGCTGCAGAAGTAAGTTAATTTTCATCTGCGGTACGTTTAAAACCTATAGTTTTTTATAATTGGTATCAGTAGCATAATTACATATATGCCTTTTTAGATCATGTTTGTTGAGTAATGATAAGACATGGTTTAAATTTCTTTACTTTTTAGCTTCTGGAAAAATATGGTGGTGCATTGAAAGCAGGAGCAGACGCAAAAGATGAGCGAGAGTGTATGTTGTGTGGTGATGTTGGTGACGGAGTCACAGAAGGAACTGCCAGGTAATTGTTTTTGTGTGTAGCCATTGTGTATCCATCCACATCATTGTGATCTTGTATGTTTGCTGTTTCAATCACTGTATCGTAAGATCATTGCAAACCGTTATACAGTTATTAAGAATCCAAGCTGTGCATTAGGTCCCAGTTTCCTAATTTTGCCTGCTTTTACTGCTAAAAGTTGCTTAAAAGTTGCTTAAATACCATGTGTTAAAGAGCTACTTTTTAGAAACACGCAAATGTAAGATGGGGCAGCATGAAAAAGACACCTAATAAGTCACAAGGAGCTCCTCTTTCTATTTATCTATGTAAATATCAATTAAACAAAAAGTAGGTCCCTAATCTTCGAAAACAGTCTCTTCCTACTGCTCCTTAAAAGAATTATTTTCGAACAGTTTTTGAGATTGTGAGTAATCAGTACTATGGTTTCTCAATTTTTTATTTGTCCAAGAGCTCCGTTTCTTATAGACAGTTTTTTATAGCCGGTTACTTATATCCGGTTTCTTGTATCCGGTTTCTTGTATCCGGTTTCTTGTATCCGGTTTCTAATGATGTATGCAAGGAAAACCATTTGGTATGGTAACCTTTACTGTCTTGTCAAATAAGCCATTAGCCAATCAAATCAGGAGCACAAAATACATGTTGAGAGCCTAAAAATTAATTTTGTTTATTGATATTTCAGGTTGATTAATTATGACGTCAACATATGGGTTCACTTGAATTGTGCGCTTTGGTCTTTGGAGGTCTACGAAACATTGAATGGCGCCTTGCACAACGTTCAGAAAGCTTACGAGCGAGGGGTTCAAACGGTAACTTGTTGACCATCTTGTATATCAATTAATGATGCTTATTGCATTTTCTATATGTAACCTCATTGTAACCTCATTAGTGTATGTATTTTTGGAAATCTTTCTTTTGTCTCTTTTCCTGAAGAGACTCATTCACCCAGTGTATCTATTACATATACTTATGCTTTCTGTGGAATTAAGCAGTATCAAACATGTGACCAGGTTATTTTTCTTGTCGCCGTTTCTGCTTTCGCTATTTGTATGCCGTGTTTTTTGTTTCCTTCCATTGTTCCCTTTTTCTCTCTTATTTTCGATATACGTATCATTTGACTTAATCTATTGCTTTTTCGCATTCCAACTGATGAGCTATTTAGGGCTTTTCTAATTTTAAAAGCTAAATAAACTGTTAGGGAACCATATATCTTAATGAGTTGTAGCTGCTAAAATTTTAACTTGATCACTTCCTTTGCAGTCCTGTGTTTATTGTTCCAAGAGAGGTGCAACTGTCACTTGTGCCAGGGTAATTGGCTCCCAAATGAGGCGGTGCGAGATGAATTATCATTTCAACTGTGCAATAAAAGCGAATTGCGTGTTTTTCAAGGATAAGGTCAGTCTTCTTAAAGCTTTCTACCCAGCTGCATTTGTCAAATATTCTCTTACAGCTTCCATACATTTCTGTAAATCTATCTATCCGACTTCCTGGTACAACGTACCGCCAATTTTGTTTTTCGGTTCCATTCTGGCGGAAATTTGAAATCAGCATTGAGAAAAAACGACTTGATTCGAATAAAGATACGACGTTTTTTGACTGAATAGTGATTTTATTGGATTCCTGCGAGTTTATGGACTAATTCTCCATCTAATTTTTATCTGTCTTGCATTGCGTAATCAGTATCTAGTTGCTGACATTTCAAGTTAAAAAAGATTGGAATGAATTAATTGCCATTGTTGTAGATAGTCCAAAAACAATAGTTTTATTCTGACTGCAGCTTCTTAACAATAACACACAACCACCAAAACCCCCATCCACACTGATATTTGGCTAAGTTTTATATTTATTTCTTTTCCTCCAGACTGTACTGTGCCCTCAACATAAAAATTATGGATCGGTGGACCAGCGATTGCCTTCATATGCTGTCTTGCGAAAGGTTTATGTCAACAGGGATATCACCAAACAGTTAGCAAGGTACATTCCTTTTTGCCTGAATTAAAAACAGAGGCTCTTCACGAATTCCGATTTCATCTGCTTATCACAAACCATTTTAAATAGTGATTGTTTTCTGAACTTGTGAATGAAAACATAAGAGTATAGGTGATTTTGTTGTTTATTTGGCATTTATTTGGTACACTTTACTGTTTTAATCTTTCACATTGTCTATTCTGTTTAAGGGTTTTGAAACTGAACAACGAAAAAGAGCAAAGTGCGTTTACAATTCGCATTGGAAGTCTCATATTTCATGAGCTTGGACAACTCCTTCCGCATCAGTTGCATAAGTTCCATTCCAAGGATGCCATTTATCCAGTAAGCCTGTCGTTATTCTCTTTAATAGGAACCAAAGACAGCGCCAAGGCCAATTTTTGGATAAATTTCTTGATTAGGCTCTTTAAAGTACCAGAACAAGTGCCGTTTCTGGTACACTAGAGGCAATTCTATTCTGTCTTGTAAAATTTGATAGGCGTTTTAGGTATCATGATCAATTTTTAGGTATCATGATCAGCTGAAGAGTCGTTTTCTGTCTTGTACAGATTTGGTAGGCTTTTAAGCAGAGACCTTTTATGACATTTGCAGCTGGTGAACTGGAAGTACTGCTTTGAAGGTACTTCAGACTGGATTATACTCGTGCATCTGTTTTAAGACCAAGCGTTTTTGATTTTTTGTTTGATTTATTCCAGGTTGGTTTCAAAACTACGAGATTTTATTGGAGCACTGAGCAAATAGGAAAGCGTTGCTGGTATGTCAATTCAATAGAAGAAGTCGATGGCTCCCCTCATTTCGTAATCATTGTTAAAGATTCTGGCAAGAAGGTTGGAGAGTTCGCCGGCAGCACGCCTAAAGGTTTCTATTGCTTTAGCGATTTCATTAATTACCTTTCCTTTTTTGATGGAAATTTTGCTTAACGTTGGTATTACTTAAAATATCAACATCTTTAGTTATTGAGTGTATGCATCTCATGTTATTTTCGATTCATGTTGCAGAGGTTTGGAGTTGTGTCTTTGAACCTGTAAGAAAATTGCGCGAAGAAGCAAAAATGGTGAAGATCTTTCCAGAGTTTGTTACTGGCGAGGTAATAATTTGGTTAAAAATATTTTCTTTCGTTTATCAGTGTTGATTAATCGGGTACGTTAGCGAAAATAAGTCTACGTGGGTTTATGGAAGGACAATCACTGCACCTATGTAAAAGATCAGATTTCTTTGCCAAGGTCATTTCCCGACGTTTGTATTCTGAGTATCCTCTATTTCCGCATTTCCGTGCTTTCCTTACGCTTTGCTCTACCAAAGGATTATTATTCTCAAATACCTTATTTCAGAGGCCTTGAGAGATTTAATCTTTCCTAGAAACTGCGATGTACTTCATGCAATCAAATCACTTATTGCTCATTACAAGAAATTGCAAGCCAGTTTTGTTTATTTTCTTCTACAAAGAAGTTCTTTAAAGTGCATGTGAAATGTGATTTCACACAAAGCATAGTTTTTTTTTAAAGAAATTGAAACTTCTACATATTTTTGCAATATAAAAACGATTATTACCTCGAAAATTTGCACGGGAAGGTTTGTTTTGGGTGTTTTAAAAACAATGATTGCGAGTGACAAAGCGTAAGAATCAGTGACGTCAGAAGATTTGCAGTTGTTTCCGTCTTCACAAACACACCGTACCACTTAGTCAGGGCTGTTAGTCAAACAATTGTGCAAATTGTGCACAAAGGGATATATACTCTATCTGAAAATCGCCCCCTTGTTCTATTTTTAGACTGGGGTACATTGCCCACACCTTAATAGACGGTATTATCGTATTTCAGCCGTACTTTAGTACAACAGTATGAAACTTTGCAAAAAAGGAAATTTTGATGCGCTAAAAAAATTGGATATGGACCCTGACTCAAAGTTGACCCCTTCAGCTATTTTAACTGTAGTTCCAGTAGCGAACTCCATTCTACTTAGTGTATTTAAACCCAGCTGCAAAACTTTGTGATGTTTGCAAACTTTGTGATGTCACGGACAACGCGCGCTTTGTCACAGTCGAAAACGTGAAATTGGGATATTCAACCTAAATTTTTTAGACGGTTCCGCATGAAAAGAATCACCTCCACATTTATCATTGAAATCTGCAAATTTTGCTTATAAAAATTGTTTCTTTCTCTAAACTTGTCAAATTTGATTTCATAGGCACTTTAAGCTTGCGCAAAACAATTTTCTTTAAAAGATTCATGCAGATTCTAACGCACTCAAAATTTCCTGGCCACGCTGTTCCCGTGTTCCCATACTTCATAGGCATCTATCTTGTACACATTTTGTACCATTAAATCTTTGTTCCACCTCAATTCAAAACGAATGCTTTTTTAGGATTTGTTTGGTTTGTCGGATCCATCAATACAACGGATTATCGAATCAGTAAGTTGTCTTAGCTACCTTTGCATCACTCGCTGCCAGTCCTAAATATGCCCGTCAAATGGCAGCGATTTCGTCGCCTAAAACAATAATAGGGTTTGTTTGAGATTTGCTAATCGAGTTATTTGTTTACATAGTTTTTCAATGCCAATTTATTCAAAGTGAGTGAAACTTTGAAAAAAGTGTTTCTTTGTCAATAAAAAGCTTAGCTGTATTTTTCTGTTATAGTACCTAGAACTGCTCATACATCAAAACGAGACGAAGCAGCCTTCAAAAAGCGACTTCTAGTTTGAAAACATCCGAAATTTGGAAAATTAAAATCATCCGTGGCGTATTGAACCTATTTTATTTCTAAATGTAACCTTTGTCATCAGAATGAAAGTTAGGCTATTTTTAGCATGTTCCGCGGGTTATAATTATGAATACATTTTCAGCTGCCTGGTGTGGACACAATTCACGACTTTTCCTTTCGATTCGGAAGAACGCCAATGATAATGGCCGAACTGCCCTTGGCAGTCAACCCAACTGGCTGCATTAGGTCGGAATCAACACGCAATGTTCACCTAAACAGGTTTGCTACCGCATTTTTTTAAGTAAACATTTGATAATGCCATTCATAAAGGAAAATTAAATGCTTATTCAGTCTCTGTATGTGTTTGCACAAACTGCAACAAGTGTATTTATCTTTCGTGTGCAGAAAAAGAAAGCATGAAGTGCGAATGTCTTGATTTGACCAAGTTTTTTTAAATTGACTTTTTCAATTTTTCAACTCTCAAAATTATGCAGCCTGCTTCTGTCCCTGTTTTCTTTAGTATTAAATGCTGCATTTCAAGAACTGTATAACTAGGTTCTTCATCAGAGTCTGGTTGTTGCAATCAAATATCTAAAATAATTTTGATTCTCCAAAGTGTGCAACGATTTCTTTCTTTTTTTAATAATAACAACAATTTTAATGCATTGATGGCCTTTGCTTGTCCTTAGGCCAGTTTCGCTGAGAACGGCATCCTCCACCCCGGCTGATAGAGTTGAACGCTGTGATTTGTTAATCGACGAAGGCAGTCAAGGAAGTCTTTTGAGGAACAGTTGGGCTATATCGAAAACAGCACAGTATCGCAGAATGAAAAGTGAATGGAAGAACTACGTTTTGCTGAGCAAGTCGAGAATTCAGGGTCTTGGTCTCTTTGCGATCCGTGATATTGAACCAGTATGTACAACTTTCTATCTTCCAACTTGCAATCTGTATTTTGCATTTCAAACTGGTATCTGATTTGTCTAACATCGAGCGAATCATAGCGATTTGACCAACAGAAAAAACCTCGTAAACATATTCATTTTTACTTGAATTCTTATCCATTTGTTGCTGTCGATTAACTGCTTCCACTTTTAAAACTAAATCATGCATCAATGGAATATTTGATTCAAATGTATTTTCTCTTATTGTTGTTTCTTATTCGTTTGCAGAACACAATGATTATCGAGTATATTGGGTCAATTATTCGCAACGAAGTAGCAAACAAACGAGAGCGGATCTACGAGAACAGCGTAAGTAATTTTGTGTATGATTTTTGCTAGTACCCCTTCAACGTATATTGTTTTAGTTTCTCTCGTCTGTGGTAAGGAGAATGTTTGTTGGCTGGCGATATTGTTTGTTCGAGTTTGTAGATGTCAACCTGGCAAAGTTGGTTTTCAGTAGCTGCTTTTTCATCGTGTTGATATTGCACGAGTTACGTAATGACAATTGTTGTCCCCAACCTAACTGACTTATGTTGTTAATTAACTCGTTTTAGATGTAATTATATGGCAAATGTTAGCGACTGGTTTTCTTAATTTCATCAGATTTCTTGTTCAAGTGGTTCTTTGGTGTTATATTGCTGTATAACCCTTAGCAAATTTATGCCTACTGTTTTAATGTTGCATCGTCTGTTCAACGTATGAGCAAATCTTTTACACCGGCCGTTGACATCTTCTACTTGCAGTAATGTACCGAATTTTTATTTTGCAGAACCGCGGTGTTTACATGTTCCGAGTTGATTCAGATACCGTCATTGATGCAACCCTGACGGGGGGTCATGCCAGATACATAAACCATTCTTGCGATGTATGTACATTACAGCAAAATGCCTGCTGCAAATAATTTTGCTACGCTCACGCCTTCCGTATTTGTTATTATTTGTTTTAATTTCATCTTCTTTTTGAAAATCCGTTTTCATCTTCGAAGAATTCCAAAATGGTTTCCGAAATCACCATAAAGAAATTTATGCTCACATATTAATGTTATACTTTGCTGCTCAACTCACTTGCTTTACCTTTCTCTTTGTTTGAATGAAATGCCTGTGACTTTGTCAAACTCGCAGTTAGAAAGAAAGAGGAAAATGCACATTTGAGAAAGACATTTTGAAGCAATTTATGATTTTCTTGTTTTGTTTTCAAGAGAGTAATGTTGTTTGTGACTATGAACTTTGTTTTTCTTTGCTCAGCCTAACTGTGTTGCCGAGGTTGTCATTATTGAAAAAATGCCAAAAATAATTATCATTTCAAACCGAAAACTGGAGAAGGGAGAAGAGGTGAGTTACTGTGTTTAATATGAATTGAATTTTCTGATCCAAAGACTGTTTTCTCGTGTCGTTTTCGCTTGACCTTTTTTTATTATTCTTCTTAACTTTAATATTGATTAAAGGAATTGGTGTCTTAAAATGCATATATATGTGCATGTTAAACATGGGTTAGAATTGAATTTTAATGACTGAGAAGAGAATAAAACAGCAATTCGCTTATCAAGAGTGCAAAAGCCATTCAACTTATGTCCAGGCTATTAAACATTATTGATTGGTTGCTGTCAAGAAGAGTAAAACCCATTTTCAATATTGTTTGATAAAACCTAAACCTGTCGGTTGATTATCTTAAGCCTCGGAACATATGCTGTGATAACGCTCAACAAAATTGCTCATTTCCTCACTCTAAACCCCGCGTGCTCAAGATCCAAAGCATTTCTTCTCGAATACTGCGATAAGCCGCTGTTAAAGTTGAGCCCGCCCTCTCTAAAACCTTTTCTGTTACAAGAAAAAGTTTAGAAAGCATTATTTTCTTCAATGAGACATAATAATGGCACTAGCAGGTTTTCTTTTTATACCAAGGTCCTTTTCAAGTTGTTGAACTTTATGAATTCTCTACATTAGTATGATTGGAGTAATCCGATTAGCTCGCAGGATTTAGGACTAATGCTTAAGTTTATTTCACTCATTTGATCACTAAGTGGATCGTGATGTAGTAATTTTTTTCGTAAAGCTTCCTGCTGATAGTGATTGCGCCAATGGTTTTAATTACCGATTTGTTTTTTAGCTAACATATGATTACAAATTTGAGTTCGAAGATGATCAGCATAAAATCGCCTGTCTTTGCGGAGCCGCAAACTGCCGAAAATGGATGAACTAGAGCTTGCAACTGACGCTGGGCTCTTGCTAAACTGCATGCTCATTATGCCTGTTGTTATAGTTGTGTTTGGCGATGTATGTTGCAACCCGAAGGTTGTATCGTAACAAGACCTGATTTTTAGCTTTTTTACATTTTAATTGTGTTTTATTTCTCAAAAACATTTGAATATTAGACTTCAATCTTATTTTACCCAGGGCTATTTCACTCCTCACGGGCAATTGTTGCTTATGAAGATTTTAGAATAAATATAATGATTAATAAGTCCTAATTGATAAGTCATAATTGATAAGTCAAAATTGACAAGCTGGATAATATTCTCACCAGGTTTTGAGAAGGATTATTTCTTGATCTCAAAAATCAAATTTTGATTAATTCACAACTTAAAGTAATGTTAGATCCAGTGTGTTAAATCTTCAAAGATATGATCTGGGGTTATTTTGAAAAAGCGATTTCTGCCCAAATCAGAAGAGAAATCTAAGTATGTAGTTTCTAAACGGTGGTTGTTATAAGCGGCCTTAGTGTTTTTATGTATACGCCTAACTTGTAAATATAGCCTCGTGTGGGAACAGCGAATCTGTTTGATTCTGTTGCCACGTTTTGACACCGCCTCCGTAAAGTCTTATATTTTGATCAAGATCGGTTGTTGTCCTGTAAAAATATTGGATGTAAAAGTTATCCTAGGCAATTGTTTTGTCGTAATTGTAGATTTTCATGCCTTGTATGCTCCAATCAACTTGCTAATCACGCGATAAAGAGGTATATAATATGTATCTTCAGTTTAATTAATTATGTAAGTGATTTACAGTTTTATTAAGAAAATAGATCTCGAATTTGTGTCGTATTTCATAAATTAGATTGTATTTTAGAAATGGCAGGGTATTTAACGGTTCTCTTTAATACCAGTCTTGTTTGTTTTATCATTCGAATCCTCTGGTGTTTAGCTCACCGAGCGTCGAACAATCATAAATGGTAACAAGTGAATTGTTTCTCTGTTTTGTACGCTTAGTTGGTTTCATGCCTGACCTAGCTTATGGCAAGGATGAATATGGAAAAGTACAATCACTCAAATCCTGCTGGGATCGGTAGATCCAACCCTAACTGCATGCATTCAGAATATTTTATTCAGTGATGAAAATATTCAAATATTTCTAAAAATATCTGAAAACGTTAAAGTTCATTTGCCAATATGACTGCATTACGCAAGGTTGCCTTGAATGAATGATCGTTGTATTCAATCAAGTAAAATATGAGATTTTCGATTGGGTTCTGTTTGTTAACGCAATACACAGGACAAAAGTTACCAAAACAAAGCTTAAAGGCATCTTCGGGATTATAGCTTTTTCTGATTAGATGGACTTTTTATGTTTCTAATCCGTTTTGTGTTTGCAGCAACAAAGTCTGAACCAAGTCTGAACCTTCTTGGGATTAACGAGTAAAAATTGTTTGCCTTTTATTTGGACCAAATTCTGCTGCTTCTTAAACAGTGGGAAGTTTGTTAAATGGCAGAAATGAAGACAGGTCGTTTTGCAGTGCATGGTATTCGGATGGGAAGTATTATACAGACTGACTAGTTTACTCTCGAGAGACGATAAAATGGAACCAGGCGTTATAGAAGATATCAACATGAACATGTTACATATTAACATGAAGGATCAAATGTGCCTCTAAAATGTGGCAGTTGGAATACATTCAAATATGTTTTTTGATACTGGCAAATGAAGTGTGGCATGTGCCAAGCAAATTCGGCTTCACAAGAAGAAAATCGAACAAAATCGTGCCATGAAGCTTGTAATTGTTCTTGCGTAGTCGCAACGAGTTTTTTTGGAAGAGGCCATCGGGCCGGGAAACCCTGTCTCATGAAAACATTGCCAAAAGCATACCCCGTCCCAAATCTTGTGATATTTACCACTAACAATTGTAACTAAAACATGCTCATTCTAAGAAAACCCAAAAAACTGAGGCTACGTTCACACTACTTCGTTTTCGTTTCGCTCCGTTTTCGTTGATGAAAACGCTGTCCGTTCACACTTATTGAGTACGGTAAGTAAAAACGCTGTCCGTTCACTACTCCAACAAAAACGCTGTTGGAGGCCTCATTTTTTGAAAGAGGCGTTCACGAATCCTCAACAAATTAGTGTCATTATAAGTGAAATTAAAAAAAAGCAAATCGTGAAAAATTTTATTGTAACAGCTACCAGTCCATTGTGAAATCTCAATTTCAAGCTTTTTGAGATTTGGTGTGCTAGAAGGCACGTATTTTGTTGCCGTTACCCTGTCCCAGAATTTTGATGAGGTCAAGTATGAATACTCCTTGGGGTCCAGTGGTAAACGAAGGTAATTAATTGTAAACTACAAAAATTCTATCCTGGATCATCTCGACCGTGATAATGATAATTAAAGGTATGCAAGCATCAGCATACAGAGAGATTTGATAGTTTATGCTACAGCCATTGCAATTGAAATTTGAAAGTAACGATGAATGATAAGACGTTCCGATTTTTTCTTTTCTGACATTGCGAGTGGGATTCATGCATCCACACAACTGTACATTGTCTACTTGTTTTTATTCATACTCAGTGCTGAACTTTAAATCACGTTATATGACATTACATATCCTGCATGCCACTTTATCTGCATATCCTGTCTATCATAGACATGGATGAATGATAGTGTGACAGAAAGTTGCCTGATTCCTTGTACCATATCATTTCGGATTCTTTATCCGGATTCCGTATTCCCGATTCCGTGTTTTAAAGGTAGCCATTTTGTGTTCTCTACATAGATATCTTATCTCTTTCAGTGGTGGCGCCAGAGGGGGGTAGGCCATAGCCCCCCGTCGGAGTTGCTTAGCCCACCCGTCGAAAGATATACGAAGAAAATCTATAATTTTGTCTCAGCAAGATTTTGCTACCGTTTGTATAGTCTTTAAGAACAAAAAGGAGTAACGGTTACGATTACTGAAATCCCACTGAGTAAAAATGTACAAACAGGTAACTCCCAAGTAATTTACGCACCATATCGGGAAACCCAACTCAACCCTCTTTCGGCATACCAAACGGCAATTGGACTATCAATATAAGTAAAATTCTTAAAGACCACTGGGACGTAATTTTAGAAGATAAAAAACTAAAACAAGTATGGAAACAGCCCCCTATACTAGCATTAAAAAGACATATAAACATTGGAGACCTAATAACCCACGCTTTGGGAAACATTGATTTAGTGTACATCGGAGCAACGATCAATGCAATCACTAATAAATCCATCCATCGATGAACGTGTCATTTCCAACTTGCGTCGCATCTTATTTTACGTGCAGAGAACACGGAGCCAGAGATAAGACTATCAGGCGTATATTAAAGCATGATTATTCGCGACTATCCTTGACGAAATGACAAACTAAAATTTACATGCATTTATACACCTCGTTCAGCAAAACAAAAGTCTGTGCGCAGCCTAGATCAATAGCTGAGAAGAAAGATGGGATTAGCATGTTTTAATTAGCGACGTACTTTGATTGTTGCGGAGCTGTGACTGGAATGAATGAATGTAATGGGCCTAGCATAAAAATCAAAATATTGTTACAGTAAACCCGCCCCCCCCCCTTCCCCCTCTTTCAAGAGTTCTGAATCTTTTCTCAACTCAGCAGACTCGGCATTTTTGGTGTTTACTGGGCAGATAAGGTGGTGGTGTCGCGAAACCTCTTTGTTAGCAGGCTCTCGACGTTAGATTTCACCCTCAAAAAACAACTGTGATAATAATTAACATGAAAAACTGTATTAACATGAAAAAAATTAAACTTGGATATACGATTAAAACTAGTTAAGAACCTTGTAGGTCTCATGCAAAGGACAACGACTAAGCATAAGTTGAATTCGAAGTGATTCGACTTACTTCAAGGATTTGTCTGACATAGAATAGGGCACAAAGTGGACGTTACCTAACGAGGCCATAAAAATTCCGAAACTAAGGTATTATAGAAATAAACGGTAGGAAGAAGTATACAAATTTAACTAAATTGATTACAGGTAAACAACTTAATACAACGTAAACAACATAATTAAAACTGAATAAGCCGTAATTAAATTATTTGAGTAATCAAAAGTCTTTAGCTTGTTCGCAGTAAAAAGTCATAAAAGTACCGTTCTTTGTAACAGTGGTATAGATAAAGAAGTCAATGATCGTCAATGATTTATTTCATTGTTTTCATTTTCATTTCGATTTGATCCTCTTACTCCTTAGCAGGTTAATATTTCAACTGTTAAATCTCAAACCTAAGCCAGTAAGAACCAAACTTCACATTACAATATTTCAGGGCTGGGTGCGCGAATAATGAGAATAGCGTTTCGCCTGTGGATATTTATTCTAAGAGTAAGGTTGTATTGTAAAGGTAGAAAATTCCAAAATTTCCTCACCTTCTGCGGCAACCATGGTGCCGCCTCAGGCAGTAACATTCGTGTACTTGTTTATTGCGGCACGGGCATCTGCAAACATCATCAAAGACTTCACCTACCTAAGCAAAATTGGTCCCTTTTCTGTTTAATGATTAAATGACGTCTTTTTTTACCCAGAAAAGTTTAGAGCGTTGAGAATATTGAAATAACACGAAAAAAGATCTACTTTAAACTCTCTTAATATGTTTTTTTTCTGTTAGAAACATTGTGTTAAAAAGCGAGTCCTCCACCAAAAATAATAATCCCGCTCTAAAGAGCTGCTATTTCTTGTTTGTATAATTCATGTCCTGTCATAATCTTAATATTTTTGCGTCTGGGATTCTATGTTTTCACTCCGATTGTCTAGCATCCCTATCAGAAGGTCAAGCCCTCCGTCGAAGAATTTCTAGCGCCACTTCTGCATATACGTGGAAAAGCTACGTGGAGAAGCTACGTGGAGAAGCTACGTGAAGAAGCTACGTGGAGAAGCTACGTGGAAAAGCTACTTGGATAAGATAAGTTGAGAAGCTACGTGGAAAAGCTACGTGAAGAAGCTACGTGGAGAAGCTACGTGGAGAAGCTACGTGGAGAAGATACGTGGAGAAGTCACGTGAAGAAGCTACGTGGATAACATAAGTTTCGAAATAAAAATGTTTTGATCTGTCAATCAAATCGTGTATACCTTCTTTTAAAAATATCGACGACAAGATAAAGGTCAAGCATCTTGCCCCGCTTGGTCTGAATATCATGGAAATATCTTATTGACAGTGAAAAGGGGCTACGCGTTTAATAGTTATTACCGAGAAGCTACGTGGAGGTTATTACAAGCCCTGGGGCAAGACATCGGAAAAGACTTTCCTGCGAGCAAAAGGAGCAGAAAACTTTTGCGACCACGCCCTTTTGTTTAGCTGAAAAGACATTTTTTAAATGTTTTACTCTTCTTGGGCATAATTCTTTTATGCTTGAATAATTCCATTCTTAAAAATTGAATTCATTACTTCAAAAGGCCCATAGAACCTCAAAGCCCTAGGGAAATTTTCCCCTTTGCCCCTGCCCCCCTCTTTGTGGCCCTGGCTATTTGATGCCTCTCAGATTCCTAATAAACCACGGTGCTGGGCGACAGTTTTTGATAGCGCCTTTACTCAAAAGGACATTTGATAAAAACAAAACCCTCTAAATTTGTTTTTTTTTAATTGACTCGAGTTGGTCAAGTTGACGCAGATTTTTTCAAACTTTTTTTGCAAATGGTGCCTGGACACTCACCTTAAGTACAATATTTAGCAGTTTTACTGCTTACACCCTTACGATTTACGAACAAGTTAAGAACAATCAAGCCTCATATTTCTAATGGTTTTAATGGTTTTACTCAAAGTCAAAAAGCCAGCCTGAACTTCAATTTAATGGTTCTTATAAAAATGGTTTTGAAGTATGCAATTACACGGACGATACAATGTTATATGTTGGAGATAAGAACCTTAGGAAAGTGCTCTCAAAATTAGAGGATGACACGCTTTTACTGTCAGAATGGTTCTCTGACAATTTCATGAAACTAAACAAAGAAAAGAGTCATCTTTTGATTTTTGGAGCAAAAAATTTTGGAATGACACTAAATATTGGTGCCTTGCAAATAGCAGAATCTATATCTGAAAAATTACTTGGTGTAACATTAGATTCCAAGCTAGATTTTAATGCTCATATTGATCTTTACTCTATCAATCTCTATCAACTCTTTGCCTTAGCAAGGGTATCCAATTACATGGATACGGAGAAGGTCAAACTGATAATGAGGTCTTTGAGTGTCATTCCAGCTATTGTCTGTTAATTTGGATGGTTCTGCATCCGCAAACAATCGAATTAATAAATTTCAGGAAAGAGCTAAGTTGCGAATTGTATACAGAGACACTGAATCCTCTTTTGATGAACTTCGTTCAGTATCAGTTCACCAAAGAAATTCGCAGTTGCTTATGATAGAGATATATAAATAAAACCAAAAATAGTTTGAATCCATCTTTCATGGAAGATATTTTTGTCGAAAGATAGAACATATCATACGAAACTGCTCATGGTATAGAAAACATACGATATGTTGGAAGCAGACGTTGGCAGCACATTACCAAATGAAACCAAAAAGCCTCGCACCCTAGAAGTCTTCAAGGGTCGCATCAAAAATGGACTACAGACAAATGCAACTGCAAGCTTTGCATTACTTTTATAACAAACCTTGGTTATATTTAGTTGGCAATATCTAGTTAGCATTGAATTATTTGTATGCATAAATTATTTGAATTATTTATTTATAAAATATAATAAATATTTTTAGATTTTAGAATTAGTGTTAATAGGCTCTTTCTGTATATAGTTGGCTTTAATTAGCACTGCTGCTATTATAATCGCCAACTCAAAATAAATTGTATTATTGTCATTTTTAGTAACAGTTGTTTTTCCTCTTTTGATGCAAACTTTTGCTTAAAATAAATTGGCTGGTTGTTTCAACCAATAATCTATCATACTAATGGGAGATTGCTGCCATTATTGGCTGTGAGAGTTGAGGATCGAGCTTTGAAAGGCACGCAACTGATCTCGGCTTGCCGTATGTTATAAAAGTTAAAATCACCTGAAATCATCTGAAACGACCTGAAATCACCTAAAATCACCTGGAATCATCTGCAATCACCTGCAAATCACCTGAAACCACATGCAAATCACCTGAAACCACCTGTAAATCTCCTGACAGTTAGCCGGAATTCCTGATTTCCCCTATCACACCTTAGTTGTGCAGCAGTTATTCCAATTGTTCCCTTGCAATGAATAGTGAATAATGTTTTTGTTATAACACATGTTCAAACTTTTCCATATGACACAAACTTGTCATACGGAAAGGAAACCGAAAATCGAAAATTTGGACTGAGACAAAAATACATTTAAATATATTCGTTGCTTTGAAGATTCTTGGAACAGTTTCCATCACTACCTGCGAATGTGAACGATCCATATCTGTTCTACGACGGTGGAAAACATATTTAGGGAGCACCATGTCCCAAGAAAGAATGAATGGATTGGCTCTCCTTTATATTCACAGAGATGTTAAAATAAATCGTGTTAATCTGAAAAATAAATTCGCTAGAAAGCATCCAAGACGCATGGAAATGCTTGACATTTTAGATAAAGAATGATGACAAATTAAACTAGCCTTTTGAATTTCCATTATAAATACACCTTTGCATAATATTTATATTTTATCACAAGCATGTACATAGAGACTAAAATTTAAGAGGAAACCGGTCAAAAATTTAGCTAGATCCGCGCCTGATGTGAGTGACACTTCAATTATTAATTATTGTAACCCCCACCCCCTTGTTACATTAGTTCAACCTCGCTTTAAGCTAGGACACCCGATTTTCTAACTTCCAAGAAGAAGAGATCCAACTTTTGCAAAAATACCTCTCAGTTCTCACAACCTCGGGATTGAAAGCAGTGGATTCGGAATAAATCCGAATCCTAGGACTGATATTTGGTTACTGTATCATTCATTGAAAGGGAAGGGGTTAATAGGTACCAAGTAACCAATGGTATTTAGAGCAGTTTCGCTATTTGAGTGATCCCTGTAATGGCTTCTCGTTTTGATGAAGATTATTTTGACTCATTTTAACCAAAAGAAGGTCGGTATTCAAAATATGATCATTCTAAGGAACTTGCATACTTTCATTTTTGGTAAAACTCGAAAATCACCCTAGTGGGAAATAATCAAAGTATTTGGATGGAACAAAGGCGCGCGATAGAGCGGAATTATCACACCAGTGGAATTATCAGTCCTTTATGCGAGACAATAGATTTAATCCCATTCATGAAAACAATGTAGGTGATTTACAGGTGATTTCAGGTGATTTCAGGTGATTTGCAGGTGGTTTCAGGTGATTTGCAGGTGATTTCTGATGATTTCTGATGATTTCAGGTGATTTCTAGTGATTTCAGGTCGTTTCAGGTGATTTCAGGTGATTTTAACTTTTATAACATACGCTCAGCTTGCTTCATTTGCAGTAGGCAAGTCACGTGACCAGCTACTGAGAAATAAAGAGCCAGGGCGGTTCGGCGAGCGCATGCCCAAATGTATGTTGATGTATCTCGGCGCAATTCGTTGAGATTTATAGCATAATTTCGGACATCAGAACTTTTTAACAGCAAGGTTGAAACCGAGTTGAATGTATATATCAGGGCCTACGCCACGAATTTGGGGGGCCAAGGCTAGCAAATATAGAGGGCCAAGGCCCTTTCCCCTTTTGCTACAGTCTCAAAACTACTTGATTCGCAAAAAGGGGGACCATGGCCCCTCCGGCTCCCCTACGGTGGCATGGGCCCTGTATATTTCATCTATTTGATAACATATGTAACACGATCACTGTGAAAAAGTATCATATTTTCACTAATATAAACTTCCTTTTGAAATTTGGATTGAATTGGTAGAAATTCCTCTATAAAAACACAATTTTAACAAACTGTACAATATATTTACTGGTTCCGCGGTACAGATCCCAACTTTCAAGGAGATAACTTCATTTCAAATAACATAACATTGCATCAATCAAAATCACTACTACACTTCAACAATTCCCAACCAAAACTGAACCAATTGTTTAAATTTAAGTAAATATAATACACACTAAATTTCCCACAGCATAATATAAAAGAACTGTGAACGCATTATTGAAATTATCCTCTAGTTAGTTATAAAACAGATATGCGCATTAACATAAACATACACAGTAACAGCAAACTTACACAACACAAACAACTCTCGTCAAGAATCTGCAGCTTTCGGGGTTTATTCCCTGGTCTCCCACAGGGGTGTTGCCTGCTCACCACACCCAACACCGCATACCCACTTCAACGGCTCACGCTACGCCTTTGGGTACCTGGCAGATTAGAATTATCTGGCATACAGACATCATCAAACAGTTTAGAGAACCTTGACAACACCTGCGGGTAGTTAGTTACGGTCATTTCCCTGTCTATATAATGCTTATTCAATGAGACTTCAACACTAAGCAACCATTGAAGCCTACAACCGCATGGAGCACATAAACAGGATTATACGCTTGAAGTAAGGACAATGTTATGCTGGCTCAGGGTAATGTTGAATTGATCTAAAGCAACATGTTGAATATGTCACCACCGCGATGAACCATTTCGCTCCATTTGGATCTGATACAATCGATGTAGCCCCGGGATCTTGATTTAGCTGGTACGTAATCTACACTCAATTCGTAAAAGAGCAAGTTAATTTAAATTCAGGCTTGTTGTTTTTAATTTTTCCAAATCTATGAGGTTGAATCGTTTTTAACTTATCTTAGATCATTGTAAGTTAAAGAAATTCAGACAATGATAAATACTTTCTTGCTGAAAATCATCGAACGAGCCAAGTTCAGTTATAGCTTTTTCAATACAATTAGCAAAATGAATTCCCTGTCATGAAAGATATATAGTAAATACAGTCTTCAGAGAACATTTGCGTTCATTTCAGCTGCGTATTTAAATAGAAACCTGCAAGTAACTAAAATCGTTTCTTGTGATAGAATTATCAAAAGCTCGAATTAAGTTTTCCTGCATGAAATTGAGCTTTCGTTTTAATACAAAATTTGCAACTTTTAGCTTATACTGTTCTTTAATAGCTGATTGTTCTATTTGATATTACTCAAAACACGTGCATTTCAAGTATTCTCTTTGTGGCTGTAGCCAACTGCTATCTTTAGATCTTTTTCAGATTGTGGCAGTTCAATTTCCAAAGCAGTTGAGATCGAATCAAATTTAGCTATCTTAAAAACAGATATCTGATTTCGTTCTTGGCAGACAAAATTGTTTAAACTCGAATAATCCGGGTGAACTTGATGATATTTGGGCGGGAAAACTGCCTACTGCAGCTGGTTGTCATGTTGGACCAATACATGCGCATATATAACGGGGGTTGCTTCATCTGACTCCTGATTCAGTTCTTAATCGCGCGAAGAGTTTGCTTGTTTCTAACCATCGTCAGAGAACTATACTGTTAGATTTTGGCCACATCTAAGAAGTGTTAACTGAAAAATTTTGAAACATAGCAAGCCATTTTGGTATACGTATATTTTTAGCGGTACGAGCCACAAAGAAACTGCTAAAAGCTATGGAAGACATCGATTTGTCGAACGAGGCTGAAGAATCGCCAGAAACGACCGATGTTTGAATCGTCATATTTCAGTCCTGTGGAACATGGTATCATTATTGCAATTTACATGTTGATAATAGCAGTATGTCTGCTTGGGAGCTGCCTCGTATGGGTCGTCGTATTAAACAAGCCACAACTACGCAGTCCAATGAACTACCTCTTGCTCAACATGAGTATGTCAGATATCGTGTCATCCCTTTCACTCTACCCTTACCTGTTCATCGTCGATCCAACAAAACTTACAAGTTCAAACGTTATTCTCTCAAAGTTGTGCATGTTGACGGAAGGTCTGACTCCATTTTTTGTTGCCTCCGCGACGTCGCTGCTCACACTTTGCGCAATTGGCTTCAACCGGTACATGGCAGTAAAGTATCCAATAGACCAAAGTTTGCGTATGGGGAGGAAATCTGTCTTGATATTCAGTGGGCTTGCATGGATTTTTGGGCTTGTTTGCATGATTCCTGGAATGATATCCTTCAAATGGGATGATAAATTCAAGACTTGTGCCCGAAACTGGGGCTTGATCAAAAGCACGCCGTACCGATTATCAATCATGCTTTTGGGTCTAGTTCTTCCCATGTCTTTCCTTCTGCTTAGTTATTTTGGAATATTTTTGAAAGCAAGAGAAATTATTCCTTTCAATGGACCTATGGCAAATACATTCTGGCGCACAAGAATGCAGCTTCGAAAGGCAGAGAAAATGCTCGGCGTTCTTATTCTAGTCTACATAATCTGCTGGTTCCCATTCATAACATACTGGCTTCTGGCCACAGTGTCAAACTTCTTTCCAGAGACTTTGCAGGGTGTGCAAAACAGTCTACGTTGGCTCCGCATTACTGTTCTTTTTTGCTCCCTAAATGGAGCATTGAATCCATTTGTGTATACTCTTGGCAGCAGTGACTTAAAGAAAGACATGAAGATCTTTGCCCGTTCAGCGATTCAGAGGGTTACCTGCAGGACAGGAGCGCGTGTTCACCCAGCTACAGAGGATAGAATTCAATAGGGAAGCATTTGGTAAGCTTTGTGAATATTCTACTTCTTAAAGTTACTAAAATATGTAAGCATGTACACTTTTTATAAGAAGAAAACTTTTAGAGCAAGAGCCTCAAAATTGGTCAAAAATTAAGAAAAAAATTCAAACAAGCCGAGCCTAAGATTCTATAAAATGTAAAAATGTCAGATCATTGTTATCAAGGATATCTTGTTTATGAAATAGAATAACTTTTGCTAACGTCACAATACCTGAAAGATACCCATCCAACGTTTTTATGCAATAAGATATTACCTCGTGTTTACCTTTTTTTTAATTTACACCCAAATAATCCAGCTACAGAACTTCGAAAAAATTAAAAGCAGCTAGTCTGCACCGCAATGTGTCGGTGCTTATATTAGAAAAGAGTGTATTCGCAGACGAAATATGGTGCAGCTTTTATTAATAAAACTTTTGTAATTATTCAAAAGATGCACGTCTTTAAACACTGTTCATTCTTAAAAGAGATGCCTCTTGATGACACACGGAAAGAGTTTGTTCAATTTGATTTGTTTTCCTATAGCTTAGAGGAGGAAAGGGGGAGAGTGAGAATGGTGTGAAAACTCCAAAATATTCTAACAGCATAACCTATAAGTCGTTTCTTTTATTAACGATGAATGTCTAAATCCATGAATAACTTTGACCAACATGAGAATAGGATCGAAGAAAATCTTAACTTAGATTTACTGGATTAAACTAATAATGCTTTTTGAAACAGATGTCAAAATAGAAAGAGATATTTTATTTGAGCATTAAAAGTATAAACACCTGCTTTAATTCCATTAGAAAAATCAAAAGTTATAGTATTTTTTAAATTGTAAAATACCCATTTGCAGGGGGTGCATTCTTTCAAGTTCTGAAAAAGGTTTGCGTTAAGATAGAGTAAATCTGTCGGGGAAGGGGGGAAAGGAGATGAGGTCACTCCTGGCATCTTATTTAATTAAATTAGGCTAGATGGTATCAAGGCTATTTATTCTCTTAGTTTTATCCTATCTTACTCAAATCACACATTAAAACTGTGCTTCTCCAGTCTCTCCACACTGTACTGCATTTAGCAACTAATCTAAATCCGCGTTTGTGTATGTGACAGCTTATAAAAGGATTTTGAGCTTATTCCTCTGCTTCTTTTCAATGTATGATTAAAACTGTAAATTACGGCTACGATGTATATATTTCTGGACTGCTTGTATATATTTCAAAATTTTGTAATTAGCTAATCTCTTGTTAGAATTAGACAGATTCAATTGCAAATTGTAATTTTTTCATTGCCCCTCTCCCCCCCCCTTGAAAACAGCCTTATCTGAAGGGGTAACAGTGCTTTGATAATGCGAAAATAAGATGAAATGAAATTTACAGTAGAATCCCGTTATAACGTACTCGGTTATTACGTGGTTTCGGATATAACGTACTGGTGTGCTTGGTCCCGGCAAAAGGTGTGCTTGGTTTCAGTCAATTTTTACTTACCCTCGTTACAACGTACTTCGGATATAACGTACTTAATACATTGGTCCCTTAAAGTGCGTTATAACCGGATTATACTGTATTATATTTTTTGGCTCGTTCACACTTGAAGCTTTTATCTAAGTTTAATGACTTGACCGGCATCTATTTTTGTATAGTTGTTCTTCATCTGCTGGACTTTCATTTTGATTGTTGAAATATCAGTAAGCAACATCCAATTTCACAGACCTAGTGTGAATTGAAGATAGCAGCTTACAGCTATTCAGACGCGCAATAAAAACATTCATAAGGTGCAAACCAGGAACAATTGCTGCTGCTACATGGAAACAAAACTATTGAAAAACTTTATTGTTTCTATTCCAAAATCAATTATATACAAATCTATAAACATTGTGCATAGAATCCAAGGCAAATATAGTTTTTGGAAACATTTAGAAGTATCACTTCAAATTGACATAATTAGATGAACTTCTTCCTCGAGTCCTGTTCGCACAGAAGCTTAACTCTCATGACTCTCTTGTTTGTGCGAAACTTCGAGGCTTCGATCATGTTCATGGCTCTTTGGAAACATTCATTTGCTTCAACGTACTTTCCAGCCTAAAAAAGCAAATATTTTGGTGAATGAGAGTGGACTGGCAGTAGGGCATGGTAACTAGCCTTGAAATATCGCAACTTTGATTAAAGCTGAACGGTAGATTACCACGTATCATTTTCCGCTTGCTACTCCTCAAGATGAATTCTATTGTTGTCAGAATCTTAACAAGTGAGTTAAAACACTTCAATAGTCATTTCTGACATCCGGTAGAATAGAGTTAAAGTTAGTAAGTACTGGGTGTGCCAATTTCGGAGTGCCTTTATTAGAATTTAAACATTTTACAGTAGATTATGGTAACTTGATCAATGCCACGCCATTTTTAAATACACATGAAATGTCATGATGAATTATGTTGTTGTTTTATTGACACAATGATTTGCAGAAAAAGAAAAAAGTTAAAGAAATCTGCATACGTAAATGAGAGCCATTTTTATGGGTAGTTGGTGCAAAAAATTCTTACTTACAAATGTTTGATTTAATTTGACTCAAAATACGATGAGGAGGAAAAATCAACCAACCATTTCATATTCCCAGAAAAACTCAGTGGCTTGATTTGAAGGTGAGATCGATAGAATTAAGGTGACATCAATAGAATTACTTAGTATTTCATTTAGTACTATGAGGCAGTTATGGACCTTGTAATCCAGATAGATATCTATATAATTGTATTTATCATTACTGTTTCCGGCTAATGCTTTGTGTCTTTGCAATAGGGATAGGAAATAAAGGAAAAAGGAAGACCGTATTTCCAAAAATTATGTAAAAAGGTGATACGATCTTTAGGTGCTTAACAAGAATACTGGCCCATTTAAATATATAATATAAATTTTTGGTAAAGGTGTTTTTTCGTATTTACCGCAATATTTTCATATCTTTCAGGGCAGTGACAATATTCAAGGTTGGTGGGGAGACCAGCGAGCGGAAATCTTCAGATCAGTGAGGCAACCCTCCGTCCTGGAGTCAGAAAATGTGCCCAATGATATATTCCTTACAAGCACATGCTCTTTGACACCAGGATGGAGAGTTGCCTCACTTATTAAAAACTTTCTCCTGCTCGTCTCCCAAACAAGTTTATTTATTACCAATGGTTTGTCTTCCCTAATTAACTAGCCTTGCTAATTTGACGTAGCGAGAAGGATTTGTACGACATATCATCCAAAATTCATGAAACTTATTGAAACTTAGCTTAGCTCTCAGATGCAGACTGCTAATTAACGGGAACTGTTTTTTCCTCGCACAATTTCCCTACCGCAAAGGATTCCTTGAAGCATTCTTATCAAAGCTGATTCAGTTTGATTGTTGTTTAGAAAGATGAAGCTCGAAGATCATAATTCACAGTGTTCTAAAAGTTAGATATCGAACCAAAAATTCACGGGAGCCTTTTAAGTTTATTGCAAATGATAAAGAGAATTCGAATGACCTAACGCTTACGATCAAAAAACACTCCTATTGAATGACTCACCGTTGCATAGAATGCGAATTTATCAAGGTAGCAGATGATTACAAGCAAAAAACGATTTTAAGGGCGTTATCTTTTTAAAAATTCATGGATCTTTGACGTCAAATAATTCACAAACGAGTTCAGAAGAAGCTACAAGCGACTGTTGGTTGAAAATTCTTTTGCGGTTGCATGTTTACACGAAAACAAGGCTGTATCTTGCAAGATGCCGTGATAATGACAAGAAAAAAGAGATAAGGGATGCTTGCTGTTGATCGAAATGATCCATTAAAGGATTTGAAAGCACTAAAAAACAGTCTTCTGTCAAGCGAAACACTGTCTGCTCCTGTTTTTGAAGGACAAAGATTTTAGATCCATGATTGCAAAAACTGCGCCTCAAGTTGAATTAAGCGAATCGAGAAGATGATAGGAAGCAAAAAGGGGCTTTCTAACAAGAAAACTATTTTTGAGAATAAATTTCACATAATTTATATTCGGCAGCTAGAACAGTTGAAATGATCCTGCTGGACAATATCTCACGATGTTATGGAATCACTAAGGGTATTGGTTTTCCTGCGACAGAGAGGAAATTCTGTAAACTACAGGCTCAATGGCATCAATCTGTTACTTAAAATTCACGGATGCGATTTGCCTGCTAATTTTGTAAAGAATTTCTTGATCTAGTACAAGAACAAGATAGGTCGATTTAGTTTAGTGTTTCTATTCAACAAACTTTCTCAATCTGTGGTACTATTGAATGAAAATTTACTTACCCTAATCATAATATTGCCTCTTTGCTCTAAATGATTGATCAGACAAAGAAATAAATCAATGTCTCTCATAGCGATATTGCGAGCAGTGCGTCCGATGTGGGCCCCATACTTCAAAAGAAGAACCACAGCATCAAGCTGCTTCTCAGACAGTGCGTATTCAAATGGTTTCAGTCCTCTCAAATCCTTGTGGCCTATGTTTGCACCGCTATCGAGAAGAAGCTGAATGATCCTTAGGCTTCCATTTGCGCATGCGTAATGCAAGGCTGTCCTGTTCTCGTTGTCTTCGGTATCTGTGAATGCTCTATTCTTCAAAAGTACTTTAACTGCTTCGAGGCAGCTATTCTTGCAAGCTACCGCAAGAGCACTGAGTCCTTCCTTATCTTGGTGATTCAAGCTTGCTCCTAAAAAATATTTCAAATAAACATCAAATACTGTTTCACCATATCTTGATCAAAGGTCATCTGCAAGCACTGGGTAAATCAAATGTCATTTGCAATTCGTATCTGCGACTCGAGAATTTTACTAACTTGGCTTATCACAAGAAACGAAAATGCATACAATACGCAAAAACATGCGGCGATGCAACGCTCAACTGGCAAAACGCCTCTTCTTATCGCTAGATATTTAGATTGTTTAACAACTTTTCTGTGTAAGAAAATTTTTAGCAGTAGAAATGACGAAAGATGGTTGTTTTAATGACAAAAATGGTATAAAAGGCATATGTCGCATTAGAAGTTGGCAAATACAACAAAAGTGTTTGGAGTGGAATTACATTGCTACCTGAATTTCCATTTCTGCTTCTTGATTACTGCCGTAAAAACTCATCCTCGATTCCATGTTTTGCACCAAAAAAGATAATTGTATTGCAGTGGCCAATCAGGTTTACAACACATGCCCTTTAAAACCCTTTCCAGTGTTTGATTCAGATTTGACTAATCTCAACATTGGAAAAACGTCTGCAGAAGAAGCAATTGGTTTAGCAAAGAACTAGAATTGGTTACCTTCCATAAAGAGACTATGCACCAGCTGGCTCAAATTATGGGCAGCAGCATGGAGTAATGGCGTCTTTCCTTCTCTATCCTCTGCATCTGCATTCGCATCTTGGCTTATTAACCACTCTGATATCTCCACATGACAGTGCATCGCAGAGGCAATCAATGGTGTTAGGCCATTTGCATCAACAGCCTCGATTATAGCGCCATGCTCAACCAAACGCTTCGCAACAACTAGATTATTTTTTGAAGCTGCCACGACCAATGCCACATTCCCAAGGATGTCTGGGATATTAACATCAATGCCTTTTTGCAAAAGCATTTCAACAATGTCTATTTTTCCTGCCTGGCAAGCATTGCAAAGGATTCGTCGAGAGACAAGGGCCTTTGTTTCTTCATCATCACCCTCTTCCCAAATCATTTCTAATAACCTCACTGCGGCTGCTAAATGGTTGTTGTCCAAAGCCATTTCAAGAAACTCTTTTCCACCGCCTGTTTCCTCGCACTTCAGCTGAGGTATCCGTGCCTTTACTTGCAAAATAAGATCAATAATTTCCACACTGCCAGCTCGTGAAGCCTCCTTCAATGCCTCCTGAAGATGCGTATCATCAAAGAGATCATGATCTAGCAGCAAAGACACGATTGCTGGCTGTTGCAAAGAAGATGCAAAAACGATTGGATGCATTCCGTACCTCTTCTCGAATGGCTTGAAATCTAAATCTGGAAGAGCATAAAGCAGTATGCGTCACCTCGAGGTCGTTTTAGATACAAAAGGCAACAACAAGATAAAATAGATTCTGTAAGATTGAACTCAATTCGACGCATCTGATAGTCAATTTGGTCATAGCAAAATCGCAAAATTGTCCAAGGGTATGTTCATATGGGTTGAGATTTCCCACTCAGGCTAGACAGCCCATTTGGTTGGGATCCAGTCAAATAAATTGGCTTGCATGTAAAGCTGAGATTATGCTCATAAGAAAATTGGGCTGGCCAAATGGTAAGATCCCACTACCGGGGCGGTGAGATTCAATTAAGGTGCCATAAAATTTCTCACAGGGATACGATTCAATGAGCCAGCCCTATGATGAAGAATGGAAAGATCCCATTATCACTTAAACAAACTTAACGAGTGTTGCATTCCTACCCCAACGCCCATGACTTCGTTTAAACTGTTTCCTTTAAACAGCCCATGAAAAAGGTTAAATTGAAATTATTATCAGTTTGACCAGAATGCCTAGCAATCAATTTGCGAATTGCCCGTAGCAGATACCTGTGTGCAGGAAAAGATGGTAGACTTCTGGTATTGGTCGATAAACGTTGCATAGCTCTAAAAACCCGGCGGTAGAGTTCTTGAAGACCTGGGCAAATGTCCAGGCCAAAAAGCGGACTTTGTTTTCAGAATCTTGGATGTCTTCTCCAAAGCTTGACAGCGCAAGGTGATAGGCGAGTTGAAAAATGTTTCTCCCCTCAGTGCTGGTCAGGGTTTTCATGTAGTAGACAGATAAGAGATTGTGTCCTTTACTGTGAAAAGTAAGAAAATGAATGAGTTGTACAAGTATGACGTTCATATTAAAATATTCAAGCGAGGATATCGTTGTCATCATCAACATCTTCCAGTCCACACTGATGGGTGCCTGACTGGTGATTGATCAGGGTGTCTTTTTGCTTACTTCTCCATTTACTAGGGCTTGTTTCCGCAGTTGGGTTTAGTGCTGCTTAGAGTCGTTCTATGTTCATTCTATGTTTATCATTCTAAGCATTCCAAGTAGACTTAATTGTAAACACCTCTGTGAAAGTATTTAACTAAGTGCCCGCCTGACAAATTGGCAAACAAAAAGGTACATTTCTCAGCAAGTTCCCTAAGTACAAATTAAATAATCAGTAAAGGATAAAAGGTTGGTGAAGGCAAAAATTGCGTAACTTTTTTCAGTAATATTTACTTGGAGGATAATACTTTTTCAAAATCAGTCCTTCATTCAGATACTCAATACAGAGCTAAGCTATGCAGATTAACAAGAGACTCAACCAACACACCATTGGGGTATCTTTCAGGAAAGTAGAAAATAAGGGCGTTACCTTGGGTTAAAGCCAATCTTTAGCCCGTCGCTGCTTTGGAGCCACTTTCGGGTAGCGTTAGTGACAAAGAGCTTCCCTTCTGCACTCTCCGCGATCATTTGAAGGTCTAAGAGTTTTTCCAAGCACGCTTTGTACTCTTGAAAAGAAATTTGCTGACTGGAGCAGCTACATTCAACAACTTTATACAGGCTCGACAAAGTTTGTAGGACTTTTGATACGAACAAGACGTCTAACAAAGACAACGCAAGAATGCGATTTCGTTCAACTACAGCGAATTTTAACTTGAATAAATGGCTGACCAGCTTGATTTCATCTAATGAAAGAAGATTTGGTTGATGCATAATACTTGAAAATGAGCTTGATGAATATTGGATGGCCATGTGTGCAATTTGGAAAGATCCTTTGCTGAACCTCACAACATTATCAACAAGGCGTCGAATCTTTGCTTTGGAAATGCCCTCGGAGGCGATGATAGGAAGTTCCATTTCTGTAAAGCTGTACAAGTCACTTTGGATATCCCAATTTGCAACATTATCCAAACATATCTCTTCAACACCTTTGTTGCTGAAAGCCTCCAAACTCTCTTTGGAACCTGTAACAACGAGACTGATCCATGATGGCAGGATCTGAAAATTATTAGCTAGAAGTGCAGTTACGCATTCGTCGGGGCTACACTTTGTGCATTGATGTTCCAAAGCATCAACCAATATCAAGTACCGCCTTGTGGTCTCTTTTGTTGCAACTTTCGATTGGCAAATTTCATTCAATGGCTCGAGAATTCCCTTTCTAAAAGCCAACTCTGGGGTCTTTTCTGTAGTCTCAGCATTTATATAATCCTGAATCTTGCTATTTTCTGACAAAGCTTTGGTGTATGAAGCAAAATCTTTATTTTCGATAAGACATGCCGCCATATTCAGTACAAATTTGGACGTTGAAGTTGTCCTGCTATCAACTTGCGAGCAGAAATGATACGACAGCACCGAACTGGACAGCGCTTCCCGAACACGGCTCTTACGATGGCTGAATGAATCACTCCATACTATTGACTTTAAAAAAGTAGTTTTCCCACACCCATGATTCCCAACTACCACCAATGCACGTGACCTGCTGTTTCTTTTTCCAAGAACTAAGTGATGGACACGATCGTACAACCAGTCCCTTGAAACCAAAGCCTTGCCTTTTGTTGTTGGAATTAGCGGATGAAAATCTATTTCTTCAATTCCCTGTTTCTTCCGCGTCATCTTTCTCTCAAGAAGCACTAAAAAAGTTCATTATAAAACAGGTCATTATAAAATAACAACAGCAGGCGATCATTATTTGAAAACTGCCTGTGATTTAAAAGGACATCTTAACTTCCAATTGAAGGCTGATAATGTGAATTCATGCCTTTACAACCTCATAATCAAAAAGAGGTTTTATAAAGATATATTGATCACGATGATTAGAAGTGTAAGGAAGTGTTGTTCATTTACTCTCCAATGAATTTGTGCCATGATTAAGATGAATGGAAGTTTGTGATAATTTTTACTTTGTTGGTGGAGCTTTAATTTTTATTCCTAGCGCTGTTTTTTAACTGTCAAAAGAGTTTACTAGCCTCCAGTCATGATTCTAAAAAGTATAGGATAAAGTAATCAAGGACTTAATTGCTTACCTGCAAGATCTTCTTGGATTCGACTTGGTGACCTGAAGTCTGGCATCTCTGTTTTATCAACTGATTCATTGATTGCATCTGAGGATGAGGAACTAGAAAACATCAACGGACCACTAATAGTCGAATCGCTATCATCACTGGTATCACTGCCAGTCAAAGTGATTGTTGATTCGTGCTCAGATAAATTTGAATCTTGGAGCTTTGTAGACAAAGCCGAAACTGTAGTCAGCGATGTTTGGTCATCAACATTTAGGTGACTGGAGCCTTGAGCAATTAACTTTTTTTGATGTAAACTATTTCCTGAAATAATCTTCGGCTTAATAGAACCAGTCATATGGACCGGATTTGAAGAACGAGCTCTTTTCACTGGAAGGGTAGTGGAACTGACCCCATTTCTATCAAATTTCAGCTGTTCTCTCCTTCTCCTGGAACTTCGAACAAAGTCTGACGACAAGACAAAGTTACGATTGAAATCATACAACGAAACGTTCTGAGATCTTTTTGCGGTACTGTCGCCTGAATGCTTGTCCTTTTTCAATTTTCCTTTTTCTTTCTTATTTCCAGAAATCTTTTCCTTAGTTGTCTGATTACTTGAATCAATATCCGAATGGCGTCTGGACCATTTTGTCAGTTTTTTCAACTTCCCACGGAAAAATCCCAAATTAGTTTCACCTTGAGATGGCGAAGTGGTTCCTGTCAGCTTTGAGCGTCGATGTACTTTCTTAGAATCGGAACCGTTGACTTCCGTTGTTCCTCTTTTTTTCCTCTTTTCTTTGAACCATGATGTTCCGAAATCATCTTGATTAACAAACACAACGGGTCCCTCGTCTTTCAAATTTACTTTACAGCCATCTCCATTACGAAAACTCTCACTTCCGGAAACGTTCCCACGAATCTTATCAAAATTTGCTGTCTTCCAGTCATCTGTTTTGTTCTTCAAAATTGCCTCTACACAACATTTGCTCTCCGTCCATCCCTCCGAAACGTCTTCTGATGACGATAACATGCTATCAGGGTTCAATGAATCTTGTAAAGTATTCGGAGAATGCAATGACATTTCTGCCATGTTATCGATACTGCAATCTTCTAGAAAACAGTCAATTGGACGAGGATCTTCTGGGCATTCACCGGCCTCTTTAGTCTCCCTCACAATTACTTCGATAGTTTCCTTATTCGAGCAGTCACGTTTCAGAAAAGCAATGCGATCAGAATCATTGCTACCGACATCACCTTGATCCTTTGTTTCAGAGTTTTTAAGACAATTTGGAGTCTGGATTGTTGCTTCTTGTTTCCTTTCCTTGTTCACATAAATTGTCTTCTCAGGCAATAACTGCCCTACATTGGATAGTTCATCTTCTAGTGAAGTATTATCGGTGAATGAATCAACGTCAACCTTTAAAAATACGAACATTTTTGCATTATCTAACATCATTTATCAAGAACGAAAATTGATACATCTCTGAAACCGAACACTCTCTCCAATCAAATAGCTGCACAGTATTTTCACGTTAACCATGACCAACACTTCAGCCACAAAAGAAAGAGACATCGCATTTCACGATAAATTCACAGCCCGTTTCGCACAAGACTTCTAGACTACACAATACACTACAAAGAAATCTAATCCTTTCAGCAAAATTTAATATGAGCTACTTTGAGCAATTAATTGTTAAAACATGTGTAAAAAGTGGGTGTTTCAAATCCAGTAAGTCGCAAAATCATGCAAATTGAAAATGCGCTTCAGTTTTGCTGTCTGTCTGGTGGCCTGGTTGCCTAGCAGCAATGTCCTGTTTGTTTATTCGTAAACCAGCAACACTTATTCATCAAAGTTTTATTAAAAATTCCTTCAAGGACAACTCATTTTCGTTGAAATATCGAAAAACTGACTGCATGACTACCCACTGGTCCAAAATGAAGGGGATACTGCTTACTATATGAAACTGCCTAAGAAAACAGGGGGCACCTGCTTCGTAAACTGAAATTAGGAAGAGCTTGCAGTAGAAAACAACTGCACTTGAAGAAAGAGGAGAACCCTGCTTAAACACATTCGTAGTCTTTGTGTAGCTCATTAGCAACCCCAGGCTATAAATCCATCAAAGCCATTAAAGCCATCCCTCTCGGGACGAATACATTTGCACGCATAAGACCCCGGCGTTCATTTTCTGCAAGAGCAACAACTGATTTATATCGTGTGAAGGCATTTTCGGTCCCAAAGGAAGCTAATGTTGGAAAGAGGTTGATTTGTGCACCAGTGTATGAATTTTATTCATCTCGTTGGTTTTGTCATTTTTTATGCGATTTGTGTTGCTTGGTAACACTTTTAGCCATTCTCTTGAGTAAATGGAGTCAAAATCATAAATGTTGCTGATGTTGCTCTACACAAATTGGCTAAGAATTTTACAGCTTTGCATTAAAAAACTTTTGTTGCGCTATTTTAGAGCCAGAAGAACTAAAAATATCAAAGTATTTAAGGATAAGGAAACATTCTCTAAAATTATTTCAATAAGTATTTTAAACTTGCAAAAAATACGTGTAAATTAAAAGTCTTTGCAAAGTTTGAAAGATTTCTTGAATTTAGTACGAGTTTTAGGTTCCAAAGGTCTATAAGTTAAATAAAAAGCTTTTTCGCGAAACTAATACAGCAGTGTAATGGGTCTCAAATACCATGAAAACAGATAGCGGCTTTCCTTTATAGACAAAATAGACCATGCTGGAAGACTATATATCTTAATATTTACCTCATTTGAAATCAGGTCCACTTTCCATTTCAAAAGACTGCTCGAGCTCGTAGTTCGTCTTCTTCTATTTCTCTTGAATGCAGAAAAGTACTGTACCTCTGCAATGCGTACTTCGATCTCACTTGTACTTTTTGATGTTCTGTGCAGTTTTGTTGGCGGCTGTGCCCTTCTTGTTATTAGATCAAATACATCATCCCTGTTGCCTTCACAAAATCTTTTTTCTTCAGAGCTTTCATTTATCGATACAGTTCTGCATGAGTTCCTGAATGGGTGTTCATTGAAGACCTTTCCCAGTGGGCTGCTAGTCGACGCACGCTCCTCGGCTTGTCTGACGTCCTGTTCTCGTTGTTTACGCGTTATAGTTGTTTTGTTTTCGCCTTCCTTTTCAATTTCCTCTGCCTCGTGCCTCCCCCCAGGACTCTTAATCATTCTACTAATACAACAGTCTCGGTTATTTTCTGATGTTTCATTTAAATCGCAGGAACGAGGCTGTCCAATCGCACCCAACCCTTCGTCCAAACTGTTATCGTCGATTTTACAAGACTGTGGGCGATCAGACTCAATCAGCTGCGGTGGAGAATTTATACTACCATCTATCGCCATTTGCTCAAATGGATTAGCGTGAGTCCCAAAACGTCTTGGGCTGACTACGCGTGGACTTGATGCACCACTGTCGCCATTAAACTGGCACGAAGCATCGCTTTTGCTCCCGATAAAATGATTTTCAACTGCAGACTCTTTTGTTTTTGACTGGTCTTTGGCTAGCCAAGTTGTTTTCTTCTCACGCAAATTCTGTAGCAATGCTCTCAAGTCTGAAATGTAAGAACAGTTATTGTCTTTCGTTATGTTTGATTTTATTTTTTTGTCTTCTTCTGCTACACCAGTTGAGTCAGCGCTACTAAGAAAACGGCCTGTGCTTCTATCATCGGGCTTGCCATCCCCTTCAAATTGCTTAAAAAAATCCTTTAGATGCACGACACTATCATTTTCACTGTAGTCACTCCAAAGAGAATCATTGCCATCCAGGTTTATTTCATCTTCTTCTTTGCTTTGAGGTGTTATAGCTGCATCAACATTCTCCATTTTGCCATCCACAAGGTCCGAATTTGCGTTTGAGGTGCCTGTTTCGGCAGAAAAGCACTGACTTCTCATTACCGATTTGCTCTCTTCTAGCCAGGCTGCAGCTTTTTCTACTACAGTTTCAAACTTAGACGATTTAAAGTCATCACTCCCGTTACGTATTTCCATTTCCTCAGAAGGCGAAGGTAAATGCGAGCTCATTTTAAGTCTTTCGAGCTCGTAGCTATTAAGAGATAGTGGTCTTTGCCGATGGGGAATACGGATTCGTGATTCAAACGGAGCAGTTGCGTTAGTACGTAGAGTTACTGGCTCAGTGGGCATCGCAGAAAAGCTGGAAGCTCTTCTGAATCTGATTTGCTTATATGACTCACTATTTCGATTCAGAATCGAGCTGAAGGACATTTTACGATCCACTCTGGTAGTGTTCTCCTCTCCGATCCCTGCTGCTCTTACCATCCCTTCGGCGCTACCGCTGCCCCTTGCCCACGCAGCTGACTTGTTTCCATACAGCTTTTCAGTTGACGAGCTTACAGAACTTGAGACGGCCTCAGAATCCTGACCTGAGAAGAGAACGAACATTTGAAACTTGTTTCAGTAGTTTGAAATTGAACACGATATCTTTTTGCAATGTGCTGTTACTATCAAAGAGGGGGAAATGGAATTTCAGTAAATATTTGGCAGAAAAAGCCACTTTAATCTCGTCTAGCAGGCAAACTAAAATGATTATGGCAAACCAAACTCTAAGGTTGTGTAAACTGTAATTTGCCCTAAATAATCAAAGCTTTAAAAAGAATGGATTGTATCATCATTTCTTGAAATGAAAGCCAGCAAATAAAGAGCATTTAAACGGAAAAAATATTCTGAAACTGTGAAAAAGTCAAGAATGCTTTCCATAAATAATCAATATCGACAAAGCATGAAATAGAACAGGAAGCGTAGGGTTTTATGCAATGTCAAGAGAATTTCAAACTGATCACAGTCCATCGCAGCCAATCTACCGCACGATTAGCCCAAAGGGAAATAACGTATTCCAAGAAAAGAAAAAATATTTGAAAGGATCAGTTTCATGCATATATGGTTATTTATTCCAGTCTAGTTAGGCCACATTTGTGAAAATAGAATGTCCTATTGTTACGACTCAAATATACCGCCTCGTTTTGAAAAATCTTATAATCCTTTTTGTACTACTTTTTGACTTCAGATTCTAGTAAAGGAGCAGGGCTCGGACCACGAATTTAAAAGTGGGGGGGGGCAAGGCTAGAAAAAGTAGGGGGTCTAGGCTTCTTACCCCTTTTACTGCAGCTTTACAACTTTTTGCTTTGCAAAAAAGTTCGGGGGGGGGGGGGCAATGGCCATCCCGGCCTCCCTGTGGCGCGGGCCCTGTGCCTGTAAGTTCTTGTCATGCTAATGCCGTGAGAATGACTTTATGTCGACATAAAGTCAAAATTATAAAAGACTTTGACCGTGATTTGTTAATGAGGGTGAAAAGCTTCAACCGGTCGTCATGATTATTTTTATATATGTTTTTCATAATTATCATATCTTTTTGGATCTGCACTTGTGAAGCAGTCAAGGGAATAGAACTGATACAGCTGGACATACCATTATGCAAGATCTGAAATGCATTTACTTGCTCAGTTCTGTTCTTTGTATCTCTTTGCATAAACGTGGTCCGATTGTGCAGTTGAACAAGACTTCTGGACCTGTGTCTCTTGTTCCACTTTTGTGTTACAATTGCAGATGGCGCTGAAGGTGAGCGTGCTCTCCATTCTAGATATCCAATCGGTTCCCGTTTTGTCTCAACTTCGATAGTACCATTTTTTTCTGCTTTCATCCCTACAATGTCAAGCATGTTGAATAAATTCATAGTTTAAGAAGCTTCACTCAAATCATTCGAAATGTCTTTCTTCACAAAGGACAGAGTTTCTGTCTTAACAAATCAAAAAAGCAAAATTGTCGCCCTTCCAAATAAAAAACTTGTCGCCCTTCCATCAAACTATTGAAAAAAGTGCCATATTGGTATATTAGATTTGAAATGGGCCACTGGAAACATTTTTCTTCCCTGTTGTGATAGAATTATCCATTACGGAGTATAGGCAACTTGTATACTTGTGTATCTCGTATCGCAACGCCAAAACAACGGACTAGCAGTATTGTAACCTATTTACTACCCAACAACAACAAAGGCAGACCATTTCTCTCAAAGGCTTCCCTGAACCTCAAGTTAAAATTCTAGGTTATTTGCACCTGTAGGTTAAGGAAAGCTTTTGGTAAATTCAAAACAAGGAATGTAATGTGCAATTGTTAGTACAATTTCTAATAGAACACTTCAATATAACACCTAGAATCCGTTACTGATACTTTCAATCGTTCAGTTACAACTGATTTTTTCTTAGCTGGAAAATAGAGGTCAACCATATGACCGATTTCACCATCGGAAATTATCAGTTTTCCCTGTTTTAGCACTCTCTGTGGGTATTTTTCAAAGACATATAAAGCATTTCAAAAATTAGGGTACAATAGGCACAAAGAGCCCCTCCGTCAGCTGCAAATAGGTTCTTTAACACTGTTTCTGAAAGTTGGGGCATGTGTTCCCTGTGCTCCCTGGTTTATACGTCTATGGTATTTGATACAAACTTATTCGGAAGCAACTTTTGGATAATTTGTACAAAACGTACATCTATTTTCAAAATAGCCTGGCGTTAGAGCTCTTAATTTTGCTATTATTTTCTTCCTTAACACAAATGACTCGTATGTGAACATGTACGATGGAAGATGTACTGAAATATATCCATTGTTCTTAAAAAGGCATTGGATTTAAGCCAAGGCATTCAGATCATCACATTTTATTGGCAACGTTTAGAAAGTTGTTGTGTTGAAACTGGAATTTAACTGGTTTACTTCCAATGTTGTTAGCCATAACAACAGAAAGCAATTTTGCAAAGAAAAAAAGGGTAAAAAGAAAATAGGGTATTTTGAAATATTTGCTTTAGTGTGCCCAAGGGCTCTTGTTTTCACCCTTATTTGTTTCTGATTTATATCAATAAACTTCTGTTTTCTCTGAAGAGAGGCAAAGTGACGACGTATTCTAGTTTAGTAGGTAATAAACAAACACTGGAGAGTAATTGGATTTCAGAAACATACCAGGAAATTTTGTACTTTTAAACAAGATTAAAATGCATTGGAGTATCGTCAAGCCCTATTTTTGATCTTGTTGTCCGGTATGGGGGTGCTGTGGGGTAACCAAGCTCGCAGGGTCCGGTAGCTAGGACCATAACTAATGGAAAGTCAGATATGGTACCAACCGAAAAGTCAGAAAACTGAAATAGACCCATGGCTAAATGAAGAGAAATTAAACGAATGACTGCATTGCTGCAATAAAAGAAAATCGACCCTCCATAGAATCCATCTGCTTCTTGTAAAAAAAGAGTGTAATTCCAATTAGGGGGGCGAGCCATGTTTCCCCCTAATTGATCAGCGGTCAGCCAGATATAGTAACAAGTTCCTTGACAATCAATTCTTTGCAAGAACGTATACATTTTTAAGTATCCGGTGGCCAACGGTAGTATTGATTACTGTTGTGTTCACACGTGTATTTGTTTACATTATGCACAATTTTCAACGTCGAAATGTAAACTCACACAGAGGCTTGGTGGTCCCATTCAGGTAACGAAAAATAAAAGTTTACCTTCACGAGCTTGAAAGTTTGATAGCTCGTTCTGTTTTGACGGCAACTCGTAAACTCTGAACAGAAGATTTGTCATTTCTGATATCTGATGTTTTCTTCGCAAAAAGACGATCAACTAGAGAGTCATGTGAATTTCTGAAGCAATATGTTTATTATCATTTTGCAAAGATAAACAATGCCATGTGTTGAAATAATCAACAGATAACTACCTGGAGGCCAGTTATAAAACAACCGTTGCTGCAATTCTTTTATCATGCTAACCCCTAAAGATCCCCATTTACAATCTTTGAACCATCCAAATGGATTTACTGACAACATTCACTTAATTAACCCCAGAGGATCTGAGTTCACCTTAATTATATCCTCGAACGATCTCGGTCCAGTGGCTCCAGATTTTACAAAAGACTTTACAACGTTGGAAATCAAATTATAAAAACTTCCACACATCAGAAATAATGTCTGCAAAATAGACTGATGTCTAGCAAGCAAGCAAGCAGTATTGTAAACATTTTTCTTACGCTTTTGCAATTTTGGCAATTTTGCATGCAAAATTGAACTGATGCCTGGAATGGCAAAAAACTTGAGCTCACCGATTTAATGGCAAAATTAGTAAAAAGGAAAAGGCAAATGAATGAAAAGTTCACATAATCGCATAAAATTTTTTTATCTCACTTACAAAAAAATATAGCATTAAGTTTTTAGGGGTATTTCATCCAACAGCGTACGAGAGTTTTAAGGACAATAGAGCGCGGGGATTTTGGGGGGATTTTTCTAATAAAACGAACGAGTTTTTGCCAAAGGCCTACAAGATTTTTGTTAAGTTATATGACCCTCCCCTTTGAAACTTTTAAAAAAAGTGACATTAAGTACCCACATTTTTATGCACGAAATATTGGCTCTATAATGAAAGATTCTATAATGAAAATTCCTTAAAAACTCTCAAGGATCCCCTTAGCAGTACCCCAGATCTCTTATTCGTGTTTCTTTTGAAAAAACTAGGATTGTAAAATTCATTAGGGTTATTTAGATGTAAGAAGACAAGCACAAAATAATGATTGAAAACTATTGACAACTGTTGTATGAATCTTTATAGTTACTATTTTATCTGACTATCGATTAAAATCAATTGTTTCCAGCAATACTTTCATTTGCTTTGAATAAACCAGATAACAGTCTGAAAAGTAAAAGCACTACGGTACAGGCTATATGTGATTTGAAGCATACATTGCTTCATATTTTTGTCTGTTTTGGTAAATGATTACCCTAGCAATAAAAAACTTAAATATTATTTATTCCCTAGATCTAACGTCATTTTAAACACAATTAATAAAACGATATGAATTACATTACTTTCATGTTACAAATGGAACAAATGACGTCACCAGCTAAAAAGGTGGACAAAAAAGAAGGGCTATCTCCGCCACGCCATCCACACTCTCGTAAAAGCAGGATAAACGCTCATCCTAGGCATTTGGAGCTATTTTGAAAGTTTACGCTGTTGTAACAATTTGCTGGTTTCTATCTGTTTTCATAACATTTGGGGGCAGGTATTCAAATTTTTGCTCAAAATGGGGGTGCTCATTGAAAAGAGGCACTAATTGGAGAGAGGGCGCTCATCAGAGATGCAGTATCATTTCACAAGGAGGAAAAATATATGTGTAATTCATTGCCATTCACAAGATTTGCAATTATTAAATTCAAAATTAAAATCTATTTGTTGAAAATCTTCTTAGCTGGCAACAATAATACACTCTTTTTATTTTATAAGAACCATTAAATTTAAGTTCAGCCTGACTGCTCTTAATTTTTTTCAAAAATCTGGGGCAGAATTGTTTTTAATTTGTTTTTAAGTTAATAGGGTGTAAACAGTGTGATTGCTAGCTTTTTCGCTCTAGATAGGTTTTAAATTCTAACTTGCCAACAATAATTTGTGAGTGAGACAACATTCGCTTGCCGACAAGTTGAAATATTCACCGAAAAGCACCCACACAGATCCTTGTTTTTGAGATGAAACGTTGTTCAAAATTGCATTTTACATTAGCTCAGCTTCAGCTTGTTCTCAATTTGTTCTTAACTTTTGACCAACCCTGAGGCTCGCGTTCTTATAAAATCGCTCTTATAAAAAGAAAAGAGTGTATTTGGTAGTGTGTTTAATAGTGTCTATTGCTTTCAGTGTTGTGTCAAGTAAATCAAAAAGTAACACTAAATTGTTTATAGACGTGATAAGCATGGTCCGCCTGGGTCCAGGGCTCACTGTCTCTAATGCAATAATATGATACTTAACTGGAAGTTCCAAAATCTGATAAATGTTCTCTTCGGGCCCTCAGTTTTAATGTTTTCATTAAATCATAGGTTAAGGTGGTAAGGACATGACAATTTTTGCGACTCAATTTCAAAGAAGCCACATTATTTTGATGCTAACCAAATCGATTTGGGAATATAGATCAAAACAGCAGAAGGGCTCAACCCCCTCAGCTCTGACAAAATTTTTGCTGCAGTACATCCATACTTTGCTCCAGTATAAAACATGAATGATTCGCCAAAGATCTTAGGCATGAAACATCGGTACTTACGCCAAATTTTGGTGTAAATCTTCGGAAAAATTTTAGCATAATTCCATTGGCGTAGTCTGGCTGTGCTAGTTTAAAATTCGAAAATTTGCTGACGTGGCGTAAACCATTCGAGATTTTTCCTGACGAACTTTGCAAAATAATAGGCCCGTAGTCATTGGGGGCAGAGGGGCAATGCCCCCTCTCAATAATTTGCAAAAATTGTGCTTGAAGATCTTATAAGCGCAGCTTGATCTGACAGTGTTTCGTAAGGCAGGTATAGAACTTTATTTCTTTCCGTGCCCCCCAATCCAGTTTAGCAGTCTACGGGCCTGCATAAAAATGAATAAGTTTTAAATGTCTCCCATTGTAAACTAAACAATAAAAAGAAACGAGATACAGCTGGAAGACTGAGATGTATTTCAAGCTTTATGCTCATAGAAATGTAGACATGATTTGATATCTAAACATAGAAAGACTCGTTACTCTTGAAAGTCTCTTACTGAGAACATTTATTTACTGTCTTCAATAGACACAAGAGGATTTTTTATAATTGCATTTCAAATTTGTTCAAAATTATATGTGTCCGAAATGCTGGGCTGGTCGCTAAAAGTTGAGAATAAGATCTTGGCTTTTTGGTAATTGGAAACTATTAGGGGATGGGGAATTATTGTAAATGAAAGCTTGTATGTGTTGCTTAGGATCGTCCTTTTGTCAAACTTGATGTGGCAAATATTTTAGATGCTTTTTCTGGCCATCTCTGTGATGTCATATTTCGAGATTTGTTCTTGAATTCGGATAGAATCCCTAACCATGGTGGTGGCTTTTATTTAGGCCCTGAATAATCTAAACATTTCACTCCTCCCCTGCTTCATTAACGCCTATGTTACTGATGTTACCATCTTGGTTGCTGCGCAAACAATCAATTAACCTGGCTGCTCAACCATTGATCAAAAAAACATCAACCCCTATTATGCTTTGACTGGAAAATTACATATTATGATTTTCTTGAATAACGTAGATATTTCTTGAACAACTTAGATATTTCATTAAGCTCTATCCTGGGTAACAGAGCCTCAGTGATCGAAAAAGGTGACCCCTCTAAATACCATTCGCCGTTTTTTTATCACTGAGGCCCCCCTTTAAAAGTCCTTCAGCTAGAAAACAATAATTTTATACCCCGCAATGTCATGATTTTCTCCCATCTCTTATCCTACGTCAGAATTAAATTTCCAGTGAAAATGATGCTGACCTGGACTAAGGATTGTAGGTCCCCTTTGTAGGTCCCCTTTACAGTTACACCTACGCCTACATCCCTGGTGCTTACTAGTTAGAATTAATAGCAACATTCCAATAACGTTTTAAGCCAGATGCAACAAACAACTTTCAGGATACCCGTGAACTTATTTTTGATTTTCGGGGCCCTTTCTCGACGAATTGGTCCGGACCCTAAATTTGAAGCCAGTCCGCCCCTGATGGTCGCTGTTACATCGTTTCGCATTGTGATGTCCTGAACTGTTGCTTTCTTAAATATAATAAAAGAAATCTTATTATTTTGCCAGGCAAGCTTCTAGTTTATGCTTGATTTGAATGACAGACTATTCAATTTGATATTGTTCGGATTATCTTTCTGCGGCATACACTCCTTCGAGGCAACCAAATTGGCGCACTCAAAAGTTCCAAGTCAAATAAAATCACCCCAACCCACCCCACCCCAACCCCCCAAACTTTAAATGAACTTCGTGATATCAAAACCATATTTCTTAGAATCCTACCAACTCCGCAGTGACACACCTGGTTTTTATTAACGTAGCTTAATTTCCCCTTTTAGGGGATCTGATTTTGCAGGCACTGCCATAAAGTAGTAGTGGCTGTGGCTGCAAAAAATTGTCCGTTCGAATGTTTCTTGAGCGAATATTGGGTCTTCAAACCTGTGCTAACAGTGGACAAACAACATCTTTCAGCAAGTCCTTGTTCCGTGATGTTGGGCGTATTTCGTTTTGCAATGATGGCTATGAAATGTTTGAGCGTCTTTCAGATATTTTCACGCTACAATGCACACAGCTACTTATATTTTTCCAGAGAGGGAGAGGCGTATATGTGCAAAGGTGGTAATTTCAGAGTCGGGAAGAAGGCAGCAGTGGCGCCAAGGGTGGTATGGGGGGAAATTACCCCAACTTTTGTCAAAACATGGTTCACATGCTTCTTCTAAAAATTTATTAAAAGCGCTAGGTAGGGGTAGGTCATATTTTCTAAGGAAAATGAACTTAGTACAATGCACCGAAACGAGGTAAAAGAGGCGTGGTCTAACTGGCCACGCCCACAAACATCCTGCTCTGCAGTAGTTGGCACCGCTGGACGAAGCAAACTCTGTGAAGGCACGTCCACCTCTTGCAATATTTTATCGAGAGACAAGAAAAAGCTGAATGTTATTTTTGATCAGATCAAGTTTTCAATGAATGTGGCCTCCATTGAAAAAAACCGAAAATCATAAACTGTTCTTAAGCAGTTGAGGTTCTCTATTAAAAGAACCTTTTTGAAATGCACTATCAACACCTTTCGAATATCAATATCCGAAGAAATTTTCATAGAGTGATTTGCCCCTCGCTTGAATTCTTGTAAAAGGAATTAAGTCGCTCGCAAGCTCACCTTCTACAAATCATAGCAATTTGTAGAAGGCCTTGGTACTGAAACTGCATATTTCAAATGTTTGTCAAAATCTAGAACTAAAATTAAACTAGGCCTAGTGCCTTTGTGTAAAAGCTCGGTGCAAGCCTGCTAGGAAAACTGCGGAGGAGCGCCACTGTTACTGTTTTCTTGAATCTTGACCTGCTCCGCCACTTTGGCATAATTCCGCGATGAGGGATTCTTTTATTCGCAAAGCCTTCTTTTAATATCAGCTTTAGTTTTCTCAAATCCGCTTCATCCATAATTTATCATAGATTCTTTGTGAAAGTATTGATAAAGGTAAAATTTCCTCTGCTATTGTTTAAAACATCGAAAACTGTAGCGGTGGAATTAAAATCTACTTAGGCTCCATCTGAATTTTCAGCTAAAAAGAAGATTTTTACAAGAAAAATCATCAATTTTATTCTTTTGATCATAGACGAACTGTTGAAAATTGATCTAGGAATTTATTTTTACTTTAATAATCTCGCTTGGTTCAATTCTTGCAAGAAAATTTAATTCAACCAACACAGAACCCTGCTAAAAATTTCCCAAGAAACATAAATATACATACGTTCACGCTTACGGTTGCATTGTGGACAGATACCGTCGTTACGCAAACACGACAAACACCTCGGATGCCCGCATGAGTCTATAACTCTTCTTTTTTCATAGTCATCGTACTTCTCGTTGCAGTCAGGGCACAAGATAAATCGAGGAACCCCGTAAGCATCCATCAGAGATGCGAGCTGCCCCGATCTGTCCAGCTTTTTATGATTGGCATCATTCTATTTTGTTGATCTTGCTGCCAGTGTCGATGGCCTTGTATCGTTTATTGAGCGATCGTAAATACTACAGTTCAATGTGTATTTGTTTTGGCACTCGTCTCAATGCCCACTGGTATCTGTTATAAACATATAATCATGCAACTTTGACGTCAGTTGATCAAACATTTGACTCCTTTCGCGAACAAATCCATGCGCCTAAGGTCGAACTTGAGTTAAATTCGTGAGATATAACCTGTTCACGAGGAGCATGCTGCTATGTGACAGATAAACTTCCCGTTCGATAGAAATTCACACTAAGACACTGCCTCGTGAGGCCATTTCTAACGGTCGTGGATGTCAAATAAAAATTCCTTCGTATTAATGTCAGACTACTTTGTTTTGCAAAAAGGCAGACCTTGTCTTCTAGGCCGCTGAGCACCTTGCAGGTACACATGAATTGAAATTAGACAATAAATCTTCGTTCTCAATCAAATAACAATTTGGCTGATGCCATAATGATCCATTAAATAACTCAATTAATTTCCTTGAGAACAATAACAATGGACCGACTCGTTGTTTTTTATTCGAAATTTTTCTTCGTTCTGCAACACAGATAAATGCTTACCATGTTTACGCATTTACAATGTGGGCGAAATCTGACGATAAACAAATAACGAAATTGCTTTATCATTCAGAGGGTTGTGATTGTTGCGATACGAACACCGCCTCGTAACGCTCAATTGAAAATCTTTCACCGTTTCCGTGCCGGTATATTGTTGCTAATTTCTTGACAAACTGAGCACTGCCAAGCTGGTGGGCAAAATTTTCGGCAACATGGTCGTCGAATTAAACGAACTGCACTATGCATATTGCTTTCGAACACTGTATATCTCCTAAAATGTTCAAATGGAACCAAAACATAAATTCAGATGTACTTTGCCCAGTATATGTCGACCCATTTTTCTTCAAATACTTGACTTATTTTTATTTATCTCTTATGAGCTTCAATTTCCTTGATGAATTGACACCAATTTAATCTCTACAAGGTGCGCCCAATGACAATGTGGAGTGAACCTAAGGCACATTGAACCAATGAGATTACAGTACAGTCCCGTTGATTTTCTGGGAAACTTTTGGCCATGCGTAGAAAGGGGAAGCAGACCATGCCTCGTCGGAGGCCTTGCGTTTAGACGGGATCTGATATCTTTTTATTTTGGCTGCGAATTTGTCGTTTTTGACAGCTCTTTCAGGCTAAATTGTGACTGACTTTAGCATCTTCACGTTCAATTTGGACTGTTTGTTTTAATCTCAGTTGTTTGAAAAACGTTTATGTGCGTCATTTCCAAAAAGCGCATGCGTATAATCCGTGATCTCATCTGGATCCGATCCAAAATTCAAATTTCCTTCATCAAGCAAAATTTTTACAGCGTGTTTATTAAAAATATATTTACTTATTGTCTTCAACATAAAGAAGAATTAAAGAATTATAAAGAGAATGTCCGTGAGTGTTGCCCAGGACACTGAGATAAACATGAAAGGTTATCGAACCCAGTGCCCTATTACATGTGATATACATTAATATTATACAATCTGAATTTCAAAATATTATGAGCAACAGTAACAGAACAAAATTAAAAGAAAGAATAGAAAAATTACATGAAAGTGGAAAAGGAGAGGGACACGGCAGCTTCTAATTTAAGATGAATTTTATGAGGAGAGATGAAATAGAGATTTTCAGAATTCATTAAAATGAAGTGGAGCAGAGTGGTCGGCTGTATTTATACTAATATTGGTAAAGTAAAAAGTTGAAAAGAAATTTAGTGAATAAATTTTTGCTTGGTTTGGAGTGAATCTCTTCTGGTATTTGGTTCCAGATTTTGATACCAATAAAGGTATTAAATTTTTTTCGACAGTCTGTTCTCACCAGAGGGAGAGACAAGTGTTTTTTCGTAACCTGGCGTGTTTTATAGTTGTGTCTTGCACTAATTCTGAAAGAACTTGGGTGCAGTTGTTGTTGTAAACATCGAACATAAATTTTGCGGTTTCTAATTTAAAGAAATCTTCGAAGATGAGGATGCCAAGTTTAGAAAACAGGGGTTTTGAATCTGTTCTATAATCAGCAAAATACATATTTCTGACTGCTCTTTTAAGACTTCTGTTTAAATTGGCAGTAGCGCATTTAGAAGCATTTCCCCTCTTAACAAGACCATAGCTCCAATGGAGGGATATAAAAGCATGATACAATTGTCTTAGAATATCTAATGATATTCTTTTCCCGTGCAATGATCCCGTGTAAGGGCAAATGGTTTTGGGACTATTTAGACTGATCCCGTGTAAACGCCTGGAATTGGATCCATAGTATCCGGATATCACTGCAGTTTGATGACTTTTAATTTTTAGAGCCAAAACCCTGAACACTCTAATTTAAGTAGACGAAGTGACAAGGCTCTGTTGCACCTATCATTATGGCTTAGTTCCCTATCTATCCTGTACAAACTAATACAACACATGACTTACTCTTAATATATATAAAATTCTTTATAAAAATCCACGAAAGGTCCATTTAATTGCAAAATTCTTTATTCGAGGCAAGATGATAAATCTGTATCAAACTCAGGAACGCCAGAGAAGGGGGGCGCGAGGGGTCTACCGCCCCTGTTACCTTTTGATAGGAGGGGCAAGAGGGGCAAGAGGGGCAAGAGGGGCAAGAGGGGCAAGAGGGGCAAGAGGGGCAAGAGGGGCAAGAGGGGCAAGAGGGGCAAGAGGGGCAAGAGGGGCAAGAGGGGCAAGAGGGGCAAGAGGGGCAAGAGGGGCAAGAGGGGCCAGAGTGCCCTTTTCATTAAAGTGCCCTTGAAGCCGGCCAATTGCAATAATCATAGATATTCATATGAAATTCTGATTGTAGTGCTTAATCTATAACGACATTTCTCAAAACTTTTAAAGTAAAGCATTATACCAAAAGTTAGTCAATTTTCAAGATACCTACAGCAGATCGAAATAAAATGGCAGTTAGTAGAAGGAATTAGTAGACGCTGGGAGTTATCTTTTAAATGCCCTTCTACTCAATTGCAAGATTCAAAACTTTTAGAAGTTCTTCAATACCGTTATTTAGGCTCTTCAATACCCTCACTTTCTTTCTCACCTTCAAATAACGAGCAGCAAGCTTCTTCGCTTTGCTCAGTTTACAAGCCGAGCTTCACTCGGCATTGCCCTCCAAGGGCTCCGCTAAAGGAGGGTGCTTGGTCCCCATACTTTGTCCGTCGGCACTTGTTTTTTTCATCCTATAGTGTAATTATAATATTTTTGAAACAATTGTAACGTGCTAAACTTTCTGCACTAAGTATGCGCTAAAAATACAAGTTGAAATTTTAGAAGTCTTAACAATAAGTTAGAAACACATGAAAGCAGCATAAAAAGGAACGGATCCAAAGTTTCGGAACTTCTTGGTGTGATATGGATACGATCCATACCGCAAGTGTTTACATCACACGAGATCGGATTCTAAACTATAAAGCGTTTACATAGGAACGGGAACGGATCAAAATCGAATCTCTCTTTAAAAGCATGCGCAATGACAAGGTAATTGTGAATATTCATTTTGGCGGGAGAACATCTAAGATGGCGTCATTTGGAAGCAAAGATAAGCATCCATTTTTTGAATTGACAGACAAGGAGACAGCTTTGTTAATAAAGGTAGTTATGGATTATAAAGCTGCTAAAATGCAAAACGGCGAAGAAGCTCTACTTAAATTTATCAAGGTCTATCCAGAAACAGCAACAGAGGGATAAAGAAACATTTGCAAAAGAAAAGTTAAAAACGAAAAATGAACAAGATGAAGAAGACAAGGTTCAGAAAGGCTGTCGACTGTGGAAAAAAGAGTGGGGGTGGGAGTAGTTGCTCTGAAATCTGGGCAGGATCACCAGCTGTCAAACAAATTTTATAGACAGAGAAAGAACTGCTAAAAGCTCACAAATTGCATAATCTCAGTTTTCTCTTCAGAATCCTACATTTCAATGGCTTAAGATCAATATTCCCAGATGAACCATCGCAGATAATTTTGAGATTGCACGTGATTCGTGACGTCATAAAGCATAGACAATTCAAATATAAAGGCTAATATCTTCTGTAATAATTGTATATTCGTACAACAATGATGATTGCATATTCGAATAGTTCTAAAAAAGCTTTCATTTGGTGTAAGGCAAGTTTAATCTTGCTGATGTCATCGAATTGATTGTACGAATTCCGGCTTGTTGTCCCGGCAAATTTCAGAGCCATGACAAGGATCAAGAAAATGGTGGAAATTCTTGTTGACCAATTGATTGGAAAAAAGTTAAACATGAGCATTTTGAGCTTCTGATTACAACAACAGGTATCATTAAAAGAGTTACAAAGTGATCTGGAAGATCTAACAAATATTAATTTTTTATCATCACAAAAGTCCTTTTTTTGCTTTTCGGTCTCCAGTCAAAGGAAGTAATACTGTACAGCTATTGTCCTGTGGGGGCTTTCTTGAAATAAGATATTATTCTGCAATTATGTTTATTCGAAAAAATGATTTTTTAAATGGGGGGCTTATTTGAGGGGGGGGGGGCTTATTCCAGCGTGGGGGCTTATTCGAGGATTTATGGTATGCATTTGCTCTCAAATCTTCTTTTTCAATTGTGCAAAGTGAAAGGCCTGAAAGGACAGTTAACCTGCAGAAAATTGTTAAAAATTTTCTTCGATCAAGAACAAAGCTGAACAGCTCAATTCCTTGATACTTCTATATTGTGAAAGAGGTATTTTAGATAAAATGGATCTACAGCAAAAAGCTATAAAATGGGCAAAGCAGAGAAAGAGATAATTGGCTGTTTATTGACTTGTTTTAATTTCTTTCTTATTTTTAAATATATCCGATATCTAATATTGGTTTTAATGAGTACCAGAACGGCAATTTGGTTATGCTTAGATGTTGCTTTTCTTCTTACGACAAGTTTAAATGTTCGTATTACGTTAATCCATATTTTAAGACTGGTAATCATTAGTAATCATATGGCAATAGGGCTATTTCCACAAATCAATTTGGTAGGTACAGTTGATATACAGTTCGGAAGAAAAATTTCTTAAAAAATTAGAATTCTCATCCCACCACGGCCTTTATAATGATCCACTTGCCAGGGACGAAAACAAGTTGCTAACTTTGGAGGGGCGTGGAAGGATGAAAATTCCAACTTTAAGTGAGAAATTCTTCATTCGATCAGTAAATCTACTGCACCTACCAAATTGATATTTGTAAATACCCCGAACACCATAGTTCTATTTTCTTTATATTTACCAAAACTTTACTCAATAATTAGCTTAAAGCATAAAACCCTAAACCTCTAAATTTTGATTAAAATGAAACAAACATTTAAACTTTCTGTAAGAAGTAAAGCAACATTTAAGCAAAATCAGTGTTAGATATACTTAATGATTAGTAGTATTCTTTCAGATCAATTGATCAATTTTATCTAAAATACATTTGTTTAACGATATAGAAGCACCAAAAATTTGAGCCTTTTATTTTTGTATGATCGAAGAAAACTACTAACAATTTTCAGAGGGCCAATGCCTTTTCGTTCTTTACAATTGAAATGATGATTTGAGAACAGATGAAACACTCTTCTTTGTTCAAATACTACTACTGCAGTTTTTGCAATGTGTTATTGCTTCACAGCAGTTTTGTCATAGGAATTTATTATAAGGAGTCAAAGACGTTAACAAATGATAGGGGGAGTTTAGCACAAACTCGTTTTTTATAAGAAGCATTGAGAATTTTTAGTACTGAAAGATTCTTAATCTTTTATTGAATTAACTCAGGAACGCCAGAGAAGGGGGGCGCGAGGGGTCTACCGCCCCTGTTACCTTTTGATAGGAGGGGCAAGAGGGGCAAGAGGGGCAAGAGGGGCAAGAGGGGCAAGAGGGGCAAGAGGGGCAAGAGGGGCAAGAGGGGCAAGAGGGGCAAGAGGGGCAAGAGGGGCAAGAGGGGCCAGAGTGCCCTTTTCATTAAAGTGCCCTTGAAGCCGGCCAATTGCAATAATCATAGATATTCATATGAAATTCTGATTGTAGTGCTTAATCTATAACGACATTTCTCAAAACTTTTAAAGTAAAGCATTATACCAAAAGTTAGTCAATTTTCAAGATACCTACAGCAGATCGAAATAAAATGGCAGTTAGTAGAAGGAATTAGTAGACGCTGGGAGTTATCTTTTAAATGCCCTTCTACTCAATTGCAAGATTCAAAACTTTTAGAAGTTCTTCAATACCGTTATTTAGGCTCTTCAATACCCTCACTTTCTTTCTCACCTTCAAATAACGAGCAGCAAGCTTCTTCGCTTTGCTCAGTTTACAAGCCGAGCTTCACTCGGCATTGCCCTCCAAGGGCTCCGCTAAAGGAGGGTGCTTGGTCCCCATACTTTGTCCGTCGGCACTTGTTTTTTTCATCCTATAGTGTAATTATAATATTTTTGAAACAATTGTAACGTGCTAAACTTTCTGCACTAAGTATGCGCTAAAAATACAAGTTGAAATTTTAGAAGTCTTAACAATAAGTTAGAAACACATGAAAGCAGCATAAAAAGGAACGGATCCAAAGTTTCGGAACTTCTTGGTGTGATATGGATACGATCCATACCGCAAGTGTTTACATCACACGAGATCGGATTCTAAACTATAAAGCGTTTACATAGGAACGGGAACGGATCAAAATCGAATCTCTCTTTAAAAGCATGCGCAATGACAAGGTAATTGTGAATATTCATTTTGGCGGGAGAACATCTAAGATGGCGTCATTTGGAAGCAAAGATAAGCATCCATTTTTTGAATTGACAGACAAGGAGACAGCTTTGTTAATAAAGGTAGTTATGGATTATAAAGCTGCTAAAATGCAAAACGGCGAAGAAGCTCTACTTAAATTTATCAAGGTCTATCCAGAAACAGCAACAGAGGGATAAAGAAACATTTGCAAAAGAAAAGTTAAAAACGAAAAATGAACAAGATGAAGAAGACAAGGTTCAGAAAGGCTGTCGACTGTGGAAAAAAGAGTGGGGGTGGGAGTAGTTGCTCTGAAATCTGGGCAGGATCACCAGCTGTCAAACAAATTTTATAGACAGAGAAAGAACTGCTAAAAGCTCACAAATTGCATAATCTCAGTTTTCTCTTCAGAATCCTACATTTCAATGGCTTAAGATCAATATTCCCAGATGAACCATCGCAGATAATTTTGAGATTGCACGTGATTCGTGACGTCATAAAGCATAGACAATTCAAATATAAAGGCTAATATCTTCTGTAATAATTGTATATTCGTACAACAATGATGATTGCATATTCGAATAGTTCTAAAAAAGCTTTCATTTGGTGTAAGGCAAGTTTAATCTTGCTGATGTCATCGAATTGATTGTACGAATTCCGGCTTGTTGTCCCGGCAAATTTCAGAGCCATGACAAGGATCAAGAAAATGGTGGAAATTCTTGTTGACCAATTGATTGGAAAAAAGTTAAACATGAGCATTTTGAGCTTCTGATTACAACAACAGGTATCATTAAAAGAGTTACAAAGTGATCTGGAAGATCTAACAAATATTAATTTTTTATCATCACAAAAGTCCTTTTTTTGCTTTTCGGTCTCCAGTCAAAGGAAGTAATACTGTACAGCTATTGTCCTGTGGGGGCTTTCTTGAAATAAGATATTATTCTGCAATTATGTTTATTCGAAAAAATGATTTTTTAAATGGGGGGCTTATTTGAGGGGGGGGGGCTTATTCCAGCGTGGGGGCTTATTCGAGGATTTATGGTATGCATTTGCTCTCAAATCTTCTTTTTCAATTGTGCAAAGTGAAAGGCCTGAAAGGACAGTTAACCTGCAGAAAATTGTTAAAAATTTTCTTCGATCAAGAACAAAGCTGAACAGCTCAATTCCTTGATACTTCTATATTGTGAAAGAGGTATTTTAGATAAAATGGATCTACAGCAAAAAGCTATAAAATGGGCAAAGCAGAGAAAGAGATAATTGGCTGTTTATTGACTTGTTTTAATTTCTTTCTTATTTTTAAATATATCCGATATCTAATATTGGTTTTAATGAGTACCAGAACGGCAATTTGGTTATGCTTAGATGTTGCTTTTCTTCTTACGACAAGTTTAAATGTTCGTATTACGTTAATCCATATTTTAAGACTGGTAATCATTAGTAATCATATGGCAATAGGGCTATTTCCACAAATCAATTTGGTAGGTACAGTTGATATACAGTTCGGAAGAAAAATTTCTTAAAAAATTAGAATTCTCATCCCACCACGGCCTTTATAATGATCCACTTGCCAGGGACGAAAACAAGTTGCTAACTTTGGAGGGGCGTGGAAGGATGAAAATTCCAACTTTAAGTGAGAAATTCTTCATTCGATCAGTAAATCTACTGCACCTACCAAATTGATATTTGTAAATACCCCGAACACCATAGTTCTATTTTCTTTATATTTACCAAAACTTTACTCAATAATTAGCTTAAAGCATAAAACCCTAAACCTCTAAATTTTGATTAAAATGAAACAAACATTTAAACTTTCTGTAAGAAGTAAAGCAACATTTAAGCAAAATCAGTGTTAGATATACTTAATGATTAGTAGTATTCTTTCAGATCAATTGATCAATTTTATCTAAAATACATTTGTTTAACGATATAGAAGCACCAAAAATTTGAGCCTTTTATTTTTGTATGATCGAAGAAAACTACTAACAATTTTCAGAGGGCCAATGCCTTTTCGTTCTTTACAATTGAAATGATGATTTGAGAACAGATGAAACACTCTTCTTTGTTCAAATACTACTACTGCAGTTTTTGCAATGTGTTATTGCTTCACAGCAGTTTTGTCATAGGAATTTATTATAAGGAGTCAAAGACGTTAACAAATGATAGGGGGAGTTTAGCACAAACTCGTTTTTTATAAGAAGCATTGAGAATTTTTAGTACTGAAAGATTCTTAATCTTTTATTGAATTAACTACTCGTAGTTTCTTAAAAAACTCCCACTCTAAAATTTTCTGATCAATGCGGGTATTATTATTCCAAACTATAATTTTTCAAGTTTCTTATCCGGCAATTCACCTTGCCTGTTCGTAATTTGATTCAACTCCCGTCAGAAAGAAAGCAAATGGGGCAATTGTGCAATTTGGATCCAGTGGAGACGGGATTCACAATAGAAAACGATTAGTGGATGGGTCAGCTTCAGCCTGTGAATTTTAATGTTTAGAATTTTTACATTTAAAATCAAAAAACTTCTTAAAATATAAAATTCACGAGTTTGGTCCTAAGAAAAAAATTCAAAGTCAACCGTTAAGTTTCCAACTGTAACTGGATTTTCCAAACTTTGGGGGGGCGTTACGCCCCCCACGCCCCCCTATTATTTACGTGCCTGCCTCTTGCTTTTGTCCCCGTTAGTCTTAATGTCATTTGGAAACATTTGCACTAAAAATTTATGATTTTTGCTCATGATAGACACCCCATACTTCAACAAACCCTATAGCCCTCCCCCTCCCCGGGCACTTACACAAAATGCCATTCTACCCTGTTTCAGAAAATGTTTCTTGGTTACAGCGCCATATGTGACGCCATATGTACTAAAGAATTGCATTCCTATCCCACGGGGACCGTCCTAAAAAGTTGGGAAGGGGGCTGTGCTATAGGGAACTTCTAGAAGCCACACCCAGGACCACATCCATGGTCACACCCTTATGAAATCATTTGATATATGAAATCATTCAGACTCTTTACCGACACAAAAAATTGATTGCTTAATGACGGAAAATCAATAGCATTATAAAGGGTTAATTCAAATTTTCAAGTCAGGAATTCGTTGATCCAAACTTAAGAGAGGCACCCTGCCCCAACTCTCTCCAAGGCACAACTGTCCTAAAGTATTTGAAATCAGGATTTTAGGTATTGTATGATCTTTTATTAATTCAAGCAGAAGAAAATGCGACAACAGTTTCAATGAGTGGCAGAATCGGGCGTGAAGTGGCAGAATAGTTCAACAACATATATATTCTATAATCATAAAACATTCAGTGGCAGACCACCAGTGATGCCTCAATTTACAAGTAAAGAAAAGTTGAAGATACATTTGAGAAACTTCGAACGATAAAGTCTTCTTTAAAGTTTAAATACAAGCCTTTCAAGGCTAATATATCACATCCTTCTTTCAGTTACTTTCAATTGACTGACTGAATCATCACCTTCACTGACAGCTGCCATTTTTCCGATTGCATTGTCAATGCCGATTTCTAGAGCATGGTTTGTAGAGGCCTGGCTTGACCTACGCTTCTTAAAGATAAGAGCAACAACAACAACTGTCATTGCAACAAGTCCAACAGCCAAAACGACAAACTTCACATCAATTTCTTCCTTTTCTGTAAAATAAAAAGATACAATTTTATAAGAAGTTCATCAATGACGGTGTAAAGAAATAGAAAAATTATCTTTTTATCTAATTTAGGCCTAAAATGCTTTGAAAGAAAATTGGAGACTGTACTGATATTCGCTATTGACAACACAAACCTAAGACTTTCTTTTTGTTGTCTTCGGCATTTCTTACAACAGGACCAACTTCGAGAAGATAATACTTTGAAGCAGTCGAAGGATCAGAGAGCGTTTCTTTGCTTGTGTCTCGTCTTATACGGTTGTTGCTTCCAGAGCAACGTTGCTTGCATTTTGCCACTGTAGACGACTTGTGACACAGGAAAACGAGGCAGTGAATAAATACAGTTGTCGTGTTGCTGAGGTAACGGAAAGCATCCATGCTGAATCTTTGGAATTGTGCTTTACTTCCGTGAAATGCAACAGTGTTGTCAGTTGGACACCTGAAGAATAAAATGCAATTACATTCTCAATATCTATAAAACATTCTCGAATTTAACAGTCTCTGTCGACGATGTTTTTAAAATGTTTCTAAACCAATATTTTAGATTTAACAACCATGCTGCAACTATATGTAAAAATTGAGGTGACGTACCCATTGTTGATGATCATGTATTTGTTGTGGTATGTTTGTTCATATTCGGCGTTGAATAGCATTGGTCAATCAATAACTCAAGTCTACTGTCCTCTACAATGGCAGACATCTGGAAGTGCAAGCGATCTCGTGTATTTACTTTAACCGGGTATGCGTAGTAGCGGCTCAGAAACTGTTCGCTTTGGTACATGGCAAAATTGAACTGGAACTTTCCGATCCCAGCTGTAAATGAAAGGGGATGTATCATAATTGTAAAGATAATATTCCATTATGCAGTTTATTTTTCTTTGATACTGAGCCTTTTCCCGGTGGGTGCAATCCAGTAGTAAAAGTTACACCACCCTCGTCCATACCATTTCATAGAATACCCTTTTCTATGACTTTCTAGTCGGCAAAAGACCCCTCTATCACGGAACATGTTCGCGGAAATCATGGACACGCGTGGTGTCATGCTTTCATTAACATTGCACACGCCGGGTGCCTTATCCCACACGTTTTTATCGTAAACAATTAAATCCCTACAGAAAGAAATAAATTGGTGACTTCATCCAGTGCCAACGGGCGCTTACCTTCAAACCCACTATAGCTCATGATAGGATCGAAAGATACACCCACGAACCCACTCCTTTTATAAACACATCTGATATTGATTGATTGATCATGATTACGGGAAATCACTTCTGCTCCACTCATCCTCGCTTTCATAATAATCTTGTTCTCATATATGATCTCGTTTGGCGTCTCAGTCATCGTTGCGCCGCATGAACTTGGTAAGCTGCCTAGAATTATTTTCCCATTTGAATACGAGGCCGTGCATGTGTTATCGCGCAGGGTTATGCTTCCGTAAAGCGAGGCATTGAAATATTTCTTGTCCAGCTCAACTCGGATGAAGTTGTCAGTGCAGGATACAGTCGCTCTTTTATCTAAATTGGAAGAAATCGAAATTTAGCTTTCTCAGTTTAACACAATTTTGGTTTGTTAATATCTGTTGCAAATTGAATCACATGAATTTTTATTGTTTAAAAAGGACAATTATAACAAAATGAAATAATATCTTATTTGACAAAATTTCACTTCCAGTCCATGTTAATCTCTGTGTGTTAATTAAGCAAATAGAAAAATCTATGATTAAGAAACCCTGTTATTTATTAGCCATGAGTTCGTATATAGATGAATTATTTCTTTGCTCCTATAGGTCATTGGAATCTCAAAAAGCAAAAGCTTGACTGTGAATTACAACGTAAGTATAAGATGGTGCATTGATTATATATTATGATTTACCTCTGGCTCCGCAATACCTCTGAGGACACTTTGGCACTCTATTCAGGTAATACACATAATACTGACCGCAGTTTCTCACTTTTATTGTCGTACTATAATCACACGTGCAGTTATCGTATCTTGAAAAGCAGACACTCCTATTGACCTCTCTTTCATTTTCTGTTGGGTGAAGACCATCAAGCCAACCTTGCCATTCAGATCCACAAGAGAGACGCGAGCCTCCAATTGAAGCGGGGCATGTATCTAGCAGTTTGTTGCCTGCGTTGTACATAAATCTGTACCAGCCATGTAATTTACTGTCACATGTTGAATTGCGACTGTTTGTCTCCGTGTATAATCTAGCTTCATCTGACAACACTCGGTAACTTCTGCAGCCACTTACATAAGCAGTGTGCTTTGTTATAGGTGCAGAAGCTGAAATGGAATCAACTTTCATTTTTATAAACTTCTCTCAGTAGATCATTCTCGGCCTTTATTTTGATGTTATAGTCAATTGTTCCTAGCTAAGTGTTTTCATTCAACAATTATTACACAAAGTCATATCTTATTTCTCTGTTAAAATATGAGTGTCAGTTCTTCCATAATTTGTTCAATTGTTGAAAGATGGCACGGAATAGCAGAAATTATTTCTATCCGCCGTGTCGCGCTATCTTCAAATTTTGCAGTGCCAGAACCTTATTTAATAGTTTTATAATTCAATGATTTAATGGTTTGTGAAGTGGGTATGTGAGAATATGCAAAAACCTGTTTCTGAACAAGTTCAAGTAAAATCAAAGTGATAAAATAATGAGCTATGACTTGAGAGCAAAAGCACTGTGAGGTCTCTCCTTTTTCAATTCTCTCCTGCCTTAAGATGCTAATTTTGTGCCATGTTTTTCAGTAAACGAATATTCAAGGCTTTTGAAGATATCATGGCTCCATTTAAGTAAACTTGATAGTTATAATAAGAAAGCTCGATGTATTTCTGAGCAATAATTCTACAACTGAGTACCTCAAGGTTGGTCGTTTGTGTCAGCAAATCAATATCCTGCGGTGTGCCAATTTTCAGTAATTATATATATTTGTGGGTCTTTTAGCAAAAAAATTCCTGCAGAATTATCTGATCTATTACTTACTGGTTCTAACCGGTGTTGTTGTCGGTGGTGGAGTAATTGTGAAGTTTTCTAGAAAAAAAATGAAATGAGTGTTTTTAACAAGCTGCAGCATGATTTGAAAATACAATTAAAAGCATGTAATACGGTATTTTGTAGAATTGTTGTTATGCATTTCGTACTCAAATTGAAATTCCATTTTTAAATCTTTCAACATTTTCTTCCAGGTACATTTGTAATTTTATTCGATAAACCACGAGAAAAAGTTTTGAAACTGGAAACTAATGACGTCAAAGTCTTAGAAATCAAAGCAAGTATGTTTCTAGATTCAATAGTTTATTTCCACTCACTTCGGACCTTCATTTCTGAAAACTTAATTGTACCGTAACCTAAGTCATTCAGCCAAGTCATTTGGTTGAATTGTCCTCCAGAGCCAGTTGGATAAGCAGAGTTCAACGAAGAATCGAAACAGCTTTTGTACCACCAAGCAGCTTGGTTCGTTGTGGCGCAATTGAAATACCAAGAGTCGTGGTCTGCATCCTTGGCACTAAACTGAGCATTATTATGACTGGTCAGGGAATCTCCTGAATTTCCGGTGTATCCAGAGACAGTCAGTTTGTAATTGGCTGCGCTGTTTCCCACTTGAAAAAGCTTGTATTGAGCGTACCATTGCTGCCCATTGGCATCCTTCATATCGACTCGTAACGTATATCCATGAGCAGTTAATGCATTTATAGTATCCAGGCCAAGCCAGAAATTTCCGTGAATGTCACCAAACCCTTGTTTATAATCATTATATGTTCTGTAAAAGTCTGTGTTTGCATCCTTTCTTCTTTGGATGCAGTGGCGAAGCTAGCCAAAAATTGTTGGTCCTGCTATATGGACAGGGCCACGCCCTTATTCAATTGGAAAAGCCTATGGACAAAAATTCTATTTTGCAGATGAATTTTTTCTTAAATTCAGTGAAAAGCAAATTTTAAATCGATGTCTATCTTTTGAAAAATAAACCCATACTTAAAGACGTGCTTTAGGGTGCTTACTTTTCAAACAAATATATGTTAAATTGTAGTAAGCCTCTACAGCTGAAGTAAAAGTTCAAATTGGTGATAACTAAATTTCACGATAAAAGGGGGTAGGGGTGGCATTTAAAGTTGCATATCATACATTTGTGTTATTCCACACATAATATAAACCTGACCAATCTAGATACTCTATTAAAATAATTTTAATAAACAACAGAGTTTAAAGTCTGTAGGGGCAAGTTCACATATTCTGCAGAACAATTATTCTGCAGCTGATAAAGAGAGGTACAATCGAATAATGTGTCGCATTATCAATGAAAACAACTTTATTAGATAAACCATTAGACGAGAAAACAATTCAGGTAGAAAAATGCAAATTCCGCTGAAATTGGTTTATTCTCCAACTCAAAACTTTCAATCACACAACAGTAAATTCAATTATGCTTTCATCGTCCTTGTCCAAGTCTAAGAAAATTTTATTTAGGCCACCATGATTTACCGTGCCTCAAACGATCGTGCAAAGGCCGAAATCAGAGTGCCTCATACAGCCAATTCTTGTTGTTTGCATTTCTTTCTTGCGAACTTTGGACTCTGTCTTGTTACAAATAAAATTTATGCAGCTCAACTGAGGCAAGTTTTGCTGTCAATAATAATATCATTGGTATTGCCAAAGCAAGCAGAAAATCCGCATTCACATCGCCTCGCCATAATACTTGAACTGGCCTCCTTGCTAGTATCTCATAGCAGAACGAGAATGCACAGGGCAATTCTTGCAGTCCTGCTCTCAGAAATAGCAGGACCAAAGGTTTTCAAAACAATGCTCTTTGACCTACGTAGGTGAACCCTCGACCAATCAAATGACAACTGCTTACGAAATGTTATGATGGTCATTTCGACGAGGTCCTGCTCCCGAGATTGAGCAGGACTGCTCTTTGTTCTAGACTATTGTGAAGCAGGACTAAATTCACAAAAGCCCATTGTGAAGCAGGACCAAACATAGGGTATCATAGTTATGAGCAGGACCAAAATACAGGGCTGCCGTAGAAGAGAACAGGACCTTGAGATTAGCACGGGATGCCTGTATCAGCTGGCGGAACTGGGGACTGTTTATCAAAAAGAATTTGAAACTTCCTTTTTGCAAAGAAGAAATTGTTTATTGTTTACAGTAAATCTTATCTTTGGAAATTCTTGGTCCTGCTCAGCAGGACCAGCAGGACCTTTGGCTTCGCCACTGTTTGGATGACATTCCAGCCTCCATTGTCGGTATCCATATCGCAGTACACTGTTTTTGGTGTCAAGCCATTGGTCCATATTGTATACTCTTTGCTTACCCTGTTTCCTTCTAGCAACAATGTCTGGCAATCTTTTCGCCCTGTGTTAGAAAGAGGCATGGCTAATCTAATGCGAAATCATTTCAAAGTAGGCCTTCCATTCTACAAAATCCCTATTTTTGAAAAGTTCTCGCAATAGATACCTACATGACAATGCATGATTAACCCTATCCAGACTGGGGCGCTCATTCATCTCCCCGCCCCCATTCACTTAATCGAGCAGTGATCCACATTGGTAGACTCAACCATCACGATGCTTTTTGACTTTGAGTTTCTATCTATATAAAGGGTGAATTTGAAATATTAAACTGAGGAAATTTGGCTATTTTAAGGAGTCTTACTTTTAAGGAATCTTCTGATGCACTTATGTCAAGTTCATCTTATAATCATTTTATGAAATCCTTGTTACCACTTCATTTTTTATGTACAAAAGTCAGTCGTGTTTTACTTGAGTTTGACTATGACGTCATTTTTGTGTACCCTTGTCATTATGTCTTGAATAATTATGACGTCATTTCTATTTTTGGACATCTTTTTAAAATTTACCTCTGCTATGTCCCTGGTGATTTTTGTCAACATATACCAAGGAACAAAGATTTTAGAGCGGGAGGGGGGGCTGAATGAGCCCCCCTTTAGTTTTCTAACAAACCCAAAAAGCCCGGTCTGGGTAGGGTTAAAGTAGTTATTTTGTATTCCATTCTATTTTGGTTTCTCCTAAGGTGCAAGTGCTACGGCGGCTCGTGAATGTGATAAACATGACGAGCAACTGTACCTTGGGAATTTTTTAAGGGGGGCTCCCGGGGCGGTGCCAGCCCCAAAATAGTGGGGTGGACAATGGAAAGGGCGGAGCTGATAAAGAGGTTTGGGTTGGATACCGGTGCAACACCCTACGAGAAATCACGCTCATTATTGATAACCAAGTTTGACATATTTTGAAACCCTTAATAGAAGAGTTGAATTTCATAGGCAAATGTTTACACACATTAAAGCTAATTTCAGAGTGTTATCTTAGCTATCGATGGTTTTAAACTTAATAACGAGGCTTCCTTTGTCTTTTTATCTGCCATATCTCGATCGATGCTAATTTCAACAAGGTTTTTTCTAATCTTTCGTCTGATATTAAGCTGTAACCGGGCTGCAACACTCTCCTTACAGCTTAAAAAAGTTTTAAAGTTAATTTTCGCTTAAAAACCTTTAACAAGGAAGGAAGGCATAGACTAAACACTTAGAACCAACTGTTTGGCACGATAAAGCTATGTTTTATAGATCATCTTCATCATAAGCATACGGCAGAATTTTCACAGGGGGAGGGGGGGGGTGTAGGATTTTTGCCCGAGTACAGAGGCATACATATATTTATGAGCCTGTTGGTGATAAGGAACTTTGACATAGGAATATTTACATTACGAGTTCTTTTTCACCGAAATATCTAAAGTAAAAATAGTCAGTTGAGAGTAGAGCAAACCAATCAGAGACATGTTTGGGGGGACATGCTATCCTTATCCCAAAAGTTTGATCTAAGTTTACCATAGATAAGGGCAGCAATGTATAATATTTTCCAATATTTTACTTAATATCACTTAAAATACTACTATTAATTCTTGAATTCGACTTAGTCAAAAGAAATGTGAGTCCTGACCCTTTCTATGTCTAAATGTATCAATCATTGCAATCATGTCACTTTTCATAACTTCGTTTGAAAATTTCCTCTCGATGCTAAGTAGTGCCAAATTGCTCAGCCGTTCTCGGCCCATGGTTGATCTGAGATATGTTTTCAGCCGTCGAAGGCCACTGAATGATCTTTCAGCTGAGCAAGATGTTGCTCGAATCGTTGCTAGCAATGATGTTGTTTCATACAGGAATGACAGTATTTGATGCAAACCTTCTTGAAATATCTTCTGGACAAGCATTGCTGCATTATTACCATAAGATTCAGAAGTGCTTTGCTTCTTGTAATTTTCAAAAACCATCTTATCATTTTTAAGGCACTCTTGGTCGATTTGATAATGCAACGATATTGACTCGTAGCTTTCAGTCTTTGGGTTATTTGAAAATACCACGTCTGCCAAAGCACATAGAATTTGCTGGTCATTTTCTGCAAAGCGGGACTGTATTTCAGCCATAGCTGTGTCAACACTTTCGTAGTAACACGGTAATGGTCCTTTGGACTGATCTCTTGATGGTTTTCTTGGTTTTCACCAACAAGGGCCTGCTGTTGCTTTGATGGCTTTCTTCGTGGCAATCTTGGATCTCTTAACGAAAAATTTGTGTCGTTGATCCATTTCTTTATTTGTGAGACTATTCTACCAACTGACTCCCAAAATAGCTCGAAGCTCTCTTCGTTACGGCATCCGCTTAGTGTAAGGACGACCGCATCAGCTGTTCTCTTTGCAGTTATCACGTCTATGTCTTTCCGTTGCAAATACCTGCTTAAGGCATCCGTACTGGATAAGATCAGCCTTAATATCAGCAAGCCAAAAACAAAGTCAAAGTTACATATGGCTTGTACCAAAGAACTGCTCTCGTTATAACAGGATGGATCACTGTTATCTGTAAAAATGAGCAGCGCCTTAAGAATCACTGGGATTTGCTCAGTTGTGGCTTTCACAGCTGACCAACGGCAAGACCCTCGTGTTGCACTCAGTGACTTCAAGGTACGTCTATGACCACTTTCCTCCAACTGGATGCTCTTTAAAATAGCATGTGGCTTTGTGCTACCCTCCAAGAAGCTGTAAAGCTTCTGGACTGTACCAAGTGAGTGCGTAAAGGCTCCAGCTCTGTGAGGGCATTTTCTAAGGCTAGGTTTAGTAGGTGACCATAGCAGTGAACATAAATAGCCTTTGGAGAATGTTCTTTCATTCGGGTCGCAAGACCTTTGTGCACCCCTCTCATGTTAGCTGCACCGTCGAAACACTCAGCAATGATGTCACTCAGTATTAGGTTGAACTTCTTAAACACCTTCGTCACAAGCTCATACAAAACCTTACCCTCCGTGTTTTCTGTATCGAAGAGTCCAAGGAAAGTTTTCTTTGTTGTGCCTTCAAATACATATCGAATGAAAATCGAAACTTGCTCCACCTTGCTCATATCGGATGTTTCATCCACAATGATGCTGTAAAATTTGCAAGACTTAATTTCTGTAAGAGTCCTCTCCAAAACTTGGTCTGACAGGATACCTATGAGCTCGTTTTGTATTGAAGGAGAAGTCCATTGTGCATGGGATTTGAACTGGTTTTGCAGCTTCTCCTTTAACCAAGGCAAATCTCGACACCTTAAATGTAGTAGCTCCAAAAAATTTCCTCGATTGATGTCAGATACCTCCCAAATATTCTGCCTTGCTTCTTCGTGTCCACGAACAGCAATATTTTGTTGTGCAGCGAACATTATGCATTCAATAATGATTTGCAAGTACTGACGATTGCTCTCTACCTTTTCGGAGTGGAAACTGTCCAATTGCTGCAGAACTGAGGAAGAATTATTTTTTGCGGCTTTGTGCAGGACCCATTTTGACATCAAATCTAGATGCTTTTCACTTGCATTATGTTTACTGAGTTTCTATGGTATCTTCCAGTTGTTAAAAACAAACGAACTTTCTTTGCTGAATTTTGAACATGCGAAGCAAGTGCTTTCATCTTTACCTGCACTGTACGATAACCAAGTATACGTCTTGTACCATTCAGGCTTGAATCTTCGTACAAAGTTCTCATTGCCAAATTTTCGTCCTGGGAACTGTCGCAGCAGTGGCTGTTGAGGACGTTCAAGGTCAAGTTCCTGATTCACAGTGGAATCCAGGCTGGCATTAGATTGTTTGTTGCTCATCTTGACTAGAGGTCTCATTTAGAAGGTTAGCATCATGGCGGCCGCAGTATATTTTGCTGTTGTAATATTCGTTCTATCCAACATCAGAAAAGAATCCTTTGCAAGTGCAAACTCAGTCTGCTTCTCTTTCTACGGTGAAGAGGCAAAGGATGTGCAAAACTCAAGAATATGTGCTTCTGTATGGGTCCACAAACAAGAAAAGGGAATTCATGTAGTTCATAACACACGCACGCATGTGGGACTACAATTGTTACTACATCTTGCTGGGGATGTCGAGATGTGTCCAGGCCCATGCCAGAAATGCACCACATGTAAAAGGCTGATGAGAAAGAATCAGAGCTCTGATAAGTGCTTCGCGTGTGGCCAAAAGCTCCACCTAAAATGCCTCGTTGATCAAATTGAAAACGGATGCGAGAGGGTTTATTGCCGTTCGTGCTTGGCAGATAAACAAGTCAATCCAGATATTCAAATGACAGAAAATATTTACAACGATATCACAACGTTTTTACAATCAAGAGGACTAAAATTATTCCACCAAAACATAAATGGTCTTGCAAAGAAAATCGAGGACTTAAAATTCATCGATTTTTTTGGCGTTACTGAGACCCACCTGATAGGGACGAATTTGACAATTTTCAAAGGGCTCTTGAAGTCAGTAATAGATAAGCATACACCCCTAACAAAGAAAAAGGTAAAAGGGCGTGATTGTCCATGGCTAACAAATGAAATTAGATCCAAAATGAATGAGAGAGATTACTAGTTGAAGAAAGCAAGAAAGACAGGAAAAGAAAATGATTGGTCCACATATCGTCGCTTACGAAATGCAGCAACTCGAATCATCAGATACAGCAAGGCAACTTACACAAGATCTGTCTTTCAAGAAAACATTAACAGACCAAAGCAGTTTTGGGAGCAAATTAAAAAATGTTATCCAGCAAAATCCTCAAAAGATCGAAGCAGCAAGGTATTTGAAATAAATGGAGAAATTACTTCTGAAAAGAAAACTATATCAAACGAATTCTGCATGTTTTTCGCGACGATTGGCAGAAAATTGCAAAATACTTTACCAGCAATAGTGAATCAAAGTTTGGAATATCACAAACACTCAACATTGGATCATAGACAGAACCCCAAAAAGGTAACCTTTAATTTCAAAAAGACAAACATCAAAGACATCAGAGACATTTTAACGAAACTAAAAAGAAAAAAGGCTGCTGGTTGTGATGATATACCAACAGCGTCGATTGTTGATGGGGCAAACGAGATAGCTGGTCCTCTCTCAAATTTGATTAATCGATGTCTTGAAATGGCAATCTTCCCATGTGCTGAAAAATGCTCTAAAATTACACCAGTCTACAAGTCAGGTGAAAAGACGATCATGGATAACTATAGACCAATTTCTATACTCCCTGTTATTTCAAAAGTCTTTGAGCGGGTTGTGCACAATCAGCTCTATGACTATCTTGAGGCTAATAATATGCTTTCGGAGAGACAGTTTGGTTTTCGAAAGCGATCATCTACTCAACATGCAGTTACATTTTTCTCAGATTTCATCAGAACCAATATGGACAGGGGCCTTATGACTGGAGCTGTATTTATTGACCTGCGAAAGGCTTTTGACACAGTGGACCATGACAGACTCCTATCTAAACTTCTTAATTATGGTATTAAAAACAAGGAGCTTTGCTGGTTCGAGAACTATCTGTTTGGTAGAACGCAAATTGTATCATATGATGGAGCCTTGTCAGAAAGTCAAGCTATTTCCTGTGGAGTACCGCAGGGATCCATATTGGGTCCATTGCTTTTTACCTTACTAATAAACGATATCGATGAAAATTTAAGCCAATGTGAAATTACCCTCTATGCTGATGATTCTGTTTTGTACGTTGCTGGTAAAAATTGCGATATTATCGAAGAAAAGTTAAACAGTGATCTAAAACAGATTGCTTACTGGCTTCAGCAAAATAGTCTCGTTATTAATCTTAAAAAGACCAAGACCGAGTGCGTCCTTTATGGTACACACCAGAGAACTTCGAAATCAAAGCCTATGGAGATCAAGATCAATAACACAAATATCACAGAATCTAAAGAATACGAATATCTAGGAGTAAAGATGGACAAGAACCTGACATTTTCTGATCATTTCGAAAAAACAATAAAAAAAGCCACATCTAGAGTAAAGTTATTGTCGCGTATACGGCATAATATAAGTCCTTACACAGCAGAAACAATTTACAAGGTAACAATTTTACCAATTCTGCTTAATTGTAACAATGTGATCCTTCACATGGCACCATCAAAAAAGATGGTGTATGAGAACATTCAGAGACGGGCACTGAAAGTAATAAATGGCAACAGGGACAGTGTACAGCTGGAGAAAGTCAGTAGTATACGAAACAAGATGTGTGCTCTTGAAGTTTTCAAAAGTTTGAATAGCGTATCGACACACGCCTTTCGAAACTACTTCACTAGAGTAAAACACAGGCAGTGTACTCGTGCCAATGCAAAAAATTTGTTTTGCCCAAAGTGCAATCAGAAGCAGGCAAGAAGGCCTTTTACTTTCAAGGAGCAAAGTTTTTTAATAAACTAACAGACGAAATGAAGTGTGAAACTTCAATTCTAAGATTTAAGACTTTTTGTAAAAATTTTAACTTCGACTTTTAAGATTTCATTTTCATCATGTATTTAATTTTTATTTCGGTAATCCATGTATATTTTAGACAGGTCCTTTATTGATAACAGCACGTTGTTGCTGACCAAAGTTCACCTGTATAAATATGATATTATTATTAAAATTATTATTATCGTAATCATCCCTTGTTAATGAAATAGACATCTCGATTTCTTTGTCACTTTCTTCATGGGCCTGTTCGTCCTTGGTCTGCTCTTCTTCGTGTATCTCTTGAGAGGTCTCTTTTTCTGTGCTATTTTCGTCGTGGGCTTGTTGGTCCTTGGCCTGGTATTTTTCGTGTGGCGCTTGAAAGGTCTCTTTTTCTGTTCTACTTTCGTCGTGGGCTTGTCGGTCCTTGGCCTGGTCTTTTTCGTGTGGCGCTTGAAAGGTCTCTTTTTCAGTGCTACTTTTGTCGTGGGCTTGTTGGTCCTTGGCCTGGTATTTTTCGTGTGGCGCTTGAAAGGTCTCTTTTTCTGTGCTACTTTCGTCGTGGGCTTGTCGGTCCTTGGCCTGGTCTTTTTCGTGTGGCGCTTGAAAGGTCTCTTTTTCTGTGCTACTTTTGTCGTGGGCTTGTTGGTCCTTGGCCTGGTCTTTTTCGTGTGGCGCTTGAAAGGTCTCTTTTTCTGTGCTACTTTTGTCGTGGGCTTGTTGGTCCTTGGCCTGGTCTTTTTCCTGTGGCGCTTGAAAGGTCTCTTTTTCTGTGCTACTTTTGTCGTGGGCTTGTTGGTCCTTGGCCTGGTCTTTTTCGTGTGGCGCTTGAAAGGTCTCTTTTTCTGTGCTATTTTCGTCGTAGGCTTGTTGGTCCTTGGCCTGCTCTTCTTCGTGTATCTCTCGAATTACAGAATGGCATTGTTCACTATCAGCTTGCTCTTGCTCTTGTCCGCTCTCTCCAGCAGTACACTTAACGGGAGCCTTCGCAAAGTATCCACTCAGTGTTGACTGTGATGCTTCTAGTACGGCAATGCATTCAAAATTTTGGCCATTGTGCATGTTTTTCATGAGTGCAACCTTGTAGCCAGAATCAAAGACACTGTTACATTCTTTGCATTCAACTGAGTATCGGTATTTTCTTTTTCTTGTTGTCGAAGCCATGACTGTCAGATGAAAATATCTTGCTCTTGTCAATTCTCTTTCTTATGAAGACTTCCCAATACTCCACCACTTCAACTCATATCTGAATTATCATTCCAAGTGAGCCCTATTTATCTGTTAAATGACTGTGATAGCATTACGTCGTTTTCTGAATTTGAGATTCGAGACGATTGCGTCATTCCCATCAGACAATAAATGCACACTGCTCTTGCGTCACGCAATTTCGTTGAGGACAGAGGGCGGTATTTAAAATTTTTAAGGCCTAATATAAACTTCAAAGTGAGTCCAGAGCCACGATAATAGTTTCATTGAAAGAAACTATCAAAGTTCCTACTGCGAGAACCATTGTAGTAGGATCATATGCCATCAATTAACATACATAATTATTATGCTAACCTCGTTTTCGTTTGTATATAAACTTAGTCTTTTGTTTAGTAATTCAGTCAGTGATTAACCTCAACACGAGTCGCTCACTTTTTGTCTTCACTCTCAATTCATTGACTACTCGAAGTGACAAGGGTTTTAGAGAAAGTCTAACCCCTGTTACACCATTAGGGGGGAGGGTGCCGTCAAGCCTTTGACCGTCAAAACATATTGAAAAGAAATCACTATCATGGACTAATCTCCTCGAACAATGTTGAATCGAATTGCCTTAAGCAAGTCCCATCACTTTCCAGTGTCATTTCTGCCCGACTATTTGCGGAGAATTTTTGAAAATTTGCTCGACTGACATGGTTTTCGAAAACTGGGGGGGGGGGGGGGGCTGCAAAGTAAAATGCTGTGTGAGAGTGTGGTTGAAATATTTTTTCTTTCTGATTTCATTTTTCTACTCAAAAATCCTTTTCAAATTATGGCGGGAAATGAATCACGTGACACCGTGACGTAGATTGTGATAATTTGTTATTGCTGCCACTGGTATACAGTGCAATATTAACGTTTACTACACGCTTTTTAACGAATTCAGTTCGTCTGGACCTGTCGCGTCGTGTTTCGTAAACTCTCTATTAATGACAGGAAAATTCCGAGTTATCACAATGTACGTCATAGGGTCACGTGATAAAAAGCAAAATCGCGCCCCCTGCGCCCACTGATTAGAATTCTTTGTTCTAAACTAGGAAAAACTTACTTCTAAATGATGATCTATAAGTTAATGAAAAGAAAAGATAGGGTGAAAAGTGTGTCACTTGTCCTTTAAGATCTCAAAAGAACCGTATCTGACCATCAAAAGGGAAAAAAGTTCCGATCTCAGAGAAGAACACTAACACCCCCCCCCCCTATGTTTTTCATCCAATTTTGGAAAAAATAGAAAATCGATCTTGAAAAAAGTGGGGTGGACATGTTCACCCCATTCCACCACGTGGCGCCACCCCTTGGCAACTTCATGTTGCAGAACAGTTTTTAGGGACCTGCATATTTGCAGTATATTACTTCTAATTATCAATAAAGGGGATACAATAGGCAATTGTTTTAGAATTTTAAGCCACCACCGGGAATGTGCCATTTAGCGTGTAGCAGTTATATCCTTGTTAATCAAAACACTTTCACTCTTAGACCTACCTAAATTTATGGTTGATGCAACTTTCTGATAATTCATAGATAAGCTAGGTTTCGCAATTCATTTCCCCTGTTATTACCTCCATTGATCCTTTGAGGCTCGAGTACCCTTGTTTTATGTACTTACCTCGCAGCTTCATGTCAGTGACAGTGATCGCTGTTCCAAGTATACCCATCCAGTTGATGTACATATCTCCTCCATTAGAATCTATAGGATACAATGCATTCAAATTTGCAGAAAAGCAGCTGTCATGCCACCATCCAGATTTATAAAACTGAGCGCAATGCTCGTTGTCATTATCATTGTCTCTGTCCTTGGCACTGAAAACTTTGCCGTTATGGCGTGTACCGAAGCTGTCTTGAACATTCCCAGAGAACCCTGATATCTCAAGCTTGTATTTATTTGCTTCTGTTCCAACTTTGAAGTTCAAGTAGCGAGCGTAGAACTTTCGGCCATCAGCCAAGGTCATGTCGATTCGCATGGAAACACCCTCCTTTGTCAGTTCACTGATTGCATCATTGCCAAGCCAGAAATTTCGGCTTGCATTTCCGAATCCAATCTTATAGTCATTCCAGTTCCTATAAAACACGGTGCTTGCATCTTGTCGTCTCTGGAACACGGTCCACCCACCTCCTTCAGTCACCATGTCACAATAGACAATTGTAGGGGTGACACCGTTGATCCATATCGTGTATTCACCGCTCGTAGACACTCCGGCAGTGCGAAGGGACTGGCAGTCTCTTGGCCGATTTTCTGTAGAGAATTTTAAAATTTCTTATCGTAAGAACTACTATACTATAAGAAAGCATTTCAGTAAATTGTTGGTTTCATACATACTAATTTACAAGACTAGTTGATTTCGGTTCTGAGCTACTGCTATTACAACTTTTACAATACAGTGAAGGTGTCTATATTCATTTTCATTTAAAAAAATTGTCAAATTTCGAATTTTTATACATTAAATCGCCTATTTGATAATTTATGCACAGCAGCAAATTATATAATCTATTTTTAATGAAAATTCCCAGTGACACTGAATTGATTCACAATGGTGCGTCGCTTTAGATGCTAAGGTAAATATTCCTTTGTGAAGGTATGTCTTCCAGCTTAGACCCGTTTTTTCATCAAAAGAAGTCAACAATATGTTGTGTTTTACGCATCCTTTAACTCTCATTTGAATCAATTTTTTACAGCGAGCATTTGCTGATACAACATCACTTGTGTAGTACATGGAATAATCATGTTAAAGTAGGTCACATTAGAAGTTTCCTTTATTGTCTTTACATAACTCAACACAATCATCTTGTTCTAGTGTGTTCTACTCTACAAGCATTAGCTAGAAAAATAAATCACTCGAAGAGACAAAAGTTTGTTTGATTTCAGGTAGTAGCTTTTCAATTGAGAATTTCGACACTTTTAGTGAGAAAGCTGAAAAAATTCTATGACTTCACGATAAGTACTTGGAGTCAGGGTCAGGTAGTTACTTGATCTTGAAACACTCAAGATGGTTTTCAAATCCCTGAATGGTGAGGCGCCGTCCTATACGAGTGACATGTTCACTAGGGTTAGCAAAAGAACCCCTCGCGTACTGCGGAACTTTAATAATAACTTGAAGAACTCCAAAGTTAAGGACATCAGCTGGTCAGAGATGTTTCTCATTCAGAGGGGGTTTAATGAAAAAGCAAAAAGTCAACCAAATTCAAGGAAATTTGAGGAATTTCTAATAAATTCCAGCATTGCATGAGTCGCATTAGTATTTTTAAATGTTAATTTTTGTTTAAATCTTGTTTCTTTTAATCTTATTGTATTATACTATATTTATAATATTTATTTTAACTTAGAAGGTATTTAACTGCATGGCCCCCTGTAAATCAGTTTTTTTTCTAACTGAGGGGCTACCATGCCTAAAAAATTGAAAATTAAATGAAAAATTAAATGGAATGATGACGTTTGTGTTGAACGGTTGAAAATTATTCCGAGTTGAGCGCAGCTATTTCAAATAAAAAGCAAAGGAGCCGCGTGTTCCATTGCAGTCGGTTCCTTTAAATCTTCTAATCCTCTGCACCAGCATGAGCCAAAGGTTTGCTTTGGTACGATAATCTCAAATATCAGTTTTGATGCCCCGGGTATACCTTTAGTGAGCAGGTTGGAAGACAATTAAGAAACTCATAGTTCATGAGTCAAAATAGACTTTCCCAAAGACTTTTTGGTTAAATCCGTGAGGCTTTCGTACTACTACGATGGCAAGTCTAAACTGCGAAGGGTACAATAGACTAATAGAGCAGTCAACACGGCGAAAAAAGAGGCGTCTTTATGTTTCGTAAAGCATTGTATCTAAACCATTATTGTGACGATAAAATCAGTATCATAAATCGGCAAAACAGCATAAATCAGTGTGTCGTAATTAATGATTCAAACCATAGATTATCATAGATTACACATACGACTTTTATGAGTTTACTCTGTTACTACTGGGTTGTGTCCCGGGTCCATATTTTTACTCTAAGTAGAGAATAATTACGAAATCGACAGCTAAAATTATTATTGAATACCTTACAGAAAGCGCAAGAAATGCTATTACATAATAAGCTAATTTTATCAAAAACAAAACATTACGTAATATAAATAAACAATAGCAACACATGATAAGAATCTAGGAAGTTCTGCTTTATTCTGCTAGGAGATTCTAGAAAGTTCACGACACACCACCCCCAAATCAATCGTAAGATTGATTTCCTTATCCTCCATAAGTGCTGTTTTGATCCCTTGCTTAGCAGCTTCAGCTGCTTTACGTGGATGTCTTTTTTCTTGAACTGAGGTTTGTACGTCTTCAGAATCACCTGTAGTCTCGGATTGACGTTCCCTTTGCCTCGCACGCAACTCGAGTGAGCATATTTTCTGCAAAGGTCTTCTGATCTCGTAGATAATTACAATTTTTGCTTGTCTTCAATGTTTCTCCTCTTACAACGTTGTCTGCTCCTCGAATCAATCGTAGTACTCTCCCCATTTGCCACACGTTTCTTGGTAGATTTTCATCCACAATCAGAACGATATCATCTTCAGTGATCTGTGGCTTGTCGATGATACGATTTTGCTCTCTTAGATTCACTACTCTTTCGTCCATCTTTTCCAGAACCGTGTCTTACATGTCTGCAGATATCGAATGCGTTTTTTGCTGCTGTTTCGTCTTCTCCTTGCTGTGTAGTCTGCAGATACACTGCTGAACATATCTTCTTCCTTTGGTGGCGTGATTCTTCTGCCATGAATCGAGTGATTTGGCGTCAATGCTTAACTATCTAGCACTTTCCCTTGATATGTTAGAAGCCTGTTGTTGAGGTTGAGCTCCACATCCAGAATTAAATGTGTAAACAAAATTAAATGTGCATTCTGAATCTTCCTTTTCTTCTTGTGATAAAATGGACCAGCAAAATCTACTTCTGTTGTTTGAAAGGCTTGTCTAAAGTCTTGAAAATGTCTAGAGGTTTGTCTAAAGTCTGGAACTGGTGCAGTGATTGGGTTGTCGAAAGGCCTTTTCCTGAATCTGATGCAGCTTCTACAGTTCTTGAGGACTTGCTTGACAAGCTGACGTCCTTTTGGCACCCAAAATCTTCTTCATAGTTCAGCCGGAGTTGTTTCCACCCCCAGGGGGGCACTTGGCACACAGACATACGGGGGTCGGTCCGATTTTTTTGGGTCAAATGTTTGCCAAAAGTGATATTTTTGGGTTTAATATTTGTCAGAAATGATATTTTTGGGTCCTGCGGAAATAGTAGATACAATTCTGATATTTCTAGGTATCAAATTTAGAAACACTGATATTTTTGGGTATTCGTGAGATTTCCATATCCGAGTCAAATGTATTAGGGGCAACTATTCACGGCTTTTTTGAATTGCAGATCTTATAAATTACAGCTATGTCATATCATCTCACCCAAATTCCAATTTGTGATATTTTTGGGTAGAAGATATAAGTAAAACTGATATTTTTGGGTCTTATTGAAAATGAGCTGATATTTTTGGGTGGCCTTTAAATTTCTTGGACTTACCCCCCCCGTATGTCTATGTGTAGAGTGCCCCCTGGGTTTCCACCCCCATATCCAACGTAAGAAGTTGTCCTTGTCTGGCGTACAATATTTAGGGCCCCCCCATATATTTGCGTGATGCGTTATTGGCTACATTTTCGTGCGTGAAATTTCCATTTTTTATGCGTGATTTCGTGAATTTAAATTCCTACGTGAAGCGTGAAGCATAAGTTTTCCTTGCGTTGTGTCGTGAAAGGGCTTTAACTATCCAGGAATTCGTGAATGAAATTTTGAATGATAATTTAAAAAATTGCCTCAATTTGGTGCGTAATAAACCAATGATAGTTTGAAACTAGTGTTGTAGTCCTTCAAACAGAGCCCTGAGGAGCAATAGCTGAAATTACATTTATTGTTTGCGTGTGTGTGAAGATCCAATTTTTCAGTGCACGAATGCGTGAAGAATCAGAAAATTGTGCGTGAAGGCCTGAATCACATCCACTATGGGGGAGCCCCTATTTACAGATTTACTAACTCCTCATATATATGAGGGTACTATTAAAAGCAGGGTAAAATAATAGTAGTATCACACATAAAACGGACAAAGTCTATCGATTCTGTAATAGGTAATTGTCTAGGAAAAGATAAATCATTCTAGAACTTCAGTGAGGTAGCTTTGATATTTGCTTCTTTTGAAAATATGATTTGAATTGAAATCCATATTTTGGGCTTTCCACAAATTCGTTGCTCAGTTCTGACTTTTAGGATGTTCTGACTTTATCTTCGTTAAAGTCGGATTTAGAATTCAACTTTAAACGTTGGCGGTAGGGCTCTATTGCTTATAGCAATGTATATGTGCATTGATATTTGCTTCTTTTGAAAATATGATTTGAATTGAAATCCATATTTTGGGCTTTCCACAAATTCGTTGCTCAGTTCTAACTTTTGGGATGTTCTGACTTTATCTTCGTTAAAGTCGGATTTAGAATTCAACTTTAAACGTTGGCGGTAGGGCTCTATTGCTTATAGCAATGTATATGTGCACAACAAGATATGTTAAACCAGAAAATGAATATAGAAGACAATATTAAGCTTTAAATGCGTTTTTTTAAGAAGTGTCGTGTGACTGACCTTGGCCAAACGTTATGGTGTAAAACTCTGCAATTATGATGCACATGAGCAAAACTCCTTTCAGAAACACCTTTTGATCCATTGCCACTAATTGGTCTGCTCAAGTTCTGCAAAATGCGATTTCACGTAGACTTTATAGAATTCAAGATTGGAAAGATAAACATAACTGTTGCCAAATATTACACATCTGTTCGTTCACATCACTTTAAGACTGAACCTTTGAAGAAATAACTTTGTGGAAATTGTTGCTATTTGTCATGGACTTAAGGCAGACGAGTTTTTGGCAAACTTCAACATACACTCAGAAAAGGTACTATTTCACGGAAGTTATTTGTGCAGAATCCACTCTTCATAATTCGGGTGCGTGAATATTTATAAACCTACAGCTGTTCTTATTTGTCTTCATTAGCTCTAGCATTTCTCCCTTCATTTTTAATCTAAATGCAAGCGCTGAGCTTAAGCAGCAATCAGTTCCTTTTCATTTGAATAACTCGAGACATTTCTAAGCGACGATCCTGCAAGGATCTTATAACAAAAAACCGGCATCGCAGCCTGGGTGGTAGGACTGGGGGCATGGGCAGGGGAGAATCACGTTCATTGGAGTGCCGGAAAACGCTCCTCTTTGATACAAGTTCGGAATACGCCATGTTATTGGCTTATATTATAGCATATCGTATATCTGACAGCTTCCCCCTTGCATCTTCGTCGCTATGCAAATATAATGTAACTAGCTTTACGCGCAAATGCTAGTCCAAATGTCTGCAATACCACCATCTTTAAATTTCTCCAGTAGCTAATTCTATTATTCTGTGCTTGCTATAACGGTTGTATTTTGCAGTTTTCTATTTTTCTACGAAGTCACCAACAGATGCTTCGCTTTTGCTAATTAAGGGTGTTCATAATGGATAAAATGCAATGGGCAGTCTAAACCAGCTATGTTTAATTGAAATTCAAGCATCAGTCACGAGAACAAAATCAACAGAGGTGTATCGGGAGGTGAACCAAACTGTAGAGATTTGAGTGAATCATTTGCTTCCAGTATATTTCTCAATGAGATCATATTTTCTCAATAAACTGCGCTGATCGGTAAAGTTGAAACTTTTTTTGCGTGCATCAGCAGACAATGTTCTGCGATGATCTATGCCAATAGTCACATAATACCAGCCTTTAAACACTTAGTTGCAAAAAGTATTGCATAGGCCGGGACACATCTATTGTTCTACTTCTTTCTTGCAATATGAATATTTGAGCATGGAGACACTGAAATCATGTTTTCGTTGCAAGAGCACAAAAAGGTCTACGTGATCCAAGCCCCTTACAGCGCTGCCCTAAAAACAAACCTATATTTGCTTCCGTTGTCCTTATAATTTCATCTAGGTCACTAACTGAGGAATGTAACAATTTGTGCCAGGTCTCCTCCACCGGAACACAGTCGAAACACTTTATAGAGTGAACTTTCACTTTAAGCTGAAAATTTTTCCTAAAATACCTTTGACATTAAAGTTAAAGATTCTAAAAATTGGCCGTGAATTCCATTTTCTTAATACTAACCGATATTTAGATATTGATTAAAATATTCTGATTGAATAAAAACGAGAATCACAGTTAGCAATTATGGAATATTAATTAATACATACATTTAAATATAATAATTGTGTGATTTTCCCGATTGTCTTTTCCAGTCATATGCTAGTAGCTACGAAAGTTGTTGATAACTAAAAAAGCATGACTTGTCATCATTGTGATTTTTGCCGTCCCCAACTGACCTCAAATAAACTGGGCAAATTTCGATGGAGGAATGAGTCAAATTGTGTGATATTAGTCCTGAAAGTGCCAAATATATGAGTTGTGGATTAAATATTTCTTCAAAATCACTGCTGTTTACAGAAGACAAGCAGAAGGAGCACTAGCAAAGTGCCTCATGATGGCATTTTTCAGGGACCGATTTGGCGTCAGATTTGGGTTATTAAGCGGTGCATTTGTCATGGGACTTGTGACTTTGCCAGACTCAATCCAACCAGTGATAGCAGACCTTTCATAAGAGAAGCCATCTACAAAAAAAGAATGAATAATTTCGAACATTCATCGTGGAAATGATAACACTTCAAAATATGAGAAAATAATGCAAGCATGTAATTCTCAATTAAAAGCAAGGCATAGGACAGCAAAATGAGCCAATCGTGGAATCAAAATTGTCTGCATTCGGTTACTCAGTTGTGCATGTGTGCTAAAAAGATGGTTTTTAGCACCATCGTAAGAAATTTTCATATCAAATGTAACTGTATATCTATGACCTTAAGGAATGGCTCAAAAAACAATTTACACTGGCAAAATGTCTAGCAAAAAGATCATACCGGATGCAATAACAGGATCAGTCATAATCTCCCTGGTTACAGGGCAAAGAAATTCATCTGGGACCATTCCATCTAGCTCCTCAGCTTTGATCCTTTTAATTTCCCGCAGAATCTTGTTTCTGTGTCCCAGTGGAGCTACAAGAGAAGCAAAAGTTAGTTAGCATAGTCAGTGATAAAATCTATAGACTTTGATTCTAGTTCCAGTATGTAATGCACAACAGTTGATAATGCACAAGTCTTTGGAAAAGTATGAGTGCTATATGTAGTTTTATAATTATTTTTCATGAAAATGACTGTTATACCCGCCTGTCTGTGCTTGATGCTACAAAGGCAGAGCAGTGCACACTTAGGGTGTATAGAACAGGTTGGTTTTAAGTTCAATGCTACAAGATTAACGCTTAATGCGATTATCAAGCACCTATTTATATTTATATTCATAATTTATATTTACATCTACATTTATTAATGTATTATATACAATCTATAATTTGTTAATAAATAATGTGAACAATTTTTTTGCGGTACAGAATTTGAAAATGACTTTGAAAAAAGCAAACATTTTACAACATACTAAAAGCTTTTTCGTCTGACACTCCTCAGAGCATAAAACGTCAGAATAGGTTCCGAAAAAACACGATGGAAAAATATATACCCAGTTGTGGATCGAAAATATATACCCAGTTGTTAATAAATAATGTTAAACAATCAAAGCTCATGCCTTAAATGCTTTTTAATAGAACAATATATTTTTACCTATTCCAAGATCATCAGATAAGATCTTGTTATCAATGTTTGCCAACTCTGCTCCATCAATCTCATTTGTTCGGAATATTTCAGAATACTGGCTTAATCCAAGTTCTCCAAGCCACTCACACACATCATTGACATCCCAAGAGAGGAGTAATTTCTGAACAAAAGTATTACACAATTATCAAAACATATCCTTAAAAACTAACTACATCAACCTGGAGAAATCTTTGCTGAAACCTCTTTGACATAAGAAGATAATCAACACTGAGACAAAGGGAGACACATTTTCGTATTTCTTTTCCAACATCTTTTATTCATTTGATCCTGGGGGTGGAAAAAACGTCTTGCTGGAACTGCAGTTAAGATAACAAAGATTTTCTGTGAAACAAGCTTTGGAGCCTATGGAGCTTTTGAATGCTGTTGACAATAGCTCTTTTCTGTGACTTTTAGAAAGAATACATTCTGCAGTAAGCAACTGCTACTATAAAGTGTGCTGATCTTGTTTATGAAACAACCAAACTGAATCAAATAATCAGGCAATTTTTATTGTTTTGCCTACTGATTCAATACATTTATATTCTAAATATGCAGCCAATTCTATTTCGTTACCATCCTACGTCGTTACGTAATTGTACGAGAGAGAGAGTGCCGCGCATGCGCCAACCAGTTGTGCATGCCTTGCCGCCGCCAGACAACGTGTTCGTTCCACTCGTGGTTTTTCTCGTCGGATTTCTGCAGCTTGAACAGATAAGTTTTCATATTTGTACTCAAGTTAATTTCTCTTTCTTTTACCGAAACCATGTCTTCTGATGACCTCGATATTGAGATCTCAGAAGAGCCATCTACAGTTCCCAAGCCTGATTTGACCTTTGATCCGAATCTTCTCATGACTTTGATGTCTCAGATGGAGCAAAGGTTAAGTGAGAATTCAAAAATTCTGTCATTTTTGGTCGAGAAAGACACAAACTTTTCCGTTTCAAATGAAGCATTTGACCCCGCATGTAAAAAGGCAAAATTGGGTCTTAATCCCTCATTTGCAGCTTCCCCGAAAGCACATCCTGCCGCATCACTGAATGCAATTTCAGCAGCTACAGAGATAGCAACAGCCACTGCTGCAGAGACAGCAACAACTTTCCTTGCTGCAGAGACAGCAACTAATGGGATGGGATCTCCCATCATTGACCTATCAAATGCTCGTCCCTCAGAGGAGGATGCCTTAAGTCTATTTGGAAGGGCGGAATTTGATCCTTCTGATCCATCAGAGATGGAAAATGAGGCCCTACTGACCTCAATTGATAAGGCCTTACTGCCATCCACAGAGAAAGGCCCACCTATTTCTGCCCAGCTGGCAAAAATTATCGATGGAAAATTCGGCACAGAATTTGACCTGTCCAAACGGAAAGAAATTTTGGACAAATATCACTCTCCTGAAAATTGCCAAACACTTTTTTCACCGAAGATAAATCCGGAGATCTGGGGTAAATTAAACCCTAACTCTAAACGGAATGACATAAAATTATCTGTTTTGCAAGATGGCCTAATAAAGGCCACATCAGCAGTCTCTGTTGCAGTAAGTGACCTCCTTTTTGCCTGTTTTAATTGGTCACGTAAACTCACTTTTAAACGCAGGGACTCCCCCAGACCCCATCTTAGTGCAAAATTTAAGCAAGTCTGTTCCAGGAATGTTAAGCTTGGCAATTTTATTTTTGGGATGATCTGCCTGAAACATTAAAGCAAATGAGGGCTACTAACAGAATTGTTAGCAGCGCTACCCCATTGTTATCTTCAGGTTTTTCTGCCCCTCGAAGTTATGGCCCAAGAACAGCCGCATCCCAGTACCATCATGGTATAGCACCAACTACTCCACGTAACTCTTTTTTAGGGTATCGGGGGAGGCTGCCATACAATCCCCGCCAAAACAAGCGGCAGCAGCAGTTCACAAAAAAGAAGTTTATGAAGAACTAATTAAAGCTAAAACACAGGTAAATAATTTTCACAAGTTTGTCAGTACTTCCCTAATCCCCTATTTGCAATCTAAAGTTCAGTCCTTCAGTGCTGGACAACTAGCCAATTTTATTTCAGATTGGAATGAAATTACATCTGATCCACAAATTCTTTGCACTATTTTTGGTGATAAGATAGATTTTATTGGCTACCCACCACAGCAGGTCTCGTACCCGCCAAACTTTATTTGCAAAGATCATGTCCAAAAGGCTGAAGAAGAGATCGTGTCACTTTTGGATAAAGGTGTCATTGTTAAATGTGAACATGAGCCTGAGGAATTCATTTCTCCTATATTTACTGTGCCTAAAAACGAGGATAACATCAGATTGATTTTAAATCTCAAAAAGTTTAATGAGTATGTGGAGTATGCACATTTCAAAATGGAAACTATTCACTCTATTCTTGCACTTGTTACACCCAACTGCTGGATGGCATCCCTTGACTTAAAGGATGCCTATTATAGTGTAAGGATTGACATTGACCACCAGAAATATCTTAAATTTCAGTATAATGGACAGTTGTGTAAATTCACCTGTTATGCCAATGGACTATCTTCATGCCCTCGAAAATTCACAAAGATTCTAAAACCCCCACTCTCTAAGCTTCGTCTCATGAATCATATTGTCACTGCATATATCGATGACTTGTATTTACAAAATGATACTTTTGAAGGCTGTGTGGAGACGGTTGTCGATACTACAATTTTGTTTGACAAACTTGGTTTTGTTATACACCCAGAAAAATCCCAGTTTGTACCATCACAACAAATTGTTTTTCTTGGGTTCATAATTGACTCTGTTGAAATGAAAGTCTATCTCACAGACAAAAGACGTCAGAAACTGTCCAATCATATAAATCATTTACTGCAGGATAGCAAAGATGTTACTATCCAATATGTAGCAAAAATCATTGGTCACATTGTCTCCAGCTTACCAGCAGTCCAGTATGGTCCTCTTTATTATAGGTGGCTTGAAAAAGATAAGTCAAGATCTTTAAAAGAAAACAAAGGGAATTTTAAAGCTACAATGTAACTTTCCCACAAGGCTAAATCTGATCTCAAATGGTGGTCAAATAACATTCAAACATGCTATAATGTTAAAGTCCATCCCCCAATTACTGCAACTTTATATTCTGATGCTTCTCTGAAGGGTTGGGGGGCAGTACTAAATGATGTTTCGACTGGAGGACAGTGGTCTCCTCAAGAGGCTAGTTGCCATATCAACTATCTTGAACTTCTTGCCGCCTTCTTGGCCATTCGAGCCTATTCTAAACTTCTCTCACACCAACAAGTGAGAATTATGATTGATAATACTGCAGCAGTAGGAATCATAAATAACATGGGCACTTGCCATAGTGATACTTGTCATGAATTAACCGTTGCAATATGGCAATTTTGTGTGGTACACAATATATGGCTTACAGCTGCCCATCTCCCAGGCTCTACTAATATAATTGCAGACAGAGAGTCTAGATCATTTGCAAATCAAGATTCTGAATGGATGTTTAATTCAACTACTCTCTGCAAAGCATTAAAAACCCTTTGTTTTAAGCCAAACATTGATTTATTTGCATCTAGACTTAACCACCAGTTTTCAAAATACTGTGCTTTTCGACCTGATCCAGATGCTGTTTGCATAGATGCTTTTTCTATTGTGTGGTCACACCTTGATTTTTATTGTTTTCCGCCCTTTAGCTGCATTCTGACAACGCTTCAAAAGATCAAGAAGGAAAAGGCTACAGGAGTCCTGATTGTACCAAAATGGCCAACACAGTCTTGGTATCCCATTCTATCCTCCCTGCTTGTCAGACCACCAGTAGTATTACCCCCATCTGCCCAGCATCTGTCTCTTCCAGCAGCTCCAGCCCAAAACATCCCTTGTACAAGAAAATGACCATTCTTGTATGTTTATTGTCAGGGAAAAGTTAATGTCCCAAGGTCTATCCCCTGCTGCCATTGAAATAAAAATGTCATCTTTGAGACAGGGTACCAAATCTCAGTATCAGTCATCCTTATTGAAATGGTTGGACTTTTGTATTGACCGCAAGATTGACTTTTTTGTCCCTTCAGTACCCCAAGCAATTGAATTCCTTTCCCATCTTTTCCACAATGGGTCATCATACAGTTCCATCAATACTGCAAGATCAGCACTTTCGTCATTCTTATCATTTGGTAGTGAGACCCCATTTGGGCAATTACCCATTGTTAAACGCTTCATGAAAGGAGTATATGAGTTAAGGCCTAACTTCCCAAAACATAAAGATATTTGGGATTTAAAATTAGTTTTTGATTATTTTCGCAAGCAGGATTTTGCAGTACAGTTGAGCCTAAAGGACCTTACACTGAAAGTTACATTCTTGTTATTCTTATTGAGTGGCCAGAGATGCCAAACCATTCAATACTTGAATATTGATCATATGAAGAAGTCTTCAAATAAATATACATTTTATATAATGAAGAAAGTTAAGCAGTCTCGTGTAGGCAAGCATACAGCACCCCTGCAATTCTTACGTTACGATAATGATGATAAGCTTTGTGTTGTTCATCACCTTGATGAATATATATCCGGCACACAGTTATTGCGAAGCTCAGAGAAGCAGTTATTGATAAGCTTCACAAAGCCACATTTACCTGTTTCTAAAGATACTTTATCAAGGTGGGTTAAGCCACTATTGTTTCTCGCAGGGATTGACACATCAAAGTTTACTGCCCATAGCACGAGGGCTGCCTCATCGTCTTACCTGGTCAGTAACAATGTGGGCATAGATGAGATAATGAAGTCTGTGGGATGGTCAAGTGAGGGTGTCTTCCAACGCTTTTATAATAAACCGTCAGAAGATCTCTTCAATTTTGGGGACGCTGTACTAGAAACAATTCATCGCGTTGACACAAATTAAAAACTTGATCTTTAGCTTATATATTTTTGTTCTATATTGCTTATAATCGTTATATAATTGTTTTCCAATGTAATTCCATAATTAATTTTTATCCCTGACGATACAAGGGTACAGAAATATATTGGTTACTATTTCTGTCTAGTGTCTTCTTTAACAGTCTTGCAATGTCACCTCTAAAATCTCGTACAATTATGTAATGACGTAGGCTGGTAACGAAATAGAATTTAAAATTAACCGATACTTACCTGTAAGTTGAAGGTTGATTGCAATTTTATGAGTTACCAGCCAGGAGTGAAGGAGTTGTACGCCCTCCCATATTGTAACCCCATCCAACTCCTTCAACTCCTGTGACATTGCAATACTATTTGCTCTTAAGTCTGGTTGGCGCATGCGCGGCACTCTCTCTCTCTCGTACAACTCCTTCACTCCTGGCTGGTAACTCATAGAATTGCAATCAACCTTCAACTTACAGGTAAGTATCGGTTAATTTTAAATTTTTTACTTTGTCACAGAATTTTTCAAATTCAATACCTTACATTTCACATGATTCTGCCTTTCTGGAGTTTTAGTAATTTTCTGTATAAATTCTGCTTATTGATTTTTTCTGAGACTTAAAATACTTTCTGGAACCAATAGTCCTGTGGTCAATAATCCAATACTTTTTTCACCATGGACTGATCCATAGCAAAAATTGACAAAATCAGTTTGACACACGCAGGGCTAGACACAATAAGTTATAATCCACAGGTTAGTCATAATCAGAAGGCCACAGTTAAAATAAAAAAGTTACAAAATAAATTAATAAAAAATTTCTAGTACCAAAACAGCACCACTTTGATCATTAAACAAACTAGGCCTGTTTTCAAAAACAAAATTTTACAGGACTAAAGCTGAATTCACACTGGACGCGTCACGGCGCGGCGCGTCATGACGCTGACCAAATATGGTTAGCATTTTCGGCAGCTATGCGCACGCAGCGCGTTTTTTCAGCCACACGTCACCGAGCGTCAAGGTTAAATAAATTTAACCTTGACGCTCGGTGACGCTTCAGAACAATAGACAACCTAGAGAATAATAACAGCCAGAAATGTAAACAAGGAGTTTCTGAAATAGGCCATTATAAAACTGTATTGCTTGTACGGTAAAATATACCTTGATGAGTCTCTCTGATTACTGCATCGGGGGGCTAAATTCAGAAAGTAACAAAAACAAATCAGATTTGTTAGTTTATGATAAGTAACAATAATATTCGTGTTTAGAGTCTCTTCGATGATATAAAGTTGCCTAGTCGATGTTCAATTCAACAATGATATTGAGTCATTGTATGTTCCGTTTTGGTAAAAAAATATTTCAATCACTCCCCGTTAAGCTTTCAATACCTTCCAAAGGTTTACTTCCGAGGGATTTAATACATGGAAATTTTGGGGAGTGTTGATAAAAATAAGGTGTTTAATTTTCCCTCGAATTTTGGCAGGAAAGGAAACCCCATGAATCTGTAAAGCCAAACATTTTGCTAATTGTAGTAGACCTTCCAAATCTTTAATATCAATAAAAATTTCAGTTCACTAATGAATGCTTGAAGAGAATCGTCTTCCTGTCAAAACATTGGCCAACCTCTCGAACCGAAATGTCGAAGAAACCGCACGACACTAATTGAAGTACATAGAACATCTCATTTTTCGGCCAAGATGCTGTTTTTGATATATTAGCTTCAGATTACCGTTTCATCCGTTTCTGTAGCAAACTTAAACCCCGGCTTGACTTTGCAATGCAAGGAATACAGTACAACTTGAAAAAAATTTTGCAAGTTTGCTGTGAACAGTATTGGAAAACAGAAAACACGCCACTCGATGACGCATCTTGTATGAAAAGCATGAAGAAGTACATGATGCGACGCTCGATGACGCTCAGTGACGCGCCGCGCCGTGACGCGTCCAGTGTGAATTCAGCTCAATTCATATCTCCACAAATTATTTGCTTCATCTGAGACAAGCATACCTTTCCAGTAGAATTAAGAGAGTGTTTGCCTTGCAATTCTGATATGGAATCTGGGCCCTTGAGTGTATCTGAAAGACAATTTTAGATGTGAGTTTTTACTTGTATAATTCTCAAACACTTGGCATTGATAAAAATCTAAGCATCATACTTGAAGTACAAATGTTTGTTAAGAATTGAGAACAGAACTGTTTAGAAAATATAAACATAAACATAACAAAAAGAAAGAAAGAACATGAATGTAAGGTAGTTTTCCACAGCTCAGAACAAAACAGGCAACTTTAAGATAACCAAAGTCTATACCATTAGTTTAGACTTTAAGATAACCAAAGGCTTGAATAGGAGTTTATATCATTTTAGGTGCTTCTGGTAAATTCAGAAAATCATGTTCACTAAGCTTGATGTTTTGTCAATTAAGGATTGGCTATTTCAGGCCTTGCTCTAAGCAAAATAAAGGTGATCTATAAAAAGAGCCACTTAGAAATTCTAGGCGCTCTATTTTGCACCTTTAAATAAAATATCCTTGAGAGCATCCTTCGAGAGCTTTGGAAGATCGAGAGTTTCATATCGAAAGCTTCGGAGAATGTTTAATAAGACATTCAACGATGATACCAAAAAGCAACAAAATATAAAATAACAAAACAAGACATGCAGCAAACACTATGTTAATGTTAATATAGAAATATAATAAAACAAAGTCTCAAAATTGTTCAGATTTTTCAAGATATGTGAGTTGCTCATCACTTGATGAGCTTTTTTCACTTTCAGTATCATTAAACAGTTATGTTCTGCTTCACATATTGCTTCATCAAAACATGTGGCTTAAAGTCGAAAATTTGACTTTGTTTCATTTTTTATGCTCTTCATCAGGGCCGTCGAGAGACGGGCTGGGCCCCAGGGCTGGGACTGTCATGGGGCCCCACCATCGAAGGCTGCAAAAACCTTTTTTGGGTTACGCCCTTAGCAATGCAGTTAGATGGACTGTAAAAGGCATGAATTTTGAAATCAACGCCCCTGAAAAACTTGAATTTGTATTTTAAGGTCTTTAACAGAACATTTAATTAGTGACTTTATAAAACAAATCATTAAAACAAATCAGTTTAAAAATCAGAGTTAATTTAATGTTTAAAAAACTGCTTTTCTTGCTTTCCTTATGGCGAAATCCTTAATCTTTTCTTGCTTTCCTTATGGCGAAATCCTTAATTATTTCCCACAATCTTTTCCAGCTGTCGTTCGCTCCCAAACCATCAGGAGAAATCAAATTTGATCTTGAACCATTATTAATATTGTGCCCAAACAACCTGCATGGCAAACAATAGAGTGCAGCCTTTGTAGGACCGAAAACAAGCCAGCTTCTTACTACCTCCCCATTTTGCTGCTTCACATTTAGGACCGTTGTTGGAAATTTGTGGCCGTCGCAATCTTCGGGAAACTCTGGAGGATGAGGCAAATGACCAGTTTTAACAACCTTTTCTAACTCCTTTATCGTTGGAAATCCGGTCAATGTGCCGACATCAAAACTAGATGATCCACTATGAACAGTATCTTGATCTAATGACGAATCAGTAGTGCTTTCTCTACTTTCTGTGGTGTCATGGTCTACCGAAGCAGCCAAGCCGTTTGTGTCTTCTTCTTCTTCAGCAATGCTTTGAACAGAGCTTTCTCCAGGTTTATTGAAAGTTGAATCACCTTCCTTGTCTCTTTTGTAAGCACCTACCTCAAACAGTGTGCGAGGGGCCCTCTTTGCTTCTTTTTCTCGTATCTTTTTTTCCTGCCTTTTCTGAGCACCAGACTTGTGCCTGTGAGATGACATCGCAGGGGTTGGTTGGTTCGTGATCCCGCTCAGTGATTTTGATAAAGACTTTTATAGCGTTTGCATTTGTCTTGGTTCTTCGCATGTGCTTCTTCTCTGGTGTACGCCGTGAATGGAAGATTTACTTTTACGTTTATAGGAAGTCAACACAAGGAATAACTAAAACATTTGACCTAAAAGAGGATATATGTAAGTGCAATCGAATTTTTCGGCTTCCGGAGAAGTATATTATGATCGTATCGTCAATGTTCTAATTATAAACCTTAACAAGAAAAGGTCCTCATCATAGACCAGCTTGTTGGTCCCATGTTGAAAGATTAAATTTCGAATATCAATCGGGTCATGAGCCCGCCCTGCTAATGCTGCTAATTGAAAACTCATAGCCAAAAGTACATACATTATTTTCTACGGGCCCCTCAAGGCCCCGGGCCCCCTGGTAACTACCCTGGTTACCCCCCCCCCTCTCGACGGTCCTGCTCTTCATTCTTTAAGACATGCTAGAACATCTACGACTCACAGAAGCAAATAAAAACTAAAAAGCAATGCGATAATTTGGGCGGAAATGTGATCGCTGATTTGCACAGGCCATTTTAAGTAATTAAGAAAAACAGAAAATAATACTTCAACAGAATATTAACGCTTGCTCGCAAATCAAATGAATCTGACAGAGCATACGCTTGATGGCCTGTGTCATTGATGGTTTTAGGGGGTTATTAGATAAAAAATGGTATTGAAAACCCAATGTTGAATTTTCTGAATTTTTTCTCAAGTGGTAATCTTACACAAATCATAGTATTGCGGTCTGTTAGGAAGATTGTTTATGCTTGATCGAGTTTATTAGACAAAGGCCAAAAAATTGTTTTGCTCCGTGGTAATATTGTCTTTACGTTTTGAGGGGCGCTATAAATAGCTCTCCAAGCCTTCTTTTGGGTGCGCTCTAGGCGCGCGCGCTCGATCGAGCGCCTTTCCGGGCAAGGTCTGATATTTATTCACCTGCTCCATTTTCATTCAATTTCCAGATCTGGACAGTTTTGTCATTTGATCCAGTAGCAAGGTACATTCCATTAGGAGCAAAAGCAACCGTGGTGATATACCTGAAAAAAACATACGTAAAGCATACAATTGAATAAATCTACAAATGATAAAAATATTTGCTAAATAAACATAATGTTTCTGGTTTATTTTAACTTGCATAATAGTTTTATAAATCTATGATTACTAAATATTGTAAAGGTGTTATGACTATGTTGCACAAAGATGAAAACTTTTTAGTGAAATTAAATGGCCATGGCCAAAGGTGTCTGACAATGTGTATCTGACAGTGTTAATGCCTGTCATACAATGTGCATGGAACTGTATATTCCTCCATGTGGATTCCACCACTATTGAGTTAAATTGTCTAATGGCATTAGGGCAAAACTAGAAAACATTGTCACACATGCAAAATGTCAAACAAAATATTTTTGAAGATTGTCCAAAATAACTGTGCGTCAAATCCTGGATTGATCATATATGACATGGCAACCAAACTAGGAACAATTTGTGCAATATTTGTAAAACATGAATGCATATGACAATATTTGATAGTTTGGCTGGACCTTTAGTTTGCATAGTAAAAGTCTCCATCAGCCTACAAGGAGAAAATTGCTGGGAATATTCTGTTATGGAAAAATTTGGAGCCGCAACCATTGCTATATGCACTCATTCTTTGTAAAAAAAAATTGAATGTAATGCAAATGATGATAATTAGGTTTAATTGTTTTGTGGCTTCTTGCACTCATTCACTCCTGCAAACCTACACCATTGCACGCTAAATACAATTTTGATATTTTTACTAACTACCAAAAATTACTCTGACCTTATTTTCCCACAAAGAATCCACATCCAGAACAGTCTTAAGCTTCACCATAGAATTTTTTAATAATTAATTTGAAATAGTTACAGCAAGGCAGACATTTTTTCAAGGTGCTAAGATACTTAAGCATAATTACTTATTAAGAATTCTTGTAACAAAATTCTGATACCTTGTGTGCCCTGCTATTGTATGCAGCATTGTACATTTGATCTAGAAAAAAAATTAAAAAATGTTTTTACAATTCATCGAAAATTGAGGTTATAGTTATGGTGAGCCCAGCCTTGACATTCAGTTATTGGCCAAATAATAGTCTAAAAATTTACTCCAACATTTACAGCATTTGCCACATGAATGCAATGAAGCTTTCACTGCAATAAAGAAGGAGACAGAAGAGCATGTATTTGATCATTGCAAAGAGGCAAAGTGATTGTTCATCTTCCATTTATCTCCTGGCTGCATCAGTTATTCCTTTTACTTCAATTCTTTTTAATTTGAAGACTTCAAAGCTATCAAAGTTAAGCAAGTGCTGGGTGAAAAGTCAAAGTTACAATTTTTACATTCTGAATTTGACAAAATACCTGTGGAGTTCAGGTATCAGGTTTTGATGGAACGGAAAAATAGAAAAAGCATAAAGAAAAGATCATTACTGCCATCTTATATCATTAACTGTTATGTGGCAAAGTAAGTCTCTTATTAACAGATGGTAACTTTTTACTTAGCAGAATCTTGCAATCAATGTGCTTTAGATAATACTGTGATCGTATTTTGCATTTTCCACAACTTAAAGCCCATACAATGTACACTACACAATTAAGCTTATCTTACAATATCGGGTCAGCTATTCACAGTACCAGTGGCAGCACTAGCCACTAGTCTGTTGAGGAGTGAATCTTGACCTATCTACTATCACCATTTATACTATCAGAAAACACCCTTTTGCCATCAAGGAAAGGCTGTTTCCAAATCATAGAATAGCTTCAGAGAAAAAAGTTTGCTAAAACCTAACCCCTCTCCCAAAATGCTCTTATCAACTTTTGACAAATGCAAAATTGCTGCTGCTGAGAAGTGAGTAGAAATGACCCATTGCTTAATACGCATGGCAAAAACACTTGACCAGCTTACACATTAACAAGGTTGGAAAGTGGAGTATAAAAGCAATACTCACTGGATCCCAGAGGATAACATTCTTGTCTGACGAACTAAAAGAGCAATAGAATATAAAAAATTCATTAAATGATAACGTATATATCATGATGTCTAATAACGTGGGGGAGGCAGAGTCCCCAAATCAACCCCCCTATGACTTTTGCCACTGAAAACACTTAATAGCATCAGTGACCATTGATTAATTAAACAGAGTTGAATATCACACATCGGTTTATATACATTGCACCAGATCAGAATTTTTTGTTGCTTACTTTCTTTTCATTTGCTTCTTGTAGTACATTGCTTCAAGCTAATAAACTTACATAAAAAATATGAAAAGAAGTTATATGACGTTGAGGACTTACCAAGAGGCAAGCATTTTGCCATTTGCTGAGAACTTGCAATCCCAAACCTGTCCCTGGTGGCCATCAAAGGTAAACCTGAGCTGCATGTGGCACTTTTCTGAATAGGCTAACAAAAATTAAGATATCTTGCTTTAACCTCAAAGAATTTAAAAAACTAAAAACGAGAAATTAAGAAATCAACAACTTTTGCTGCAGTGGCCAAAAGATTAAGATTAACCATGATGATCAGGATGAAAATATCCAGTTTGTAAAAAAAGCTACTAGGCTAGAAAGGCAATTATACTACTTCTAAACCGTAATAACTCCATTAAATTAAAAACAGGTATATTTTATTCTAAACCGTAATAACTCCATTAAAAGACAAAATTGTGCCAGAATTACTATGGATGGTTTTGGGAAATAATTGGAACATCTGATTTTCTAGAGATGTTGTATATAATTCCTCTCTTAGCTTGCACCTTAACTTAGATTGATTCCCTAAAAAGTTGGTTATTTTTTAGTGCTGATAATATTTTGTTAAAAAGAATATACCAGATGCTGTGAATACATTCCATAGTTTCACTGTATTATCGCCACCACATGAAGCGGCAAGAAAATGTGGTGATTCACCATTTGAATTTGAAGTTTTATTGCCAGGATCTAAAGAGAAGCCAAAATACAATCATTAGGAAGTAACTGATAGCAGAACTGAATTTCTAAAAGTAAACAGATTGTTACCTGGTTCCTTGCAATGGGAAACAACCACTAAGGTTAGGACTATTTATCATCTTCAATCTGGAATATAAATCTTAACAAATCAGAGAAGAGTTCATTAAAGAAATGTGAAATGGCAATGTTGTAAAATAAATATGACCTTTATTTATCCATTTCAGTTTTGAAATAAAACATTAGATAATGCTATTTGCACTAACTTTACAGATGCATAATCAAATGTTTGTCTTGAAGTGTGTGTTGTTTCCATTAAATACATGTATATTCAAAAGCTTGTCGCGAAATATGTGTTGTTTCCTTTAATGATTTAAGAGGTAGGTGAGTTACTGGGAAATGGATAAAAATTTTAGAATTAAAACTGGGTGATGCATTGAACACTTAGCTGGTTGGGCAGCAAGATCAAAAGAAACTCCACCTTGTCAAGGAACACAGATTTATCTCCTTACACTTGCACTGACTTAAAACTTTTGAAAAGGGTCTTCAGATGCACCACATTTTTTAACATCAAAACAGCTAGATGTTAAGTGGATCAGCTGAAATTTGAATCATGTCAAAATTGACATAAAATATGATTTGAATTGAAGTTTTTATAGAAAGTTCAAGAGTTCAGAAAAAATAATTATGGGAAGGGAAGATCCATTTAGCTTTATTAGTTGTTTAACAAATATATACTGTGATGTGTGGATACAGGGTTTTCCTTAACAGGCCAAGTTAATGCAACAACACTGAAAGTAAAATAAAACATTATGTCTGTAGACAAATAATTGGTTCATTTTCAACGTGAAAATATAAGTTTATTTAAAACGATACACAGAATGTAAAAAACTTCATAAAAATTATCTATCTAAAGGTAAAAATTGTATTTTTGTTCTTTCTGAAAGCTACACAATTCTTAAAATCTGAATGAAAGAAAAATTTTTAATTTAATCAAATAAAGCCAAAAATGATCATAGCTAGCAACTTATTACAAATAGCTGTAATGAAAAATTTCATTTCAAAGATGTTAATGAATAGCCTCATATAATCTATGTCTCAAAATATAGCTCCAGGTTTATTACATTTTAATTTGTATTTCCACAAAATACTAAAGGAACTAATTTAAAATAACAAACAATAATTGACAATAATAAACAATGATTTAAAATAATAAACAATAAAAATTATTATTATCACAATTATATGTAGAGCACAAATTATCAGTGGGATATGCATCATTATGTGTGGGGGATCTTGATAAGGAGGGGCTTCCTCAATAGCAAAGCTAATCGATGAGAGAGAGAGGCCCCTATGCACAGAGATATTTCAACCCTTCACAGAAATCCAAGCAAATTGCACCGAGAATGAATCACTGATTTTTGTTACTGTTTGTGTATAACAAGAGAGTTGAATTTTATCTCTTTGCTGACGATAACCTATCACTGAATATAGACAAATCTAATTATATAATCTTCCATTCTACCTCATCATCAATACCTCCAGACACTATAATCAAAATAGGAAAACACACATCACCAGAGTCAAATACACAAAACACCTTACTTTTGGCAGTACAAATTAAGCAAAACACATCTAATTTACTAGGGGGTGCTCTCTCCTCGATTAGTTTATAGATAAAATTTCCACCTTTAAATATTTCCCTTTGTACAATACTAGCTTGTTCCTCTTCTATCTATTAGTTCTGTAATGTTTATGTTATTAAACTTCCTTTTACATTGCTTATACTTCTTAAACTTGGGTTGATGAGAATTTGCATCAAATGTATGTATACAGTGGAGTATAAGATAAAAAACCAGACTGAATTGAACTGAATTACATCATAATATGTGTTCTCTACATATTAAAGGCCTAACGAAGCTTGACAAAATGTCTTTAAAATTATTGTAACTTAAGACTTTTAAGAGAAATCAAATTTGAAGAAGTACTAAAAGTAAACAGTTTAATTCAAAATCTGAAAAAAAATTAAGTGCTTCATGATAAAAAATATTGATACCTGCAGACCCAAAGCTGGGCGAAAAGTCACATCCAGTAACTCCAACACCAGATAAGCCTTTGTCGTGTGCCATAATGCATACCCTACAGTTACCAGATTGAACTTCAAACAATCTTAAATCACCGTTTGATGACCCGGAGAGGATATACAAATTATCAGGGGTGAACCGGCATGTTGAAAAGTTGCAGTCGTTTCCTTTCAACACACGGATGAGCTGCCCGGAGCTGCTATCCCAAATACACAAAGTCTCGTCGCTTGAGGCCGATGCCAAATAGTTTGAATTTGGTGAAAAGCTGCAGCATTTTATGCCACTTCCATGTCCTTTAAGAACATTAACTTTACTACCATTACTTGTATTCCACAAAATAACAGTGCTATCTTGAGAGCCTGTAGCAAGAAGTGTGCCGAAAGGTGAAAAGGCGCAAGTCGCTACTTGGTAATTGTGGCCGGTTAGCGGAGAAAACTCAAGTTCAGACCCCTGCTCAACATCCCAGAGCCTCACTGTTTTATCTCCAGATACTGATGCGAGTACCTTGCTGCAAGCAGAGAAACTGCAATAGTTAACATCCTTACTGTGAGTAGAAAGTCGATGCATTAACACCGCCATCTTTGTTTTGCACATAAATGTTAGTTGCGATGTGCGCAGTTCCTGCTTATGATAATTACGTCATTTGTAACATGCACTCCTGCGCAACATAGTGCAAAAAGTTTTTTATGCGCAGCAAGATACACACGTGAACCGGAAATGACACATCCTACATTTGACCATAGGTTGCCCAAAAGGTACGCTGGGTACCAGTATTTTCTATTTCCGCTCTCGAATTTTATGTGGCTTTGGTATACACGCGGGAAGCTGTTATGTTTTTCGCTAAGGCGGCCAACTCATGGGACGGGTTTTAAAAATGAATTTTATTTCTGATATGTATTGCTGTCTGTGACTAGTACTTAGCTGAGAAACTTAACTTTTGTATTATTAATGGTTATTTTCATGTTCTAGGCAACTCTAAGAAGCACTTGCTATATTTTAATCAAATATGTAAATAATTTATATATTTGATTGAAATATAGCAAGTGCTTCTTAATTAATATTTAAGTTTTTATTAGTTGTAAGTTTCTACCAGGGCTCCTTGTATAACAGATATTAGATCTGAGAAGTCATCTAACATAAATACAGCACAATGAATGAATGAAATAAACACTTTATCAGCTTGTTTTCTAAATCATCTTCTCTCTTAGATACATTAGCTTGATTTCTAAATCATGTATTAGAATTTCTGATTTTAGGAAATCCCCTTAATTCATTGATAAGTAACACAGCGAGTGCTTCTGGGGATCATTGCTGCTTCAGTCTCTCCTTTTCATCGCTATCGCCCTAGAAATGACACTTTCTATCCACAATAAATTGAAAAATAGCCCAAACATTTGACACTAGCTCTGGAAACAAAGCAATTTAAACATGTTGTAAGACGGTATCATTTATTTAGGAAAACTTTGTTTCATTTTACGGTTTCGTTTTTGTTGTTGTGGCCTGAATGTTATGTATAGGGCGCCAAATGGGCCAAAATTTCAAGACGGGAAAATATCATCAAGAGTTGGATATATAATCAAGATTAGAATATATCTCTCTTTACAACAAAAATTCTTCACAAGATAGCATATATTCATTTCTTCGTGACATTCCTAGTATCTTTACCAGAATATTTGCACAACTTCTTGATGAGATTTTCGCTGATCGCTTGATGAGATTTTCAAACTGAATTTTATCCCAAGTCTTCATAAGATTCTATCCCGTCTTAAAATTTTGGCCCATTTGGCACCCCATAGTTATGAGACTATTTTTGTCACTGTTTTAACATCAAGCCACTGTTTCACATTATCCGGCTCTTTTTTGAAAGTTTTTTGATGTTTTTTTATTATTTTCAACTTCAGAAGTACCTACTATATTAGTGTCAACAGCAAATATATCAAAATAATTTATGAAAACGAGTAACAGCATAGGATCAGAACAGAGCCGTGGGGTACCCCATATGAATTACGATGTAGATTGAAACTTGAACCTTCCATAGAGACAAGTATTTTCATTTTCTAGTTGTATTATCTTGTTCAATGATATGATGTATTTTCTAACTTGGTTAGCTTGGTGTTTTATGACCCTCAAGCTAATTTTATTTATTTTTGTAGTTATTGATATCTTCTCTGAACCAGACTGTTTATAAAAATTAAGCAGAAATAAATGTTTTTAAAAGGGGCGTTTTCCAGCGTTCTAGAGGGCGTGGCCACAAAAATTGTCGGACACAACCATTTTAACCTCTCCATTTTTAGACTGGTGCGCGGTCCCTGTTAGGCGATATGAAAAAAACGTCATTAAATTTAACTGTGCACGTAAATATGATGCAAAATGTTAGCAGCCAACAACGCTGGTTTTTCTCCCCAACATTGTCCAAAGATTCTACTCTGAAGGCGTTTCAAATGTTTGCATTTTCTGCCAAATATTTGTCGTTGTCATGTAGACAGGAGAAAAGATCATAATAACCGATAGTGTTTTCATATAATTTAGTCCGGTACGAAAACGGGTGCGGGTGTATGTGAGCGGGTGTGTGTCAGAACGTTGTAAGTAGTATTTTATGTAACTGACCTGTTTGCAATGCGGACTTTTCAATATGTCTATTATTTACAAATTATTTCTTTTTCTGTAGTAAGGAGATTCTTCTCAAGGAAAATACTTCTACTTCTGGTCCAAGCACATTTGAACCAGGAGATCAGTTTATCCCAAGATGATATTTTTATGATCACATAATAAAAGCTGGAATACAGCCTATTTCTACTCACCTATATACATTATCATTTTAAACAGAAGAGTAGGCCTCCCCGTGAGTGTGGCTGTTGGAGAAATTTGATAGCATTTAACTGTTCAAACTTTTAACTATTTAGTTAAGTTAAAGCATGATGTATCCTGTAAAGCATGATTTATGAGGGCCACGTAACATGTGTCGTAACATGCAGGGGCGGACTGGCTAATTTTTTTGGCCCGGGCCAATTTTGATCAAACCGGCCCACAATAATAGCAATTAAAAAACTCCTCGGAAAATGCTAGTAAATGTTAGACTGTAAGGAAAACAAGTTTTTTAATTCAGTAATTTTGTGCATGGATGAATGCTGGTTAACATAATATGGTTAACAGAACATGCTAAATATGTCATATGTTGACTAAACAGTAAATAAACAAAAATGTTAACTTATTGGTTTGAATCTGTTTCTAAATACAGGATATTATATGTTGGTCGTTCTGGATGTCATCTAACAGGTTATTTCTAAAAACATTAACATGAAGGACTCCAGGCTTGGCTGCGAAAAACTACTACGTAACCTGTTCTTTATTTATTTAAATTGGAAAAGCTTCTTCACACTCCAATTGTGACAAATAATTTTCTAATCCTCCGGAAAACCACAATGATTTTCAGCAAGCCAAAAATATCAATTCGTCAATTTCTGACCCCAAAAAGAAAACATGGCCCCCCTGTTGAAATTTTATCGTGTAGCACCATACCGTTGCAGCATCGTTGGGCGGGGTTGCATTTGACTTATGATAGTATAGGCCTAATAAACTTACCATAACTTGTGTGAGTTTAGTGAAAGGAGCAAGAGCAAGATCCTGCTGTTTTTGTGACGTTTGTGGAATTTGCTTGATAAAAAAGCTTTGTATCGTAGCTGAATTTTTTTTAAGTCTCACAGCCTTTCCTCTATAAATTTCAGTTCACCACCTTTGGTTGAAGTATTCTTGCTCTTCCCTCGCTCTACGTATGTCCTTTCCATTGCTTCACATCACGGAGCAAATCGCTTAGTGAACTCTAATTTTTGGACTTTTAAATTTATTACATTAAGCAATAGCTTGTGCTTAGGCAAAAAACATGACCAGTTTCAAGTAAAAGTTTAGTAAAAAGACATCAAGGCCGGTTTGAATCTTATGTATCGCATTGAAACAGGGGTGTTGCAGTATAGTATGTCGCCAAAAAGGAAATACCGTCAAGAGATAATATAACAAGATGTCAATGTTTCCTGAAGAAGTGTGTTTGGGCTTTGGGCTGCGGTGACAATAATGAATTCATAATTTTAATGGTTTTAGAGTACTCGCGTATACTTTTATTCTTTCCCACAAAGTCTCTGAAAATTCAAGGCAAACAGATCAACGCGTGGGTATACTTTTTTGCCTTGCATTCACTTTTTAAGCTAATTTATTTGTTTTGCACTTTTATGCACTCAAACCGACCGGCTCTTCGGGCGATCGCCCGAATAGCCCGACCAGCCAGTCCGCCCCTGGTAACATGGGCTCCGACACATGTTTGAGTGTGGGGGTGCCCTCGGGGGTGCCAAGGGAACATTTGGCCCCTAGAACGAAAGGTTTTGAGAAAAAACTCTATTGTTTTGCAAAAAAGTTGGGGGCCATGCCCCCCTTCGTCGGAGGCCCTGCGCAACAGAACTAATTGTGTAGCACAGAGGTATTCAACATGGGTGTAGTATATTTTAGCGTTGGTAGATACAATTAATAATATACTTTTCGAATTTCCGAAAACCGGTTGAGCTTGAATCTCTGTTGCATCTCTGGATTTCACCTCGAAACCAGTTATTTGACCTCAAAGCACTAGACCTGTTTGTAGGAATGCAAATCGGGTCAAATAAATGCATTGTTATAAACTTGTTTTATTTTTCGAGGTGACATGCTTCTCCTACTAAACTGGTTTTTATAAAGCACAAAACATTAGACAAATTTTCACGGTCTGTTTCTGCAAGACAGTAGCCTATTACTTCCAGCTATAATGTTGCTCTTATTTTTTTGAAGGAAAAAGCAATTCTACATTTCGAGTTGACGGCTACTACAAGATTCATCTCGAAATCGTTTGGTTACCCTGTGGCACAAGTGCTTTCTTTGCCACATGTCTCCAGGCGAGAGGCACGGCAAAACGCAACGTTATGAAATGTATTTTTAGATTACCGTAAAAGTCTTGAGTAGAGCAATAAAATATTTTTTGAAAATGCTGAAAATGCTATTCTTAATGAAAAACTGTAAATTTTGCTGAGTGGAGTTGAGAAACACTGCAACAATCGACTCCGAGGCAAAGGTGAACAAACTTTGTAAGAAGTAGGGTTGACGCAGAGTTACCTTCTAAATTAAATTTCCCCTGCAAAATTTTTATCAATTGAAATTGGAGACATCTCTTTATTAGCAGTTGACCTTGCACCCTTACGGGGATGACACAGAACACGTAGTCGATGGACGTATGCAAATGAGGCTCCTCAAAAGTTTACTAGTGAACTGGCTGTCGCAACCTCAGTGTCTGTTAAAGTTCGTTTGGGTGACGAGGAAAACAAACTCATATTTCATTTATGGAAGCAGCAACGTGTTTCAGTTATCAACTGTGTACGTCGCACACAACATTGTTATCAGCTTTTCCTGCTGCCAAATTTTCAAATGTATCCAGACCATCTTAGGTATTAAGGAAAAGTCTAAATTCGCAGTTTGTTTACAGTGGCAAGTACTAGGCCATCGGAAGAAAAACTGGAAGAAATCTTTCAATCGTCAAAAGTTGAGCGCATCTTTACATCATGGGCAGGGTAGCAAGAGAGGCAGCTCGGGATTTGCAAGCACTTGTCAACAAATATAGTCGCTTTCACCAGTCGACTCTATCTATTGAACAGTTCACAAGCTTTGGTAAGTTCTATTTGCAATAGACATGCGCATTCAAACTGTTTTTTTATTATTTTGTTTTATTTACATATACCTTGCTTCACACGGTATTTTTGTCCGTGCATTCGAAAAGATTTTGAAAAATTTCAAAATATTTCGCCCAGAAACGTATAGAAGCCTAAAGAAGCGTTCAAACGATGAGTTAATTGGTGTACAAGACTTCCCGATCGTAGTAAAAGAAATCGCGTTGTATAAGCAAACGAGAGTAGCAGGTCCATGAATGAACGCTGTGTTGCTTACTTAAATTGAATCCTAGTTTATGCGTCACTTCTCGTGTCTAAGAATAGAGCCCTTACTGTTTTTTTGCAAGACCCTTTAAAATTCACTATTTTAACATCCACTCTTTGAGTGCCCTTACTGATATTTTGCAAGACCCTTTAACATTCACTATTTTAACATCCACTCTTTGTGTTATATATATTTCATTTATTTCATTTAGTATTTGTCAGGATAATGATGACCCATCTAACATTATAAGAATTAATAGTTTTAGAGTATATGTTTTTGTCATAATTGTGTTAAGATCATCGTATAAAACAATTCTTTCTGACCCAACTTTAACAATTATCATTTCACTTTAGGGAAAAGTGCAACACCAACTGAATCATTTGAGTTTCTCAAACATGAAGTTCCTGTTAGACTGGCTCATATTATGAAAGAGATCAACCTTTTACCCAGAAATTTACGCAGAATGCCCTCTGTTGAACTTGTGAAGAGCTGGTAAGGATCCAGTTTATTTTATTATCATAGACATTTAACTCTGCCAAGGTTATCTAGTGTTTCATGACCAAAAGCAAGGCTAGAGAAAAATTCTTTTAAGAAAGAATTTAATCAGCCAGGAATGTCAGAATTTTGCCAGCCAGGTAACCGCTGTAGACAATGAGCATCAAATTGGTGAGGCTAAGCAAGCTAAACTTTTATGAGTCTATTCATAGTTATCTATCTATGTTGTGGATGTTTGCGATGTTTTGAAAAGTTTGCAATGATATGGTTGTATTCAGGAAATTGTGAAAAACTAAAGAGCTTTTAATAATTGAGGCTGTGGTTTTCATAGAGTAAATTTGTTTGTTATAGGCTATATATAGAGGGTTTATCAGTGTTTGAAAAATTGTTTATCTTTGTTAAAAACATTGTGATAACTTAAAATGTATCACAAAATGTTTTTTATATGTCTCTTTTTATATTGAATATGCATTGTAATCTTGGCTCCAAGGATATGCGACTACAGAGAGGCATTCAACCTTGAATTATTACCTCCCCAGCCATGCTTGGGGAATATCTGCCAATATTTTTATATTGCATATAATTCTGCTTTGCCTTGGAGTGATAGGACTTTATTTAGTTGTATATGTTGGTAGCTTTGCTACAGCATTTGTAGTTTGTGCTTGCACTTTATTGCTAAGATATTTATACGCAATGAGAATACAATAGGTTGTTATTAGGAAAGCAATTTCATTTTCTAAAAGCATTTATGCTTATCTTCAAATTTTAATTGCTTTACGCACTTTTGGCATGTTGGTGATATTCTGCTGAAAATAATAAAGATACAAATTTCCCTTGTTTTTTACAGGTATGTGCAGAGTTTTTTGGACTTGATGGAATTCCATGACCTGCATGAAAGTCCAATTAGTGACACTACTCTAGATAAGTATGTGCCATAGATTTAGGCATGATGCACATGATAACATTTTAGTTGTTTAAAGCACTCTCAAAAATGTTGTTTTTATGTTCATGTTTTACAAAAATAGAAAAGGGCCTACTTGATGTCAGTGTAATGAATTAAGATCCGGGAGATAAATATATTTGTTGAAAAAAATAAGCAGGGTTTATATGTTTCTTCTATTTTTAGGTAAATCATTTTCACTACTTCTAGAAAACTGATTATGTTTTGTATTGAATTAAATGTTATCAGAAAGTAAGCTGCTATTGTTAAACTCTGTTGCAGATTTGCCAAGAAGCTTTTGCACATTAAGCGAAGACATGACAACACTGTTGAGACCATGGCACAGGTAGTTTTCTTAGACAAATTATAGTTTTGTGCTCAAAGCACAAAGCTCTACTCTTTCAGGGGCACATCGATTCTGATTTTTTCTATTTATGTAGTTCCACAATAGATATAATGACATCAAGCTAGGTTAGGGCATCTAAGACCTGGTACAGATGCTTTGTTATAACAATATTTGTTATAAATTCATATTTGGTATATGATAGAATCAATTTGATACAGCGTCTGCGGTACTATGCGGTACTATGCGGTATGACATTTACAGTCTTTGTAGTTTGAAAATAGGCCTCGTGTGGTGTTGCGCATGTCTTGACTACTTTGCGGGTGCGATGGCGTGCAATGTGAACCACTTTTTTATTGGTTGTTTTTTATCTTGTTGTCAATAACTATAGGGTGCTACTTTCAAGGGGACCTTTTGTGTTACAAACTGAACAGAAACCAAGAAAATTAACAGAAAAACTTTTCTTGTTCATCTTTAAAGATGTTAAGACTAATTGATTGGTTAAGGCTAAATGCAAAAGTTGTACAAGTTGTTAAATTATTCTATTAGTCTATTATTTTTTATGATAAACAATAAGCCAAAACAAAGCTGCTATGTTTATGTCTTCCCGTAACTTTGTTGAATTGAATGGAAAATGCCCACCATCAATATGTGATTGTGATTTTGATTTCAAGTTTTAAGAGGCAGGGATGTACAGTGTCTAATCAAATCTGCTCCTTGATGCAACAAGTTGTGTTAGCATAGCTAAAGTTCTTCATCTTCTTCTAATAAGGTCCATATAACCTTTTAGCAGTGCTATTTTCAGCTTGTTTTTTTGCCATCTTAGTTGTAGTCCGTTTTCCAAAAAGATTTAAACGCAAACCAATAGCAACCAAATAAATACACTGCATTAAATACAGTAATTTAATCAACTGCTGTTTTTTATATTTTATGCAAATCAAAAAGCACCTTTAATACCACACACAAATGAAAAGCCTGCATATGAGTGAAAAGCTTTTATATTCTGCAAAAAGACATAAATTTTCGATGCTTTTTCAAACTGGTTGGTTGTGGTTTTTTGTGATGCCATTTCATTTTAAGGACAAGATAATTTGCATTAAAACGTATTTGGCATTTGATTGTGATTTCAAGGCAACCATGTCTAGTAACAAACGATCTAATAAATTAATGCATTTTATGGTAGGCAAAAGATAGAAAGTGGATACATTGTTGCCATGCAAACACATCTTAATGATTGTGTTGCCATTTTGAACATCAATAGTGCATGATTTTGTGCTGGTTTCCTATGGCATTTTCACAATCCTGTGTAATTTCAACCAATTTGTTTTTGATTGTTTTAAATTGATTGTATTACAAACAAAGCAACTTTCTAGAACCACAAACATTAGTTTTTTAAGGATTGAAGTCATAGGGTGACTTTAATGTAATTTTGTTCATCTAGTGTGAGTTTTCAAAATCTTCAGACAATAAAAGATTTACCCAAAATTTGTAATTGAATTCCTATTAACTATTAAGAGCAACTAGCTTCTTGATCTGATTGACAGGGATTTATGAAAAAGTATTCAGTTCATTGATTTATGAAAAAGTAATCAAGTAACAATTTAAGTGTGCTTGATAAAAGTTGCAGATATATTTTCTTACCCTAAACCAAAAAGCTTATTATAAAGTCTGAATCAGCAGGTGTGTTTCAGTTCCATTTGAGGTCAGGTTAGCAAAGCTAAACTTTATTCTATAAATGTTCTTCCTTTTGCACTAATTAGTTGTTAAAAAGGTATGTAAGCCTTTTAATTTATATTCAAATCTTCCAGGGGGTCATCGAGTTACGAGATTCTGAAGGTGAAGATTCAATCCACCCGTCTATCCAGTATTTCCTGGGTATGTAACATCTACTAAGCACTTAATGAGAATATATAATTATATATTCTTTGTCATGTTAGTTTGGGAAGGTCATGAAAACCTTCTTTGTAGTTTATTTGGTATTAAGGTGAAATAGTAACTATCACAAAATATTTTTCATAGATTTCTTCTTGTTGATTTCTGCTTTTGTTTTTTCATATTAAAACTGACATCATTAAAGGCTAGCACTGAAAATAGCATTGAAGCAACTTATGATGATGATGCTTTTTAAGGTCTTCAAGATACCTCATAACCAATTCACAAAATTAATATAAGATTATTTGAAATTGTTTCAGAGAGTTTTATAGTTCTTATGCTGAGGGGTATAGATGTATCAATAGACGACCACTCATATGTATGTGTGCTATTCATAGTTCCTTCGAACCAGTTTGTTTACATAAGAAGCTTTTTTTACATAGAACCATTCTTAGCAGTATTGTTTTCTTTGTGATCCAACTTGGTATATTTTGCAGACAGTTGCAGACACTTGGGCAAATATTGGGGGAGGGGGGGGCGAGCCTGTTGTTTTGATAAGATGACATCACATTTGTCAATTGTTTTAAAACAAATTTCCATTGTCTTCCTAAATATTTTGGGGCAGCCTCCTTTGACCCCCATCCCCCTAGGTGACCACCACTCCCCTAGGTGACCACCACTGCTAGCAATTCCATTTGCAGCACATTGCAAAATTTCTTAAACAACCATATTCATGGTCAATGAAGTATTTTTCCAAGCACTTGTAGTGTTTGTTTTAATTGTGTCTTGCTTTTCTGGAGTTCAACATTACATTATTGCTTTTATTTTTTTCAGATCGATTTTATATGAACAGAATCAGTGTCAGGCTTCTTATGACACAACACTGTAAGTATTTATATGACATTTGAAATTAGGAAAGTACTCAAACAAACTGAACTTTGAATTGTTAAATTTGATGCTAATCAGTGCCTATATCATTATTGAAGCTGTATCAATAATAATAATTATTTTTCTTTGTTAAATATAATCCCACCATACCCTAAAAGAATGATGTCCACATTTTGAAAGATGCAAAAGATGCATAGAGAATGTAGGATGATGATCAAAGATTTTCGTGTGTTGAGTCATCACACATTTTTTGTTTCAGGAGAGGATAATCTAGTGAATTGCCATTATGGCAATGTTGAAACTACTTAAGTGTGTATGTTAAAATGCCATTCATTGTTGCAACTGCCTGACATGCATGCTGTTTTTTAGTGGCTTTATTTGATGAAAACATAAGCAGCTCAAAAAGCAAGTTCATTGGTGTGTTTGATCCAAACTGTAATGTTTCAACTGTTGTGCAAGGTATGTCTGTCATGGTCTGGCATTTAATTTTCTCCTGCAATAAGGGTATACTTTCATGCACTTCTTGTTTTTTTTGTAGAATGTTGAAGCTACTTCAATGAATTTAAAGGCATTTGACTTATTTGCTTAGTATTAATATTAATTAAAGCTTCTTTAAATTTCAATTCCATAGTGACATCAGCTTGTGTGAATTTCTTTGATGACTTTCTAAGAGTCTCATGAGTGCATAAGCATGAAACTCAGAATAATAGCAGACATGTCTAATCTTTGGTTAAGCATTTGATAACTTCTTTTTTTATAGATGCTGCAGATAATGCTAGGCTACTGTGTGATCAGTTCTACTATGCATCACCTGATATCACTGTCAAAGAACATAATGGTATATAATTTTAATGAATGCTGTTTTGTGTAGGAAATGACACATAATTTTTTTCTCCAATTGTTTTATTTTAAGATTTTCCAGAGTCTTGTTTATTATTATTATTATTTTTATAGAAGAACTGACCATAAAAGAAAACATTTTTTGCACTTATTTGTATTTTGTAGAGCAGTGAAAGATAGGCAACACAACCACTGTATCCATCGTACATATGGATATATTCTGTTTTATAAGAATAGATCCTGTCTAAAAACTAAAAGTCAAGTGCATTTGATGTTTGACTTTAATATATATTGAAAGAAGGTCATTTTTATCATCAGCTGTAGAGAGAGGAGAACCAATCAATGTTGCCTATGTTCCATCACATTTGTATCATATGATCTTTGAATTGGTCAAGGTAAGAAGCCCTTATAGACTACTCAAAGTTTTTTGTGATTATTAGACATATATTTAAGCTTTTTTTTGTGCATTTGACAATATTTAAAGCATACCTTTTTTATGGGGTATATCAGCAGAACAATAGATTTTCAGGAAAAACACTTTTGATCATGAATGTTTTGACTCTTTTTTTTATTCATTTTGATTGTTGGGGTAGGATTTAGGATTTTTGGTTGTTTAGGTTAAGACACAAGGACAGTGCACATACAACTGGTTTTCCTTTATAAACATTTGACTGAAATGTTGGTAAAGAGATGTTTTATTATTATCATGAAACTTTTGTGTCATAGAATGCAATGCGAGCTGTAATTGAATATCATGGAGCTGACAATGTTGATCTTCCACGCATAAATGTGCTAATAGGAAAAGGAAACGAAGATCTTACTATTCAGGTAATTTTCATGAACATTTTTGATTTAAGCAAGCAATTATTTTATATATACATTCCAAAAGGTTACATAAAAAGTTACTATAATACCTTAACTACATGCTGCTTTACATACTCTACAAAGACAACTTCCGGGTTGAGCATTAACTCTGTCTACCCTGGAGCCATAACCAGAGAGGAAAAATGTTTGTAATTAAGAATATTTGAAGATTTAAGGGGGGGGGGGTTGATCCATGCAAAGTAAACTTTAATCAAAGCGTTTGGTTTCAAAAGATACTTGATTGTGAGATTTAAAATTAACTTGTTAGCTTCCAAGGGCAAGTCTTCATTTTGATATAGAAGGATTTTCAATATGTTATAATCTAGAGCATCAGGTTTACCATAGGCTTCGAGTACATTTTTGACACCAGCGAGGAGACCTCTACCAGGTTCCTTAAAGGAATGGCAGAGCAGCAAGAAATGTTCCATATTCTCTATGCCATCGTTTGTTGGACATAGTGGGTTATTGTATCTTTGAAATTATGCTTGAATTTATGGAAATTTAGCTTGCTTAGTCCCACCTTTTCTATCCTCATTTTCAAAATGGCTTTGCTCAAAGAGTACAAGATTGTAGTCCACCATTTGCCAACTGATGCTGTCCCAAAGCCTTCTCTTTACTGAATGAGAATTTTGCCAAAAACAAGACCACACAAGCAATTGCTAGGGACTGTGTAAAAACTTGAACAGACATGCAAGAAAGGAACAATAAAATGAGTGACAATGTATATGATTACAGATTTTTTACAAATTCTTGATTTTGTGACAGCCATAAGGAGTGAACCCTTAGCAAACATTAATAAACATTTTGTTGCACTCCTAGCATAAGTTATCTGGATAAAACTCTATAAACTAACAACATAATCCTGAAATGATGTATACATTATTTGACCTTCACATTGTACCTTCAAAAAATTTCAAAATGATGCTGTCGGCTGGATTGTTGTATACCCTTAAAAAGGGAATTTTTTGATACCAAGCCAAAGTTATTCAAAATGCTATTCTGAATGGAATCATTCAAAAATTGGGTCATTCAAAAAACGGAATCTTTGAATATTGTGTTATTTTATTGGGAACAGAGAATCATTCAATCTCAGTTTGAAGGAGAGCTCAAACAAAAGATATGATAATGGATAAAAATGGAGTAATGGAAACACCCATGTTATCGTTTCGACCATAACAGAGTGGCTTGAGGTAATGTTTTCAAGAAAATACGAAAATGGAATGATAAAACGGAGACATACGAAAATGGAGTAATGGAAGCAGGGCCACAGAATAGAGAAAAGCAAATCTCTATTCTGCGACAGGGCTTTAAAGAGTTAAAATGCCCCCAGCCTCACACACACACAAAAGAAATTAAAAATTAATTTAGAGAAATTGAACAGAAACTTGAGGGGAAAAAATTAGAAAAAAAATAGCAACTCAAAACATGGTACTGCCCATGCAATAGAAAGCAGGTCTCAGGACTTTTTGCATGCTTGGAGGTGTGCATGTGCGGTTGCATGACTTATATTACCAGGACTGTTGATTGGTTATCTTTACCTTGAGCTATTGCTTGCACAGGAGAAATCACAAAAGCACTGGTTCACTTGTGTGAGCTTTTCTTACCAAAAGGCTTGATGTTCTGTGGTTGGATGAATATGTCCTGAAAATGTCTTTAGCCAAAGCTATTGTTTTACAGTGTATCAAGAGATGCGGGATACCCATCATTTTTGGTTCATTTTTGGTTCATTTTTATGATTCGTTATGTTTTTTTTACTTGAGATATTGTTGTTGAAAGCTTGTTATTGACCACTCTACATTTCAGACTTTTAGTTGTCTCGCAAAAAGTTTATATGAAATTATGGTCTTAAAGAGAAATCTTTTTTGCAGGTCTCAGACAAAGGTGGTGGAATAACCCGATCCCAGATTGAAAACTTGTTCATGTATCACTATACAACAGCACCTCAGCCTTTGGCCTCTGGGACAATCGCACCATTGGTATGCTTTAATCAATCTTTAACAGGGGCATGGTAATGGATAGTGGATTCATTTAGATTCATATCCTAAAGCTATGACTGCCATTGTTCCTTCTTTTTCAAGATTTTTGTATGTTCAATATTATTTGTATACAGTGGCAGCTCATGTTAGAAATGGCTGGTGTGGCAAAACCAGCTCTAGAGTGGGGCTCTTTGTTGGTTACACTGTAAAAAGCCCCATGATTATTCTAGTAAGAAGTTCTCCTTATATCACGAGAACTTAATTAACATGTACAGCTCATATAAAATAATTTACATATACCCAATTCTGAAATTTAAAACATGTCTCGTTTCGTTCATGTTCTAATTCAAAGATTCTCCCTTGATATTCCAATCTAATAGATACTGTAGTTGAACAATTAGTTGTAATTAGCTAGGAAAATGGCCTCTTGCCTTTGGGAAGAATCAATATATCAATTTCGCAATTATACACAAAGAAAAGGTGAACAATGGATATGTTTAACAAATCCAAAGACTCACAAAGAACCACATTTTATATGCCAAATAAAATTAAAACCATTTATGCTTCTTTTCATAACATCTCCATGAAGGTACAAAATTTTGGTTCAGTTTATTTTGAAAGATGTCATAGAAATTTTTTATGAAAAGTCATTCCGCTCTTTATTGATTTCCACTGTTCTTGCTAACTTGATCACTAATTTCCTCACAAGATATGGTGTTTCTGGTGAAAGGCATATCTTTTCTTTTGGCAAAACATAACACAGCAAACTCATCCAAGGTTAATTGCATCACAATAACTCCTTCTTTGGAATATATTGGGACTCGGTGAATTTACGTCCAGATTGTAATGTTTGGCAGTAGCTCAGGTCTGTTTGGGCCTAGCAGTTGCAGTTAATCTCTTGCATAACTAAAGACCATGTCATAACAAAACTGTAAGACTGTGGCTGTCCAATTTCATTGATAAGGCCTAGGCCAAACTTGTCCAGTAAAGTATGTCCAGTAAAATATGGAACAAACAACAAAGATTGATTTCTTTTGAAGCTAACCATGTTGAGAGAGCAGTAAAGTGTGTTTTGTTGTGACTGAGAGATGTGTTCATGAATAGTAGTTGCCGATGCTCGTGGGAGGGCAGAAATAATTTTTGCCCAAAACAGGCTCGATTAGCCAATCACCTTGCTCTCAAAGTACAATCTTTACAAATTTCTTGGTGGGGCACTGCACCTAATGCCCAATAGCACGAGCTGCCACTGCTTGTACATTGCCTGACTTGTGACCTAGTTTTGTAAATACTGGAGACTTGATGCCTTTGTGCATTTCATAGCAAATTGCATGCATTTAATTTGCTGTGGATGCCCTAAGAATAAACACAATTAGCCAATAAACACAATAAATTGGACAGTATGGAATTAAGGTATTTTTCTTCTTTGCTGCGAAATATTAATGCTAAAAGGAAACCAATGAATTATGTCTCTATTTTCAGTTAGTTTGATAGTTAAGGTCAGGATGGAGCAGTAGCAATGTAATTATGTTCCAATTATTCATCATGACTGCAGTTATTTGTGTTTTTGAATTGAAAACTGAAATAAACTGAATTGCAAATTAGATTGAAGTAGACAACATTTCCCATCTATTTTGCAAAAGCAACAAAACTGCAGCAAATGAACAATGTAGATGTGCCATGAAAACAGTAAATAAGACATTAAGCTGTCTAGCAGTCCAGCACAAATTGCCATACTGTAAATTTGTTTGTGTATAATTATTCTTTTGCAAAACAACAACATTGAAAAGGTGTATTCAGATGTTTCAAAATCAATATGAACTGCAGATGATTCTAGCATAAGTAGATGTATCTACCTTATTTAATGTTGTAGTTTTTGTACTGTTGTAAGTGAGAGGTTTTACAAATGATTGAAATAAATGTTTGATTATTTGGCCACAGGCTGGATATGGCTATGGTTTACCACTTTCAAGGATGTATGCAAAGTACTTTGGAGGAGACATCCAGATTTCATCCATGGAAGGATATGGAACCAACGCTAATATCTACCTGAAGGTTTGCTTTCTAAGAAGAACAATTCCTAGCAAGATCCAGTTATATGTCATGCTCCTTCAATTTCTGGTCTATTTTCATTTATACATTATTTTTTAGGCCTTTCAGTTGGATGCATGCGATAGTGATCCAGCATGTTAGCATATGTCTAGACATTGTCACGCATGTAGTCAAATGCGTGACAGCTTTTTAAGATTATCCAGTTTTTGTCTTTGATATGAAAAACAATTGCTTTGAAAGCCCATGATGACATAGCAGATTTACATGACATTTTTTTTTTAAATCTCTCAGAAAGGTCTTTTCAAGCCCACAAACTTGTATCAAATTTCTATTCCCTTATTTACCTAGTATCATAGCATTTATTTTTTTAAGTTTGAAAAAAGTCTCCAATGTAAGCTAGAAAGCACAATTTTAAGACTCAAAGCAAAATAGTTTGTAAAATGATCTTTTGTTTTAAAAAATGTGAGGACCATGGTGATGGTAGTATGTAAGCTGTTTACTAAATCAATTTAGTCATTACTTTCTAGACTGTAGTGGCATGTCTTTGTAAAGTTGTGGCCCCCTAAGAACTTTCAAAGTACTTACTTAAAGTACAGGGTGTATGTAAAATGATCTTTGTGTAAACCCAAGGGGGGGTTGTATAAAATTTGTTGTAGGATAATTTCTGCTTACTTCCAAGTTTGTTGAGTCACAGTAGATAATGCTGTATATGCAGAGTGAAACGACGGCTCATGACTCTTGGGGGTCAGTCACATCCTCTCACACCACCCCATGAATTTAAAAGACATGATTATTAGTTTATCTATTTATAATTTGTTTTTCTAGTTTCTTGAAAGCCTGTTATACACTTCAAAGTTTCAGATATTATATCTGATGCATAAATCATTTTTTGAAGGCTTTTTCAAAACATGCAAGTGAAGTTTTACCATTGTACAACTCCTTGGTTGCAAAAACATATGATGAGGCAGACAGCAGTGGTGGGAATTCAATGAAAGATTGGAGTTCAGATTCATTTTACCAAGGGCAGAATCATTCATATTCAAAGCCATATCTGAATTTTTTGCGTAACAAGAGACTCGGATCAGATGGTAATGAATCTCAATTTTCTAGAGAAGATTAGATAGTGTATATTTAATGTATTATTGAAGAGGCTTCTGTGTTTGCCACTACTTTCTTTGTATAAATTGAGGCTTTATGAACTGATGCCCATACGTGTTGTCTGGAAGTAAGGCTTTGCCTATTTTCATCTTTCTATTTTGTTCACTTTGTATCAAATGTTGTTCTACATTATTTGTTTCCATTTCATGCTTCATATATATGCCTCTTCCAAGTTAGATTTAAATCAGTTAATCAAAATTTACTTCTTTTCATCTTTGTTTTCTTATTGCACTTCATTAAAAGATAAGTATATCAAAAAAGTCATTAATATGATATTTTAAGTAGAATAATAAATATGAACCAAATGTGAAACTAACTTATAATTAAGCCACATGCATTTAAGACATTTGCAGGGGCCAATCTCTACTTTTAAAAAGTGCACTTCCTTGATAAAGATTAATTATTCATTTTGCCCCTAAAATTATATTTTAGCTGTTCAGTTGACCTTCATTAACATATCAATTGACCTTGATTTGTTGCCTTAGCTCTTAAAATCACACATCTTGATGGATTGTTACCTCAACTAGTCCAACATTAACGACAGGATTGCAAATACAAAAAAAATGAAAAATACCCTTTGATATGCAAAAAATATTTTTATGAATATATGTTAATGATGTGTGAAAAACCTTCATGGATTTGTAAACAACATTTTTTTGTGCTGACAAGGAGTACAGTCTTTAGATGCACTTCATAATGTTAAGACTAGCATGATAAATTAGCTTTGGTTTTTTGTTATCCAGTCTTAAAAATTGAATGGAAATTAAGGTCACAAAGGGATGGAATCCTTTATTCACTTAGAAGTAGGAAGTAGAAGGCATTTTGAATGTGTGCTGTATTAAGCCTCAAAAGTTTGGATGTACCCTTTATGCAAGTTTCTCTAGTATAGGGATTGTAATGTGTTTTATCTGAGAATATAAACCTGGTATTTGCCTTTTCAAGAAATGTTATTTTAAGTATATATACCTCGAAAGTTCTAGTTGGTGACTGAGAGTATAGGACAGTATAAATGATTTTCTCTGTGTTTCCCATTCATAATTGATAATTAATCAGTAATGATTGAGTGATAGGATATTTTCAAAAATATTTGTAGCGATAAAGAAAGATAGTCAAATTTAGGTTCAAAGTATGTTTTTATATAATATTTCAAACAATTTTTACTAAATTGCACAATTGGAGTTCAGTAATAGCCCTAAAGATAGTTAGTTGGAGGTTTTTGTTCCCTGCTCCTCTCCATGTTTGCCTGATTTTCCAGATTAGTTTGAAAACCTGTGTATAAGCCACCATTTTCTCCCACATTTTGTTCCTTGGTCTTTGAGGATGTGACCTTTGTGAGGATTCTTTTCCAAGGGCTATTTAGGAAAGTGAGCTTTGCTATTATTTTCAACAAAATGAATTCTATATGTTTCTGATATACTCCATTCTGTGAAACAAGAACAATGTACTGGGGTGGTTATAATGAGGATGGCTTATACATGGATTTTATGGTAGCTTTTGTTATCCAGTAGGTATCATGGTTGCTGCATTTTAGAATAGTTTTTGATCTGTGTTGTGAACAAAGCTGTAACTTAAAAAGGTGTAGTGTTGCTATAGGGTTTTCTTGTCTCTAGGAGACAAGTTAATTGATATCTAGATGGTTTTAAGTCGTTTTCATATTGTTCATATCTATTGAAATGATAGAATGAAATTACAAAACTTGACAATTGGCATTTTTTGTGTATTTGTTGGACGCAACTTCATATTATCATGCAAATTTTTATCACCACATAAAGCAGTCTGGTGCCTAAAAGATCATTGCTTGAGAAATAATAACAGACATGTTATAACCTAACCTTACGCAAACTTGGTTTTCGATCAGTTCATAAAGTCAGTTTGTATTTCCAGTGACCTGTTTGATGATCATATACACAAGTTAATTTGTCAAAATTCTTTGTATTCTAAGATTGATTTCTAATAGTACCTAAAATAGTTTGGAAGTATTTTTGACATTTTTTAGTAGTTTCACTGTACCATGCTTCTTAGTTTTATGGAGCATCTTTAAGTTTGCATAGTTGACAGGGATTTCAAGAGTGCCTCACCTAGATTCATTTCTGATAAATTTATTTTTCTGTAGCTGATCATTAAATTTTTGCATAAGTCTCTAAATTTGTGCCCATTTTGCAAAATTTTCTCTGGTAAATGAAATTGCTTTTCTGTCTTCTAGCTCCTTCATCAAAAGAGAGATAATTGGTGCCCTTTATTAAGTGATAGATATTGTCACTTCTCAAAGGTTGACAGCAAACTTTATCTTGGGATAAAAGTCATAAACAATTTTCTCAAAAGTGTGATTTGGCATGGAAGTAGTTTATTAATTTGTAAGAATGCAAAAATAGTCTTCTTTAAATGACTGACACTGTTTAGTGTTATTGTTAGGTATTGTGAATTCAGATGTTCCTTTTTGTGAATGGTGAGATCTTGAAAAGTTCCTGTGCATAGGTGTCTTTTAAATGTTAAAGGATGTTTCTTGAAAGCAAAGTATCTTTACAGCAACATAAACTTGTGTAAGCAAAAAGAGAATACCAAAAGAATCTGTAAGCTAATTAGAATTTCTCAATCATAGATTGCTATTTCTTTCTGAAGTTGGTTACTTTCAAAATTGATAATTGATATTGGTTACTTGATATTTGCAACATCTGTATCAGACTCATAGAAAATTAATGTACATTACCTGATCGTGCTCCCAGTAAATGTTTATTTTGCTTTTATTGTTGAATATTCCAATAAAAGTTATCATTATACTATTTAAATGGTATGTTAGAAAATAAGTAACTGTGTGGCTTTAGGTCACATCACAACACATTTTATGTTGTTTATCTTTATAAGACTTTTCAATTATTTATGCTGTTTCTAATATAGTATAATGTGTTGCGTGTGCATTGTCTGTGTTTATGTTAAAACAAATGTTTTTGTTTGTTTACTAACTAGACTTTTAACATCTTTCTTGTGTATAGCATCTTCTATGTAAATGAAGTTAAAACAATTCTTCATCTAGTTTTTACTTTTAATTTGGCATTTGTCACTCTCAAAGCTGACCTGGTTACACTTATGGATGGTTTCTCTGTGCCTCTGGTATCCTTGATTTCTGACATAGCTGGCATGCTAAAAATGATTAAAAAATCAGTTAAGAAAATAATTTTCTTCTTGAAGATGGTAATAATTTTTCCTTGTCATATATCTTGGTGTCTTCAGATAAAGAAGTTTGTGTTGAAAAATAGAAAACATCATATCACTTTCATCAAATGAAGAAGACATATTTAGATGTTTTTATTGCACTGTCTATTATTTAAAAAAAGTCCAACATTAATTCCCAGTTTCAAGTTTTTTTATAAAATGAATGTATTCTATATGTTTCATAAAGTCTACATACTTTGTGTATAAAGTTTCATTATTATTACATAATTGGAAACTGTTATTTCCATAAGCCAAAAAAAGATAAAATCTTACGACTGGCTTGGTCCAGTTATTTGATCTAAGTTCATTGATTTTGAAAGATTAACCAATAATTGTTTTTATGTGGAGATTAGAATGCCATATGTGATAACAGGCAAGGGACAAATAAATCCATGAAAATTTTGTGCACCTTTAGTGGAAATCATATTCTTTCATCTGACAATCCATGGAAATCCTCTTGTTTATGTAGAAATCTCGTACACTATTTCATAGAGTGAATTGGCTCTCTATAACAAGCAAATTAATTGAACTTTTGTACAAGAAAATGCGAGTCTAGGACAGTCATTCTCAGAATTAAAAAGATGGAAAGTTAAAGGCACATGACATGACAATGTTTGTTATGGGTGACTTATTCTACCACTGTAGTTTCTAATTAATAAAAGCAATAACTTGTCAGAAGATTTTAAGAGATGTGATCAGACATGCTTCCAAATGCCTGTAATTCTGGATCAGAGTAAAATATGCCAACTCTAAGACGCAGATGATGCAGGAGGCATCCTTGAAGGTTTTAAGATTATTAATGGGATCCATGTGAAATCTGTATGCTGCTTGACAAACATGGAGGGACAAAAGCGCAATCCCTTAATCAAACAATCTTTTGGTGGTACAAAACTTGTAAATAGCTTTGAAAAAAGCAAACATTTAGTAAACTAAAGCTTTTCGTCTGACACTCTTCAGAGTTTAAAACGTCAGAACATAGATCAAAAACTCTACGCTAAGAAATATATATACCCAGTTGTGGATCGAAATAGGCCAATCAGAAACACGAGCACATGACTGTAAAGGTTGACCAATCAGTGCCGCTTGCCTATTAGAATGTTACCAATGCTATCGGGCAGCATTTGCTAGAAAACCCAGATTGTGCAAAAAACCATAATGGCGACATGTTTCGGATTATTGGTTTAGCCCGATCGTTGTTCCACCTAGCAGTTTTAGAATCTATCTAGTACATAAGCACAAAAAAACCGCTACTGTGTAGACAAAAGGAGTTCGTTTTCACCTTAGGACTCCATTGGTAACATTCTAATAGGCAAGCGGCACTGATTGGTCAACCTTTACAGTCATGTGCTCGTGTTTCTGGTTGGCCTATTTCGATCCACAACTGGGTATATATATTTCTTAGCGTAGAGTTTTTGATCTATGTTCTGACGTTTTAAACTCTGAAGAGTGTCAGACGAAAAGCTTTAGTTTACTAAATGTTTGCTTTTTTCAAAGCTAATCCCTTAATCATTATTTTGCACGTCATGGTTATCTGAGTCCAGAAAACATTACAGTTCACTCCACGACTGTGAGCTGATGGGGATGTATCTAGTGATGCAGTAGTTTTGAGAAAGGCCACTGCATAACTTGACAATAAAAAGGGGGAATTTACTGTTGTGCTCAAGCTTTTCTTCTCTTCCAGCTAAGCAGAAAGACCAACCATAGATAATTTTATTTAAATTCCAATTTTATAAAGCTATTTTTAAAAAAGATACAAGTAAAATTTTTGAGGAATGAGAATGGGACAAAATTTCATATGAAGGGGGCTGAGGCTTCTTCTGATGGTTAACTTCTCCAAACCTATTATATTTTCTGATGGTTAACTTCTCTAAGCCTATTCAACATTAAGCAAGTCACAAGGCCACTTATCTTTAATTTTGGATTCTAGATAATGGTGAAAACCCTTTCTTTATAGACTGCCTCAAATTACATCAGCATACCTTAGATTGGTGCCATGATGACCTGATAATTATCAGATAACTTTGACTGGGGGATCATATTCTTGAATCTCTTTCAATTGGAGAGGCCAGGACTTGATTTTTGTTTAAGTTTTCTACACAGCCATTTCCAGCTTGACTTGTCAGCAATTATCATCAATGATTAATTATCATCATAATGTTAAGGGCCTGGTAAGGAAGCTTACTGGTGATTGACTTTCTAGTGAATCACAAAAGACAACTTGAATGTTCAGGTAAGCTTCTGCATCTTCAGAGGAGCATTCTTTCTAAGCTGATTATAAGACAGGTTAGAGTCAGATATGGGACAGTTCTGGCTCATCCAACTGTCACAGTTGGATGAGCCAGGAAATAAGAGATATTAAAAAGTGCATTTGCTATATCATTTTTCAAAAAAAGAAGCATGCAATTTTCTTTTCTTAACAAATTTTCTTAACAAAAAATCTTTGCCTGGACACCATTTACATGTATTTTACATTTCTAGCAAAACGACACAGCATCAGCAGATTTGATTGCTGTATTTTACAGCTTTGTCATTGCCACAACATTTTCATTAAAGGTGTTTTCTAAATGGACAAATTAAACCACAAATACATCTTGCCGGTAATTGAGCATCTGTTAAATTTATGTCAGTGTATTAATACACTAGATATCATATTTGAACTTGCCACGTTGATGTCCAAGTACAAATCAACGGTTTTGATTTTCCAAGTCCAAGGCTAGTTTAGCATGCAAATACCAATACCATTAGCAATACAAATACAAATCTATTGTCAATAGATTCGTGGCCGTTTTCTACCGAATTCAAATGCTTAGAGACTACTTTAAAATTAAATGGGTAACAGTAATTAGAATTCTAGAATCTGAATTTTGTTCACGCATATTGTTGTCTTACTTGCTTTGAGGCAATCTAAAATTGCTACATTTTATGGCTGAAGATAAAGCTCGCTTAAAAAGAACGTCAACGCTTCAGAAAAAAAGAAATCATCATACTCCGAGAATCGAAACAGTTTAATTGTCTTCCAATCTTGGTATCCCAGGTAAAATGTGATTACCGAATTGCGAATCAGCAACCGATACAAAATATCCGTTAGAATGAGCACTTGCATATTCTAATGCTGTTCTTCTGGAATGTGCAGCAGCCGAAGAATGCAAGGATTCAGAGTGCGATCTCATTTGGTCCTGAGAGGTACTGGATCTCGAAATATTTGATCTTGGCGGGATGGGTACGGGTGTGACCGCGGCAGATACTTGGCTAGGTCCAGCAACTTGGCCTTGTTGCAGAAGCTGCTGTTTCTGCTGTTGTAGTTCTTGTAAGATGCTTTGCCTACTTTGCCTTTCATTAAGGTTTCCTTGCGATTGAAAAGACATTACATCAATCCTGCTGAACAATACCAAGAAGTAAAAAAAGTAACCTGCCTTGTTAAGCTTTGTGACAAGAAAATACGAGAAACACTTCCATTACGAAGAAGCCTCTCAAATTCAATTCCAAGAATTTTGCTACACGAGGCTAATGGTTGCAAGTGCTGTTATTGTTGTTGTGGTGTCCGCCTTTCTATTTCACGTAGAGACGAACGGTCATATTCTGTTCTGGGTATTTGCTGTTGTTGGTCAAGTGAGGGAAAATAATGGTTTAGCTTCTTGCAATTCATATTGAAGGCATAACCTCCGTACGTACATTTCAGCATTGAGGTTTTTGGTGAAACTGCTCCGTTTCTAGTTTTCGCAAAGTAAATCTGTTAGATTTTTGGTAAGTATTGTTTAATGTTTATTTCCAGCCTAATAAATCTGAGCTCTTATAGATACACCTAGCCGAATTAAAACCCAGAGTAAATCTGATCATCTAGAAGATGTTCAATCCAGGCATCCCTCAGTCTAAAATTTGCAGTATGAATTAGGACACATAGATTTATTAGGGCACAAAGAAATTATGACCCCAGTTATTAAATTGACTGTGTGAAATGGAAGAACCGCAGGATAGGCTGTCCGCCAGTTTCTGTGAATCTTGCAATGAGTTTAATATAAATACTAGGATAAAATCAGAAACAAAGCAAAACGGCGACGAGAATCCAATGTTATAAGAGAATAAATTTTCCAAAATTAATTAAATTAAGCGAGTACCAATATTCCGCCCCGGCATACAGGGCTTCATCAGAGTAAATGATTTGACCTCGATCATTTTAAATGAATGTCTACTATCTAGTATCTGAGGCAAAATATCTTCACCGTTACTTTGTGCTTTGAAAATATTGAATGAAAGGCTTGGCCTAAGATATATTTAGAGCATATTCTTTGGGACCAAAGAGCATTAGTAGATTTAACTCTCCAGCGCGGATACAGACCGGGTTGACATGTTCAAAAAAAACGGTCAGATTTCTAGAAATTATTTATCATTGTCATTATTATTATCATCATAAATCATGATCAAGTATCTTTGAAATTCAGTAGAATTTTCATGGTTGCGTTACTGAAGAAAATCCTAACCCGGTCAGCTTTCAACAGGTTAAAAACTGCTCAAGATTGCGAAATTTGAAGCTCCAAGCAGCTTCTAAAGATTTCACAGGGTTCTGATTGGGTTGTGCGGTGTGGATCTGAATTGTGCGATGGAATCAAATGGTCTCCCTTTGAACTTTAGTGAAACTGATAGAGTATGGGTAAAAGAAAGAGAAATGTTTACAAGAGAGAAATTTTTCTATCACTACTCACTATATTAGATAGATTCTTAAAAAGTTAGTTACCTAAACCATGCGTAATATTTGTCGACAATCTTTTGTATTTTGTGAATAATAGTTTACTCTGAATGCTGGTTTTTAACAAGGGGACTGAGCCCCAAGATCCTCTTCAAGAGACCCCTGATTGATATGAGACGATACAAAATTTGCTGATTGATCTAAGAAAGTTGCAATTGACATGCTTTTTATAGCAAAGAGACAATGGTAGGTATTTTCAGGGAGTAAGAGACCTAAGGATGTACTGGACTATCCCATGGGCAAAATATGGTACCCAGTCTTAAATTTATCTGTATTAGGCACCTAGGCTTGCGGGAGGCCTGGGGCCCACTTAGAAGGGATGTCCCCTTTCCAACTCCCCCTACCTTATTTGCGTCCCAAAATGGGGTGCTTAGTCATGCAGGGCAATTATTGGAGGGGGGCTATTTGATTATTGTGGATGTCAAAGCCATTCAAGCAAAGACAATAAGTAAAAGAGTGGTAAAAGAGTACAAAAGAGAATCTAATAAAAAATACACTTGAAAGTGTACTTAAATCATTTCCTTGCCATGAAAACATAAAATTAAAGACTAAAACAAAATTTGTTGTTTATTTATACTCTTTCTTTGGTATTGACCTAGTCTCCTTTCCTAATACTTATGTCTCAAAAACTTGTTTTGGCTAAGCTTTTGAATAACCCTCTGTTTCGTAAGGTGGATGAGGTGTGTGCCTTTTTGAGGGGGCACTTATTTTTTAATTTTCAGGATAGTGTGGGTGCCTTTTCATGCAGGGTGCTTATTCAAGGGTGAAGCTATTTATTTCCTACCAGAGGTGTGGAAGTTTTATGATTGGGGACTTAAAGAGTTTTAAAGCAGCAAGCTGTTTTATCCTAGCTTGGCAAAAGGTAGACTGATAGCAGCCATCTTTTCCTTTCTTGAAAGGGGACACAGTACTAAGTATTTGAATAAATCATATCTATCAAAACATTATTTTGTTAATAATGGCAATACTTTATGAGTTTCCTTACAGCTTGCTATCAAGGATCAATTCTGATCTTTATCAGAATTGTTTGAAAAATATTACCTAACAATAATTTGGCTATAACATCTACAATATAACATCTTGCAAACCAAATAACAACAGACAATAGAAGCAAAATTAGTTCTCAATATGAAAACAAAAGAAAACTTCAAAACACAGAAGGAAAAACAGTGATTCAAAGATGAGAGGTTATGTGTAAATTAGGTGGCAAACTGTTCAATAAAAGTGTAAAAGTTTGAACTTATTTCTAAGTGCTCACTTCAAAAACATGCCTAATTTCCCCAATTTACCACCTACAGGCTTGGATTTTTGATACCTGAAGGGACATAATAACTGAATAAAATGACAAACTCAAGTAGAGTAGTTTAACAGTTGCCTCGTGGTAGAATTAAGCGTAAAACTCAGAATAGCAACTTAGAACAATCCCACCTATATGGCCAGAGTGTTAATTTTTTGTGGTTGTGATTCTTATTTATGATTTTGATAGTTAAGATTTTTGTTTGATGAACATTTTGAATATGTCATCCAATATTTTTAAGATTATGATTTCTACAAACAAGACTTTATAAATGCAAAATTATGTGGAGTTTTTGTTACCGCTATTGTTGAAAGCTGTCTTTTTTCTCAGGGCTAATAAGCAATATCAAGATGCCAAGTATAGATGTTATTAAATCAATTTTTGACATGACTCAGGGATCTACAATGTTGAAAGCTGGAAGAATGGTATGTTTTTTAAGTACGAAACAGCATGATTCAGTGCTTTGTAAGAAGATTACAGGAAATTCTTACTTTATAGGAGTGTGATATGAGGAACAGTTTGTATCCTAACACAGTGTGAGCTCTTTGCTGTGTTTCAAAAATGCTATTGAAAAGAATGCAGTGTATTTGATGCTGCCAATTTGCTATCTTCCTTTCCTATGCTACTAATTGTATATCATAGTTGGTTAAGGTCCATGTAGGTAATCTGTTAACTGTTAACAGAATAATCTGTTAACAATTTAACTGTTAAGAAATGTACTATTAAACATCTTGAAAATTATAGGGAAACATTTTTCTCTTTGAGCATTTATTATCAATTTTTCCCTCAAATCATAGAGCAGCAAAATTGAGTTGAACAACCAATTCCTACTTTTTTAAACAATCAAATCAAACCAATAACTGAAATGATTGTGGTTATTCAAATTTTTATGAATAAAGTAGACTGTTATTTGATAAACATACAGGGCTGCCTTAAGAATTTTTATCCCTGGGTACGGATTATTATGGGGGCTCCTATATGGATTAACCACCTGATAATGTGGTTATAGCTGCAGATGGGGCTGAACTTGTATTTTTGCAAACAATCTTTTTGTTGTACAAAATTTAAGATTGGCTTTGAAAACCGAGCATAAAGTATTTCGATCAAGGTTCTAGTGTTTTATACTCTGAAGGGTATCAGGCAAAAAGCTCAAGTATGATTCAAAAGTTTTGCTTTTTTCAAAGCCATTTATATATTTTTTTTTCGAAAATGGATACAAACATGGATACATTTCTGAAAAAACCTGACCATGCCAGAATACTTGGGGCCCCTCTAGTGAAGGGGACCCTGGACATAGTGCCCAATGTGCCATGTGGTTAATCCAGCACTGTAAATATAGCTTCTTATTTGAATTGCTGGGTTGATATTAATTTTGTATGTCACTGTGGAGGATTTCTTTCCTGTGGCTAAACAGGCTTTAAGCACATTTTTCCTCAAAACTTTCCATGGTTCTATACTAAGCTTGTTTTCCTTAGCCATTAGGAGAGCATCCAAAGCTCACATTTGACCTGGTTGGGCAGCTTTTGAATTATTTTTAATGCAAAAATTTGTGAAAAATTCTAACCTTTAGCAAGATAGATAGCAGGTTGCGGTTGACAATTAATAAGGTTGGTCCAAATACAGAAACTTGATAAACTTTCCCTCATGATTGTTTTTCCAATTGGTTCCTGTGTATTGGCTCCTTCTGCTAACATGTCCACAAAAAACTACTCAGAAATTGATTCTTTTCATGATCATTAATACAAATATAGAATATTGCTTGACGCTTCAAGTTTCCAATTATTTCCATTTTCATTTAGCCATTTAAATGGTTTAGCAAATACTCTTTTTTCCAAAGTCTATTGGTTGAAAATTTCCAGGTGCAAATCTCAAGGTTAAATTTTCAATTCTCATAAAGTTGCTTTCCTCCAATAAAATCTGCATTGAAATCTTCAAAATAAGAAGTAAACTCCAAGGTTTATTCAGGTAGGAGGTGAATATTTAGTAGGAGGTGAATATTTGTTTGCAAAATTGCTTTATGAAAACTATGCAGAGGTCAAAGTACTAAATATGCAACCTTTTATGACAAGCCCTAGTTTGAAGTGAGGGTCCTGGATCAAGAACTGCTCGTGTAAAGTTTTTGACTGATTTGGTTTTGATATTCACTTATTGAGAATGTCAGATGTTTTCTAAGGGCACAGATCTGAGTTGAAGGTCACAGATAAAGGCTTGTAAATTATCTGTTGCCTATTTGCAGGGAAGGCCTCATTTCAGACGCTTCAGGTTATTGGATGGTGAGTATAGTGAAAATAATTGATAAAGGTGTTAAACATTTCTTCTATGATACATAAGCCTGTTGATTTCACTCTGAGATACCATATGTCCATTATACCAATTTTTTATTTTCCTCATACAGTTGTTGAAGATGAATTCCAAACAAGTTTTGCGCACAAATTGTGACGTAATCATTGGTCATAGCTATTTATGTCTACCCAAGAGAAAAGTGCCATAATTTTAACATTTTTTTTAACTTTTTGGTTCCATCTGACCTACTTTAAATTCCTTTGTTAATTCTCTTGGACATGTTTGCCTTCAACTATTACCTTTCCTAAACTTAAGGGTAATTAGAGAAATATTAGGAAATTTATATAATGCTGCAATTTCTTTTGCTTTCATATTATACAGTTTGGGCAGGTTTTCTAATTAGAAATTAATTAATTAATTTTAAAATTTTCTTTCTCTAGACCTAAGTGGACTTCAGTGGGAATCACCCAAAAAGGATAAAGGAGATTCTTCGGGTTGGTATTAATGGAATATCTTTAAAGAACTTTCACTCTTCTTGGTAAAGCTTCTTATTGTAGACCTTTCATTCTCTTCTGTAACCTTTCCTTCTGTTGACATTGCTTTTTTAGACCTTTTTTAAAGAACTTTATTCACTCTTCTCTGTAAAGCTTCTTTTTGTAGACCTTTCCATGAAGACAGTCATCACTTTTGCTGTCCTTTCTCCAAAGAACTTTCACTTCTCTCAGTAAAGCTTCTTCTTAATGACCTTTTTCTATTCTCTGTAGACTTTTCTTTCGCTACCATTACTTTTATAGACCTTTCTTTGTTGAAATTTGCCCCTCTCAAAAAAAATGACCTTTACCTTTTTGATTCCTCACTGTAGATGTTACTCCTGTAGATCTTGTTTATGGAGACCTTATTATCTCTTCAGTAAACTATTTTTTTCTGGAAACCTTCCTATTTATCTGTAGATCTTTCTCATATAGACCTTCCTATCTCCTCTTTAAACCATGTCGGTGAACACTTTTCCCCTCCTTTAAGGATGATTTGTCAGTATCATCCTCTGTAAAAATTCCACTTTTCTCTGTAAACTTTCTCTTGCACTCCCTTTCACTTGCTGTATACCTTCCTTCCTGATATCTTCAATGCTCTGCATATAGTCCTTGTAAGTCTACCTATAGTTAACCTTGCTCTCACCCCAGCTCTATAACATTTTTCTCCTGTAGGTCTTTCTTTTTACTTTGTAAACCTTCTTTATCTAGAATTTTCTCCCTCCTCCGCAAACTTTGTATCTGTAGGCCTACCTCTCTTTTTTGTAGTCCTTCCTTCCTTTAAGCCTTCCTTGTACTTTTATAGGCTTTTTGCCCAGCCTTGCTTTTTATATTCCTGCCACATGTAGGCTTACCTTACACGTTTGTACTCCTTCTTCTTGTAGGTTCTTGCTTTTTATATACCTGCCACATGTTGGCTTACCTTACACTTTTGTACTCCTTCTTCTTGTAGGTTCTTGCTTTTTATATACCTGCCACATGTTGGCTTACCTTACACTTTTGTACTCCTTCTTCTTGTAGGTTCTTGCTTTTTATATACCTGCCACATGTTGGCTTACCTTACACTTTTGTACTCCTTCTTCTTGTAGGTTCTTGCTTTTTATATACCTGCCACATGTTGGCTTACCTTACACTTTTGTACTCCTTCTTCTTGTAGGTTCTTGCTTTTTATATACCTGCCACATGTTGGCTTACCTTACACTTTTGTACTCTTTCTTCTTGTAGGTTCTTGCTTTTTATATTCCTGCCACATGTAGGCTTATCTTACACTTTTGTACTCCTTCTTCTTGTAGGGTTTTTTTCTTTTATTGTAGACCTTCTTCCTCTAGGCTTCTCCTTCCTTTTTGGAGACCTTTGTCCTGTTGACCTTCCTTGCTCTTTTGTAAACCTTCTTCCTGAAGGCCTTCCTCTTTCCTTTGTAGATTTTCCTTCCTGTAGTCCTTCCTCTTTCTTTTCAGAACACCTTTTCCTTGCTTATTTGCGAACCTTCCTCCTGTTTGCCTTCGTCTCTCGTTTTTAAAACGTCTATAGACCATCCTTTTTCCTGTCTTAAGATTTTCTAGATAAAAGGCATTTAGTCATGGTAAGTAGGCCTTCTCTATAGGGGGTCATTTGGTTTCGGTGTGATCGCTGCTATTTCATGTGATATGGCATCCGTTGTTGACAACTTGCTATTGATAGAAATTGTTTTGTCAATCAGTACGAGGTGACTTCATGTGACCAGTTATGAAAATCATGACTCAGCATATTTTGGCACTTAGGGTATACCCAACCCATTCTATCATGACTCAATACCTTTAAGAACTTTTAGCCTATCTAAAATAAACGTTACCTTTTCAGTTACCATAAAGCAAATCGAAGAGCTTGTACGAGGCCAAAACACCAAGGTTTTTCAAGACAATCCGATACCTGAATACGAGGTGATACTCTCCATCTATGATATTTGTCTTGAATTTTTTAATCGTTGAAGATTATTGCTCACAGAAAAATAACAGAGCCTACATTAGGTTTTATCAATCCAACAAAATGGCTCGATTGAATGTTACATTAATTTCTTACTCGTAGAAAAAACATCAACAATTGAATTCCGTCAATAAAAATAAAAAAGCTCCCTCAGAAGACGTTGTCACATCCCTCATCAAATCAGGTCTTAAAGCTACATTCCCTCGTCACAGGAAGCAACGTCGGACCGTTGGATCGGCAAAAGTTGCTTCACCTAACCCATATAAAAACCTTACCTTTGATATAGCTTTATAGAAAGGGAATGGACACGAAAAATTCACTTTTCCCCACCGGGGAGTCGATGCACCAGTCTTACCCTAGTCTGCGTGCAGACTCGACTATGGGAAAAGTACTATTTCATATAGGAAATTTTGAGTCTGCACGCAGGCCAGTCTTACCCTAGCTACCTAAGATATGAGAGGGAAGAGAAAACATGACTGAATTAAGAGCCTTGTCTTTCCGAAACGAAAATTAACAAGAACTTTGATATGAATCCCGTGATGTAAATAGGCCCTAGCCTAATACAATATAATTAATAAAGATTTGAAGAAACATACTACGCTTGATATCAAAAGGAGAGGGAGGGACGGGAGAAGAGAACAGCGTGGAAACGGCATACTAAATATGCACGATAATCCCGACCCAAAGCCATTAAATACACCCATCCGAGTCAAGGGTCCCACACTTTCATGCTGTAGCCCAAACTACATAACTCCTTCTTTATTCCCAATGACATCAAAGGAGCACATAAGGAATTGAATACCAAATTGAAGCATGACAATTGACACCCAAATGAGAATCAGCTAAAATAAGAACCCCAAGCGAAATCAAATTTAACAACAACCCTCGTGAAATTAACTTTGATACAATTTCATTTGATCAGCATAAAATGCAGTCATCACTTTTTTGTTTCAGTTTCGTTTGTTTTCCAGTTGGTTTGATCGTTGTTTATGTTTGTTAGAGTGGCATGTTTGTTTAATACGAATATTATAAGTGTCATTTATAAAGAGAACTCGATGACTTTATGTGTTTTCCCATAGAGCATTTTTTGCCTAACTTTAGGTTTACATTTTGTTATATAAATATTTTTCTTTCAATAGATGATAAAATCTGTGCAGATTATTAAAGCAATAACAAGATTTTCTCGGACGTAAAGATTGTTATCTGCTTTTAGACGGTTGATTTCGTTTAATATTCGTTAAATTTGATTTATTTTGAAAATTCTGCTCCTTGCATTGGATTCTTGTCATCGTATTGCTTTGTCCCTGAATTTCTTTTGATTTCCTATATGCGGGCCAATAAAAATGAAAAAATAACATCTTTGCTTTGCTTTCAGTCTCTTTCCTTCTCGCTGATTTATAAGCAAGGTACTGTGGCTCGCTCACTGGATATCGTTTGCAAAGACAGGAATGAGTTTGACACTTGGACTGTTGGTTTAGAGGTAATCTAAATACTCTTTCGTTGAAACTTTTTTACTGCGGGTCGTGAGACAAAATCTAGATCATCATCAGAGAAAAAAACAGTTCTTAAGCGTTTTGGCTATAAGTGCATGGGTCTTTGGCAAACGTTTTCTTCCTCTCTCATTATTTGAAGTGTTTTGGCTATAAGTGCATGGGTCTTTCCCAAACGTTTTCTTCCTCTCTCATTATTTGAAGTGGTTTTGGCTGAAGTGGTAACATTCCCTTCTGTACGGTTGTACTCTAACGATTTAAATATTGTTACAGTATACATGGGCTGACCCAAGGTTAGTTTTGCATAGTGTGGACAGGGCTTAATGTTCGCCCGTTATATGAAATACCGCCCGAGTGAGCTAGAACTAACGCTTAAGAACTTAATCACAAAGATGATGTTCAAAGATGAGGGTTAAGCCCCGGGTGAATCCAAAACTGAAGTAAGTCCTTTTTGAAAGTTTTGACGAATTTTATTGATCTTCATTTAATACCCTGTGATCTTTTTTATCTGAGCATAAAGTGGTGTAGCCGCCTTGACTGAAATTGGATGATCACAGCCTACAACTGTGACGGATCTTATAGACAAACTTTACGTCACAAAACAATCTGTGAATTTTCCCCTTGCTTATATTGATCAAACGATAAAAACATGGTATGCACACCATTAGATTGTTGGCTATTGACAAAAACATCTACTGAAATCGTTTATGTTCACAATTGGAACAGTAAATGTGAAGCGGGCACTCTATTTAAACCATATTGATCGTTTGCTTCTCAGTGTTGCCAATCGAATCCCTAGCACTTTTCATTGTGATCGATTCAAAAATCTTGCCTAAGAGAACAACCTGCTTTTTATAATTACAGCAAACATAACATTAAGAATGCAATTTTTTTCGAAAATCCTTTAGTGCTTGACGATATTCCTATACATCTGGGCATAAATGTGTCTTAAAACTTCTCATATTTAAAGCGCCCGTTTATTAACTCTTATCTTCACTGTGTTTCTAGGCATTGCTTGGTGGATTCGGTGATCTCGATGCAGTAAGGGAATTTAGGACTTCTCAGGAAGACAGCATCTCTGACAAGGCTGACAAACTTAGCGTATGTCTCAACTTTTGCAGCAAGAACTCTTCAAAGTTTCTTTGTGAAATCATGTGTTTTTTGTCTATTAGTTGTATTAGTTAAAGAATTAGTTATATGATATTCATATTTGATGTTGTTTTCGAGTCAGTTTTCATTGAAACAGCAGTAAACTAAAGTTGGTGCTAGAAATAAGTTTGAAGGCTCTTTCTAAAAGGTAATTGCTTATGAAATGCAAGTCACAAGAAGCACCCTGTTGCATTAACGCTCACCGTCAATAAAACATTGGCATCAAAATGATTTCTCTAGTAATAACTTTGTATTTTAACAGCTTGAGTTTGGGTTTGTTGGAGAAACTGTCTCTGTAAGAGAAGGTATTATCTTTCTTTTGATCTTTTAAATTTCTGTTACATTTTATAAAAGTAACACTTTAACACATACGCCGTCGTTCAAATTAATTCCTGCATTCCTGAAACTTTTTCGTACGGCCTATAATGCATTAATAAAAAGTCACTGATTGAAACCTTTTGATGCATTAGTTATGATTATTCTGTAGCAGACCATCTCCGGGTGTCTCCGAGACCGGGTGTCTCCGATCAATTCAAGATAAATGTGTATTTGCCAATGCTTCACGATGTACGTAACCAATATACCTTAATAAGTAAAAACTTAATAAAACTTACTAACTTAATAATTTAATATGTAAAAATGAAAATTTTTAAAAAGGTTCTCTCACGCCCTCCCCCCATACCGCCATTTATGTTGGTACGTTTTTCTATATTTGGTATCAATTGACATGTATCCCATGAATCTTTATGAAATTTTGGGTAGTAGATAACAACCCGCTTATTCCTTTGAAGTATCTGCAACTGATGTGGTCGTTTATGTAAAAATTTGTAGATGCATGCGATGTTTACACTTGGGGATCCAGCTACAAGGGAATGCTCGGACACGGGGAAGAAACCGAAGAAGTCATCCCGCGGGTAGTGGAAGCTCTGCTCGGGAGAGACGTGCGCCAAGTGGCATGTGGAACGGAACATATGCTTGCAGTAACCTGTAATTTCATTGTTAATTCTAGATTTTCATTTAGCTGGTCTATTTTAATCTGCCCAGTGCTAACCGGGAGGTACATGATAGCTAGTACATTTTCCAGGCTGGCAGGACTTGACCTTATTACAGAGAAGCAATGCTCATAACTCTAACATACATAAATAGTTTGCAATTTGATCAAATGCCTTCTTCAAATATCATCTACCAAAGTTTTTGAGCTAACTTAATTTGAATATGCAATATGTATGGTTTTCTAGTTAGGCAAGATTTTTGTCAGATTTCAGCGCTAGATTGCTACTCTCAGCCAAGTTCCTTTTTCGGTTAACTAGGATTGGTTTAACTTTGCATCAGCTTAAAACGCCTTTTGATGCAACCTGAGCTATTAAACACTTAATGTCTATAGGGCCTGAAATTATGTTTGGTAGTTCGCAAGTATCATAAACATCTCAAAAAAAGCATTTGAAGATTGTCTTAACTTAACTTATTTCCAATTAAACTGTTTATTCATTGATTACTTTCATTTACGCATAAACGAGATTTCAAACACGAAGAAGAGGCTGATGGCCCCCCAAAATCTCTGTATAACATCGATTTTCGAAATCAGCACCCTCGAATTGACCAAAAGCACTTAGTTCTATAAATTTCGTTCTCGAGCGACCATTCCCCTATTCTCCGTCTGGTCTAGTATATTCACGGTTTTAGTTTAACAACTTAGCTCTTTTTGTAGAGCTTCATGTACCATCTCCACTGTCTCACAGCCAAATGACTCTTCCTTCATCCGTCCTCATCTCAGCCAAGTGAACCTCCTTTCATCCGTCTCCATCTCAGCCAAGTGACTCCCTCTCATCTAAACTTGTCTCAGTCAAGTGACATCCCTTTCATCCGTCCCTATAGCTGCCGGCGAGCTGTTTTCATGGGGATGCGGCCGAGGAGGCAAATTAGGCCATGGTGACATTCAGGATCGATTTACACCCCTCAGAGTAGGTGCATTATCCGAAGAGAAAGTCGTTGGCATATCCTGTCACGAGCTCCATTCAGCAGTTGTTACAGGTTGTTTCTTTAATGCATAGATTCTTTAATCACTTGTACCATACATGATTTTTTGTCGTGTGACTCTTCGAGGATTTTTAGAATGGAATGGTGCTTTGACATAGGTGTTTGGAGCTGGCCATTCGAAGAACTTTTTGTATCGATCTCTACAAGAGTCTTTTTAGGGAAAAGTAGAGCTTCAACCACCCTTAATCTCACAATGATTTTGTCACCAGAATTTTGTGATTGATGCGAGGATGGCTCAGTGGTTGAGGTTGCTGACTTCAAGACCAAAGGGTCCGTGGATCTTGTCCGTGACATGTCAAAACTTTCTCAAAGAGTGCGGAGAGTTTCCAGCTCTCTGTAATTCCAAGCATAGGAATCACGAGGTGTGGTCACATCGAGAGGAAGGACCAGGACACTGCTTGATAAGCATAGCTTTTTAGTGTCCTAAAACTACCTTCGGGGGCCAGGTAGCAAACAATGAAATTCATTAAAAAACAATGTAACCCTTATTCGAAGAGTTATTTTAGATATCCTTTGTTTTATTCATAGCTGAGGGAAACTTGTACGTGTGGGGCAGAGCAGAACCATATCTTGGTTTCAAGACGAACGCGAGGAAGCAAACACTACCGCGCAAAATTGAGGATTTGAGCAACGTAACACAAGTTGCTTGTGGATTAGATTTCACCATAGGTATTTTGCTTTTCTGATATTTTTTACTTCACTGATATTACCAACGGCATTTTATTTCAGTTCTATCGGCTACACTCATGGTAAAAGTATGGTAGTATTAATTTGTAGTATATTTTCATAGCTAGCAGGAGAATTCTAAATTCAGTATTCAACCCAAAACGGTCAACGTTGCATTGCCACTAGTGATTTTATGAGTTATACTAGTGCCACAGAGAGTTTTCTGTGCCTCTTTTTTTCGTCTGCATGAAAGGAAATAAAGTCTGGCGAAAATTTTCTTACAAACTAATAAGTAGTAAGCTTGTTGTGCTTTCACAAGATTTTTCTGGTTGTAACAACTAATTTGATTTCAAATGGATTTCAAAGACTTAAAACGATGTTATGATATCCAACATCAACGTAATAGCTCTTTGAAGGAAAGTTTTTTATTTACGTGGGAGGAGAATTAAGCTGTCGGTTCACCTCGCAACCAATGGCAAACAAAATGATTTGTCGCTTATTTCATCTCAAAGACACAGCGCGAAATTAAATTTGATCTTGTGAATGTTTTTTCTTTGCGATCGGATTTTAATTTGCTCTGGTATATCTTATCGCCGTATCTATAAAGCAGGGAACAGCTTTTGAAAATAATTACATCTTTGCCCTGTGATAACTGTTGGAAACTGTTCGATAGTGCAGCTATGTCTACTCAATGCCTTCCCAACTGTTTTTTTATTATTAAAACTTTTTCAAAAAGGTTTTTTTGTAGATTCTCTTCTTGTGACTTCGTTTGCTTTTGGCAATACTAATGCTAATGTTTTAATGCCTCGTATTTGTAAGGTCAAAAGGAGACAGGAGCAAATCATATCTTTTTCTTAAGTTAAGGACTAAATACTTGTACGAATATTTTCTCAATTCAATCAAAACACCTCCATTCTCTTGTAGCGTTGACTGCAGATAGCCAGTTGTACTCGTTTGGAGAAAATGAACGAGGACAACTGGGACTTGGAGATACAGAGACTAGAACGTTTCCTGCATTGATTGAATGCCTCTCAGATGAAAAAATCATGCATATTTCATGCGGCACATCTCATGCTGGCATCGTAACAGGTATTGTTAATTGTGAGAGGCTTATGTTACTGATCTTCTTATCATGAAATTCGCAAGGTTTTGACCTATGAATAGGCACATTAGAGATTATGCCTACCTTGAGTCAAATTTGAAACTCGCATAATTGGTTTTATGAGTGATTTTATCAGATCGAGCCCATAATCTGGGTCATTGCCAAATATCAATAAAATACAAATCAAGTGCTAGGCCTGAGTTCCATTCAAAATTTGAATGAATACCATCAAAAATTTAGTGGGCTGATTTGGATGAAAACCTATAATCAAGGAAGTTTTACAGCGAGTGTTCGAAGAAACATTTTTGATGGAAGGGGTATATTTGCGTATGGTGCCATACAGACCTAAGCAGATATACACTTTGGTTTTGATATGCAAAGTATCTGTAAATTATAGCTCACGCTTCACCCAAACTACCTAAGTTGAATTACCTCATTCTCCAAACGTTAGTCGCCATTGCTTTGATGAGCAAGACAGCCTATTAGCAAGACGAATTGCGCACCTTTTTAATTTTTGACCCTTTTTCATCAAGTGTCTAAAGACCTCTTGTCTAAACTTCATCAATTATCTAAAGAGCTACAGTTTTCGTGACATTATTAAGTTTTTTGTCGTATATTTTTTCATTATATAATGTTGAAAGGTTGCCACTTTAGAATATTCTCTCCTTGTTTTTGTAGCCTCTGGAGATGTCTGGATGTGGGGATCGAATGACTATGGCCAGCTTACGTCACCGGAGCTTACCGATTTCCCCCAACCATTCAAAGTACCTCCGACATACTGGTATGCATTCTGGCTCTATTTGAGATCTATTCGCTCTCTTTTTTGTTATTTTATCTTTGTTATATCTTCATCTCAAGGTCGTAACCTAAAGTGATTATTTCTAACGTTTCGTTTTTTGTGCCCAAAGCAACTACCATGGTGTTGAAATATTTTGTGACTAGTATGTTTTCAGTTATCGTAAATACTTATTTCAGATATCAGGTTCTTATTATAAGCAAGATGATAAAGTCTAGTTATGAATTGCAGTGTTGTTGGGTCCCTTTAGTTCTTTAGTATTATGTATCTTATTGTTTTACACAAGAACAGGAACACGTACCTTACATTGTCAATAATTTTCCAAACATAGGACAATCAGAAGTTTTCTTTATTGTTCAGGAATGAGTTTATATGCAGCATAAGTTGCGGTGGCCGACACACAGCTGTCCTTTCCGGTTTGTACTTTGCAGTTCTATGCAGAGAACACTTTTCTGTACCTAGTTTATATCTATTACGTTACACTAGAAAATAGTAATCATGTACCCGAATATATCTCCTACTTGAGTACTGCCACTCTTAGGTGGTCTTTCTTCTAAATCGAAGACAATTTTTTTGCTATTATGCGTACTATAGTATTTGGCAATGCCTCGAAAAATTTAAATGTAACGCATTTCGCGATTGTAGTGAACAAAGCGTACCGTAGATCCTTGAATTACCCCCCCCCCCTTGAAATAGCCCCCTCGAATACGCCCCCACCCCAGAACTACAAACTATCAATAAGCCACCCTCGATTAAGCTACCACTGCTACCGTAAATCCTCGAAATTGCCCCCCTCAATTTGTTGATTTTCGCCATCTGAGGTAAACTATGGCGTTTTATTGAATTATCACAAAAATTCACACTTTTGGTAATAATTAATTAAATGCTCATGAAGAAATTCCTACTAAAATATACGAGGTCTTTTGATAATGCCTTTTTAATGTCTACAATAATTTTATAAGCCTCCCCCCTCATATAAGCCCCACTCGAATAACCCCTATTCAAAAATAACAAAAATAAATATGCCCCCAGGGGGCTAGTTTGAGGATTTGCGGTAATCGAGCTCGACCATCTTAACCATCTTCAGACGAATTCCTTTACGTCGCATCCGACTCTAGTGGCGTTAGGTTTGAGAATCGAAATGATCTAATTAGATATCAGGTACTAGTCACTATGGTATTGTTATGGTTAGCATAAGGACGCAGGTGGTATCAGGTAGTGATTTTGTGTGAAATCCAACTCACGTGCGGGTATTATTTTCATTTGCAGCATCTGGAACCGTTTACTGTTTTGGTGATGGCAGGAATGGCCAGCTTGGTGTGCGCGTTAACAAGCAGAGTGGAATTCTGAGCACGCCGTCCGCTGTTCGAATTAACGGTGGCCAATCGAAAATTGCCCAGATCGCTTGCGGGGCCGTCCATACTGCAGCACTATCTGGTACGATTCTTTTGTCCGAGCCTTGCGTTAGAGGCGCCTTCCTGGTTGCTAGTAGCCCACAGACCTGCTTTATGGAAATTCATTCTTTAGCATCGTTTTACATTCGTATGGCCGTTGGCTAAAAAAGGAAGACATTTGCTGCTTTCTATTCAATAGTTGGTTTTTGAGATAATGTAATATTTTTTAGAAATTAATTAATAATATCCACATGCAAACCACTATCCCAGAGATCAACCCAAGACCTCCTGCCCCCTCCTGCTTCCAACAGCCCTGTATTATTTCCAACAACAATGTGAAGTGTTAGATTTTGAAATTAAAACTGCAAGACTTTTTGCGACGATATACAATTTTGTGGAGCAATTTAGTCTGCAGTGTTGGTCCGATCTAAAGATAAGAAACCTCAAGCAAGTCCGTCTTGAGACGTACGTTCACCACCTTCTTTCGCATCAATGATGAAAGATTCTTATGTGATACGATAACCACGTTGTGTTTGGTTTTCTTGTAGACGATGGGAAGTTATACATTTGGGGAAAAGGAAGTTCAGCAAGGTTGGGCCATGGTGATCATAGAGATAGGTCTGTCGTCATCTTCGGGGTGTTCTTTTGTTAGTTTTAATGAGCCCTTTTTGGACTTATGAATATGTTCAAAGGATGATACCATTCATGTGTGCTAATTATTTGGGCTTTATGTCATTGCAGTAAATATATAAACATGCAGCGAATCAGGGGTAAGGAAAGACCGCTAAATGTACTTTATTTGGAATTGTTCATTAGTAATATGTAGGCGGGCATTTTCATGTCAATTTGGAGGCTATTTGCTTCTCCAATTGCTGTTTGGGCGAGTTACTAAGCTTTTTGATTGGGTTCGGAGCAACGACCAGTGCTTAATTCAAATTCTTATGGAACCTATCGAATATATATCGACATTAAGGCTCGGTCATAGGCTCCATATTACAAGTTAGACGTAATTTCTTGACAAAAAATTTAAAATGAGTTTGAAATAACAAATTATTTCAATCCTCCCTGTCTTTATGACTGCATTTAGTCTTAAATGGCAGCTTAAAAGGGTGGAACAAATCTATCCAGCAAGAAAAAATCTTTGAAAACTTTACTTATTTTCATTTGTGGCTATACTACCGGATCAGTTTTAGATCTTATTGGTCTGGATACTTGGCCTCTACTCTAAACACTCACAATAGATGACAAGAAGTAAACAGCGACATAACTAGGAACTCGTAGTTGTCATTTTAGTTCAAAATTTTCATTTATATTTTGTTAGAACCGATAAAAACTCTATTTCATTCTTTAAGAATACGATAGATGAATAATGTCAGTGTTTCTTTTCACTCTGCTCCAATGATCCGCTTGTTTCGATTCATTTTTAATTATGACCTAGGAATGAACTCTCTTTGCCAGCGTCTAAAATGCAACTTGTGATTCCAGTGATGAAGCTTACTCTTGTTAAGTAGCACATTGTCATTGCTTACTGGAAGCGCCCGGTAAAGCTTTCTAATCCATAAACCATATTTGATAGCAGATAATCACTGTATCATAATTTCAACTGCGTTTTCAGCTGTCCAGCTATCGACTTACATAAAAATTTCAAAGACATAATTCTTCCTCAATGTATTAATAGACGAAGGTGCGATCAATTTTTTTATTAGGGCGTCAGCTGAGTCATGAGCTCCATCTTTAGAAGAAATGGTATAATATTGGTATTTACTTGATAGCATTGTTAGCTTTACGCGAGACTAGCTAAAAACCAGACAGATTTTATATTTTAGCCAAGATATGTCAGTCGAAGCAATGAAATAGTCTCAAGTAATTTTTATTGTGAAGCAAACATTAAGTATTTATTGGGTTTAAATACTAACAATGTTGATTTTAAGACTCTCAACCTCTTTTTAATCTTTCTTCAGGGGGATTGCAAATGAAATTGAATCGATGATTTACAAGAAAGTGAAGCAGGTTTCCTGTGGAGGTAGAATCACGGCTGCTTGTGTCATAAGGGCCTGGGTCCAAGACCAGGAAACGAAGAATTGCATGGCCTGCAAATTGAAGTTTACAACTGTCCGGAGAAGGGTAAATCATACCTCACCACTTCTACAAATGATTCATCTAATTAATTATCCTATTCGTTTCGTATCTATTTTGTGTATCATTAAAATGGGAACCCCTCATATTATCGTATTATTAATACCAGATGATATTTCATTAAACAATTATAACATGTTCGCTTTTTACTATCATTAGATGTCAGAGGAGTGATAGATCTCATTAAGTTGTTTCTCCTTTTATTTTTTTATACTTACCATTTTACTACATAGGGACGTCTTTCTTTTTTAACAGTATTTTTTGTTTTCTTTTTTAGGTAAAATTTTGTACAAAAGAAATCAATGAATCATATATTTTTCCTCATTTACCAAATTTATTAATTAGATCTATTCATGCTTTTAGTCTTAAAAATGTATAATTTTTCAAAGGATTGTGTGTTGATTTTGAATTTGTCCAGGTTAGTTTAGAAAACGAACCGTTTTTATTTCTAATTGACAAGAATTTAATGTTGTATTTCATTTGCTTTCCAGCACCACTGCCGAAAATGTGGCGGCATATTTTGTGCGAACTGCTCATCTAAAAGAATTCCTATCCTCGAAATTGGATATAGTGATCCTGTTCGTGTTTGTGAACGATGCTATCACACACTCAGCGATATCAATGCTTAGATGGCTAACATTTAAGAACAATTGTATGCTGTAGCTTCCTGTTATTAGTTGTTTGTTTCGAAAGCAATTATAGTAAAACTGTCTCAATTTTCCTTTAATGTTCGATTTTGCCAATTTGTAAACATTTATTTTTCGTAATGTTAAACTACAATGGACCTATATTTTAGATCCAATTGCCTTAATATACACTGATCGTAGTCTGTAGGGTTTAGAAACTTTTGGTCAGATCTCAAGCAGATAAAAACCAAAGAGTCAAGTTTTTACAGTCACAAATTCTATTACTTTACTTTCAAGTAAGCTTCTAAATGCAGTAATATGCCAGTTTTCTCATTTCTGGTTTAAGAAATATCCCACATTTCAATGATTTTCGTGAAATTCTCTAACCCTTTTCTATTTCAATGTCAATTTTTTTTATCTCCTAGATGCTTTGTCTACAAACCAAGCATTAATTTTGGGTGAACGGGTGTTTGGTTATTTAACTGAAAATTAAAATCTTGCATTTGTAGAGCTTTGGTCCACAATTTTGGAAATCTAAATGTCATCTCGAGTGAGCAGGTTTAGCAAACATCATGAATTTCCAATTTATCTTGGAATCTTGTTTTCAATGAGCGTATTGATATTTACTTAGAATCTTGTCATTAAACAGGCCTGTCATTGTTAAATATTGTTAATAAGCTATTTTTGCTATAAGTTAATTGAAATTTTATAAATTTTGTTATCTCCCATATATGATTTCTTTGCGGGAATATTTGAATGCAGAAATGCAAAAAAGGTCTTTTAATGCATTATGGCTTTATTTTACTTAAAAATTTTGAAGAAGTTTTTCAGTTATACTACACTGGTCAGCACCTATTTTGGTGCCAGAACAGAAATATTTTTCGGACACTAAACGCAAGTATTATTGCGCTCATATTTCATATGTTTACAGCGTTGGCTAAAAGACTCTTCCCTATTTGTTAATTATTATTGAAATCGGTTTAAAAAATTCTTCAATTCCTCTCCAACATCTGATTATTCGTTTGATGCAGTGCAGATCAAAGCAGTAAACTTCAATGAGCTAAGGCCCACTCGCAGGCCTTGGGTTTGTCAGTATATGCCGAACGAGGCTGCAATACTAGTCTGAAATCCTGAAGTGTCCTGCTACACATTGGAACAACTTATCATAAAAGAAATCGAAACTTCGATGATCTTTACAAACAGACGATTCATGCTTATTTCCCAGTTAAGCTAGGTGATCAAAACAGATCGATGCAGTGGGCCCGTTTATTGTTTGCAGACATGCAAGGAATACATTCGGCGTCAGTGGACTAATGAACTCGCAAACCATTCAATTTCGACATTCTAATAGTTCGGCGTGAGTCACAGAATCACGATAATGACCGCAATTTTTCATTTATTGATTAGAGGGTTGAACTGGACACTTGCCTAAAATGTTCTATCAGACCTGCATTTCGTTCCGATTATGTTTTGATTGTTGTTTTTAATGGATTTCTCTTGAAAAGGGTGACGAATCTGTTTGATCAGGAGAAAACTACTGACCTGATTCACCATTTAAACATACCGAAAGAATCAATTATTTTTGAAAGTAGGATACCAGGCACAGGGGAGCTGTAACAGTCTAGACAAGTTTGGTAACTTGTCTAAAGCCCTTCTTGCTAAACATGTGCTCCGCATCCCTGAAGGCAGATTAAAACAATTGCGTTTTTACTGGCCCCAAGACAGCAGGAAATTCATCAACAATTAGAGCTTCAGAAATTACATATCTGTTTTGAAATTAAATGCCTGGAAGCATTTGTCAAAAGTTATTTAAAAATAGGTCGGAGAAACTGCAAGGAGTAAGTTGTAAGGGGATACTACGTAGGTGGGGCTCAGGGCTTTTTAAGGATATCTGACTAGTGGGCCAAAGGCATATGAGGGTCCCATTCCTTAGGCAACCAAGTTTGGTCTGTTTGTCCCTTGACTCCCTCAGCCCGCTAGGCGTCAAGAATGAATGCAAGAATGAATGCATTTCTTGTGCCGACCTCTTTATTAGCGTATTTCTAGAAAACTGTGGTGATATAGGTGATGAACAAGGAATGCGGTTAGAAGATAAAAGAGATTAAAAAGAGATAGCAAGGAAGATAGTACAAAATACTGATAGCAGATAAGAAAGCTTGAAAAGGATGACGGCTGTTAATCATTATTGAAGAAAGAAAATTCTATCAAAGTTGTCCAATTTTGCAGCTGACTTTCATAAGGACTAATCTTTCAAAGTAAATGTCTTTCCCATTATTACTTTGCTAACACGATGCTGAATCATATTAATTTTTTTTAGCAATGACGATTGAACACTCTTTTTAACCTCAAGAACTTTGGTCTCATGTTCAATTTTCTATCAAAAGGATTGGCTCCCTTTCGAAGGATATATGTCATTCGATACGTGCAGGGCTCTAAAAAAACAAAGTGTCACCAAAAACTTGCAAATGTTTTAGCACAGGTCTACTTCTCTTTGATGTTTTACCATTTTGTAGTTTTTGTTATTTTTGTAGAAAATGCAAACGCTGGATAGAAGAGAAAATGGTAATTATAATTATTTTGTTAGAATTGGCATGTAAGATGTTGTGTCAAGAATCGGTCAGCATAGGTGGGGGTGGGAGGACAAAGGTATTGATCGCCTATTGGCGTCATCATATAAGTTGGAATAAGTCAGCTTTTCAAGTCAGCCGATCGCATTTGCATTCCCTGGATACACCACTGCACTCTTTAGCTCTTCAGTTTGTGAAATGCTCTTCCATTGCACAATGCATTGATTGTTTCTGCGTCGCAAGCGTTTTATTTTAAGTAAGTTTTAGAGTGCATAACCAGAGACGGCACGAGACTTTGCATTTGATGCTCAAATCATCCTTGAAAGGCTTAAAGAATAAACCTCGAATAATTGTAAACGACAAAGGCATACTTTATACTGAACCACTGCTTCCAAAGAAAGGCTTATACTGCCAACCGGGAAAATCTCATACTGACAGTTGGAGGCATCAAGCATTGCAATTATATTGTAACAACGACTGCCTAATAGAATGGCATTCCAAATATTCAGGGGAGTACAAGCTCCTTTCGTTTCTTTCACTTCTACCATCCAAAGCAAACTTGCTGGCCTTCTAAAATCCCCTTTTCATTAAAAGAAGATGAAATTGTCTTGCCATTTTGAATAGTTCCTTATGTTTTACATAAACAACAACAATTCGTCGAATTTTCTTTACCCTATGGTGTACTTGGCCTTACATAAGTAGAAGATAGAGAAAAATGAAATGCCCTGAAGCAAGAAACTGAATCAGTTTTGCACATTAAGTTAATGGAAGAAAGTTGTGCTGGTTTGAAAAATAATTGATTTAACAATGAAAAATATTAGGACGGGAAGATTTATTGTTTTTCATTGAGGAGGCAGACTGCCTTTAAGATCTCTTTCGAAATCGGAGAAAGGGCAAAATATTCCCCCAATCAGGGGCAGATAGAGGGTCTATTCAATATCACAGAACCCGTTCCACCAAAAATCGGGATGCGAAAAGGGAGGTAAATCAAGGGGTTTTGGTTAGAATATCTTAGTTCTCTTATTTTATCTTGCTGTTGCTAAATTCGTCCCTGGTCTTATGACAAAAAACTTGACAGTAAATCACACACAGTAGACAAAAGATTTTCTATACCACTTTGAAATAAACAAAAAACCTACTATTTTTATGAGACAGTAGCATTGATGAAATTGTTTTGATGTGAGAATCTTTCCCACCAGATCTAGATCCTTTCATTTTTTGGTTCAACGCCTTCAACTTCGGTGCATAAACATACACATCCCTGTCACTAAGGGTTTGCATCTTTGAAAGCGAAAGTTCATAAAAGTTGTTTTCTATCAGGTTTTCTTAAACATGCTGATTTGATTTTGTCACTGATGTTTGGCTTTGACACATATCCTGGCATTTTCTGTTTATAAACATTTTACAAAGAAAGCCAAATCCTTCTTGCTGCCGTCTTTTTACTGAGCTCATACTACGTACCAAACATCTTCTTCGTACATAGCCATTGGGTCCGTATGTTCTATTGTTCAGCTCTGTCGACACTGGATCTTAAATTGCCCCATTGAATAATTGCACAGTGGTTTTCTTTTTGACTGGACTCAAGTTGAATAAAATTATTTTGAAGAAACAAGGTGAATTAACGGATAAGAAAATTGAAACTTTACAGTTGGTATTGAGCCAACAATGCTCAATGTTTTTTAAGTGACTATGAGTAGCTGACTCGATATAAAATCAAAAATCTTTCAGTACTAGAAATTGTCAACCCTTCTTATAAAAAACGAATATATGCTAAGCTCTTTTGATTTTTGTAAACGAACTAAACATTGTAGAAGCTGCACTAGCAATATTTGATCAAGGGAAGGTGTTTTATCCTACCAATCAGGCATGTTCATTTGCTCTCAAATCTTCTATTTCAATTGTTAAAATCGAAAGGATGTTAAGCCTCCTGAAAATTGCTAAAAATTTTCTTCGATCAAGAACAAAGATGAACGGCTCAATTCATGGCAGGTTTGAATGTTCGTGTAACGTGAATTCAAATTTAGAAATCTCCTTATTCGTGTATTTCCTGTGTTTTCATGTTTGAGACTGTTGAGTAAAATATTGGTAATCAAAAGGGAATTAGAATTCTAGAATTAGGCTATTTCCAAATATCAGTTTGGTAGGTACAGAAAAATTTCTCAGGAAAAGTTGATATTTTCATCCTTTCACGACCCCCCAAAATTAGCTACTTGCTTTCGTCCTTGAACGTTTGTGTTAAAATTATTGCTTAAGATGCTTCGGTTTCTCAATGAAATATGAAGTCCCTCGTTGTTTTTTTCAAACATTTACAACTATTTTCTGATTCTAGAGCCGATGAGAAGGTGTAGGGACTGGTTTTTAAGAATATCTAAGCCTTTTATGAAGCACAAGTTCACCGAGCTTACCAGGTTTAAAGAACAAAAACATATGAACAAAAACCGTGAAGTAAGATATCGCCAAATAATAAGAAAGTAACTATCGCCAAATTCTGTTTACATTGTCATTACAAGACAGAAACTCCATTATATAAAAAATGCAAATTCTCGTAATAGATGAGCAAAACCTGTGAAATTTTAGCCATGCTTTTGCTGTTAGAAGGTAATAAAAACAGGCTCCTTTTGAAGGGTATTAACATCAGTGTACATGGTTGAATTAATCAGGAGAGAGAGCTTTAAGAGAAAAGAAAGCTTGGATAGAAGAAAGAGTAAATCAAGGCCATGATAATACCTTCAACAGATGCTTACCATATGTCAGTTTCACTACAAGACGTAGGGAAAAAAACATGCCTAAAACTGCATACTCTATCTACAGTAACAAGATGCGTTTGTTATGCAACCTTCCTACTTATGAGAATCAACATAATGTATGGGTTGGTTAAAAAAGATTACTTTTGAAAGCAACCTACCTTGACATGAAATGGTTGAATAAATAATAATAGCTAGAATGCCACGAGTATTCATTTTGCAATGCTTTGATTAGTGGACAATAGACTGCAGAAATGCCAAAGCAGATTGAAAGAATGTCTTATTAAAATATTAAGCCTATGTTGCTTAATACTTTCATAAAAATGTAGTGGCGCAGCGAGGGCACGAAATCTTACGGCTCTAAAGATGGCTTCTTGGGCCATGCTTTTAATATGCAATAAATCAGTATTTTTATAGCTACAGCTCATAGATACACTGCTTCTATGGGAAGATGACTCTGGACCATTCCCCTTTTTTGTGACAAAGAAAGATTACATGGGAGCGCATAGCTATCCATTGGGTTTGGAATAATGGTTTTTCCTTAATATGGCTGATGCACTAGTAAAAAGAGACAAGGAAACAAGTTCAAACAACGCATAGTCTTATCATACAAAACATGCGAGAAAAGCTTATAAATGTTTAAAACCGTGTGAAAGCCCATTTATCTTTGAAGCGTTTAATTTCGAGTTGTTTTTTCTCTCGCAGGTGAAATCATATGAACATTGCCAAAGCTTGGTTTCGGTTCAAAGTTGTGTCTAGTTGGAATATTTCTTGGCATGGAGCTTTGGACGCCTACGCCTATGCTACCATTTACCCCCTTCTTACAGACGACTTAGATGAAATGGTCTTTTGTCTTTTCAATTTTTCGCTGCTTTCAAGGAATGCCTAAAATTTTGTTTGCAACGTTCGCAACTGATCAGAATTTATTTTTCTTACATAAATGATACCAGCAATACTTTTAGACACTCTTATTTTTAACAAAAAAGACATTCTCAAGGCTCACCGTTGCATTACGAACTCTATATTTGATGTATGTTAGACATTGTAGCGAACTTCTTTTTTGGCATCATCTCAATCTCGCCTCTAGGAAATTATTAACTAAGCTAGTGCTCTTTCCAGACTTACAACTCTTTTTTCACTCTCTTGAATTAGATTTCCTAAGGTCCAAAAATGAATTTGTACATAAAGAAAAAATGTTTTCCTGTTTCAGCCAGTTTCTCTAGATTTTTTTACAAAGACCAATCTTAACTACGTGTAATATGTAATAGAAGAATTTTTTGCTCAATTAAAAATTGAAACAATTTCTTGAGGAATTTGAGATTATATTTTATTTTTAAATTCACATCTTGAGTAGCAGAATTTTTTCTTGCTTTCTTCGAAGTCCTCGTACTTGTTTTGTCAGAAAGGTCTTTCTTGTTGAACATTTTTCAGCAACTTTTTCATAATAAATCAACGTAGCTAATAGTATATTTAAACTGGTTTCCATGCTGTGAACATTTAAGCAAGTAAAGCCAACTTCGTTCTAGACTAAAGTTCTCCTTGTAGAAGAATACTGATGGTATTTCGCTACCAGACTTGTGACATGCCCTTTATTTGCAAGCCACTTTAGTTTTGCAGTTCTACAAATTTATACAAAACGACACTCGATCGGGTTGTGCCATTAGGCGAAGCAGCTGATGTATCAACAGGCAGTATTTCAAAGCACAAAAAGCTTTATTTCGTAGCAAATACGCAAGTTGTTTTTAAAATGAAATTATCTGTAACTCTGTTCATAAAAATGTTTTCTGAATCCTGAAGATCTCGCCGAACAGTATCAGTGCTTGAAAAACTATTAATTGCTATCTAGAATTGCAACTTGCATGTGCCTGTAGAATCTTTACAGGGTGAAGTCAAGCCTATTTTTACTCTGATTATGAATTTGAAAACATCCGTTAGGCTTCGGTATTCATCCAAAGTTTGATATGTATAAAGGTACTAACACGCCAAGTAGTAAATCACAAATTAAGGAATCTTCTTCAACTGTATTTTCAAGACAATGCAAAAAGATTGGCTTTGTCAGCAGATTTTTCAGAAAAAAGCAAGTCAATTTAGCAATATCTTAAATGCACTTTATGTATATTTGGATGAATAAAAGTAAAACGATACTATCGATTTATCACAGAAATATGTTCTATTATTTCATACATATTGCATATTACATTAAAACATATGCAGCTGAACTATCATATTTCTCCACCTTCTATTGATCATTTTAGCCTTGGTTTTGGAGCAATCTATGCCTAAGGCAATTTCTTCATGGCACGATGAACTTTTTCAGTGTGCCTGTTTGTTCAGTAACCCTGTCAACGCACTATGCTGCTTAGTACGAACTTCTCCGTGTTTCCATAGGAACTTCATGTTATTTACTCGAAACGGACACGAAAACGTGTGATTAACTCGGAGGATCAAATGACAAGCAAGGAAGTGGAGCCTTTTAGTGAAGTAGTATAAAAGCCTGACCATAATTTGTGGAACTCGAAAAGCATCATTGGCCAGAATTAATTAGTCTATGTTGTTCAAATTTTTTTTATAAAAATCTTATCATGGTTTCATTATCCGTTCCGGGTTGATGCCATCGATTTTGTATCTCGCTATCTACGGATCTTTCTCAAAAAATGAACTTCAGAATTGAGATTTTCATCTTTAAATTAGGTTATACTGAAAACTTGTTGTTTGCACCGTTCGGTCGCGCATTACTTTGTTTTGAATACTTAGATATTTGTTTAGATTTGACTGTAATTTGCTGCTGCATTAAAAAAATTAAATTGCCCGGACCAGAGAATTGCGTTGAATATTTGATATGGGTACGTTTGTTATGAAAAGTTTTTTGAAAATTTACATGCCCCAATATTTATTTAACGACCCGATTGCCGATAAGTTAGTCAACACATGAATCTTATTTCTCTTCTCACAATTCGAAAGACAAAAAACTAAATGGGAAGAATCCCTGTCTCGTGTTGATGTTGACGCGGGTTTCTGTTCTGCATTTTACCATATACACAAGAGTAAATTGTAACCAAGTGGTGTGTTTACCCCCTAACTCAACAGCAAAATTATCGAGCCCTCATTTGAAACCAATACACAGTACATCGAATCCTTGAAAGAGAGGACGAAGTGGCCTGGCATACCTCCGAAATGTTATCTATTCGTCTGACTTGCTGTTTATCAATTGGGAGCTTGTTACGCGAATGCAGGTACTAATTGTACAAACAAAACAATACCTGTGCATTGAATAAATTTTGTGTATAGAGTAACCGATGAAAGCAAAGGGCCTAAATCAACATTACGAACATGATGTAGAAACTATTCCCTCCATGGCTGTAAGGTCCAATTTTATTTTAGCCTGGAAGTTCAGAATGCTCTTATTCCGTTTGTTGATGTTCGTTAACTGATGCTTATAATAGCAACGCACAGCATCGGAGCAATCACGGTAACTGGTGAATACAATTGAATTGTCATTGCTTATTTTGAACCGTTCTAAAGCCTGAATTGGAATCATGAGGAATTCTTGAATTGGAACATACTATTTTAGTAACTATGGCGGGTATCTTCAATCCAAGGCGGTCCTCTGTATCCCCTCAGCAAGAAGAAGCAGCTGGAACAGCTCGCAATGGAGACATAGAAACACAGGTGCTTCCCAAGAGCAAGCAGGACAAAATGTCCAATTTTTCAAAGTCCAAAGGTGACAACGGTAGTTGGTTTAGTTTGCCTCATGAAAGAACTGGAATGGCTCGTCAAAAGACTGCATTTGCTGCAAATGGAAATAAATTTCCTTCAGAATCGAAGAAAAAGGGTCGGTTGCAACCGGCACGTAGGCCAAGTAAGGACATCGAAGATTCCCCTACTAATTTTGATGACCGATCACCATACAGCTCCTTGAAAGCAAGCGATCGCTTTAATGACAAGCCATTAGAACCTTTGAGACTAAAATCTATCCATAAAGCATGTGTGAAAACTATGGCATTTTCATCGGAAAAGGTTGAAACTCTTTATCGGAGATACTTTTTCAGGTTTAATCAAAATTTTGTGAATTGGTTGCTGATATTACTTATATGTGTGAATGCTATAGAAGCCGGACTACACTTTGGATACCATGAAATAGATAGCAGGGGTGAGGAACTTTTTATCGGTAGGGGCACAGCACTCTGTGTCTTAATCACAATTTTCCTGTCCCTTGTTGCTGTGATAAACTGGAATGGCTCATCACAAAAATTATTGAGTTACATTTCCTATTTCATCATTGCACTGACTTGCATAACCGTAATTCTACAGCTTTACTTCTTTAAAGAAAAGGCCCATTCCGTTACTGAAGCGGTATCTCTAACAATGTTTTTTATCTATATGATATATACAATGTTACCTGTGCGGATTGGTGTCGCTATGTTTGGTGGATTTTTGTTATCAATTTCTCACATGGTTACTTCCGCGGCTGCCGACCAACGAGTTACAAAGATGGATGAAAGTTTGCCCTACTTGGTAAGAATTTTATGATATCGATTCGTTTTACGTTTCTTGTAAGTTTACATTATACTGTTAACAGCTAAAGCGGAAAGCAGAAAAGAAGAGAATACTGGCAGATGCACCATAAAAATTTCATTCTTTTTTCAAATCCCTTTGAGAACATTAATATTTATATAATACAAAGCAGTATATACATACTGCTTTGTATTTTCTAGGGAATTTTGAGAAAATTGAGGTAACAGCTGCATTGTTACTATAAGTCTTCCCAGTGGGCTAAATATAGTTTGATCATCAACATTACATTGACTTGTTTCAACAGTCTCCATAGCATAATTTGTCCTTTTCTTTCCTCTTCTGAACCATTGTCATCAATTCAGTCATTGCAAATGGCTAGGTGCTCCACAATCAAGGATACTGCTTGTTGCTAGCATTTTCTTCATTTGCTTCAGACTGATTGCCATTTTAATCTTGTTTACTGTTATCAAATTAGTCAATTGTAATATGCTGATTTAAATCTTTTTTATTTCAATTTAAAAATAAGAAGGTGTTTTTGTCAGCAAACAATGCTGCAAGTTATCATCTTTGAAATATCTGGACACAGGTGCCTGCCAGCTTTTGCAGCTCTTGATTGTTTTGATGTTTTTTTGTGTTCAGAAATGCAGAAAATTACCAAGACAAAGAAATGTCAGAAATGACAGTTATTGACTGTTTCACATATATGTAGAGCCCAGAGCAATTAGAAAATCATTTAGCTATCCTTATATGAATAACAACAGAAGGAACAAACCAGGGAACTTGAGATAAGCTGTAGGTCAGCACCCCCCTCACTTATTTCAAAATTCAGGCTCTATTAGACTCATAGTATAAATTTATATCTATTATGCGTGTTGAAATACAGTGCTCCCCCCCCCTGGAAAATTTAATTTTGATGCACCTTGAAAGAAAATACCCTGTTACACATACTTCCCCAATAATTTTTCCCATATTTTTAAAAACAATTATTCAAAGTTTTGGGAAAATGTCTTAACACATTTCTTTCATGGTTTGATAAAAGTTGAAAATGAAATTTGTTTGCTGACAAAGCACATTCCAATACATCTAATATGATCTTTCAATGTGAAGATAACTGAAACTCAAATTCTATGATCATAACATTGATTTTAATTTAATTCCAAGTTAAATTTTTAGATAAAGGATAGTTTTTTCTTTAAGGCATTTAAAAGGTATTTGGGGCCAGTGCTGACAATCGTAAGAATAGAGGCTACCATGGGGTGGGGGTGGTGTACTTCAAAAAGTTCTTGTAGGGATCCTCAGGCTAGTTTTTTTCTATTTTGCATTTAAAATTATGGATGTTTAACAGCCCATATAAAGTTAGGTTTTTCTAATTTTGAGCTCATCAAAACTTAATTAGGTTTACCGGTTGTTGTTTTGAGGACAAAACTAACTTGACACAGGTTTTAGGGTTCTGTAAGAATGTATAAACTGAGGACCCATATCATGCATTGTACTAGCCCCTTGGAAGTTTTTTGAAATTTTCTTGTTTGCTGTCTAATTTGGTCATTTTTAGTCAGTTCTGGTTTGGTCAATTTTCTGGTCTTAACTTTCCTACTTTTTTGAAAAGATATGCTAGTAAAAAGTCACATTTTGTTATATGAATCACCTGAATTCTATGATGTACACTCTGTACTTGTTCTATCAAAAATATTCCATTTTTGTTTGGAATAGAACTAGGTGCAAATTGGACAATCTATAATGCTTAAATTAACAATTGGAGTCTGTAGGGTTCAAGCATGATACAAAATTGTAACAGATCGCTGTAACTTTTCAAATATTTTCCTCAAGGCATCTATTGTAAGTTTAAAAAAACTAGATCTTAAACTTAATTATCTAGACAGATGTGTCTTGGAAAACTTCAAATTTATAATTACAAGCAATGAAATATGGTCTTTGATGGTAAGGTTTTTGTTTCAATATGGATGGAGACCACATTGATATTTGAGTGAAACAGCATTCTTTTGGTACAGCCTTCTGTTGCTAAAACAGGGTTGTTTTTTAGATTTGTCCTGTTGACTATTACATAGCTCCAATATGTATAATATTCGGAGCTTAGTTTCTGTCTGATTCATATTTTCAGTATTTTGGTATCCTTCTCTGATTGAAGCCTTTGTGTAATTGACTTATGCGTTGCCCTTGCTGGGGTTCATTTCCCTTTGTAAACTCAATGATTTACTGGTTTTTCAGTATCATGATTCTGGTAATTCTACAAAAGTATGCTTAAAAGGTCTGCTTAAGAGAGGGACATAAAACTGAGAGCCAAACCCATTTGGGTTGAAGGAAATTGATTTTGCAAAGAAGGACTTGTTGTCATGTGTTGTCATTGTCAACCTAGGGTCTAGCAGGTACCTGAGTTCAGCAGATGCCTGTTTCCACAGGAGATCAAATCCTGGTGTGGGAGTTGACGCAGTCTAGTGTCTCTTCTTCAAATAAAACCACCTTTGCGGGATGAATTATTGAATTAGTTATTTATTGACCAACATTCAAACCCTTTCCATAGTTAGATGTTTGTTTAGCTAAGCTTTGATCTCTTTGCCTTCATAACTTTGCATTGGAATAATCCCAATGCCATACAAATCCTTGACAGTCAATCAGGAAATAGTGTCGTCTCTTATTTCGCAGATCCACGCTCTTATTGTATCCTTAAGAATGTTCCTGTACTGTATTGCAGTGTAAATGTACAACGCAGTTTGAAGCGCGTCCTAACTCTGAGTGTTTGTTGGGTTTTTGATTCGGGTTTTAGATTTCTGGGGTGCCACTTTAAGAAGCGCATTGTTTTCATTGCTAGCATTTGAATTTTTTCATTTTAGTCCCTATATGTCACCCAGCCAAATATATAGATGTATGCGAGCTCTACAAATTTTGAATGTTGGCTGCCTGTATTCAAGTTGAATTTTGGATAGTTTATTTCGTGTGCATGTTATTTGCAAAGGCTATAGTCGAGAGGTAAACTGAAGCTTGCTATTTTTCCGCACTCTTTTTTGCATGGGTCACCGGCGCTTTTTTACAACGCATTCTTCTTCCTATTCTTGCTATAATAATGGCCTTTTGAGGCGCAGTTGATAAACCTTTGTCTTTAGAGTTTGATGGTATAATCTGTCAGTTTCTCTGAAATGAAAGGGGTTTAAGTAGAAGAAATGGATAGTTGAGGCCTGTTCTGATCACACTGGCGTGGCGCATGTTTAGATTATTCCGTAAACTTTTTCTTTAGTTTTAGCAGTTGTTTGATTTTTGAAAGTTAAGTAATTTTGCTGTTTGTACCATTCATGTCTTGTCTGGAAGCCTAAATACATCGATGTACTGCGTTATCAATTTGACCTTCATTCTCGAACAGAAAACAAGACATGTTAAATTCAAGTTGGTTTTGGCGGTGCCCTTGTTTATATGTAGACCGATGTCATCAAATTGGTGATCGTCTGTGAGAATGGCACAGGTGAACTGTTACAACTGCACCTGCGCCTTGGGAAGGGAGGCTTTCCTCTAAGTATTCACCCTAAGCTCATAAGATTGCAGTGTTTTTGCTTCGTTTCTTAGCAATGCTCTTCTCTTTCTTGCGATGCCAGCATTTCTTATGGAATTATGGGAACGAAATATTCAATTATTAAAATGTTTTCCAGTGCAGGAACTTCTACATGTCTGCATCAGTCGTGTTTGCAAATTGTTTAGATCTGTTCTCCACAACAACCCAGTAAATGTATGTCGCTATTAGAATTCCAATGTATTGAAAAACTCTTTGTATGTTCACAAATGTAAACATTTTCCTATATAGCATCGCAAAATTTTCTTAAACATCGCCATATAAAGAGCATACATTTAATGATAAGCTCTGTATATTACAAAGTATTGCCTTCTGGATTTTTTTAGATCTCGGCTTTGTAAATGTACTAGTAGCAACATAACAGAATTTTCATTCATCTTTGAATCATACTGTGGATTTTAATTGCTCACAGTTATTTGTCGTTCCAAGCGATGCCGCACGTTTTGCTTAGCGTAACCGACCCATTGGAAGTTTCCTTTTTAAATATTTGACTTCTTTGAAAAGTTTACCGCGGAAAATCTTCTTCTAAAATAGCAGTTTGCCATTTGATCGGAAATGGTTATAATTTGAAAAATCCGAACGACTAGCAATGGGATTTGGACTAAGGACTATAGGTTATCCAACTATTTTTCAAGCATTTGCAATTCACATTAAACTTTTTCTGAAATCGAGCATTTATTGCCCTTGCATTTGCTGGAAAGTCGAGACGTTATTTGTCATTTTATTTTTCAACTGTTTCACATAAATCATGCTACTTTAATTTTAACCAGCTTTCTCACATCAAAGAAATTAATTGCTTCTAACTATCACAACACCTGCAGCTATGAAATAAACATGATGCTTAAAAAGTAACTTGCCTTTTAAGTATCAACAGGCTGTTATAATTAAGACACCTTTTTACATTGCTTAGGAAGGCTGAGAAAGCTTTTTAACAAGACAACAGGAGAGATAACACATTATGATCCTACTTTTGATTTGACATTGAGAGAATCTGTTGATTCTTTGCACTTAACTACCACATATGCAAATTGCAAAAGGATTATCAATCAGCCATTTGCAATCAAACAGATTATCGTATTTCATCAAGCAAGCATTTTGGTTTAAATAAACACTTTTAAAAGATAAAGCCACCTTCCACTCGAGTGCAATTCACTTAACAAAGAATAAAAATTTGCTCTCAATTTTTCTTTACAGCTATTACAATAGACTGTTTTGCAACCGTGAATATAGTGTGCTACTTCTTAAATAAGTTTGCCGGTACTTTTTTAGATCTAGGCCCTAATCCAACGCATAGACATACTTTGCCCGCAGGAGGCAAGCATCAGACCTTTCTATTTGGAAAATCCGAGCATTGAGATTATGGGAAAAACGGGTATTCAATGTAGAAGCACCAATTGTATTGGCCAACAAATTAATCTACTTAAAGTGCGGATTCGTACATTGAAAAGGTAAAAATTGTAACAAAGTGTTCGAGCACAACTCTTCATTAGCTGCTACGTTGATTAGCTATAGGTCAACGCCTGAGAAAAACATCAACACGGACTCTTAATTGTTTTATTAACTCTTCTGTGGTGATAATAATCTTTTTCTAAAAAAAATTCCAATTAACTTTTAAATTTAGCTTAGGTGTAAATGTTTTCTATGCGCATTTTAAGCTGAGATGATCTTGAAATTTAATTGGTTTAACTATATTTGTAGAAAAAATCTTGACTCGTTTCGTGATTATTCGCAAACGTTATATTTGACCTTTATTTTCAGTACCTGTTATCTTTCAAGGAGGCCTTTTTTGCTAGGTTTTTTACTATTTTTACGGTGTATCAACTGGAATCTTGCTCTTTATATTATGTGTGAAATTTTTGCTTTTTTTAAAGCCGTATTTATATTTTATTCCCAGGCTCTATAAACAGTTATAGTCCACGTCTGGAACAATTGTTTTAAAAGCTAGTGTTGCAAGTCTTCCTTTTCTATTTTCAGGTCATTTCAAATCTTTTGCTGTTTATTTGCGCTAATATTTGTGGAATATTTACACACCTTCCTGCAGAGCTTGCACAACGACAAGCTTTCCTTGAAACAAGAGGTTTTGTAGAAGCGAGGTTGAATTTGCAACGGGAGAACCAAGAACAGGTATTGTATCCCCTATATTGCCCTTGATTTACCTTGATATGATAGAGGCATGGTGTCGTTGACCATTTCACAATAATTCATAAAAACAGTTTACGTAACCATACCATAACCATAAAAACGTAACCTTAGCGAGTAAACATTTTCTGAGACAAAATTGCAGGACCTTGCCAGATACCACTGTAAACTTTATGTATGTTGCTTCTAGGTTTCTAGAATAGGCTTCGCTTGTAATTCAACTAGGCCAGTTTTACCTGAATATTGCATTTTTCTGGCAAATTGCAGTTTTGAGCTTCAACTAAAATTGCCAGCACGTATGTGCTTTGGAACCTTCAGTCTTCTTAAAAAGAATAATGTTGTTTTATATTGGTCCTCTGTATGTTTTGAAATAGCCATGTTTTTAGGTGATAAAGCATCGGATTGTTTAACCTTTGAAATGGTGAAAGTTTTCTCATTATTTGAACTGAATTAGAGTTTCAATTTTGACTGGTCAACTATCTTGACGATGAATAAACTGATTTGTCGTCGGGAGAACGAATTTCCTGGATGCACTCTTCTGGCACCCGTCGTTTAGGGGATGAAATACATACCTTGCTCTACATGAGATGCCAAAATTTGAAGATGGCGCTAAATAGCGGGGACATAGCATGCTGAAGGACTTCAGTTTATAAACGTCAAGTCATGACATTTCATGCAACTTTCAAATTTCTCGGCATCAAAAACTTTAAAGGTCAAAATCTTCAATTTATCTCTGTTCATCTCATATAAGAAATTACAATAGAATTAATTTTAGATGTTTGAATAAAACAAAATATCAACTGAAGTAAAGTTTTATCCATACATTCGCAACTCAGCTTGGGTTGACTAATGCATTTTGTAATTTGCTAGTGAAAATCCCTGATCCTTCTATTTATGTGTTTACATTCGAATTTTAAAGAAATCAAGAATACAATGCAAAAGCCTTGTTTGATGTAGATCGCCTCCTCTCTAATAGAACTGATTCGGTTCCTTTGTGATACCAGTATAAGTATATTTCACCATCCTAGCAATAGAGGAGTTACTGTGAAAAAAGCCCATGAAATCACAGTATGTATTGCATTACGCACATTCTGCTGATCCAACATTTCTTTGTTAAACTTGATTTTCATTTATCCACAGGAAATGAAAAATTGAAATTGGCATCTCTAGAACTTGTATTACCACTAAGTTTGTTAAGCTTTTCCAACTGTTAGTTGTCAATTGTTTCGCAGGAACGCCTGCTGCTTTCTGTGTTGCCTAGGCACGTGGCCATGGAGATGAAAGCTGATATCGAAGGAGATAGGGGGCGGCAGTATACCCAGTTTAGCAAGATTTATATCCAACGCCATGTTAATGTGAGGTGAGATGTGTCAGCCAGTCTTTCTTTTTAATTATTATTGGAAAGACTACTGCTATTCATATCTATGTTAATTTGCTGATAATATCTATGTTACTGCTTATAATATCAAGTTTCATGTTGTCCCATTTTCTGAAATGTTGACAACCTAGCCCTAAGTGTGCGATGTAGGTCCCATATTCCAGTTGACATTTGCTAGTCACATTTCTGGGGGATCTCATCTTCCTAGTGTGACAAGTAGAAATAATTCTACGCTGTTTTCTATAGACACCTTCTGTTGCGTTTCATTTTTAGTTGGTGTCATTTTATTAGCACTTTGATATTCAGGCTTACAGAAAGGTTCAATGTATCCCAAGCCTAAAGATTGAAATGAGTGTGCCTAAGGATGGTTATTGAGAATGTCTAGGCTTCAAGCAAACTGCAACTGTGATTTTAAAATTCTATAAGATTAAATTTTTTGTGCAAAATATCTCTCTCTCTCAAGCACTCTATCGCTTAAACAATTTTTTCATTAACTGCAAGAAAGTGTTTCAATGTGTGTAGACCCTTCTCCTCCCCAAACCCTCTAAATGTAGCAGAAGGAACCGAAAGAGTAAGTTTGGCAGGTCATTGTGATTTCGTGGCTTTGAACAGTTTTTGCATTGAGTAGTACCTTCAGAGTACATGGACGTATGAAACGATCCTTGTCATTCTCTCACTTCAACTTCATTGTTTGTATATTTATATGTGTTAGGTACCATTTTAATGTGCATATAATTTTTTCGGAAAACGAGATTCATGAATGAATGAAAAACTAGAAATAAAGTCAAATGTGCGTACATCTTGGTAAGGAGGCTGAATCCATAATAGCTGACTGCTAGCTTCCACCTGGGTTGGGGTGAGAACAATATCAGTTCGTCTAATCGTGCTTTCATTTTGTTTATTTTCCAGTATATTGTTTGCTGATATCGAAGGTTTTACTAAGCTTGCATCGCAATGTACAGCTCCAGAGCTTGTCAAGATTCTAAACGAGCTTTTTGCCAGATTCGACCAGTTAGCTGTAGTAAGTTTCTTCCTCCTTTTTTCCAGTTTATTCCAGCTTGTTTTTCTCTCATGATATCGATAAATTGCCTCTTCACTCCATATGTTGGGCGAAGGAGATAAACTACATACATAGGTCAAGCGGAGATGGGTTTTCTCCAGGCAGGGTGGTCGAGAAGCCATTTAGGCCCGGTTTTTTTCTCTTTTGAGGCTTGTAAAAGTCCCACGGTTGCCAGACATCAGTCTTGCTCCTGCGCCTCTTCTCGACAGCCTTGCCTGCAAGTATATACCTCCTGGAAATACTTTAGGAAATTTTTTTGCAAATAGGCTTCATAATGCTAGGGTCGCAAGATTTTCGTAAATAAATATATAAGCATAAATAAATACATGTATTTATATACATGTTTTTCCTTAGTAAATGAAATCAACAACTGAGTGTTCTGCTTTTAATGTTATGCCGCTTATTTAATTAAAATGCAGGTGTGTTTAAGTAAAATAAAAGCTTCGATTTATCAGAGACTACCCATTATTTCCCTTGATTTTTACTGTCAACGTTTGCTGTTAGGCCATTGTATATTTCACTGACTAGTTTTTACCGAAGGCGAGGAATTGAAGATTTTACTTTCTTGCGCAAAGCAACATTTTAACTTTTTATCCCAAAAAGTACTTTCTTGAGTCAAAGCAATTTTTACTGACTTAAACATGCCCTGCATTTGCATGGATGCATGTGATTGTCATCGTAGCTATGTTTCGTGATATCTTGTCGTAATTTGTTTCTCGTAATTTGTCGCAATTTGTCGTAATCGTATTGTTCTCTTTTCCGCAATCCTAAGCGGTGAGCATCTGTTTCTAAATTTAGCAACCCACTTTTTTGAGTTATTCATGGCACTGTAATTGGCTCGCTGCCGCTGCTTACTTGATATATATTTTGAAGGCAATTGTAATAAAAACCGTTGCCAACATTAGGATCTAAAATTCTTCAATCTTATTTGTGCCTTGGAAACCCGGCTGTATTGTGATGACACGGCTGAATGCAAATGCGATTCCAGTTCACCAACGGTTGCAACTCGTATTTTAGACTTGCCGAAATTCTAGATAATCTTGTTGATCTCTCGATTTTCATAAGTAACACCCGTTTCTCTTTCCACAGAACAATCACTGTATGAGAATTAAGATCCTTGGCGACTGTTACTATTGCGTTTCGGGCCTACCAGAGGCGAGATCAGATCACGCAAATTGCTGCATTGAAATGGGTCTCGATATGATTGATGCCATCGCGTATGTTCTCATATTTGATTTAAGCATACCCCTAAAGTGTATTCCGCCTTTTTTGTACTGTATCCTGCGAGAAACAGTGTTATTGTTTGTAGCATCTACTGCCTGTTTGAAACTGTAGTAAATAGTAGCGACTGTGTTTCCCCACTCATATCATAAAGGGTTAGCAGACGTGCCAGGCATATAGATAACACGAGGCTCATTAAGATGAAATGTTTGTATGGAGATACTGACTATATATATATTTATATATATTGCAATTTTAAATTACCAAATGATAACGTAGAACTACAATTCCTGCCAAAAGTTTTGGTAAACTTCGTTAAAATTTTTAAAAGTTTGTTAACATTCTTTGTTATCCTAGTTGCATAACCGTGATTCTAGTTGTGGCGAAAAGCTGGTTTTTGCCTTTCCATGTTATCTACGTAAAAGATGTAAGCTATCTTTCCAAACGTAACTGCACATTAATTTAATACTTTAATTTCAAATATTTAGGATTTGAAACTTTAACTATTTTTGTGCAGGGTTGTCCGGGATGCGACCAAGGTTTCCACTTTGAACATGCGCGTTGGCATTCACTCCGGCAAAGTCCACTGCGGAGTCTTGGGCTCGAAAAAATGGCAGTATGACGTGTGGTCGAATGACGTCACAACTGCGAATCACATGGAATCTGGTGGCAAGCCGGGGTAATTATCAATGTGTCTCTTTGTTTTCCTATTATTCATCTTCTTGTTACGTTCAAATTTCATTAAAACACCTTAATAATGATTATTATACCCATTGAATAATATTGCTTGTCCAAGATTTAAAAGACACCATAAAGATTGTTTTTTATTTTAGTTTTTTACAACTTAACCATTCTGAATGGCAACTGTGACGTATATTTTCGATTACCTGCTAAAAGAAAAACTTGGTCCTAAGCAGCTGTGACTCGGCCTCGATTATTTGTAATTTGTTCATTTTTCTCTTCAGCAGAGTCCTATTGCTCTGACTTTGTTTCGAATTGTTTTTGGTTACAGGCGCATTCACATCACAGAAGTTGTAAGACAGCATATTGGAAGCGATTATGAGGTGGAGGACGGTCATGGCTATGCAAGAGACAAATATCTAGCCGATAATGCAATTAAAACCTACTTTATCATTGCCGATCCAAAAAGAGTTAAACATGTAATTCCTTCACTTATATTTGTTTACGTTGAGCTAGGGCTCCTCACCCAGAGTATTTTTACTATTGAAGTCTCACAATGCTTTTTCTAGCTAATAATTTTTTTCTAGGGAATGTTGCTGTGTTAGAAAGCACAAAACATTTTTTTGTAACGATGAAATTTAAAATACACAGAAAAACTACAATGAAGAATGTATAAACTGTTTGCTTGAAAAGCAAAGAACATTGTTGAGTTCTCTCTCACATCGCAATCCAAATTTACACTGAGACTGAAACACGCCATGTTTGTCATGTTGTCGTGTCATTTTATGGGTCAAGAAATTCATGAAAGAAATGCACGACAATACAAAAACTGTTCCCAACCGAACTAAAAATAATACCACACACACAAAACAAACTAGCCTGCGCGCAGTATTTGTTGCTGTTGCTGAACGAGGAATGTAAAGACTGCGAATCAGCAAACGATTATTCTTATTGCCGACTCAGCAAAATGCTAATTTACCGGAAATTGCCCAGTGATTAGTGGAAAAAGATTTTTTCCAAAAAACATTAGTTGTTACTAATTACCATTGACTTATGCAGTGTGCTTCGTCGACAATTATTCTAAAGCATGCTTCCTTGTAAACATCGCGTGACAGTATTTTTCGCCATCTTTCCAAGGAAAGCATCGACTCCGGGGAAGTAAAAACATATGAAATTTTACTGAAATAAACATCATTCCCTTTAAAAGAAGTTGCGAAGGATGGTAACTTGATCATCGTACAATTTCGTAACTTGGAAAAAACAAGATACCGTCAGAAGAGACTCTCTTAATTTGTCTTCGTTCCACTCCAACTTTCCTTCGCTGCTGCCGGTCGCCATCTTGCGAGGCAGTGCAGTCTGAGAAACAATGCAATGTTGTCCCAACCAATGATTTTACGGTTCGGAGAATTCCGAAGCAGCTTTTGATTGGTTCATAGGACAATAGGTAAATTTAGGCAAATATGAATAATCTATTGCTGGTTCGCAGTCTTTACATTTCCCGTATGTCCAGCAAAAAAAAATCCAGCAAAAAAAAGACTGCGCGCAGGCTAAAAACAAACGTGCTCAGGGCATTAAATGATAACGTTCTCATCTAAATTTCTTTATTTCTATATTAAAATCTATATTTCTTTTCCTCTTCTGTTTTGCATTGGAGCATTAGAATTCACCAAAAGGATGGCAAATGATACAGATTCTTATTGTTGAGGTGTTCTTCATAATTAGCATCTCTTCCCTCAAGGAAATCATAAAGGAGACAATCGAGGATATAATGAAAAGTTGCCCTGGCAGCCTGTCGTAATACCAGTGCTACCATGGCAACTGATGACTGTAGCAGTTTGTTTAAAGGACGTGGTGGTATTTCTTGTAACTATTCAAGAGCTAGTATAGATGAAAGTAGGGAGCGACAAAGAATGGGACAACTAGTATTTTAGCATATATTTATCTTTAGTGTGATTTTGTATATCATTGCAGGTATTAAAAGCTTTTATGTGCCAGTTAAAAAGCCCAAGTGAAGATAGCTTATTTAGATCCTGAAGTGTCAATTTTTGAGTTTATTTCCTTTCATTTAATCTTTAAGGTGAGTGCTGCCTCATCAGAAGCAGAAGGGAAATTCAAAGGCTCTGTAAAGCAAATGGCTTCCTGGTCTGCAGCAAACCCTTTCACCAAAAAGTTCTTCCTTGTGAGTTATTTTAAACATAGAATATGGTCTTCATAGCATCTGTGCATAAGTGGCGCATGTTTTGGTTTAGAAAATTCACGGAAAAAAATTATGGTGTCATGTAGCAGTTGCTTATTTTAATTGACAGAACACGTGCAGTATTCACCCAAGCAATAACATATTGCTTATCTCACACTGTTACAATGCATTGTTTCTTGGTATCTAGATTTCAGTTTTCATTTTCCTTACGGTAGGCGTATACATAGCAATTTAGAATTGATCTTGATGCCGCTCATAGTTTTCCAGTTAACCTTTGTATCTAGTGATAGAGCCATTTCACATTTTATAAGCATTTTGGGCGCTTTTCATGGTACAGATATTTGCAGGTGTTTTGTTCGAAAATGGGATTTGCCTTCCAATGCGAGTCAAGCTTGATATTCGTCAAATGTGCATTTCTTGCTGTTAGCTTTTTCTCATCTCTGTGTACATCTCTTTGAGAAGTACTCAATGTGTTTGCATAATTATGTTTTTAAAATCTTTGGCTAGTTAATCAATTGTTTAAAAATCAATTGAATGATCAATTTAGCTTATCTTCAATCAGATAATCGCATATTCCTCATTTCTCCTTAGGATGTGAAGGATAATATTTATCAAGATGAAAAAGACCGTAAGATGAATGAAAGGTCTCGTTTAATAATCCCAATTATCAATATCTTTGATTGAAACTGCTTCATGTGTTTAATTGAAATTTTTCTGTGTATTGTTATGGCGTAATCAACTGATTACTAGAGGATCCACAAAGCACCTTCTTAGGGCTCTTGCGTTTTATATGAATTATGCAAGCAAATGTACTCATATTATGAAAAATATCAAGAAAAATTGTGTCAACATAGCTCATGAATTTTACTTCCCGCTTGTTCGATTTCAAGCTGAATACGTCATCACGCCAGATGGTGCCAAATGGTGCACCAGAACCCACAAAGTTGACCACTTTTAATTCAAATTTGTTCATATTACGCAAAGATCTTCGATTCGCATTATCAAGGCAGATAACTGCTAAATCATTCTTCTTATCTATCGCTCCTCTGTCGCCTCGGTCCTTCAGTAGTTCGTAGGCCTTGCATTTGAAATTGCTAGCAAGATTTCATTTGGAATAAAAGTTTGCTAATAATTTGAATTTTCTTTAGCATCACAAAGTAAGAAAAGAGCAATGCGAGTAATTTCATCTGACTCGAGTTCACGAATTTTGATTTGTTTTTGGTTGATAGTTTCTCACCAAAACTTTTAAACCGCTTTGTAAATCAAATACCTATGCAAATATCTATGTACTATAGGCGAGGTTTTTCAGTTAGCCCTTTTTGCTAATTTTATAGGCTTGGTATTTCAAATCGCGAAGCTTCGATGGATCCTGAGGATGAGGTTAATGAATTTCTATCGCGTGCTATTGATGCGCGTAGTGTAGAAAGGTGGAAGAAAGAACATGTTCAACCCATCATCCTAAAGTTCAGAAAAAAAGAATACGAAAAGAAGGTGATTACTTTTGTTTGAATGATATGATTAATTGGCTTTATATTCTAATGTTGCTTTTAATGTCACCAAGAAAAAAATTATTTCGTGTACCGCCTGAAGCGTTCCATTCAATTTTTGTTTGTAACGGAAAATTTTTCGTTGAAAATGAGATTTCACATGTCAATAAAAAGATACGAGCCGTGAGTACGAACACATTTTAAATATAATTTTATGCCACATAAAAAATGCCAGTTTAGTCAATAGACCAAAAAAGCCTGGCTTGCGAAAGTAGTATGTTTGATAGCTTTGTAACTTTGTTCTTTTTATTTCAATCACAACGTTGTTCAGAAATTACTCCTAGGCTCATTCCCTAGCAATGTGATTTAGTCCTGCCCCTTTGGTTGACGAAGAAAAGTTAATAACATTTTCTTTTTACAAATTTATCGGGTTTTTTGTTTCTCTGAATTTTTATTTGCATCTTTTGTACAGGGATTTCTTTGTTTTTGTTAATTAATAGTAATTACTAATAGGTCCGTTAAATCAAATTTATATCAACGCTACATATTTTTCAGTATTCGAAAGAACCAAACAAGATGTTTATTCCCAACATGATCTGCATTTCAATCATATACTTGTTTGTCACGTTGGTGCAGATACTTCTTCTTCCAAGGTGAGAAATTGCCACCTGCTTCTGAAAACAGAACGCATTTTAATGCTCAAATATTTTTTAAAAGAGATGAAACGAGGGCAGCTTGTGCTAATGACAATAAAAGAGCAGTGAAAAATGATTTGATTATTGCTAGAGTTGGTTATAACGAAAAAAAATGTATCACCTTTAACTCAATTGATAAATTGGATGAGCAATACGACTGTTATTTTCTGGCGTCATTGATATTTGCAGTGTTTGAGAACTAATATTTATGGTGATATTGTTGATAAGACCTTGTAAATATGTTTAACTAAATCAGAGGAGTTCCCTTAAATCGAATTAAGCAAATTGTATTATTCAGAGACACATGATTTATATTTTACTTTTTTTAAATGAAGCATTGGGGCATTAAATGTTTTCTACTTTAATCGCTTTTGCAATCACTTTTTACAATATTTCCTGGAGCAGCAATGAACTGGTGTTGGCTTGATTGAAAAAAGAATCAAGAAGTCGTTCCTTTATTAACGAAAATATACTTGCATTGCTTTTGAATTCCCTGAGTTTAATTAGTAAGATGCCTGCTATAATTTCTTGGTTTTATGCAGAGATCGAATTACCATTTCGATTCAAGTTGTCGTTGGGCTGGTGGTCCTTCTTATTCTGGTTGTAATTGTTTCGAATCGAATAAAGGTAATATTTACTAAAATGTTTTACAAAACTTTTTTTTGTGTACTGTCGTAAGACCCGCAAATGTCATGACATTTTGTATGTCGTTTCATGTCATGTTAGCCTAAAAATGACTTTATGACTTTGACTAAAAATGACTTATTTAGTGAGTACATTTTTGGAATTTGTTGGATCTTCGAACCATAATAAAGTATATTAAAAATCCAAGTTTTTGTTTGAAGAAACTACAGTTTTTGGTTTTGTTTTGCTATATTTTCTTGGTAATTGATAATTCTACAAACTGTTTATTTAATTCGAGAAGGTAAAGTCTGGTACAGAATTCATATTTTCTAGTCTATAAATTTCACTTATATCCTTTATTCATTTTATAAATTGAAATTTAATTTGTTTAGTTTTGTGGCTTGAAACATATTGTCTTGCCTACATGATGTGATAGAAGTAGGCTTGTATGTATATTTTTAAAGTGCATTTTTTCCTAACAATACGTTTGTATACCGTCATTTTTTTTACCGTTATATGTCCAAGATCTACAAGGAGCCAGTAGTGTTGCCTAAGAAGTTGTATGGCCTTAGAGAGAATGTTGTCTAGAGCGATAAAAATTCCGAAGAGCAGCGATAAAACAAATGCCTTTAGAGATATTCTTGTTATTAAAAATGTACCTTAGAACCTTTATACTGATTAAATCTGTTATCTCTACCAAAGACAATGTTATAAGAAATTTTAGGTTTAAATAATTGCATCTACTGAATTTATTGGACCTTAAAGGACATCTTCCCTTGAACCTTAAAGGAAAGCCACTATCTCTTTTGTCTCGTTAACGGTGTGAAATGTAATATGGATAATTCGATAATTTTTTCCAAAGTCTAACCCAATTTATTTCAAAAACTTGAAAAATCAGCAAAAATCATTCCCTGAATGATTAGATTTAAATAACGTCTTGGCGAAAACAAAGGGATGTGGTCGCTTGACCACATAGCTAGGTTAATCTTATTTTTATGTTAATGTTTTATTATGGTTTAGAACTTTCTATCCCTAATGCCATTATAAACCAGCAGAAATAGCTGTTGTTAAACTACTTGTATTTTTCGCAGAAAATGCCAAGCGCCCTGAGAAGCTTGTCGGAATGGATATCGAAACGGAAATTTATATGCGAATTCATATCTGTTCTGACGATATTTTTGGTTTTTGGTGTTGCTCTTGGAAGTATTGTAAGTAAATTTTCACTGTGACATGACAAATAGGCTTGAAGCCAAAGCTGTAATAGTTCTACAAATATTATTTGAACCTATTAATCCATCTTTATTTGTAAGGGGCTTTACCAGCAAGAAATTATACAAGGAATAATGTCCTCTTGATATCTTTGTTATTCAAACTGGCTTATATTCCTGTAGTATTTATGCGTTTTCGCTCATTTTGCAAAAATACTTAAAGGCAGTTTCTCTTTGCATTTATTCTTCCCTAAGTTCCTAGGATTAAATTGCTTGCACCCGTCTCTAGAGTTATACGTAGGCGTTACTATATTCAGTAATCCATTTAGCTGGGAAGCTCGATTTTTGACCATATGTTAGAAGGAGCTGTATTTGTGCTGTCAGATGTAAAAACTGTCTTTGCTTTAAATATAGCTTGGACTTTTTATCTTTTGGCCATATTGTGGATAATAGTTGAAAATCGTCTGAATAATACATGAGTTGTGTGATAATAGCAGATGATGTGAGCAATCAAACCTAACTTTGCCATTTTCCCTTAAGGAAACCCTCTTATCTCTCGCAATTTGGCCACTTTTTGTGTCTCATTAATCTCGAGTAATGTTAAGCGCTAAAAGCTAGAAGAGACTAAAATTCAAAGCCGTTCGCAATATTTTCAGTCGTAACGGGGATTTTTGTAGTTTTATGTTACATCTTTTCACGTTTGTTGCCCAGAATGCTTTGAAATTCTATGTATTTGAACACCAGTTTGATATTTCAATTACTCTTTTTGGAAAATGTGGCAGGAGTAAACCATTTGACGTCTTAACAAACATTGAACTAAGGAAAGGAAAAGTAGACAGATTTATGGGGAAATTTTGAAAAATGACAAACAATAACTAGTGCTTTTCTATAATGTATTTTTGTATGCTATTCATGGATGGCTCAGATTTGTATAAATTTTACTAGAGACGGTCAAAGTTGCTGTAAAGAGTACGTGCATCGAAATCCATTTAAGCATGGCATTGATTTACGCTTCGAAACTTTTCTCATTCAATGTGATAAATGTCTTTGTTTTTAAGGGTATGCTTTACTTTTAAGTATGTTTGGCTTGTGACTAGCTTTGTTGTTATTCTTTGCTTGTCGGAAGCAGTTTGTTGACGTGAGCACTACGAAAGGCCCAATTTTAAAAGTTAGGTTGTATATAGATAAACCAAATGCCAAAAAATAATGAATTTTTACTTTTTATTCAGTTTGCGTGCAAAGCTCCTGAAGAAAACTTCCAGGATAAGAACTTCAACTGCTCTGTTGTGACTGATTTGAAGTTTGGCGTCGAGACTTGTGACTACCCGCAGTATTTCTCATACTGTGTCTGCCTCGTGATGCTTGGCTGCGCTGTTTTCCTCCAGTTCGGTGCTATTTACAAAGCCTTCGTTCTTGGAACTATGACTGTTACATACATCTTCATCGTTGTTGTTAAATATCGTCAGATTTTCTTGAGGCACGATAAGATTGCCTTTTTCTGGTAAGATTATTGTTGCTTCCAAAAATAAGCCATTTTTTGTGGAACTGACCTATAGTTGCTCAATCTGTCAAGCAAATTAAGAGCGACGTATCTCTATCAATTTATGCATTTTTATTTCACTCCTACTCAATACTTATTTTTTATGACTTTACCCGCTTAGGCTGTAGGCTCCTGAATATTTGGTTTGTTGCTATCTAATACTAGCAACAAAGTAATATCAAAGCTACTATATTGCTATCAAATATCTAAGATTAAAAAGCCTTAGCTGCCTGTAATATTGTTGAAATATCACTCTATTTGTTTTTAGTCCAAACCGATCAAGACATTCTCCAATTGACATCGAAACATTCACTGTCACTACATACTTTCTTCTGGCTCTGTTTTTTCATGGGCATTTGGTAAGTTTTCATTGCTTCATTCGATGGAGAATTTCTAAGGAGGAAACTATTTCGTCACTGATAATGTTTTTTTTACGTTTTATAGCTTCGTTTTATAGCTCATTTAGATTTTTGTCAATGCATTATCTATTATTCATTTTTTTAAGTTTTCTTATAAACATCATCATTAAATTTTCATAAATGTGTAGAATCTTTTTTTGTCATTTTGCCATTGTATTTTCTCAACTAAAACGTCTATGTACTAGTAAATACAACAGAGTAGCCTTTTTTCATTAGCGCTTTTTCCTCTGTGGTTTTTTTACCATTCAATACGGTTTTTTGCAGTATGAGCAAATCTCTCGATTGGATTTCCTTTGGAAAGTTCAAGCCACAGAGGAAAAAGAAGACATGGAAGGCATTCGCGAATACAACAGAACGCTGCTTCATAATATTCTCCCAGGAAATGTCGCCGAGCATTTCCTGTCCTCTAGAGATAAGAGTGATGTAAGCTGACGTATTTATGTTGAAAAACGTAACAATCAAAATGTTGTAACTCAATGATCACACAAATTATTTTAATGTTGGCTACGCTAATGTGATGGAGTTAAGGCCTCTGTATACGATACGGCATGACCGATGTGCATTTTGCTCGTTATGGCATCGTCTCTTTCTTATTGTAGTGTGGTTTGTAGGTATCATCATACGCAAAATATCTTGAACATTTTTATGAATAAGTCCCATTGATTCATAGGCTAGCTATTGATTGGATGTTAGTAGAAAGCCCTATTTGAATCTTTATTAAGAGTGACTTTGTTCTATTCATTATAGGAGCTCTATGCACAAGCCTGTCCCAACGTTGCTGTTATGTTTTCAAATATATGCAATTTTAATGAATTCTATTACGAGTTGGATGCGAATGGTGAGGGTGTCGAATGTCTCAGGGTTCTCAATCAGATTATTGTGGATTTTGACGAGGTAATCAAGTTTCTTTGCCGCATTCGTAAAGTAAAAAGTCGAGCCCCTTATCATGGAGCCCCTTATCATGGAGCCCCTTATCATGGAGCCCCTTATTATCGAGCCCCTTATCATCGAGCCCCTTATCATCAAGCCCCTTGTAATGGAGCCCCTTATCATCGAGCCCCTTATCATCGAGCCCCTTATCATCGAGCCCCTTATCATCGAGCCCCTTATCATCGAGCCCCTTATCATCGAACCCCTTATCATGGAGCCCCTTAGCATGGAGCCACTTATCATGGAGCCCCCTATCATCAAGCCCCTTATCATCGAACCCCTTATCATCGAGCCCCATCAGTATGCAACCTTTTTGGTGCAACGTTTATGTCTCAGAAAGTTTAAGGTCGATGCAACAAATGCTTCATGAAATATTGTACAGTTGGGTTAGGGCTAAAAGCTTTTAGCTTGTAGGATTTTAAGAATCCTTAAAAACCATTTTAGAACAGACGTCAAATTCTTCTGTTGGTCGCCATGTTTGCTAGACAAGGTGAACAGACGTCAGGTCATGCTTGATTAAGTATTCAGAATATTAATGCCGTATAATTTTGCTCCATATCAGCAATCTTCTTCCTTTTCCAGCTTTTAACGGACAAAAAATACAAATCTATCGAGAAAATCAAAACAATAGGTGAAACATACATGGCTGCTGCAGGAATTGCACAGGAAACTCTCGTGAGTTTATATTAATTTTCATTTTTCATCAGGCCTTTTCTAATGTTGCATTTCCCATTGTTTTTCTGGAGTTGTAAGTAGCAAGAAATTGGCAGCAGGAGCTGGTATTGTTGACAACATATTACTGATCTAGACAATACCCATGTTTATCAATAGACTAAGCGAACCGACCAGCTTTTTTGGTTCCTAAAAGAGAACCATGCTGTTTCTTTCCCTTTGTTATTTTGTGTATCTTTTTTAAGTATCATTTCTTACAAGTATCTTTTTGCGTTGTTGATAATAATTCCTTGATGATTCCAGTAACCATATTTCTTTTTCCGATTGTTGGGAGGGGGGCTAGCTACAGAGATGCAGAGAATCTCTCTTTCAGTTTTGTGCAACGCAGAAAAAGTGTACGTGGCTCACACTCATGTCACCTGGCTTTTAGTTTCTTTTCAACTTTGCATAAATGCACTAGCCCTAGGATTGTTAGAGAATTAATATCGTGTTGAGGTTTACTGAATATTTTAGTATTGAATATATCGTGGACAGGACATATTAGATGTGTAAAATAAGTAAATGATGAAATTCCAAAAAAGCAAATTTTTTTTAAACTGAGAGTGAATTCTCTGACAATAGCACATTTTTGCATTGTTGATTGTATTTATTCAACAATCACTTACTGCTACTGTTAGATGGAGCGCACATTGTTTCTTGTGTTTCATGTTTCACTTTAAACCTTACTGGTCCATGCTAAAACTTAGTTGCGTATCTGTTTCTCCGGAGGAGGAAATAGCATCGTTGGATCATGTAGAAGCTTTGGCAGATTTCGCGATGGCCATGAAAGCCACATTAGAAGACATGAACAGGCACTCGTTTAATAATTTCCAACTTAAAATAGGTAAGTCAGGTGTCTTTTTTCCTATATCCCTATTTTTCATGGCTCGGTGCTAAATTGCCTTTGCTGCAATGCGCTCTTCATTTGCTTAAAATACAAATGATCTTGCTTCAGCTTATTTTGGGAATCCGTATGTAAATTTGTTTGATTATTTAACACAAGAGTGCTTTTTAACTGAAAGAACAGATGAGCAAACTAAGAAAGACTAAATGGAGAGTGAGAATTATGTAGCTAAACATTGCGAAATTTCAGATTAATTTATTCTGTTTTGAAAGTGATATTTGCTTATCAAAGCCTTTTTACGGATTCAGTGGTAGTTTATCGTTTCTCATATTGCCTCTAATTTTTAAGTGCGATATGTTCCAATAGCTTTTACCGGACAATTAACTTAAATTAGACTGCCTTTATTCAGCTGATTTCTGCCTTTTATTATGCAAGTGTTTTTTCGATCAAGCGTCTTTGGGGCTAATACATTAATGGCCTATCTATCTTTGATTTGACTGACAGGTTTAAACTGCGGCCCCGTCGTAGCCGGAGTTATCGGTGCTCGAAAGCCGCAATATGACATATGGGGGGACACTGTCAATGTTGCAAGTCGAATGTATAGCACAGGAAGAGCTGGTCTTATTCAGGTTTGATTTTGCTTATCTTCCTTCTAGATCTTTGGCTCCTTTTTCGAGGGAAAGTTGCTATTTTAAAGTTGTAGTTAATATTTTGTTTTTCAAAATTCTGTCTGCATTTCGTCAGCATTTTGATTAACGTGTGATTATCTTTAGCTTGTTTAAGTTGTTTTTCAAAAAAAATATCTGAGGATTTATAAATGATGCAAATATGGTTAACATGCTCAACCCTCTTGTTTCTAAATTTAATAATGATTTCTTTAAAGGTTACTCAAAGCATATACAACATCCTGTCTACACGAGGTTTTACTTTCGAGTGTCGTGGACTTGTAGATGTTAAGGGCAAAGGAAAAATGGTAACATACTGGCTAAAAGGAAAAGAGGGCAAGCCAAGCTGATAAAAGTTGAGTACAAAAATATTAACTGAGAAGGTCAGTGAACAGTCGTTTTGGAAATTTTCTGATGATGTCCTTCTCGTCCAACCAAAGGATCGCCAAAGAGGATCATTTCAGGAACAATTGTGATTGATTTTTCGTTTATCAGACAATAGATGTCAAGTTGAGTGTAAAGATAAAGTTGTTGTTGGCAAGGACATCGTGAATTCGATAGGCTGTGGTAGCAGTTTGTGTTTTTGCTTTGGAAGAATACCCATGTTGATGAACGTTTTAATTCTTAGATTGGTTCATTCAAGGAAGGCCTAAAAAGGAAATTGAAAACAGTAGTGTTCGCATGTTGAAGAACGTTTTAATTCGTTGATTAGTTCATTCAAGGAAGGCCTAAAAAGGAAATTGAAAACAGTAGTGATCGCATGTTGAAGAACGTTTTAATTCTTAGATTGGTTCATTCAAGGAAGGCCTAAAAAGGAAATCGAAAACAGTAGTGATCGCATGTTGAAGAACGTTTTAATTCTTAGATTGGTTCATTCAAGGAAGGCCTATAAAGGAAATTGAAAACAGTATTGATCGCATGTTGAAGAACGTTTTAATTCTTAGATTGGTTCATTCAAGGAAGGCCTAAAAAGGAAATTGAAAACAGTAGTGATCGCATGTTGAAGAACGTTTTAATTCTTAGATTGGTTCATTCAAGGAAGGCCTAAAAAGAAAATTAAAACCAGTAGTAATCGCATGTTGAAGAACGTTTTAATTCTTAGATTAGTTCATTCAAGGAAGGCAAAAAGGAAATTGAACGCAGTAGTGATCACTTCCAGAATTTTAGCTTATTAGACAGATTAGTTGTTTCCTTGAACAACTGTTTACACTCGTAAATAAATATATTGAAAAGTCATATTGTATAGTTGTGAAAAAATGTGAACGTCCTCTAAAACGCAAATAAAATACAATCTCTAGCCTTTTAAACCTTTATTAGTTGTACAGAAAGGTCGAATGATTTTTCTAATCTTGCTTATAAAACAAGGAACGGTACTGCAGTTTATACAACCGTAGACGAAAATTTAAAGTCCAATTTGATGTATATAAGAATATATAAAATAATCTTACAATGTTGTACATTATGATTTTAGATAAAGTAGCATAGAGTATAATTGGATGATTGATGCACCATAACTGTCTTTGTTAACCACTTATAACCCCATGATAAGCAAAATCTCCCAACACTTTGCAAAGAGTTATTCCATTCCCACAGAGACTTTCTACATTCAATCAAGCAAACGTATTCTATTTTGTTGGCGTATACCATGCCGGTAGCTATAGCCGGGTCTAAAGGATATCTTTCAATTCCATAGTTCTATTTGTTGACAGCTTGTGTCATGTTTTGTCTACTATGTTTTCGTACGAAATTTTTTTTGAATTTAATTTCAAAAAACGAAGGCGATCAATCAAATGCATTGCTGGTTCTATTTGCAATGTTTCTAAATGACCAATCAAAAACTAGTAGATAAAGGCCTAAGAGTCGAATTTAGGTTCGAAATTTGAGTTGTCAGTTGATATTTTAAAACCAAAGGGCTTGTTTTTGATGTCAATAGAGGAATTGTTGTAATTAAGAGCTTTTAAATCTAAATTATAGATATTATCTAAAGATACATGGATTTGTTTATAGATGTAAATATAACTACCACACCTGCGCTGATTTATGCTTTTTCATCGTTTTTCCTACAAAGGAAGCTCCACTTCGCCATTTCAAATTCATTTTGGCTGCCATACTATAGTAATAATGGAATCTTTTCATTTGAATTCCAATTGAAACTACAATTACATAGGCAATTTGTAACTGGCTGGCCTGTTTTCACAAAATAAAACTATTACAACCGTATTGATTAAAAGAACAGATCAAGAAGAAAAAAAAGAAAAATAAAGAAATTTACAACTCTTAAATAATATATAGTAGTAGCTCTGGGTTCCTCCGAGTTTAGTTTCTACAGCAGAATATGTTATATGTGGTACGAATGAAGATGCTTGAAAGTTTGGAGGTGAGTCAATAGAAAGGGAGTCACACATGTCGATGAAAGAGCTGTAGGAATTACAAAAGATATTAAATGAACTGATGCAAAGATTGACAAACAGAACCGACGTTTTAAGTCAGATTTGAGGGTGGCATATTTATCTGACTGTCTGCTAGCATTGCAGTTGCGATTTGTTTCGAAGCCAATGGCTAGCTCTAAAACGTACGGACAGTTTCCTTGGTTTTGAGAAGTAAGTAAAGGCGTAGTTGGTCTCCAGTTACGGTAGAAGGGGATAGAAAGCCTGGTAGATTCGCGTAGAGAGAAGATCCATTTATTGCTTTGAAGGAAGTGGCTAGAAAATTTAAGGCAGAATTATGATGCCAAGTATAGCGGCCTTGGTCAAGGTACACTTTGCATCCAGGAACAACGTGCAGAAGTGTTTCTTAGAGAAGACAGAATTCACAGTCAGGTGTTCTAATGTTCTAATTTTTACGCGTTAGAACAATGCTGTTAAGAAACTTGATGGTAAAATTAAAGATGTTAGTTGGAAGATTGCTCTATGTTCTTGACCAAATGCCGTTCAGCCTTTCCAGTGAATGTGTCATTAGGAAGGAGATTGTAACTCCTTGAGATGGTAACTTTTGAGAATGACTTTACTTTTGGTCTGATTTTATAGCCTTTAGTACCTCTTTCGTATTACAATAGATGTCGTGCTGTAGGTTCGTGTCGTGGCTGCTGTTTTTTCATAGGGTTTGAATGTCGATGTTAGGAGAAGATTTTAGGGCAATGCGACAGACAGTTTGGCATTGCGTAAAATAATGGAAACATTTCATTTTCAATTCAACTTGAATTACAATCACAAATCTCACTATTACAAGGTAATTTGCAATTGGCTAATTTGATTTTACAAGAAAAACTATAACAATCGTAAGGTAAAAGGGAAAACTGAGAAAAACAACCCAAATAAAAAAAGGTGTAATCCTGAGTTTTTCCATAGTTTATTTTCGCAAAAATATATGTAGTACGTAGTACGGATGGCAATGTTGGAAAGTTTATAGACGAGACAACGTTTTTGTTGTTGATCGATGGAGAGAGAGTCACTCATGTTGAATATTGAGTTGCAGGAATTGCCGAAGATGCCAAGAGAGCTCATAAAACAGATTTGAACTGCCCGTAAATCAGATAAGAAAGGAGCATACTAGCTGTGTTCTCTTGTCGCATCTGTGTCAAGATTGGAAATAAAAACCAACAGTTAGCTCTAAGATGTAGAGGTTATTGTTGTTAGTCTTCAGGAGAATATCATAGTGTGTAATCTTTTTTCATTCAATATGTCATTAAATTGTCATTATTGTCATTAAATTGTCACAATATGTCATTGTTAGGCAGTGTACAATTGGCGACTTGTATTTCGAATAAAAAGTTGAAACTTGAAAATGGCCAAAAGTTAGATTAAACATTACAACGAGAACACTATAGAAGTCCATTAAATTGGGATAAGGCCAAGGTTTATTTCTTTTACAAAATACATAATAAGAACAGCGTATTGCTATGTTCGTTAGTTTTGATAGAAGCCAGCGCTGGAGAGTTTCATTAAAATCTAGGTCTTTGAGCATGTTAGAGAGTGAATCAGAAGTAGGAGAAAAAATGCCAAGGGCTCCTATCGATACACTGAAAAAGTGAACTTGGCGAAATTCAGTTAATAGGGAGTGGGTTGGAGACTTATACTTTCGCGCTTGGCGGTCGCTGTTCACTTTTTAGTTTCTCTCAAATCCAACAGTTAACTCAAGAAGATAGCGAGTGCTATTGTTAGCAATTAAGACAAGATAATGCCTTAATAAATCTCCTGTAATTAATGTGAAGACTTGAAGAAAAGGTGGGCAGATCGACGTATAGAGAACATTGTGGTAAAGATGAAAATGCTTAAGCAAGACATAATATAAGCGAGTTATGCCTCCAAGTATATATACCATGTTCAAGGTAGGACTTACAGCTTGAAACAATATAGTATGTGCAGCGGATTAAAATGTTCATGAGTTTCATCAAGATGAATTTAGTTTGATTTGAGTCAAAATGAGTTGATGTAGCATGATGTAGCATGACGGAGAGAGAGGTAGATGAGGTTCCCAGAATGCCAAGGTTACTCATAGAAAGGTTAACAAAGGTAACACGTTTATAGGCAGGGCTCAGTTCCTTGATAAGATCACTATATTTCCTAGCTTTTCGAGTACTGTTATCGTCGATGTTGCTTTCGAACCCAACAGTAAGCTCTAGCATGTAAAGGATTCGATCTTCAGTTACAAAGACAAGATCTGGTCGATAGGAGTCGCCTGTGATTAAAGAAGGTGATAGAAATGAAGGCAGGTCGGCGTAAAGTGAGCTGTTTCTAGGTGTTGAAAGGGTTTTAGCCAAATATAGAAGTACAGAATCATGTCTCCAGGTATACCTACCATGTTCAAGATAATTCTTGCAGCTAGAGACTATGTGCTGTAATGATTCTGATTGGTAGAAAGAGCGGGCAGATGACTGAGTAATGGACCATTTGCAGGGGTTTTTGTAGTAGCAAGATTGTTGTTTAGGTATTTGATGGTAAAGCTGTAAATGTTTTACGGTAACTTTTGCTGGACACTAGTCTAAAGTTTGTAATAGTTCCCTTAGAAGAAAATTTTAAGGTGCACGAGATAATAAATCCTTGAGATGTAAGAACGTTTTCAATGCGGTTTTCGTGTTCACTAAACGTCATATCGAATGTTGGTACTAGTGCTAGAATCTTACCATAAAGAGCAAATCTCTTGGTTTGAAGACAGTCTTAAAGAGTTGCGGATAACTGTTCAAGAAGGTTCCAAGAAACAATGTTGAATCAATCTGAAAAGTAAAGATTAAAATAGTTTAAATTTGACTAATGGTGATTTAGAATCTAAAACGTAAGAATTAAATAGTTCAATTTTGACTAAAAACAAATTAACATTTCAATTTGGCTAAAAGTAAACTAGACTTAAAAGTTAAGTTTTTATCTTTAGTTAGTTAAAGTTAGTTAAGGTAACGATTTATCTTTATGAATCGAAATAACAGCCTCTTTGTTGCCTCAGTTAGAAAATATTCTTTAGATTTTGATGAGAATTTGGCGATCGTTTTTGATTTTCTTAATGCGTTTGGGCATCTTGTTAAAATATCAGCTGCACTGTTCCTCAAAAATTTTAGACTTGAAACTACAGATTGCAGTTGCAATTTTTGGAGTAGAGTGTGATCTGAGATGTTTACTGTTTTCTTTCAATAATATGTCAGTGTATTCTGGTTTGTTTGATCTGTTATATGAATAAACCCAGCTTCTCAATGTGCCATTCTCGTCTGTCTTTCATAGGTAACCGGCCTAATGATATGATATCCTTTCCTTTAACGTAACAGCCTAGAACAAAACTTGCAGCTGCATTTTCCATCTTTTGTAGTCGTTTTTTTAGTTTTAATGAAAGAGGATGAATTACGCCATCGGCATAATCCATTTTTGATATATTAGCAACTCAGCGACTTGCTTTTTCAGTTTCAGTGACATGATATTTTTGAATTTTTTTACTATGACAAGAGCTCCAAAAAAGATGCTGGTCTAAGATTACACCAAGGAATTTTGCTGACTTTTCATGTTCAATTGGTTGTTGTTCAATTTTTGGCGCGGGAGTAAAATCATCGAGATTGTGATGACGCGATAGTTGCTTTGTGCTTTTCTTTGTGCAAGAGCCTTCTCTTTAACGTACCGGCCTACAATCCCGGACAAAAATGGTTGAGACTTTTCAAGAAAAGCTTATATTTTCACTTTCCTTTAAAAAATAACTTTCCCCCTCCCTTAATTCAATGTTGAATCCATGGTTTTGAAGGAGAAATGATAGAACTACAAATCCAACATTGCTTCGAAGGGAAAGGGTGGGAATCGAATTTACAGGGTCAAGGTAAAGTAGAAGATTACAACAATTGCATTTGTCTCAACATTTTTGTCCGGGATTGTAGAACAAAACTTGCACCAGCATTTTCCACCTTTTTGCTTTTGAATAATTAAGCAATTCTTCAAGGGATTGATATTTATAAATGTGCTGTTGGTCAATATGGTAGTTTTTATTTTCCTATCTCTATGATGATGACACAGTTTGTTCTATCATCCAGCCTAGAAACAGGAATGTTTAGGAAAAGTGCCACCTGACTCCAGTCTCCTATGCGAGTGCATTAATTCTAGACGTCCAGATGTCCAACATGCAGTTTTTCTTCAAGATTCCCACCGCTTCCCTGTAAATCAAAGAATCAGAGTTTTGCATGGGACAACGTCCCCATAAAAATTAAATTGAAGTTTTCTTCTATTGGGAATTTACAGTTCCTCAGTACTAAGTCCTCAGTGTGAAACGTACAGTTCATTCGACCTTTGCCTGATATGGGTAATGTCGAGGTTTGAAAAGAACTTCTGTTTGAAGAAGCGCCACAGCTACCCTGGGTACCAGACTCACTATATAAAAGAGTCTGGCACCCAGGGTACGCCACATCATGATGTAGGCTATTAATATTTGCATTTGCTTAGAGTTATCAGATCCCCAAGATTTTGTTTCTTTTTTTGCTTAAAGGCACTATGTCCCGTCAGTCAACCGTTTAGATTCAACAATAGGCTTTCCAGTGCGTTTATCATCGAGACAATATAGAGAATTAGCTGATGGGAAATTTAAATGGCCAGCAAAATGCGCCGGGACATATTTCCTTAAGTTGGGTGTTCTTTCTACATATGCTTCCGTTTTTTTCAAATGATGCATTAATGAATTGTAAGATTTACTGGGAAACTGACAGTATGGTTGTCTTTGTTGAACTAGCCATGATAGTGGATAAATGAGGAGTAAATACGCGATACTTTACGCCATTTTAAAACATTACACGAACGAATTAACGTACACGAGATAAGGTGTCAATAACACAGGGTTACAAAGTTATATGACCCAGTCCTCCTAATAATAACAAATATTGTCCATAACAATAAATTAAAATTTAATACTCAACAGTCTCAAGGTGCGCGATGAAAGGACTTTCAAGTCCTTGGGTTCATATTGATGTGTGGTAGAAAGTTCTCTCTTTCATTCGAGTAGTTGTGGTTGTGAGAATTTTATGCTAAAAATTTTGATCGTCTAGACAATGCATATGACATTCTTCAGAGCAAGTAAATAAAGTGTGGGAGTGGAGTAAAATAGTCTTGGTTTGTTGACGTAGAGTTTATAGCTATACTTTATCCAAGTATTATTATCAGTATAGAACGAGTTTATACAAAAAGGTTGAGAAAGTTCTAGAAAGAAATCTGGAAAAAGTTTGTATTTATTCACCAATCATGTAGAAGATTACGTCACACTATTTTTGTGTTTGGAAGGTACACAAACATACGTAATATTGAAAGTTTCTTCACATTTTTATTATTGTGTAGGCTAGCTTTTTCCTAGAAAGCTCTATATTGCGTAGTATAGTACAACAAATTTATCATAGTTTACTTTAAAGTTTCCATCTCTAGCATCTCCAGCGGCTTTTTGTAAAATCATTATTTTCTGCAACATCTCCACGATCTTTAAATGTGTTATTCACAGCCATCATCAGAATTTAATAGAATGATCGGAATGATCGGAATGAATCATCAATTCCAATAGAAAAGAGAAATTTTGCAGCATCTTTGCTTTCAATTAGCTTTCCTAGTCTCCAATATTCTCTTTGCAAGTCCCCCTGGCGTGAAGCGTTTGGCCAACATTTGGTTCCGGCGTCCTTGTTATTTGCTTGTGTCAATGCTATCTAAACTTACTGGATTGCTTTCAACTTTGACCAAAGCAAGTCTTTTTTCATTTCTGTCTTGCTCCTGCATTTTAGCTTGCAAAAATGCTTACTCTGTTGCTACATTGAAGATCAAAAATATCAATAGCAAAGCAGTTAGATCTGTAGACGGTAGAATTATTGACTCTAATTTAAATTTTTGTTCTTCACGTTGGCATATGCATTGTAGAAATTTTTCAAAATTTGTCGTAATCTTTCTTATTCGATGTGAAAAAGTATGATGATAAATGAATCTAGTTCATCTCTATTCATCCGCTCTTTAAATGATAACTTTTGCTCCTTTAGGATTGCTTCTCTCCTTTCTGATTGCTTCTCTCTTTAGGACTGCTTTGCTCCTTTAGGATTGCTTCTCTCCTTTCTGATTGCTTCTCTCTTTAGGATTGTTTCTCTTCTTCTCTGCTCAATTGCTCCTTTAGGATTGCTTCTCTCCAAGACCATCGAATGTGCGATGTACCAGATTTATCAAATTTTTTAAAACTCTTTCAGGGCTTCGTTTCTCAGTATAAGATATTTTTGGTGATTCCTGTATACCAATGGTCTCCAAATCTCAAAAAGCTTCCATTTTAAATGTTTTCACGAGATTGCACACATTTTCTTGTGATCCAAGAATTGAGTGACAAAACGCAATTTCGCTAGATGAATCTGTTACCACAAGTAGCGAGCTTACTTGCCATATAGATCAATCCATAATACAGTTCATAGAATTTCTTGTGCGTTGGTCTTCATTAGAATTTTTCTAATAAACTTTTTATATTTATAAACCCGCTGACCTCCGTATCCAACAGAAGTCTAATTTTTAATAGCTGACTCCCGTTTATTTTCCAACAGTATTCACGATTCGTTCTCTCGTTCTTGGGTCAATTTTAACGCCCTCGTACATTTTAAATCCTCAATTTTCATTCTCTCTAGCTGCGATCTTTCCATTTCAAGTTTTTCTTCAATAACCAATTTCATTCACTCATCTCTTGTTCCATCTCCTTTCTCTTTAATTGAAATTTCTTTATTTGTTCTTGCTTTTCCTGTCGCTCTTGTTTTTATGAAGTTGCTCAATCTCTAGGTTTTCTTCTTTTTCAAAATTAGTATCAAGTGTAAGCGGTTATCATATTTATCAAAAGTCATTTCTTGTCTGCCAGGAATGTCTTCTAATTTTGCAAATTCCTTTAGCATGTTGCATTTCAGCTATCTTGTCGTTGCTTTAACTTTTTATTTTATGAATAAGTACTCGAAATTCTTGTAAATGGGGCTCTAGATTCATCTTTTGCATCTTGTTTTCGTCGATGTCATTTCCATAAGATTCTTCACTCGCTTTCTTTTTAATCTTAACTGATCTCGCCAGTTTTTATTAAGCACAAACAAATTTCTGTCGAATGCTCTTGAATAACTGTAGGAGGATCTGATGATTCGCCAAATCAAGAAAATTTAGAGATAAAGGCGACATTGCTTCTACCACAACTCCAATAAAATTCCAGCTAATTGTTAGAGCATTTCAGCTAAAACTAAGGGACATGAAGTTATGGGAGCTACATTATTATCTGAGTGGTTATAAGGTCCACTTTGCTTAATTTTTCTAACAATATCGGAAATGAAATGTTAATGGAGATGAAAAAGATATTAATGGCGCCAGAATAAATTTTGACGGACTTGTGGTTGAGCCTCGATTTTGCCTTGTTTCTTTGTTAACTTGGGCATATTACTCTGTTTTCTGGATACTTTCCGCATGTTAGCATTTTCCCATTTATTCCCATGTTCCCATTTATTCCCATGTTCCCATTTATTCCCATGTTCCCGCCCAAAAAAGAGCCTCTGAATTGCGCAGCAACCACAACAAATGTAATATAACAGCGACAACAACATTAACGGGGAAGAGATTGGGAAGAGAAATTTGTTACTACCACAGAATAAACTTACCAACTTAAAAACTACAAATATATTTGAAAATGGCTCTTGAAGGCATCGATTTTAGAGTTGATGCTGTTCTTCCTGCTGGTGGAATCGGGCAAAGAATGGGCTTAGAGACACCTAAACAGGCAAGTAGTTATCTGCAAATGTCAGAGGGGGTGCGTGCGGTGGGTGGTGTCCGGAAACCGTAGAACCGCCTGAAATTTTCGAAAAACCGTAAATCAGTGCAACAGTTTTTTCAAGGCCGACGAAACGTATTTGAAAGTGGATTGGCCAAAATATCAAAGTCTTGAAAGAGATTAGAAAAGGCTGCCACCATGGTTGGCGGCAAGAAAATTTACTCTACTGTACTCCTTACAATACCCTATTCCTTATTTAAGTCGTCTGTATATGAAGTCTCGTCTATTGTAATGTTGACTTGAAATAGGAAAGGTCTTGCAAAATTTTAAAATAACCCTTATAATATAACGCTTTATGAAACTCTCTTTTAGACTTTAAAATTACCCAAAAAAGATGGAGGAGAAAAAACAATGTTTAATGAAAAAAATTAACATTGAAATATCAATAGAAGTACTATCAGCAAAAAATGAACGATTAAGCAATTTTGTACACTTGGATATGATTTTATAACTACATGTGGTCTTAATTTTTTTCGGAAATAAGGTGCCTTTAACGAAAGACTCTGGGTTTCAAAACTTTGAAACTGCACTGGACAAAACGAGTTCTAATAGAATTCATAGTTGCATCTAAACTTTGAAGTTTTCTTGATGAAACTTTTAAAGAACAAATCTGTCTATTCTTTATTTCTCATATCCCCAAAAAATGTTCTATCCAGCAGCTGATTTCTCTCTTTTTGTCATGTTTTTGAGAAATTTTTCCTTGTGAGTCAAATTGTATAACAAATAGACCTTGTGAGCCAAATTTTGATCTTACAAAAAACGAAACTCCGTCAATTTGTGCTGGCACCAATTTATTCTGGATCAGGTTTCTCGATCTATTTCAAGCTTTTATTTGTTATACAATGACCAATTTCTTCGATCAAATTACCATATATTCAAGGGAATACTAGGCACCGTTACTTACAGAATGATATGCTACATTTCTTTCTACTTTTTCATAAAAAGTTTTTCCTCTGCAGAAAGGTGGGGGGAGGGGGCGTGGCTCTGTTCTTAAAACTGCATAACCGCATGAAAATAATGCCATTTTCAATTTATCTGTAATGCAAAAGTACCTTGAACATCATCCTAGATAAGTTCAATTGGTTGATTTTTCTTTTGTGCATGCAAGCTGTAGTGTTTAGAGAGTAAAGCCCAAATAATATAACTGGAATTGAGTACAAATCAAAAGCAATGGGGCTGACATGTGACTAGCCCCTAAGCAAATTGATTAATTCAATTCAAATTCAACTCTTTTCAAATGTAACCAAGATAGTTACCCATCACCCTCTTCTTCAACACTGCTTAAATCGAATTCATCAGCCTCATCTGAATTCTTGTCTGCATCACTTGCACTGGGGCAGTGCTATGAGGGTGTGGGGGTGTGAGACCTTCCCCAGAGTTATGAATCAGTTTTTTATTGGGCAGATTTGGCATAATTGGTGGTGGTGTAATTAAAAAATTGATAATAGTTGTTGGTATACTTGATTGTATTAATTTTCATTTTGATTCTCTTTACTCTTCGGCATGTTTATATTTCAACTGTTAATTGGCAAAAGTGAGCACCAAACTCCAAATTAAAATGTTTAAGGGTTCTCAAGAATAACCAGGGCTGGTTGATGTTATAAAAATTCCTATATTTTGCTCCTGTTGAGTGTGCTGCCATTTTATGGTCTTGTTTAACATGCAGTAAACAAGGAGCCAGCAAGAGGCTATGCTGAGTGACTGTAGCGCCTTGATAAATTTACTGACAGGGCATATAAACATAAAATAAAGGGACACTACAAAAGTGTTGTTGATTATGTTACTGTGGATATGTAGACAATGGAAGTGTTATTGACAGTGATACAATGGAAGACATAATTTTGGTTAGAGAATGGTCACTACACACTAGACATTAATACTGGATTTGTCAGGAAAAATCTGAAACGTTTACTTTGCAAAAAATGCAAAAACATTTGCATGGGTATCTGTGAGGATAAGAAGTTAAAGCAATCCTTCCCATGAATGCCATGAACACAATGTATTTATGAAATTTGTTATAAGAAATTATTTAGCTTGTGTTTTATTGGTTTTTGAGAAATGATAGCAAATATATTTGTGAACTAAGCAGTAATCATAATAAGTATGCTCAATTTTTGGAAGTTAATGGAAATAATCTAAGTTTCTTGGATTCAATTGTGGTTTGAAGGATTTTTAAATATCAAATTTAAAAAAAAATTCTCTTCAAATATATTTTACATGATACTACATGAAAAATGATATTCCTGTTTTTTCCTCTTTAAAGTTTGTAAAAGTTTGTGGGAGATCACTGATATGCTATGCACTGGATACATTTGAAAGGTGACACATTTTTGTTTCATCAGCTCTGTCTGTATTAAGTAAAACTTTCTCTTAAATGACATGAAGGAAAGTTTAGATATTTAAAAAAATGTGCAATAAAGCGAAAAAGTGATTGCATCTTGTTTTATAAAGTGGCAACATGATTTGATAAAATTATCTGAAGAACATCACAATGTACCTCTAAATATGGGAAATCAGTCAGATCTGATACAGATGGCCTGAAATATGATCTTGTGTACATAGGCTTCCCCCAAGTCAAACCATTGTTGTTTGGCCCTGGTTCTAATGATTATGAACTTTTATTGGCTATGTCTCAGCAATATCTTTAGCAAAATAAACTGACTTTTCATACTTCAAAATAATTCAACTTGTACTTTTTGCTCATGTTTTAGAAATATGAAAATTCTGAAAATAAAGTTGTTTGATATCATAACTTTGCCACTCAATCTTAAGCTCCCTCAGTCTAGTACCAATCTCCCTTTAATATTTAGCCTTTTTAGGTTTTGCTTGTGCTAGAAGGTAAAGAAAGACTATAAACAAAAGTTGAAAACGGTCTATACCTACAAAGTATACAAAGAACAGAAGCCTGCAATAGTCATATCATTAAAAATAGTGTTGTCTATTATATTTCTTAAAAAATATTTAAGGAAAAACATTGATTTTGCATGGGAGTATGAACATATGGGAAGTTACTAAATGATAGTTAGGAGGTGTGTGAGATCATTTTGTATTTTGGTAAAATTTCCACCGATACCAAATTGAAAATGAAATGATTAACTTTCAGTGTTCCGTGGATTAAAAAGATTGCTGTTCCTGTCTCTAAAGAGTGGACATCACACATGGAACAGGTAAACAGATGTGGATTCTGTTCTATTTTGTTATTGTCATGAAAGTATTCCAGTATATCTAGACTAAAATAAGCAATGAAAAGTATTCACGCCTTCAGAGCATAGGTGTCTCTTAACAAATTAAGTTTTGTGTTTAGCTTATACATTTTTTTGCAAGTGCATTCAAAGCTTGTCGAATTACAGTTTATTGTAGAAATTTAGAATTGGTGCATTACTTGTAATGTCAATAACTTTTACATTTCTAAGCTATTCGCCATTTAAAACTCCCATTGAAATTACTCAACCGTGTGTTAAAGTTTTTTAAGATGAATTTTTGTGCAGTAATAGAGCTTTGTTTTACAAATTTGAATTTTGGTTGCTGATTAAGGTCCTTTTGAGTAAAAATCAAGCGTTTCATAACATACTCCCCAAATAACATGTCTAATTATGAGCACCATTTGTGTCAATCTCAATTCATAAAGTTTTTTATATTCGACTGATTTTCTACCCTGTGACGTGGTATAATTGCAATGCATTGTACGATATGAATTGTGAAATTCCTCGTTTACTAACCTGCATCAAGCATGAAGCAAGCAGGCTCTTTGGCCTATATGATTTATGAATTCCTCACTGAATCAATCTGTTCCTCTTCTATAGAGATAGTCATAGTAATATTTCAGAGTTAAGCACACATAATGTTATAATTTTAAGGAAATATTTCCTTCTACTAGCCTATTATTTGGCTCGAAGAATGAATTATAAGTAGCAAGAATGAATTTTTGTGTCTTTCAAGCTTACAGTAGACAGTGTGTTTGGTCAAGGATATAACCATTGTAGTATTTACAAGTTTCTCATGAAAACGATATTTAATCTTTTTGTGTAAGAGAAGCATTGTTATTTCATGCATTGGTAGCCATTGTTATTTAAAATTATTTTTGGCATGTTTAATACATCATTGTCTTTCTCACGATCCTTGACTTTGTACGTCAAGTGCTCTACAGCTGAGCTATCGGGTCGTGCTTTCAAGCCAACACCCAAGGTCGAGTCATTCACCCGCACTGCCCCTCTCTTTTACCAGTTACACAGGAGAGCCATCGCAGCTCCATCACAAAGTGCAGAGGACCTGAAGAGTGACAGCGGACTGCTTATTTTCCCGCACTCTCTACTAATTATCTTTAAAAATTCTGTTGCCTGTAATCATTGTCTTTATTTTGCAGCTTCTATCTAAAAAGGTTTTGATCTTAAAAAAGCTAAATGTAAGTTTATCTTTTCAAGATAATCAAAGAAGAGGGATATTCAAAAATTGTGTTATGTGAAGGAAAGCATACAAGGTTTGTACTTAGCTGTACCATACAGGGCCGCCGGACGCAGTTTTGGGGGGGGGGGGGGGGGGGGCAAAACGAATAAAAGGGGCACAAATATTTTTTCCGAAACATTAGTAAGTGCCAAAAATGGTACAGATTTCACTGTAATTTAGACAATTACAAAAATTATGACACACGTTGGACATAATAATGATATTAATTTTCTTACTTTCATATTTAAACAATTTCGTCCCCCTTCGTATTCGCACCATCCCCACTTAAACAGAAATTCGTTCGCCTCCATGGAATTTTTTCTTAAAAGCTAAAAAATGTCATGGTTAAGCCATTTTCACGCAATCGGCTGAAGGTACGGGAACATTCTTCACTGTCACAGCAAATTTAATTTGCAACATTGATTAGGTTTATCTCGTCAGTCTTATGAACGAAACAAGTTTTTAACTCTCCTTAAACTTGATCCCGGGGGGCTCAGTCTGTTGGTAAAACGTATTACATGTGAGTTCCGAAAAACTCGAAAAAAGCTAGAATTCTGGGACATAGAATCTTGAAAACTGGGCTGCATTCTTAATCAGTCAGAGGAAACACAAAAAAGGGCAGGAATTTACTGATATGATGTTGCAGATAACTTTCTGTTTTTTAACTTGCCTAGTCATAAGTTTAAGAAAAATAATGGTTCTTACATGAATTGGTATCAAAAATTCCTGCGCAAGCTTGAATAATCTCAGTGAAAAGAGTTTCACAATTTTGGCAAAGTCACAGAATAGGGTACATTTTACGCATCCCAGAATCAGAGATAGGGCTCCAGTTTCTACTTTCAAGAACACACATGATATACACTGACTGTGCCCGCCGGGGACTTGACCGGACCTTTCACTAATGCGTTTGTTGCTGAAGACATACTAGAGAGTTTAAGCCTACTAAGGAAAATGTTCTCGCGGAACTAGCAGTCTCCTTCGCAGTTGATATTGTTCATCACAGGAGCTTGCGCTTTTGCCTCAAGACCAAGTAAACATTTAAGGAATTTTCAATGAATGGTCCTCCAACAACGTCCAGAGTTATGTTATTTTACTTAGTTTCTAAAGACAGAATATCTGGCATTGAAAAAATACGTGTACGCAAAATATTTTTCAAAAAGCGGGCACTTTCTTATACTTTTTGCAAACAGGGGGGCCTGTGCCCCCGTGGCCCCCCTGGCTCCGGCGGCCCTGTCATATCATCGCGTTTTTTAGAATTTGTGTAATCTTTTATCGCAATATCCATTCTTGCGTCAAATGGCAATGTAGCTTGTATAAACAAAGGTATTTAACTTAAGACCAACAAAAATTTGTCATAAAGTTCTGCTAGGTAGGATAACGTCTTTCTGTGCAATCTTGAAGATCCGGGAATGGTTCCCGTCTTATTCTGGCTGTGTCTTAGATTATTATAGATTTCTTAGAGATTTTCACAAATCCTTTTATTATACAACATCGTATCTCTGGTCTGAGATTGAATAGTTATACCACGGCTCATTCACATGAAAGCCCATGGCACTGCTTTCTCGGATGGGAAAGTTTCCCCTTCCTTTCAAATACCACAGGAGGCTTGTTTTGGTTGTCACGCGCTCACAGACCCTGAGTCTAAACAGGCCTCTGCTGTGACCAAAGTTTGCCATATGAATATGGTTCCGTAGTAGAGACACTTATTACTAGCCGTAATGTATTCTTCACAGTTCCGACAGCATAGCCTCGCTTCGAAAGTCGGCTTGCTAAGTAACAAGCAACACTTATTAGCAAGCAAGGGTAAATGCAGCTCAGCCAATCAAACGACTTCTTTATATTTCGGCAATTCTGCATATTTTATCGTCTAAGTCAACTATGTATGCCTGATCCTTCCTGGCTGTAAAGTAATTTCGTGATTTTTAGCATGTAGTAAATCTTTATTGAATTGCATACTTAATTGTTTGAATAGATATCTGTGAATAAGAAGAAGATATAATAACAAGAGTTTTGGTTTGAAACAAACTTGTTACCACTTTTTTCAAAATATTTCTGCAAGGTCTATAAATTAACCAAGATGGATGAGCTGTCACAATATAAACAATTCTCTGATTGGTTGAACGGAACGGAATCGAAATTCGATTTCTTTAGCCTTCATCTACTTTTTTTATGTTATCTTGTACAAAAAATAGGAACGAAGGGATGATATCGAGAAAACTCCAAAGGACGATATCGGATGGCGCTTCAAATTTAAGATCTCCGTTTTGGTAATGTTGACAAGACTAGCTTGAGACCGAGGCTATTTTGTGGTAACCGTGAAAGTGTATATTCAATTAATTTTATCAAATGGGTTAAACATGTATTATGGCTGGAACTCAATGACGCACTTCAACAGCTGAAGACATTTTTGCTAATAATTTTCGTAGAAAGTTTCATTTTTATCGTGTATTTTCAAACCTAATCATTTTGATGCCTCTTATTTGTCTTCACCTTTAGACATAGAAGTATTTATGAAGGGGTAAAATCGCTAGAAGCGGAAGATGGCAGTCCTCATGTGGTGAGCTTGGTGACATTGCTTTTACAATTTAAATTTATATTTAGGTAACTCGGTACCTTTAATGTTTTTTAAATCATAATAAAAACGCACATTCACGATCAATTTTTTTTAGAATTTTGATATAATTAAAGGTACCAAGTTACCACATTAAAGGTACCAAGTTACCTATATACAATTTGTCAAATAACACACGGGATCTCATAAAACCCTAGGCCCAAAAAGCCAGTGACCGAAAACACAATTTTAATTTTGCATGCAGCTAACATTTAATATTATATTCACAATAAAAACATTTATTCCCACAGCTCTTAATTAGTACATTATTATTGGCTGTAATAAATCGATATATGATTCTTTGAGAATTAAAAATCTTGTATCAACTCTCTTCCCATTAACTTTTTTGTCATCTATGTATCTTTGCTATGTTTATATTTTGTTTCTGTCATTTTTAAAACTTTAATATATATTTCCCATTTCCAACTTAAATTTGCCTATCTATTGGAAGTATTTTCAAATCCAACAATCGGAAAGATGCTGCTGCTGTTCCATCCACTTTGCATTAAAGGCAATCTGTCACGACATTGATTGATTATAAGAACAAAGGGATTTTTTATTGTTTCCAGTCCCCTTTAATTTATCGCATTGTAAAAAATAAGGCGGAGCGCTGGAATCGTGTTTAGGCTATTGTTCCAGCTATTGTTCTCGTTAACCATTCCACAACGAGACAGATTGCCTTTAAATTTTGCTCTTTGTTCAACTAACCATATTCGACATTTTCCGCAGTGTATCAGAATCAATGCATTAGAAATTCGTTCCCGTTCTATGGATTAGCCTTTGTCTTTGTTCAAAGGAGCTATCAGTTAGGTTTTTATCAAACCTCATGGCTTGTTAGACCAAAATAGACTCGTAAGAACAAGGTGCAAGATAGGTGCCTTGTGCTTACGACCATAGCAAGATTGATAAAAAATAGACAGCCTTTAGATTCCTCAATGCTAAGGTTTTGTTATAAGGGGATTAGCGATAGTGCATTTTGGATTTTCGATAAATTGCTTCGCTATGGCAGAGTTATTTTTGTAACAGATTTTTAAGTGATTACCAATAGTATAACATTATGATACTGAGAAGACGGCGTTGAAATTTATATTCCAATGTAGTTTAGCTATCATAGCGTTGTTGGAAGTTACAGAAACTTTGAATCTAAGACTCTCTCAACAAATGCAATAACTAAGATTTTGCTGTATGAGAACACACAATTATCTCCAAAATTAGCTTTTGAATGATTGATTTTGACTCAAGTGTAGATTTATGTCACACGACTAACTGGATATATAATAAATTCTGTAGTTCATTATCAATAAGTCAATTATCAGTCGTCATTTAGTATGCAAATACACGCTCATTCCTTCTTTCTTAATGAATTCACTTTATTCTAGTTAATTGATCAAGCCTCGTCTTTTTTATTCTACGTTGTTTCAGCCAAAATTGAAGTCTAACCTTAAATTCTGTTACTCGGATGTATGTATTGATTTTTTGGATAGATTTCATATCGTATTCATTGCCACAAAACCGATTGTTTTACAAGTTTCTTGTAAGGCATATTTTGAAAACTTTATTTCGCATATAAAAGGTATACCCTGATTTTTTCGTCTCACAATTCCAATCTTTCTTCTAGCTGTCTTTTATCTTTTTCATTAACGTATGTTTCTCTTCTCAGGTAATTATCCATGATGCCGTGCGACCTTTGATTGACGAGGATATACTTGTCGCAGTCGCAAAAGCAGCCAATGAACATGGCGTAGGTTTCATCTGTTTCTTATTGTTTGGTGCTAGAGTTGAGACATATTTTTAAGAGTTTTTATCTGTTATTTGTTATTTGTTAAGAGTCATTTGTTAACTAGGTTTTGGTATTTTGATTCTTTCGTCCTCTGGCGAATTCTCAAATTTCACCAGTTTTTCATTTCATCGTAGGCAAGTGGTGCTGTTCGCAAACTTGTTTCAACCATTTTAGTTACCGACAAAAACGAAATGCTGGACCACTCCCTTGTTCGGTAAACATTTGTTTATTTTGCTTCCTGCCTTTACAATCGCCCATTCTCTTCTTCTTTTTTTGAGCGTTGACCTTAACACCTGAAGCAAGCATTGTTTAGCTGTTATCTGAAGCAATCAAGGATCTAGAAAAAATGTAAAGCAAGGTTTTCAAACGCCTTAATGGAAGGGGCCTATATCAGAGGGCTCCTAACACATAAACACAACATCTGTCCTCTTTTAGAGAGCTTTAAAAAGATCCATATTCTCTCCCTCAGCGAAACTCACCTTTCAAAGGATGATGAGGCTCAGGCTAAATTTCTGGCTACGATTTTATCGCAAAACCAAGACTTTCAAACCCGGATAAAGGAGGCGGCGTGGGGCTATATATCGTATCCCATATACCATATCAACGAAGATTTGACCTTGATCAACCCGAAATGGAGTGTATTTGGTTGGAGATCCTATTTCCCAAAACAGAGGTATCCTTATTGGCATCATTTACCGGCCACCAGATACGTCAAAATATCTTCCAGAAAATTACGCAACCAAATTTAAAACAATGATGGACATAATTTCTACGGAAGATAAAGAAACTCTTATTCTGGGTGATTTAAATTGTAATTATCAAGATAAAACAGACCACAAAGAATTAAAAGATATACTGTCTTCATTTGGACTGAAACAGCTGATCAAAGCTCCGACGAGGATAACTAGACTCTCGTCCACGCTTATTGATGTTATATGTTCAATTCACGCTCTCTAAGGAACTCAAACAAGAAATGAATATCAGGGACCAGCTTCTTCGCAAGGCCCGACGCTCAAACACTGAATTAGACTGGTCTACATATAAGCGTAGCAGAAACAGAGTGAACAATCTTGTTAAAAGCAATAAAGCAAGATATAAAAAAGAACTATTGCGGGATAATGCCGATTCTGCAGAAAAGTTTTGGTCTGCAATAAAGAAAATATACCCTACAAAGGAAACTTCGACGACTACAACATCAATGATAGAAGTGAATGGTCAAAAAATGACAGATACAAATGAAATAGCAAATGCTTTCTCCAAACATTTTGCAACAGTAGCCAACGCCTTAAAGGCCAAAACGCTATTACTGAGAAATTTTATCTGGATGCCACAGAAGAGCTTTGCTTCCACCGAGGAAAAACACTTCCGCTTCCAATCAGTCAATCCAATCCAAGTCTATAATGAGTTGAATCGTCTTAAACGAAAGAAAGCAGTGGGTGTCGATAATTTTCCATCTGGAATGATAAAAGACGCGGCATCTTTTGTAGCTGAACCACTGACCTACATCATCAACATGTCTATTGAAACAGGTTTGGTACCATCCGACTAGAAAATAGCAAAAGTTATTCCGGTGTTTAAATCAGGAAGCAAATCAGACTTGGATAATTATAGACCCATATCAATTTTACCAATTCTGTCGAAATTGTTGGAAAAGTTCATTCACAAACAGCTGCTTGACCATTTGGAAAAGAATTGTATGCTGTTCAACTTTCAATTTGGTTTTCGTTCCAAGCGCTCAACAGAATTAGCAGTGACACTCTTGACTGATCATATACGAAAGGAAGCTGACAACGGCTCCCTCACAGGGGCCATCTTCATCGATCTGTCAAAAGCTTTTGACACGGTCAGTCATTCAAGCCTTCTAAACAAGCTGCCTTCCTTTGGGATTCATGGTACTGAGTTAAACTGGTTCACTGACTACTTGTTTAACGGGAGCCAGTTTGTTCAAAGTAATGGATGTGCCTCTGATATCACGCCAGTATTTTGTGGAGTACCACAAGGATCGATTATTGGTCCTCTGTTGTTTATAATGCATTTTAATGCGGCTCACACTGTTCTACACAATTCTTAAATCATAACATACGCTGATGATACAGTAATATTTGTGTCAGGCAGTTCCATAGATGAAATTGAAGGCAAGGTAAATAATGACCTGGGACACCTAAAAGCCTGGTTGGATGAAAATGAACTACTGATAAACTTGAAAAAGGGAAAAACAGAATCAATGATCTTTGGCACAGCTAAACGACTAGGTAAAACAGAGAAGAAGGAGATGAAAGTTGAAATAATGAAACATCGATTGCAGGGACTTTAAGTTACAAATATCTTGGAGTACATCTAGATCAATCATTGAACTATGCAACCCACTTTGACAAGGTTTTTAAAAAGGCTACAGGAAGATTAAATTTGCTTCGACGCATTAGGAGCTCCATTGACTCTGCGAGCGCTGAAAAGATCTATCGCACCATTATAATGCCTGTTTTTGGATATTCTGGTACGCTGTCCCTCGGATGGTCTACATCATACAAGAAAAGAATTGAAAGTCTTGAGAGTAGAAGCCTTGATGTTATTAGATCGACCAAGGTTACGTCTGTCAGCTTGCGTGTGCCCAGTATCAATGCAGGAGTGAACAAGAGGTCCTGTAATTTGGTGTTTGATACCTTACAAGGCAATGTTTGTGATGCAATGACAGATTACTTCGTTATAAATGCTCATGGGAAAAATACTAGAAACGACAAACATCTAGTCAAGTTGCCTCAAGTGAAAACAGAATTTGGACGCAAAGGTTTTTACTATCAGGCAGGAAAGGAATTTAATGACCTGCCACTAAGTGCAAGAAAGATTAAATCTAGAACTATTTTTAGACGATTTTTAGAAACTCATTTTATTTGACGTAAAATTATTTTATCTTTAGATTGGACTGTATTGAACTTTTGTAATCCGTTTTTAGATCTTACCATTAATTTATTAAGTATCAGGACCCTAATGATAACAGTACATATTGTACTGATAGGTTATCCTGTTAAAATATTCGATTTATTATTATTATTTATTATTATTATTATTATTTGTATATCATAACTAATGCTGATTGGCTGGCGATTTGTAAGGTCTCCCCAGGCCTCGGAAACAGTAGAGTTTCAATCTATCATTTGCATGTAGGCACCAACCTAGTACCACTGGTTGTCTGATCGCCTATTTTACAAACTTGTATGACAGTGCGATGACTCAGCAAATCAGACAGTTTCATATCCTTTTCTTGACTTATAGACCCTTTTTTAGTTTGATAGTTTGATACAATTGTATGATAGAATAAGGCAAGTCAGAATCCCTTATTTGCACATACCATATATATCAAACAAGATGAGTAAGGCATAAACTGGAACCATGTCATTTTCAGTCTTTTTCAAAATCAAATTCTTTAATTTTTTATATCTGCTTACGATAAACCTATGAAACACAATCTGAGTAAATTTCCTAAAATCCATTATCTCTTTCCTTTAACTCTAAAAACTATTTTTTCTTGTAGATCAAAATGTAGAGCGAGTGAGATGCCACAAGCCTTCCAATATAATGTGATAAGTGAGGCCTACTTAAAGGTAGTGTCAATTTACTTTCATCAGCACATAAATGTTTTACTCAAACCTTCTCATTGTATTTTTTGTGGTAGCATTATTTAGCAATTTGCATCTCCATTTGGTTTGTAAATGGTTTGAAATTAAAACTAATTTAAGTAGTTTTCATTTAGCTAGTCAGGTTAAATAAAAAAACGATAAGAACCCAAGTTGAAAGCAGATTCAATATGATTCTTAGTGTTTCAAATCGGGTAATAAATCAGCCATATGTGTCAAAGATGTAGTGAGTTGAAGGTGAAGATGTAGGAAGGTGTAGGAGCCTGAAAGAATAGAGGGTGAATGAATTTTAGAGGCAAGACATTGAGAAGCTTTGCTTATCGAGCAGTGCCCTGGTCCTTTCTCTCGATGTGACCTCACCGCGTCATGATTCCTACACCTGGAATAGACATACGAGATAAGACATAAGACATAGGACATAGGACATAAGACATAAGACATAAGACATAAGACATAAGACATAAGACATACGACATAAGACATAAGACATAAGACATAGAATTTTGATTTCAACCAACAACAAGGAATAACAAAGGATTACAATCAACGATAAAGTAAACCTAATTAAAACCATTAAGTAAAGTTAATAAATAAAGTAAAGTAATAGCAAAAAACTGGCGACTCCCCTCACTCTGGGTGAAATATTGGTCATGTCAAGGACTAAAACCACAGGATCTGTAGTCCGTGACCCTAACCACTGAGCCATCCTTGCAAATTGTAAAGATTCATTGATCGCCCTCCCTCAAGCGAGTCTCCCCTCTAATAAGCGACCCCTTGAAATGACCAAGGTTCCAGGATGCTCATTTGAGGATTGAGGGATACATTTCCCCACTGTTGTTCTACAAAGCAATAAGAGCCAAATAAAGGGTGCTGGAAATAAAATTTGATTTCATAATCATTAATGTCGTGCTTCAGGTTTCGATTTTTATTATTGTTTTTCATGAATAATATTTTGCGTCTGTTTTTGATTTCTTACTGATTTTCAATATTTGTGACGATTGTGTATATTTATTGCAATTCAGAGCTCTGAAGATGACTTTGATAATGGTACCGAATGTTTGCACCTTGCTCTTGAATACACATGGGCAAAACCAAAATTGGTTGAAGGAACAACAGATTTATGGAAGGTTTGTCTTCCTTTCAAATGCATTCTATCATACGACTTTATCAACACTACACAGTCAACATTACCACCATTATCCACGGAGTGAATCGACGTCTTTAGAAAGTGTGAATCGATGTCTTTAGGAAGTATATCCCTTTGCTCATTGCCTACGTTTTTAAGGATGCTTTGTTTAGCGGCATGAGACAGTTTTTCCAGCAACATTGTCTCACAACATAATAGACTTGGAGCTGAAAAGAATCGAGGATGCCAAATTTCCTTTTTCCTGCTTGATTATTGGTAATTCGCCTCTCTTTTTTACATACTAATATTAGCATCATTTCCCTTGAATTGAAATTAGCAGCATGAATCAATACCTCTTGATACCTCTTAGTGCTCCAATCAAACAATTCTTAGATATGTATTGCAATTTTCAAATTTCTTCTCCTCCAGCTAAACTGGTCAACTAATCATTTTTTTGAAGGATTATTCCCAGATAATTTTCCGATTTGCGATCATTGATTTAGTAAATGTTACCGATTTTCAGTAGACATTAATTTAGCTTTCAAGAAATCCAGTTGATCGTGCATCGATTAGTATGCCTGAGGCTATTAGAAGCACCCTTGACAATAAAAAATCTGGGTTGCGTATTTATTCGCTTACAAAAAGCATTCGATACTGTCATATTCATGATCCTACGAGTCATGTATTCTACTGTTAAAACTTGGGTATCATTGGGTAAGAGCTACTACAATCTATTGGTTTCAGGCTTACGTAGCAGGTAGAAATCAGTATCTTTCGATAAATCTTTTGACTACACTTAACCCACACTTAAATCTCTACCACTATTATAATCACTGCGTAGAATAATCTTTTGTCAATTAATCTACGCTTTTTTCTGTTCGAAATCAACTGTGGCGTGTTTTAGGGATCTGTCCCCAGACACATCCCTTTCTTTGATCCATAAATGACTTACCTAGTGTTTCGATAAAGCCAAAATTCTATCTTTTTACTTGTGACACAAATATTTACGAATCTTAAGAAATTTGAAGAGCTTAAAGAGCTCAAAGTTTGATAAAGCATTGAAATGTGTAAAAAGATTGCATGAGGCGAATTGACTCTCGCGTGATTAACTATTCTCCTCTAACTTGGTCCTCAAAACGTCCCCCTCAAGCTTGGTCCTCAAAATGTCTCCCCCAAGCTTGGTCCTCAAAGCTTCTCCCCCAAGCTTCGTCCTCAAAACGTCTCCCTCAAGCTTGATCCTCAAAGCTTCTCCCCCAAGCTTCGTCCTCAAAACGTCTCCCTCAAGCTTGGTCCTCAAAGCGTCTCCCCCAAGCTTGGTCCTCAAAACGTCTGCCTTAAGCTTGGTCCTCGAAACGTCTTCCTCAAGCTTGGTCCTCGAAACGTCTCCCTCAAGCGTGGTCCTGAAAATGTCTCCCCCAAGCTTTGTCCTCAAAGCATCTCCCTCAAGCTTGGTCCTCAAAGCATCTCCCTCAAGCTTTGTCCTCAAAGCATCTCCCTCAAACCTGGTCCTCAAAGCGTCTCCCCCAAGCTTCGTCCTCAAAACGTCTCCCTCAAGCTTTGCCCTCAAAGCATCTCCCTCAAGCTTTGCCCTCAAAACGTCTCCCTCAAGCTTTGTCCTCAAAGCATCTCCTTCAAGCTTGGTCCTCAAAGCGTTTCCCATAAGCTTCGCCCTCAAAACGTCTCCCTCAAGCTTTGCTCTCAAAGCATCTCCCTCAAGTACTGTCCTCAAAGCGTCTCCCTCAAGCTTCGTCCTCAAAGCATCTCCCTCAAGCTTTGCCCTCAAAGCGTGTCCCTCAAGTACTGTCCTCAAAGCGTCTCCCCCAAGCTTCGTCCTCAAAACGTCTCCCTCAAGCTTTGCCCTCAATGCGTCTCCCTCAAGCTTCGTCCTCAAAACGTCTCCCTCAAGCTTCGTCCTCAAAGCATCTCCCTCAAACTTGTTTCTCTCTAGAGATAAAAGCAGAAACACAAGCAGAAGGAACTTAAATGCCAGTAAGGACGAGCTTGTCAGGAATTTTGTGAATAAGAAAAACTGGCTACCAAATAATCGATTTCTCAATTGTTTTACAGCTTCGGTATACTTAGCTGTAATGACTTTTGAGAATCAAGGTAAATGCAAAGTTCCACAAGCGAGTGGTTTTAGTGCATTACCTAAAGCTGACATGCTAATATTTATCTTGTTTTCTTAAAGCTCTTTGAAAACAGTCTTGCCGCTCAATTTTTTGATACATCTTTTGATACAAAGAAAAACTTATCACTTGTCTAAGAAATAAGCAATGCCTCTTGTAAAGAGTTCGAAGGAGTCTGCTATCACGATGAGACGATTACAAGAATTATTATAAATACGTAAAATTTCGATTAAAACATTTTGACGCAGAGAGACAAATCCGTAGCGACCTTTTAACTGGTCTAAAAGCGGGGTTTTTTATTCAAGCTTAAGCTTCTTGACATTTCCCATACTTATTCAACTGCCTTGCTCACGTGCAACAGCCCATCTGCTTTTCGGTTTTTGCACATTTTGAAGAAAATTGTGAATAATAAATTGAACTTTTTACGTTAAAATATTCAAAATCAAGAAAATGGTTTTAAAACCTAAATATGTAAAACAACTTTGTTAAAAGATTTGCACCTTTTCCCACGTTTTCCAAGGAAACACATACAGCCCAGACAGAGATGGTTAAATACAGTGCGGTTTTATGTTTAAATTAGACCTCGTATTTTGTTCCTTTGAAGCAAACTAATCCCGGACTAATGCCAATGGGAAAACCTAGTTTCCTAATTATAGCAAAGGAACGGAATATTTCATTGAAACCGAGAATATGTTCATACGAGAAATGGGCTGGCCCTTAAATGCAAGGCGATGGTGTCTCAATGAACTAGAAGAAATTGCCATGAGATTTAGATTCAAATACTGAGCCCGATCAAAGGGGATGAATTCGTCGTTTATACGTGTGTTTTCATTATGGTTGGCGCTTTGGGTGCTGTGACGTCACCACTCGCAGTTGTAGCTTGTAAGTCTAGTATAGAAGAACAAAAAATTTCGGTGAACAGTGTTTGAATAACTTAATAGAATGATATGGCATATGTTGCAAAATACTTGAATTTCACAGCATTTCTACAAGAAAGATGATCCATAAAACGTTACAGCTACATCCCATTTGCATTGAGACAAACTGATTAACTGGTAAATGGAGAGTTACATTCACTGACGCCTAAATCTAGAAAAACTAGAAAATATAGAAAAACTAGAAATATAAAGAATAGAATATAGAAAAACTAGAAAAACTAGAAAAACCTGAAAAACTAGAAAATATTTTAAAAAAATTGTCTGATGTTTTTACCACGGTGTATCCACAGTGTATAATATGAGTATCCAATATATATACATAAAAATAAAAATACCGTTATGGTTGGTTATATTTTCAATAGGCACTGATTGGAAAACCTTTAGAGTCATGTGTTTCCATTTCTGATTGACCTAGCTTAGAGTTTTATTTATATTTTGATGTTTATCAACCTTTTTTAATACATGACACATTTTGTCATTGAAAAAATCGCGCCTGAAAACATTGCATAACTCTGCTGTAAAGAGGGTAGGATAAAATGCTTTAGTATGTTTCAAAATGTTTCAAAATGATCATCTTTTTCAAAGCCATTAGTATTTTTTGAACCACGGAAAAATTGATAACGGACTTGGTGTTAAATAATTGAAGTTTATGTCAAATGCAAAACAGTACTGTCTTCAATCGTTTGTCAGCCGATTTACTTTAGCGAGACCGGTAGACATGGTTACAAATCATTCTTCACTTAATCAAGAGAAAGAACCGAGTGCCTTGCAAGTATGGAATAAATTGCAGAGTGTTCTTACGGCAATTTGCAATGGCGAACGTTTAACTGAAAAGAAACTGCTTGACCATTGACGTATATCCGACGTTATTTGGTGAATTTTGAGGAAGATTTCTCTATTTTTTTTTAAATTCTCAAAATATGTTAGTTCTTGTAACATTTTAAACGAAACACTTTATCAAGCAACTGAAACTCCTTATTAATGTTTCATAATTTTTGAAGATTTCAGATTTTGAAGTATTTCTTTTTGCAAATGAATTCCTAATTTTTGTCACAAATTCCATGATCTTTTAACTGTATTAGATTCTTCAATTTAGGCTCTTTAGTAACATTTGTTTATCTTTCATCAGGTCACATACCAGAACGACTTGGAAACTTTTGAGAAAACGATAAAGGGTTTGTTAAATCTATCTGCTGGCGATCGTAGCTTATCAATCTGCCGTAATCCAATGTACAATAGATATGGTTCTCGATATTATTCACGTGGTATACGCTGCTATTTCTGCCTTTTACGCTTTGCAGAAAGCTCATATTTGTGTATTTTAGCTAAATTATTATCATTGTTATCACCTTGTGTGGAATTGTTCTGTTGATATCTGTAGCTATAAACCAATTTTTAATTAAGTATTTTTTTGGCAGAAAGAACAAGGAAGAATATTTCATTTTGGAATATTGAAAATGAAGCCCCGCCTTTTTGGAACCAAATTATAGAATTTTTTCATCATAAAGGATATAAAGTAAGCCACTTTATTCAGTTTCTAGAAACTAACATGGTAGAGAGTCTGTTATCTTGAATTGAGGTAGCAGAAGTTAAATGAGGAGGAAACTATTGTTTTGCTTATAAAATCTCATCAAAGTTTAGCTTAGTAAGCAGACGTTACATATCGATATGACTCTAGCTGATTGTGTAGCATGCAGAGGTTTGCTGAAGTACTGCAGTAAGACCTATCTTGTTTTATGATAATTGCTGTATCTGCTTCAAAGAATTAGTACACTGTACATCCTGAAGTGTTCTTTCAAGGAGAATACAGTGCATTTTGGTTTCTGTCCGATAGTTCTTCAATCACCCTTTACCCTAATACGAAATTTCAATTGCAGATAGATTGAAAGAAGTTAAAGAATTGAATAGTTTATATTGCAGGATATAAATTATAGTTTATATTGCAGCATTTAAAGACACTCAAACAAAGTAGAAAATCCAGTTTCCAACCTTTTTATTGTGTTAAGCTTCCATTAGTAATTTTGGTATTGATACATTTTAATTTTCATTCTTTGGCTTCTTAGACATCAAAAATATTGAAAACAGATTGCGAAATCATTCCTTCAAGTGAAGAGTCTTCATCAAACTGTGTAAGATTCATGTTACTATTTAATTCTGAAATGTTTTTCATGACTTCAAGTAAGTTACTTCTAATAATTTAATATGTTGTTACTTCTAATAAGCAACTTACCTGTAATAAGTTATTTCATAATCTGTAGCCTTTTTTCCTGGCCATTTTTAAAATAACCTGATTGATTGTCACGTGTCACAAGATTAAAAAGCCTTATTATCAGCGTTCCTTGGCCACTTTACCAGATATATTCCGGGACCTTTTAGCTCCCCAGAAAACGTTTTGAAAGACAAGTGTGATTTCTTTGCTAGTTTCTGCAAATTCCAATTTCAGAATTGTTTTCAAGACAGCCATATCCTATCAATCTTTGAAAAAGCAAGACTTTGGCATATTTCGTAACTGCGTCATGAAAGATTTAATAACTACAGATGCACTTCACTAGCATGAAATAAAAGTAAACTTTTTTAAAGACAAAAGTACTATAAAGTCCAATTTCATATCAAAAATCAAAATTCTTCATGACCTCCAGTTTGGTTTGGAAAATAGAGCCTTCAAGACTGACCAACTCATGAACTTGGTTGAAAACATAAAAAACGTTATATAAAATGAAGTTTTTAATTTCCAAGATGCTTTTGACACTGTCAGTCACAGGATATCACTAGACAATCTCTACCACCATGGAGCAAGAGGAACAGCTCACATCGGATTTTTTCATTCTGGTTTAATGACGGTATCGTGTTGTGTATCACAGGGATCCATTCTAGGTTCATTAATTATTATTATTATAAGTCGCTTGTACATCACTTTGCCGATGAAAATTTTTTTATCTTGTCCAATGGATACCTGAAAGCTCTTAAAGAGGCACTGTAAGAAGAATTAGTATCTCTGTATGACTGGCTTTGCGCAAATTGTCTTTTCCTTTGTGTAGCGATGACAGAGCTTCTTTTCTTCAGGAGTAACTCATGTCAAAATTGATCAGATCTGTAAGCTACCGTTAGAATTCAACTTTCATTATATATGAATGAGCTACAACCCTGTTAAAAAACGTGTAGAGCCGAAGACACTTAAACAATTGTTTTATAATCTGAGTTCTGAATCGTATCAAATAAATTTTTTGCCATAGCAACAATTTTTCCGTGTAGCAGCAATTTTTATTGGCTGATTTTCTTGGGCGTAAATGTTACCTCTGCTACGAGACCTTTTCCTAACCATTCGGGTACATTATGTTATTGGTAATCGTTTTTTGTTAATATTCTCTTGTCGGATTATTTACATTATGTGTACGCAGTTTTTGACTACAACAAAAGCCCTTATGTATTGTTTTTATGTTTCAGAACCCAATTTCAGTTTTTAGCAAATCATCAATTAATTTTTTTCATGAATGCAGTGAACACGAGTAAAGACAAACACGTTTGTTTTTTCAAAGATCTTGGCATTTTTTAATATAGAATATTCTGGAATAGAATAAGGGAATAGCCTTGCTCTCTAAATAGTGAAAGTTTGCCATCTGTTTCAGATGCCTCTATCTCCCTGGCACACACCGTATCTACCAATCGAAGAAACTAGAGAAGAGATTTACTGACACGCTTTTGATTTGTTATTTCTGTTTGAATGAAGCAAACTTTTACCTTTTTTACAGACTTCAAAATTTGGAAGTCATCAAAAACCGTCGTTGGTATGCTTTGCGGACTATTTTGTAAGTTCTAGATACAGATTTTAGCTTGAAAACCACTCGATAACGGGTTTTGGTTCGTTTCAAAGAGTTGCACTGCTTGCGTTCCTGATATCTCTTTGATGTTGTTTTTTAAGGGTGATCATTTTAGAAAATCTCTTTGTCAAGTTTTAGAATCATTGAGGCTGCTTTGTTTGAATAGTGAAGTGTCAATTAATGGATGTTACAATCACGGATGTTATACCATTTGCCCATGTACTTGTGGAGTTACTTTTTACTTTTTACTTACTTTTTTGGCCGATGCCTCCTGAACACTACCCTTCAGCACTGTAGTCAGCGATTCCCTAATGCATAATAAGAGCAATTCAGCTGCAAAGTCGTAGAAGAACTTTTGAACCATAACCTCAATTTTATATCTCAATATTCTACTTCTTTGCACCCAGAATTTTGCGATCTGAAGTAGCAAGAAACATACTGAGGTGACCTAGAAGCGGTCACTGCAAATTTTTTATTAACAAATTCAAAGGCAAATGCGAAAGAGTCTTCGTAAATTAAATGTTATTTTGGCCAGAAATTAGCCGTTTGAAGTGTGAATTTTGCTTCGTTTTCTATCTTCAATAACAATCTGGATTATCTCTGGTTGTTAATAAAACATTTTGGCTGGAAGCCTTTTTTTGTAGGAGAACATTTGACGTCTTCAATTGCTCTGTTATAGAAGGGAAAACCTCTCTGAATTTTTATTAAAGTTTAAAATAGATTAGTTTAAAAGATAATTGCAAGAAACTTTCCTGAATACATAATATACTGCCATCATTAATACAATTCATGTCAGGCAAGATGTACGTTAAAACAATCCGCGATGTGTCCTAAGCGTGCCGCTAAGGCAAGCAAAGTCTTTTCAATCACTGCCAGTCCTGTATAATTGATAAATGAACTAGAAGATTTTTCTCAAGTCGCGTGAGCTGAGGGATAAGGTTCCTGACGTCGTAATAACCCACATTCGCATCAGCATCATCTTTCATTGCACCTCTCTCCCACGTCTGACTCTGACGTACATACATCACGTTGTTGCAATAGCGGATATTAATGGAAATTGTTGATTTCCTAATGAACAGGATTTAATCTGATACCTCAATGCACATAATATCGATATAATTCATGAGACTTTTTCAACAGAAGGGTTTGAAACGGAAATGGCGTTTTTGGTGTGTCTAGTTGCCCTAGAGTTTCACATCCAAAATGTAAATGCAAAATGCAAATGCATTATGTCAGCTAAGACAATCTTATGAAGAATTTTAGATAAACAGCTTGGAATAACATTAGAAAATGAAATGAATCAGAGCAATTCTTGCAACGGCGTTCGCGGGCATTGAGCCGTATTACAAGAAAGGGGGTATAGGGAAGACAGCTACCAAGTTTTATTGAATCTATTTCCGAAGAAAGAAAATGCAGACGTTCAAAGACGTTTGAAAATTTGCCCTCTTTTAAAATTGCTTGAAATTTTTTAAATGTTGTTCAAAGCGTTGTGCAAGTCTTAGCTTTCTAAGAATTTTCTGACATTTGGTTACTGGCATTTAGTATCTTTCTCTGTTTCATTAATTTGATGTATTCAATTCAAAACTGTTGAAAACACATAACAGGATACTTTAACAGTACAACATTAATAGCATTCGAGTAAGAAGGACTAAACGTTGTTGTGTTTTTGTCATTCTTGGTGGCGCTGCGAAGTTGGTTTTTTGTTCTAGATTGCTAAATTCAGCAAAAATCAACTAAAACATATGATAAACGCATATGAGAAAATGCACCCCTTTATTATTGGAAGTTAAAGTGCCAAAAAATTGTTGAAGACTATGAAATTGCATTATGGTCAGTCGTCTAAGGTCGCAGAAGCGCAATGCGGCATGTACATAAACAAGTCAGGGAAGGAGGCTGCAGTTGGGGAAAGATGAGACCAAGGGTTTCGGTGGCATGAAGATGAACCGATTCAATATTTCCCATTTGGAAGATTTAGAAAATTAGACTTGCATTCAAAGCATGTTGATTTTGCTTTGTTTACTCTACCATATCCGGACTTTATGGAGTAATGACATGGTACACTTTTTGATGGGAATTCCTATTGTTGTCAAAGTTAGGTTCTACTCACCATTGTAGAGATCGCGTGTAATTAGAAAAGAGTAGAGGAGCACGTGATATGTACTATGTACAACGAGTCATTCTCATACAGGAAACAATATATACACGTGATAAGGTTGTGCATTTGTCGTAGTCCAAGGCCATAGCCACTCCCAGGCTTAGCACAGTGGACCAACGGGAAATAACTCGAAAGGATTGTCTTAACGATTAACAAATAACCGGATAGTCGATAAAGACCAATGTAAGCAGTGCTACTATGTAAAGGTAAAACGTCACCAAAGTGTCTTGATGACATTTACCCCGAGAAACCAGAAGCAGAGAGAGAACTTTGAAATACCTATTCCAGAAATTTTATATTAAAAAAAATGAGGGTGAAAAGTGGCTGAGAAATATAAAGTGACCTGCTTCGCTCCTTCACGGAAAGCCTTCACTCCAAGGATACTATAATTTTTAAAATATCTTCTGAAATCTAAGTTTGCTTGATTTTATTCCTTATTTTTTAATGCAAATTCTTTTACTGATTACTTGTCTTGATACCATAAAGTAAAAAATAGCATCTTTTAAAATTACGCAGTTTCTCTTTGTAGTACCGTTGCGGCAAAGAAATAGAGCATCTCCAGCATAATTACTTCAAAGTGTTTATATTGTACCACTGCGAGTCGCTGGCTGAAATTTATGCAGGGGTAAGAAATCGTTTTATTATATCTTATTTAAATTCGCATTTATTTAAGCCAAGTATTTTACTTCGGTTTCGCATGCTTTCACCTTTTATTCTGGAATTTTACACTGTGGCTTTACGCATAAAGATGACCCCTTTTTGGGGATTTTAATGACTTCGTGATATCTTTGACTCTAATAGACCAGGCGGAGAATAGGGGGATGGTCACTCGAGGGCGAAATTTATGGGGCCAAGTGCTTTTGGTCGATTCAAGGGTGCTGATTTCGAAAATCGATGTTATATGGGGTTTTTTGGGGGCCATCAGCCTCTTTTTCATGTTTGAAGTCTCGTTTTTGTGTATATGAAAGTAATCAATGAAAAAACAGTTTTAATGGGAAAAAGTTAAAGTCTTGAAGTTAATTAAGCACATTTCTTGCGCATAAATGCTTAAAATTGAATTATGGTCTGTTAAGGGGCGCCAAAAGCCTCGTTTTCACGAGAAAATTGCATAATCTTAAAATTTGTATCCCTAAATAGACATCTAAAAAGCTTAATACATTTTTTGTTGAGACTAATTCTTTAATTGTCATCCGAAGGAACTATGTAGCGCTATTAATTACTCTCTGATAAATGACACTATGAAAAAACAACTGGATCATCTAAACGTAGTTAAGTTGTTTCAAAGTTCCTCAAGATCGAAAAACTTTAATGGCGATATGTTTCGGATTGTTGGTAGAACCTGATCGTCGTTCCATCTAGCAGTTTTGGAATTCATCCACGTCAACGTGAGAAGACCGCTGCCGTGTAGACAGAAGGAGTTCATTTTCACCTTAGGACTCCATAGGTAATATTTTCAATAGGCAAGCGGCACTGATTAGGCAACCTAAACAGTCATGTGCTCGCGTTTCTGATTGGCCTATTTTGATCCACAACATTGGCTATATATATATAATTCCTAGTGAAGAGTTGTCGACCCATGTTCTGACGTTTCATACTCAGACGAGTGTCTAACAAAAAGCTTCAGTATATTCACATTTTTGCTTTTCTCAAAGCCATTTTTGAATGTTGTACCACGTTAAACTTTGTAACATAGTGTCATGTTATTTTAGCTCGAAAAAAATACTAGAAATAGCTTCTTATTATACAAAATAAGAAATGCTTATAAATTTTGAAAGTATTCACAATATAGAATATAACTAATCATCTATTAACTAAGGTGCGACCCTACTTTAACAGTACACATTCATAGAATTTTTTATTCATTTTGATCGACGTTGTGTTTTCAAATTGCCATGAATTACAGCTACATTCCACTCTATCCCATTGTTTTATCAATCTCTTAAAAATTTGTTTATTTCTAGCAGATTTGATTTCATTTGGAAGTCCAGTGCATATCTGAGGCCCTAAGGCTGTTAGTCTATTTGTACCAATGTTCGTTTGATTAGGGCAATGGTTTGATTCGTGGATGCAACAAATCATGCGATTAGCAGATGATTTAACTGAAAATATGCTTTGCATTGATTCAGGATTTAGCTGCTTCATATCTTTGTCGATTTCGATACAGAGAGTCTGGGTCTAGCCCATCCAGCATACTCCCCCGGTTGATTTACAATGTGAAATCAAACCAATACATGACATAGTGATAATGCTTGCTAAATAGGTTTATTTACTCTTATATTCAATTCCCCTATGATTGCTGCATTACGTTTACTTCTAGCTACAGGAAGAGTATCGTTAATCAGAATTAACTGAATCAACAGCGCTAATGGTGCATTCCTTAGTAATAGGTATTTTTTCTAAAGGCACTAAATGTTGCAATGGGCGCAAAATAGATTTACAGTTGGCGCCGTCCGAGGGCATGCTTAGCTTAGCGAAACGAATATTTCCATCTTTGCCCACAATTAGCTCTTCTACTCTAGCTAGCTTCCAAAACTGACATTTAGACTGTTCGTTCTTAACTATGACTATGTCACCAATGGATACATTTCTTAGACTGACTAAACTGACTCAATAAATCTCTCTAATACCAAAGAGAAACTCCTGTTTCCATCATTTGGAAAAATGAAGTAATAGTGTACGGTGATGTTTGGCTTGTCTGGTTAAAGACTAATAAGTACTTATTACTTCAAACTCTTTGTCATTAGGCAGACGGCTTACGATATATCCACAAATTAAGTCTGCTGGGGTTATTATTATTATTATTATTATTATTATTATTATTATGCTGATGTACACAGTTCTGATGTTATGGAGGGCTTTCGCTACACAGTCATGTCTACGTTTATACTCTCTCTGTGCCAGTTTTGGGCATTCACTGACAATGTGGCTTACTGTTTCCTCGTTCTGATTACACATTCTACATTTCGAGTCCCTCTGCGTATTATTATTATTATTATTATTATTATTATTATTATTATTGGTCGTTGAGCGGTGGCGTTCGGAGCTCCCGTACACGGCTCTCGTTTAAAAGCAAATATCATTATAGCCTGGTTACTTTGTATTCGCATATTATAGTAAAATCGACTATTGAAACGACAAGGAGTTTTTTTTAGAAATGATTCGTTCACATTGGCTTTGGATTGTTGCAATATTTGTGGTTTGTTCTTTCTGTGGTCAAGATTTCAAAACGTTAGGCCGCCATTCTTGGAGAAACTTTCCAACATTGCCATCCGTACTACGTACTACATATTTTGTTGCAAAAATAAGCCATGGACAAATCCGGAATTACATCCTTTTTAACTTTAGTTGTTTTATTTTATTTTATTTTTCTCAGTTTTTCCTTTTACCTTACGATTGTTATAGTTTTTTCTTGTAAAACCAGGCTAGCCAATTGCAAATTACCTTGTAATAGTGAGATTTGTAGTTGTAGTTTAAGTTGAATTGAAAATGAAATGTTTCC